GATCCTTGCTAGCTTGCCATAAAATTCCTCAAATGCTCCCTGCTAGTTCGCCGGCAATTTTGTTAAACGGTCTCTGCTGTCTGCCGCAGATTTTCAGGCCTAGGGATCGCTGCTAGCATGCCTGGCATTTTCAATGATCTATGCTAGTTAACAGGAGAAAATCCTAAATGACCCTTGCTAGCCTGCTTGCCCATTTTCAAAAAACACCGCTAGCTAGCCATACGGTCTGTCCTAAATTCCTCAATAACTACTGCTATGCCTAAGCTGGCCAGCGCTTTAAAATTTGAACTAAATTTAGGCAGGTCTCAGCGAGATGATAGCCCCGATCTGCCCGGAGAATATGAAGGAGCATGGCCTTCCCACCGAGACAATCATCAATATGTATCAGAAATGGGGGGAATGGCGGATTCGGGCTGTTGATCACGGGAAATATCGCTGTCGATCCGGTCGGTTCTTTAGGTCGAAAATCTGGCTTTCTGGTACCTTTAAACGCCAATATTTCAGCTCCACCCGGAGGCGCCTGGCAATATTGTGGTGTCGAGGGAGAATGATTCACCGAAATTGAGGGAGTTGTTGAAGAGGTAGGAGAGAGATCATAGATAGATAGAGACACAGAGAGGGAGAGAGAGAAAGAGAGAGAGAGCAAGAACGGAGAAAAAAATTTCAGGTACGCAGCCGCATGCAAAAGTGATGGTACGCTCGCCATTGCTCAATTTACCCATGTGAGTTGAAAAATACTATTAAAGAAATCCGTAAAAATGAAAGGGTTCTACTGTCACCATCCCTTTAAAATACAGGATACGGTGCTTTTAAGGGCTGGCGACAGCTGATTTTAACAAAAAAATCCGTATATCCAGATATCTGTTTTCCTGGCACTAACCCTTAAGTCCTGCTTTTAGGGTGGTCGTCAGACCCCAGCCTGTGTCAACCCAAATCCCAAATCGGCCTCCGATGTCCAGCTGAAGGCTAATACGCGTGGATTTACCTTCGGGAAACCGACTCCATACACTCGTACGTAATGAGGTGTAGTCCGTAGCTACCGTAACTAACGTAGCTACTATCAATACCAATTCCGTAATACCGTAAATCAAAAAAATTTCAGTAGCTGAGCTCAAAACGGAGGTGATCGATCGGTTCGCGTTCGCCGCTGAAGTCTGCCGAGAGGCTGGTAATTCCTAACTGTTGCCCCATCTACCGTATCCCTAGGCTTTGATGGGTGTGAGATTCACGCTGCCCACGGATTCCTGTTGGCCCAATTCTTGTCTCCATCCACCAACAAACGGACTGACCAATATGGCGGATCTGCGGAGAATCGAGTACGGATGGTACTCGACACGATTGAGGAGATACGGTACGAGAGAGAGAGAGATAGAGAGCGAGAGAGAGAAGGAGAGAGAGAGAGAGAGAGAGAAGGAGGAGAGAGATAGATAGAGAGAGAAACTTCTCAAATCCTTTAATCCCAGCCACCGTATCCCTGTCTCTACCGGTTTCCTCGTTGGAGTCAAATTCAATTCGGTCGAATTCCAAGACGGGGGCCTCGAGACGGAAGACGCCAAGAAAATGTGCCAAATTATTGAGGTAAACTTTAAAGGTCCATTAAAGGTTAGAATCCACGATTTTACGCGTAACTTACCGTATCCTTTTTAGAATCGTGGCGATGTGGACTTCGTGGAAATGTCGGGCGGCACCTATGAAAAGCTCGCATTTGTGCATCTCCGAGATTCCACCCGGAACCGGGAGGCTTTCTTTGTGGATTTTGCTGCTCAGGTAGGCTTTTTAAAGGGATTGGCAAGTTCGTGAATTAGTTTTCAGATCCGGCCCGTTTTCAAGGAGACGAAGATGTTTGTGACGGGCGGTTTTAGGACAGCCAAGGTAATTTGAAAATCTGTCTTTCTCACTCTCTCTATCTCTCCCGCTCCCTCTCTCTCTCTCTCTCCCTCTCTCCTCTCTTTCTCTCCTGGTTAGCAGAGATATTTTAGAAACTCTTAAAGTCTTTTCCCATTTCAGTGGATGACCAAAGTGATCGAGGAGGGCCATTGCGATGCTGTGGGTCTAGGAAGGCCGATAGCCGCCGAGCCAGGCAAATAATTTCAGCTGGATCGCCAAATACGATCATTCAGACCTTCCGAAGAAGATCCTGTTCGGCGGTGTGCTCGGGTCGGCTGATACGAAAATCGATCAGAACGAATTCCCGATGACGAGCCTGGGTAAGAAAAAGTTTTACGCAGGGTCGTATGTACGCTTTAGCACCCGGCATGCTATATATGCTATTTTTTATGAACATCGATGCTACTGTAACCTTTTAAGCGGCCCAAACCCAAATGTACGGAGCAGGAAAGCGTCCATTTTCCGAGTGCCAAAATATCTGCGATGATGTTGTCGACTTGACGACCAAGGAGGAGGCTGACAAATTTTTGGGTGCTGCTAAGGTATGGAGCTTCTTACGTTATTTATCCTTATTTCTAAAAGTCTACCTAGCATACCAATATTGATAAGCTCCACCGTCTACCTATATCCTTGAAATTTTCAGAATTTCTTCGCCGAGCTGATGACGGGCAAGCTTGAAGACCGGAAATTCGTGTATCCATAGCAGCGATTAAAATTTTTGACATTTTAATAAAATAGATTTTATAGAAGAAACGCCAGGCAAGGTAATAGTAATCTTTTGAGTAAGTTTGCTAGTAAAATTAAAATATATTTCAATCGGAAAATCTGTCTAAAAAAGTAAATTATGACATTTTGGTCGAATTGAAGTCGAAAAATCGATATTTTTAATTTGGTGATTAAAAGTTGTGACGGTTTTATATACAAGAATAGTAAAAAAAACATTAAAATTACTTCTTCTATTTATATTAGAAAAATTCGATCTTAAGGAAAAAGTTGAAGTTTTTAAGTTTTAATATAATTTTTAAATTGGAATAATCAGCGCATATATATTGTTTAATTTCCCGCCTCTATAATGAGCTTTATTTACAGCTTTATTGATGGGTTAACAATATAGGTGTATTAGAAGTATGAGGGAGGGGTCACCGGGAGGATGAAGTGGACAGAGCGGGAGATCTCTAGCAAATTGACACGTCTTGATTTGATACCGGGGTGGAGGACGAGGAGGACTGAAGTTTCAATATCAATTATTTTTTTCAATTTCGTTATTTATGCCAAATTGAGGCCGACAATCTGGTTGGGGTTCATCTGGGCCACGTAGACGGTTCCGTCCTTCGAGATGGCCAATGCGTGCCCGTTTTCGATGCCCTAAAAATTTAATTTTATACTTTTATTAAATCATTTTTAATAGGTTTTAGTATTCAGATTAATCCGTAGTCTTCTATAACTATTTTTAATTTACAAAACACGGAAAATCTTTTAAAAACTGGCATTTTGGCCGAAAAACGAAATCTTTCTAATTTTTTACTAAAAATTCTTAACGTTGTTGCGTTGAAATATAGTTTTTTATTAAATATTATAAAGGATAAATTAACTATGACTAACCTTGAGATATGTTTGTGCTTTTCCGGTATCCATATCCATTGCGAACACTTGGGGCTCGAGGGAGTCTTGCTGGTCAACACCGGTCACGCCGACAAGGTAGTGGGCTGGAAGAGTATACAAATCATTAGAATTTTCGTAAAAGTCTTAATATTGGGTATATTGCTATTAAATATATCCGAGAATATGCAAAGATAATAAGCAAAAGCCTTAACAGCGTCGAATCGAGGGTAAAATCAGGTGATTTTCATGTGGAAAAACCAAAGTTTTTTACCCGAACCAAAAAGAACAGGCTAATCAAATCCAAATTAATTAAATTGCGATTAATAAGGTCAAATTATCGTATTTCGTTTCAAAACCGTGTAGGGGTAAATAAGAATCACGGCGCTTCTGAACGATACAAACGTGCGAAACCTTAAAAAAGGGACATTTTCCCGAAGCCACACCCAAAAGCGATGGCCGGCCATTTCTGGGTTAATCCTAGGACCAAAAACTACTATAAGACGTAGATTACTCCCGATTTAAACACCATAATTACCTCGCTCGCGAATGGCGAAAACTCGTCCAATATCATCAGCAGAGGTGATCGGAATTCCGGCGGGGATCGAGCGGTGTCCCTCTTTCAGGCCTGAAATAAAGGATTAATTTAGATATCTAACGATATGATATAAAAATCGATTCTTTAGATGTATATTAAGTTTATAGGCAATTCTATAGCGAAAACCCCACCAGCTGAGAAGCACTGGACGCGCTCGTTCTCACGATCAGCCACGCACAGCAGGTTTAGATCTTCGATCAGGGCGATTGAGTGGGGATGATGAAGGGGTCTAGAAAACGTAGTTTGTTTTATTTATTAAATTCTACAATTAAAAAATTAATTACTTAATAAGTAAATAATTAATTGATTTTTCGACCCACCCATCTCCGATCCAACGATATCGACGAATTGTCCCTTTGCGTTGAACTTGAGGACACGGCTGTTACAGTATCCATCAGCAACGAAGAAATATCTATAAATAAATTGATATAAATATTTATATAATAAATTTAGCACCCATTCGAAGCAACCGCAATATCGGTGGGTTTGCAGAAGTGTTTCTCATCAGTTCCGGGCACCAGCTTCTCACCCAGGGTCATTAGCACTTTGAAGTTTTTGTCCATTTTGACGACCTAAAAACGCTTTATATAATAGATGTAATTCATAAATAACTCTCAAATTTCCATAAATAAAAATAAATTCACCTGATGCGCTCCAACGTCGGTCACCCAAATGTTATCCTCGTGGTCGACGGTCAGCCCGTGGGGTAGGTAGAATTGGTTCTTTCCGTGCTCGGCGACAACCTGGAAAAAAGTATTATCGATTGTTTTAACTAAATTAAACATAATTAAAAATAGGATAGAGATAAGATCTATAAAAAAGTTATCAAATCTTTTCTTACCTGTCCATTGGCCGGGTCAATGACGGCAATCGTGGCGTTGGCAATCATACCGGTATGCGCATTGAACTTGAAATCCTTTGAGAATGACCTAAAAAATGGGTAATAGCATCGCCAAAGTTTTGTGTAATCTTTTCAATCGATACCTAACCTCTAGAAATTGGTTTTGAGCTCACTTTTTGAGTATTTTCTTCAAATAAAAATTAGCGTTCATTAGTTAGCATATTTTTCGACGCAAAACTTTCAGAACTTTCAAATGCCGAGAGATTTTCTATGGTTTTCTATTCTTTTTTTTATTTTCTATTCTTTGGCTCCTGATTTTTCTCTAAAGAGAGTATAGTGAGAACCAACTCCTCAGTCCATTCCCTCTCAGCTCGGTGGAAGGCTAGAAGATGTCCTTTGGATGTGATTCCAAGGCCAGAGATTTGTCCAAGGGGTTTCGAGGTGCCGAGGATGAAGGCGTCCTGAATGAAATATTTAGTAGGGGCGCCAGCTAGTTCTGCGTTTTAAAATTCGCCGTTTCCTATCTTTAGCTTTCTACCCAGAGTTTTTATAGAGAAGGTCAAGGCTTTGGAAAGGTCAACTACATTTTTCGGCTTCCCTACGTGTCGTGCTTGTAAAATTTCCTCATAAAACGCTCTAAAAATGACGTACAAAATTTATGCGACGTTTATCACGTCCTCTTCATTTTGTGGAGCTTCTTGTTTCAAGGAAATCTCGATGTAGCCGACTAATTTGTTCCGAAATCTCCATGGGAACATGACGCGGCTGCGCGGCTACTTTTTGCACGTATTTTTCAAATTGGGTCTCTAGGAGCATTTCCAGTAATTTAAGAAGTTTAGCTAGCGGATGGGAGCTGGGAGTTAAAAGAGCTAACAGAGCTTTAGAAGCGTTGCGTGCGCGTCACGAGTTTTCTGCACTGATTTTGACACGATGTTTTGAGAAAAGACGCACACGCTATATGGCTGCTGTCTGAAAACTTGAAGTACGGTACGCGACTCTGTACACTTATGCGCTGTGCGTTCGCTAAGATTTTCGGTAATTTTTGGTTGTTTAGACTTTAAATGGGCAGGTCAGGCAGGCTTATGGATTTTTTGGACTTGGACACGGTACGCAATGCGGACGCAAAGCTGGTCGCTTGGAAGGCTCGATACGACACGATGAAACGTAAATAGACGATTTTGCTTACGTAAAATTGTATAGCTGAAAAACGGAGAGTCAGTCCCTTTAAATTTTTCCACATTTATTGGGCTTCGAAATGACCGTAAGGCTCAAATTCTCGTGAAATTCAGACGCTTTTTCTCGTAGGGAATCACCTGCCCTTGTTATTGCCCCGCGAAAACGCCCTTTAAAGGCCTGGAGAAAGATGGGCCGGCGTCCGTCGGGGTGACGGACCGCCGCGGCGCTACCATCGACGCTTTCCCTCGCGTAAGCGCCCCCCAAAACCCCCTCTCGCGTTTGAAGAAACCAGTTTATTGGCTACCAGGGTTGAAAAGCCGCTTCGCGACTTTTCAACCCTGACCCCGTTTAACCCTATGATGTTCCTCGTTTTGCATAATTGTGCCCCAATTCCGATAGCAAAAATTAAAAAAACGCTGCCTTCGTGCATTTATATAGGCTGCTGCAACTTCCGGCGTATGCTAATTTTATCCTAACAAAGTGGGTGTCGGAATTTTTAAGAAAAACTTAATTTTAATGTCGAAAACAACAGATTTTACAAAATCCGATATGTGTGCAGTCATCTCCGGCCCATTACGCATCTAATGACGTATCAAACACCTCCTCAAACCCATCTCCCCCTCGAGATATCCTCCGGACACCCTGACGGAAGTTGCATGCAAAGTGGCACACACACACACACACACAAACACTATTTTTTTATATATAGTAGGATAACTTTTTCATTTAGCAATGTTTTCAACTAAAAATTTCATGAAACCAAGGAGTTAGTGATACCCACCGATGGTAAAAATTTGAGCCTGATTGGATAAAAGGCGGTCAAGTTCTGAGCCATACGGGTTTTTGGGACACTGTTTTGGCTGAAAAAGAGGCGCATAGACAGCAAAACACCTCTAGAAAGTTGCAAAGTACGTTGTTATCCTTTAGCAAGGTTTTCTACAACATTTTTTAGCTATTATCACCATGAAATTGCTTTATTTCTAATGGCAGTTCTTGTACAGGTGGCAATTCGCCCTAGGGTATGTGGGGGCCCTCCGCCGCCTCTCTCCACTCGACTCTCTGGTGTACTGGCTAGCGCATCGGACTGCGGGGCGGACCATCCCTGGTTCGACCCCCGTCCGGTGCGACCCTCTTTGCTCTTTCATCGATTCCACCTTTCTCCAGCCCTTTAATACGCGAATTTCCGAAATCCCACCGCTGTCTGCTGGGGAGTGCCGCGTTGCCTGACAAACATCTTCTAATTACGCCTGTTCTCAACGTTTCCATGGATCCCCCCCCACCCGCATTTTGTCTTGCCCTCCAGGGGCCCAGCCAATGAATTCCCCCGGCGGCGGCGACATGGCCTGATTAATTCTGTTTGCCCCGGGCGGGCAGACACACGTTTTTGCGGGGCAGATACCGTAATCCCGAATTTGCTGGGGGTACGGTAGTGATTTCCGTTTTATCCGTGTGATCCAGTCAAGAGGTGTCGAACGGAAGTAGCTCAATATCCGGGAAAATCTGCTCGCGATCGTCAAAACAGGATTATCTCGATTTTGTGCATACAAAAAGAGACAAGAAAGGTAAAAATATAAAAAACTATCTAATACGGGTTCTGATTCATTAGCGGGGGGGGGGTTGTATAATACGGTTCTATTTCTTTAGCGGAGGGGGATCATTTTCTCGTGGGGCGGAATCAAGGAAATCAACCCCCGCTAACGCACTAGTAACGAGAATGAACCGGTAAAGGTCTATGAAAACAAAATATCGATCCAATACCGTATTATAAATCAAAAAGCAAAAAGTTCCACACCGAGTGGATTCGAACCCCGACCCTGTGGGCGGCAGGCCGGCTCCTTACCAATACACCACCATTGAGAAGCGCCGGAATTTTATAATCCGACTCCCTTTTCGAATTGTCTATTTTTAGACCGACCTCCTGCGGCTGCTCGGGCTCTTCTTCGGGCTGTTGCTCAACAGGAGCCTCTGGGATCTCACCGGCGGGGAGGGCGAAGATGTCCTAAAAATGCGGGGGTGAAATTCGATATTGTTGACTGACTTGTTGGCCAAAGAGTTCGCGGAGCTGGGCTTCATCCAGGTCGAGGGGGGCATCTTCCGGTGGCGGGATCGCGGCCGCTAGAAAATAAAACATAAAACATCGTAAAAAAGGATTGAGTTTCTAAGTTAGCTAAAAAAACCTTTAAAGTTAATACATTTTACAGCTGTTTTATTACATTATTAGGATAATTTTAAACATTTAAAAATCACAAAAAAAATTGTTTAAGCACGAAAAGCTAGTCATTTGCTTTCATGAAGGTATATTTAGGTTTGTTAATTTTTATTACGTTTTTTTACATTTCCAGGCTGAAAAAACGATACATTTTTTTAGATACCTCTAAGTTAACATAACTCAATTTTTGTTTATCAATAAAAAAAAAGTTTTACCTTATACGCCCAAAAAAATCGAAAAATCTGTAAAATAAATTTTTTTAGACACCTTTAGGCGGCCATAGATCGCTTTTTCTTAATTATAGCAATTATTAGCTACAAACTGAACTTTTTCGCATCAGATCGTAAGTTTTAAGTCATTTTCTATACCTCTAAGAGTCGAAAAACGCGCGTTTTTTCCAGTTTTTGTTTCGTTAAAATTTATATTTTTTTAAAAGTAGTTTTCGATACTTTTAAGGTTCGGCTTTAAATTCCGCTATAAAATTACCTGCAGCCAGCGCGATTACGGTAGCAATAGCAAGAAATAGTCGAGGAACGCCGGCCATTTCCCTGGGAGATATTCCACGAGGGGGCCGTGTGCAAGAATGACCAGCCAGAGAGAGGGGCCCAGGGCCCTCTAGGGGCCACACGCAGCCAATCAATACCCAGTACACGCCCTCTTCAATCCCCTCCCTCCCCCCTTTTCGACGTCAACGTCATCTGGAGTCGCGTAGGAGAGGGGAGAAGGCCCAAATGAGGGCCCAGCCATGGGGGGAGGGCGGACAAATATCTCGGGTCGAGACTGGGGGATTTTATTGGAAAAAAACTGGATCAAAAAGGGCTTTTAGGAGAAAAATTTTAAGCTACGAAGTACAACTACAGTCAACTACAACTACTACCTACACTCAAAAAAAAAATCTCGAAGATGTATTAAGCGAAAAGGTTAGCTTAAAAATAAATTTTTGTTTGCAACTTTAACTAAAACTACAATTTTTTAGAGTTTTTAAGAGCATTCAGCGACGAACCAAAAATTCAAGGCTTAATAAATAGACTATATTGACGGTATAAGCTGATAATGCCGATTCACAGAATGCCGATTTACAGAATGCCGATTTTACAAAATGCCGATTTACAGAATGCCGATTTTACAAAATGCCGATTTACAGAATGCCGATTTTACAAAATGCCGATTTACAGAATGCCGATTTTACAAAATGCCGATTTACAAAATGCCGATTTACAAAATGCCGATTTACAGAATGCCGATTTACAAAATGCCGATTTACAGAATGCCGATTTACAGAATGCCGATTTACAGAATGCCGATTTTGCATATTTTGGGTTTTACATCAAAAATACGAACCGGATCCCCCATAAAAAAATTACCTGACTTGGCCATAGCGAAACCGCCAGACCTGAGGCTTCGCTTTTTTTTTTCTTTTTTCTCTCTTTCCACGTAGGGATCAGGGGGATTACCGGGAACTCGCAAGCCTCGCGACAAGTTTCAACCGTTTTCTCTAGTCGCCGACACTTCTAACGAGCTGATCCATCGCGACAAAGCTCGACGATTCATTATTATTTCTTGGTTGGGAATGCCCGGCCTCCCGTCGAGAGGAAGGCAAAACTGTTCGATAGAAAAAGTTAGCTTAGTAACCCAATGGAGGCCCCTACGCAACGTGGAACTAGGGTATCTATGAAAAAAAGAAAGCTAAGCTTCAGGTCTGGCGGTTTCGCCAAGCCCAAGTCGGATAATGTTTTTATGGGGATCCGGATTGCAGTTTTGATGTAAAACCCAAAATATGTCAAATCGGCATTTTGTAAATCGGCATTCTGTAAATCGGCATTCTGTAAATCGGCATTTTGTAAATCGGCATTCTGTAAATCGGCATTTTGTAAATCGGCATTCTGTAAATCGGCATTTTGTAAAATCGGCATTCTGTAAATCGGCATTCTGTAAATCGGCATTCTGTGAATCGGCATTATGTAGGTAAATCTATATTGACGTCTTAAGCAAAAAGTAACTGTTTGCCCCCAGCCGGGATCGAACCCGGGTCGTGTGGACGGCGGCCTGGAGCACTACCAATACACTACCGCGTAAAATTGCCGTTTTGCGGCAAAATATCACGGAATAAGAGCGTGTTTTTAGGGGGTGTAATATTTTTCATCTGACTTTGTTCAGAGCCATGCTGAAAAATGTCGACGATGCCTCGAAATTGCCGTTTTGCGCCAGAATTTGACTCCTGATTCAGGTATTTGTAGGTATCTTTAAGGCGATGCAGGCTACAAGCTACAATTCCATGCGCCGTAAATCGACTTTTGAAAAACCAGGCAAAAAGCAAAAAGACTGACGAGGACGGGAGTCGAACCCGGGCCATGCGGGCGATGCACTAGCCCACTACCAATGCGCTAAGGGTTAGGAACCCACTTTTTCCCATATTTTAAACTCCCTTACTGATAGTGAGGGAATTTTATATAGATAGTGACAGCCCATCTTAGTGTACCTTTTGATCTTTATCCCATCCACTCATTTTGCCGTGATTTCCGTTCGACAAATTGGGCGAGTTGTGTGTGTAGAGCGTGAAGAGAGGGGTGTAAAGAGGAAAGAACGGAATGAGAAGAAGCAGCCCCTCTCTACCTCTCGCTCTCCTGCCCGCCATTTCAGCTGCCAAAATTGAGCATCAGCCTGTCACAATGGGGCATTTCTTCCTCCTCTCCACCTGTCGAGAGATCGACCTTCTACTCCCCGGAAATTAATCAATATTCTTATCATATGCAGTTCTGGAATGGTTTTCGAATAATATGTTTTCAAATCACCGAATTCTTTACTTTTTAAGGTGCGCAATTTACTAGGTTTTCTCTAGCTTAATATGGAATTTTCTATGCTAATTTTTATTCGATCTTGCTTGGAAAGAACATTGGGAATTTCGCAAGCTAGCAGGGGTTCTGGAGGAACTGCTCGGAAACGGGCAAGCTAGCAGAGATTCATTAGGAAAATGAGGAAGCTTACAACGATTATTGCGGAAGGGCTTTAATAATGCAGGATTTTTTAGGAAATAGAAAGGACTAGCAGAGATTCTTGAGGAAACGTAATTGAGACCGCTCTTATCCTCTGAAATTGTGTTCCGCTTCCTCTGTCTGTCTGTCTCTTTCTATCTCTCTCTCTGTATCGATCTCTATCGCTCTCTCTCACTTTCGCTATCACTATCTGCCTCTCTCTCTTCTCTCTCTCTCTCTCTCTCTCTCTCTCTCTCTCTCTCTCTTTGTCTCTCTTGCTCATTTCTCTCTCTCCTTGTTTCACTCTGGCTCTCTCTCTGTCTTTCTTCAAATCCTAAATTCAGTTTTTCAGTTCTATCCAGATGAAAGAAATAAGTGAATGGTGCATTCGTCACTACCTGATTGGATGCCAAATATTCTGGATAGTGACCGCCTGTTCTGTCTATTTTATGCTTGCCGATATCAAGGGAGAGATTGATAGCTATCAGAAAGCGGTAGGTTTCCTTCATTTTTCACGAATTTTTCATATTCATTTTTTAGGTTTCTTACGAGTTGGAGAGGTTTGGGTCTTATGAAAAGGATTTAAAACAGCTTGTCGACAAAAATGAGACAGGTAAATTTTTGGATGTTTGGAGTTTTTAAAGGGGGCGTGACAATTGTGAGTAGAAAGCGGGCTAGCAGAGATCTTTGAGAAATGGAGAAGGAGGGCAGGCTAGCAGAGGGCATTTGGAAAATGGAGATGCGGTAGGCCAGCAGAGGATATTTGGGAAAATGGGGGAGAGGTGGCAGGCTAGCAGGGATCTTTGAGGGACTCGGTTATGTCTTTGAAAAATCTCTCTACCTCACTATTTCTCTCTCTCTCTGGTTACTCTCGCACTCTCTTTCTCTCTCTCTCTCTCTCTCTCTCGTTACCCTCTCACTCTCTCTCGTTACTCTCCCAGTCTCTCTTTCTCGCTCTATCACCCTTACCCTTCTCACTTTCTCTCTTTTGCTCTCTCTTTTGTTGTTGTCTCTCGCTCTCTCTCCCTCTCTCTCTCTCTCTCTCTCTATCTCACACTCGCTATAGAAATTTTTTATAGTATCCTTAGACGATCGCGCCAAATTTGATGCCCTCGTCCGGATACGACAAAAGCTTCCAATGGTCAGCCATGTTTCAGTTTTCCAAAAATTCCACGACTTTCCAGATGACTCCAGACCACACCTATCAACGCTACCGTTTTGGCTGGCCGTTGATCGGCTGAAATTTGCATAATAAATGATAATATTAAATAATATAAAATCTTTATTTACCAGGGGGGTAATCACAGTATTATTGACGTGAAAAGTGAGAGAAAATAAAAACAACCATCTATCTCTAAGATTGTTGAAATGCCCGTAGTGTCGAAAAAATTAAACATTTTAAAAACAATCTTTTAAATTTGTAAAGGCAAAGCCGCTGAACCAGAAAATAGTACCATATTGGGGGAGGGATCACAGAAAAAAGTAGCAAAATAAAAACTTGCAAAAAATAATAATACTGATTTTTCGAAAATTATGGGATTTTGGAGGGCCTGTAAATAGAAGCTGCTTGGAATAGAAAACCCGTGGGGAAGAAATAAACATTTTGGGGGGATAGAAACAGTCACTGCCCAATTCGACAAAAAGGAAAAAATTTCGCCGAGCCCTGGGGTCGAACCCGGGTCGTGTGGGTGGGAGGCGAGAGCTTTGCCAATCGGCTAAAGGTTAAAAATTTAAAAATTAGGCTTTAATGTGGGAAGTGACCGTTTCCTTCATGAAATTTTGTGGCCATTTTACCACTTGTGCATGTCGACTACGGTATCCTCGTCGTCGTCGTCCTGTTCGTAGAGGGGAATTCGCTCAAAGCCATCTCGTCCCCTACAAATTTGAATTAGGATTTTTAACTTCTCAAATGCTCTCTGTTAGCTTGCCTTACTTGTTTCCCAAATGCTCCCGGCTAGTTGCCCTTAAAATCCTCAATAATCTCTGCTAGCCTGCCTTCACTTTCCTGAATAAACTTTGCTAGCTTGTCCTAAAATTTCCCAATAAACTCTGCTAGCATACCCTCAATTTCCACAATAATCTCTGCTAGCTTGCCCTGAAATTCCTCAAAATCACTGCTAGCCTGCCCTCTCTCCAGTTCCCCAAGAATCTCTGCAATCCCTCACCTTCCACCTGGGAACAATCCCTTCCGGTTGAAGAACCCGACGAATCGGCCGCGTACGATGAAGCACTGCAAATTATGAAAATTGACAAAAAAATTAGTGCCGCAAAAATCAATCGATAATCCAGTGCCCAGCACCCCAAAAAACCACTCAAAAATTTTACAGACAAAAAAAATTGAATTCCGTTAGTGAACGCCCTACACCAGGCCGGAAAACCGGAAAATATAAATCGAGATAAGCAAGTTTCACCTCCAGAATTTCGGGCGGAAATGGATTACGGCAAGGAATCCCTGAATTGACCCGAAAAAGTTTTATTCATACGAAAATACGGTAATATTCAGCGGTAAGGTCAGTAGTAGTCTATCGTACTCAAGAATTAGATGGCGTAATCAATTATCCATACCCAGACCCCATGTTTTAATGGTGAAAAAGACGTAATTTAATCGAAAACATCTATTAGTAGACGTAGTAATCTAAAGTACTATCGAATTAAGTGGCGTAACCGATTAGCTCTATTAATATAATACATAATTGGTATAAAGTAATAAGCTAGATAGTCAAAAATATCTATTAGGAGACGCTAATAAACTATCGCAATTAGTAATCTACCGTACTATAAACTTAAATGGCGTAATCGATTAACCCTAACATTTCTCTGCGTTTTTCTTTGCTTTTCTTAGAGAATTAGTATACGTTCTAAGCTAATCTTTAGTTTACACTATCGTATTAAACGTACCTAACCCCAATGCTAGCTATTTTTTAAAGGTGCAGGTAACTCACGCAAATCAACAGCAGCACCAAGGCGAACATCGCAATCAACGCCAAATTCATCCCGCCACGAGCGCCGATTTCTCGGATATGGAATGGGATAGCGTCAGAGATCTGAATCGATATCTATATTTTTCGGTGCATTAATGAGAGGGCAAAAAATAGGGTGGAATTTCCTAAAGGTCCTCTGCTAGGCTGCCGTATTTTTTTGGTAACTTTCATAATATGCAAAACACGGAAAAGCCGCAACAACTTTTTTTAGCATTCGGCCGGAAAATGCCGTCATTTGGAAAAGGCGTGGCAGCGTATAAAAGGCTTATGGATGGGGGAGGCTCGTAAGCCAATAAGTTGATAACGGAGCCTCATTCTCAGGCCTCAAATGGACACTAAAAGGCAGAGGTGTGGACACCGCTTATAGGTGTCGAATGTACTACAGGGGGGGATTTAAAGGGATTTGGAAGACCCAGTAAATTAGGAAAAAATAGCTACGCTCCTTTTTTGCATTGCGTAATTGGTTGGCTTTTGCCAGTGTTAGGCCGCTAGGCGAGGCATGCCTCTTTGACAACTTAAAGTATCGCACATACCTCCGCGGAGACGTCTGTCCAGAATTCGCCATCCTTCTTCAGCCTGAACACGTAGCGTCCGTTGGCGAGAGGGATGAAGATTGAGCCTGAACAAATGAAGGTCTTTTTGGCCTCTCTAGCAGATCTTAAAGGGTCAGACAAGCTATGTATGGATTGGCATGTTCAAAATTTCCGCGCCTAGGAAAGCTAAAACGCACCTTTGACCAGCTCACGCTCCTTCCCAACCGAGTCAATGATTGAGCCACGCCTCGCATCCGTATGCACCAACATTCCCCTCGTTCTCGCCAGTAGCGATCCGACAATTGCCGGCTCGTTCTCCGCCCACAGTTTGCTCTCACCACCATTCTCGTAGCAGCAGCTAAAAAGTAAAAATTTCGCTTTAAAGGGCCTCGAAAGGCTTCGAAAGTTTGTAAGTTATACGAATGCATACCCAGTTTGGACAAGCATCGTATCCGTCTTCCTCCACTCGACACTATCATCCCAGCTGAACTGCTTGATCGTGTCACGTTCGCTTGGAATTCCTGAATTTTCAGTTATCGTAATCAGGCAAACGTACCACTACAAATGTCCGTTTTTTCGCCCATATGGTTGTGAAGGGATTTGTACTTCTCAGCGATCGTGCCAGCGATTGATGATGTTTGATTGATATAGCGTACCTAAAAGTAGTAAAATAAAAATCTTTGCAAAAGAATTCGTCAAAGACTCTCTGCTAGCCGGCCTCAAACTCCCGTACCTTCATTCCTCCAGTTCCAAACATCATGACGAGATCAATCTCAGGAAGGAGTCCAACGACAGTAGCCAGTAGCTGTTCAAAAGGCACTAAAGTACCGTAGTCGTGGCAGCTCAGCTGGGTGTGAGGGATTTCTGGCATGAAGAGGAGGGTCGAGCTGTAAGTTTCGGGGTAGTTTAACTTTTTAAAGGGACTTGCAAGGACGGGAAATTTCGGATCTTGCCTCGAAAGTGCCTTTAGAAAGCTAATTTGAGCTTTTCAAGGTAATGGGAAGGCTAGACCGACGAAGGCATCTGGAGCCTTTCTATACATTTAAAGGAACTTTGAAGGCTAACAAACTTTTTATTGCTTACCGAACACATTTTACCCCGCCAATTCTATGCATTCTTACTTCCACGGTCATTTAAAAACGAGAAAACAGAAACTTTCCTACCGTTTCAAGATATTTTGTACATCGGCCGCCCCGGAATCGCAGAACGACGACGCCATCTCGTAGACTAGAGCCTCCGTTTTCTAGAAATCCAAAATATTCGGCTCTCTTTCTTTCTCTCTCACTCCCGCTCCCTCTCTCTCTCTCTTTCTATCTCTCTCTTTCTCTCTCATCTATCGCACCTTTTCGATGGCCATAACTAGGGTATATGGTGGGAGGCCAGTGCCCATTTGTGTCATTCGAAGGTTCGGCAAATCGACCCTCTTCGAGCATCCCCTCTCATCTTCTAGTACTGGGATTGCGGCAGAAGTCGCTTGCATCTGAAATTTTCCAGATAAGACCCAAAGGGATCGGAACAGATAGAGAAGGCGATAAAACGTTCCTCAATACCCCCTGCTAGCTTGTCTTGGCATGCCTCCTAGGCCTAAAAGGGTCTGGAAGCCCAAAAACCGACCGCTTCATTAGGCGAAAAGTGGTCGGCCGGGCTGACGGATGGGCGGATGCTGAATTCGGAGACGGCATCGCGGGTCAGAATCTTTTCCAGCATCTGAAGAGCAGGTTAGGAGTTACGGTAGTGGGTCCAGATATTACCTTTGCAATGCCAGCTACGGCTGCTCCCTGTTTTTGGACTGCATCAGCGTCACAGCCGAGGCCAACGCCAACCTGGAGAAATTGCTTTTAGTTAAGTTGCCATAAAAGACACAGAGCAAGAGAGAGCAAGAGAGAGAGAGAGAGAGAGGGGGGAGAGAGCGAGATATAGAGAGAGAGCTACCGTACCTGAAAGGCGGAGGGAACTTGGAGATCATCGAGCAGTTTGGCCACCTCGCTGGATAATAACGGGTGGTTAGATCTGGAAAAATTCCCAAATAACCTCTGCTAGCGCTATTTCATACTACACGTTTTTAAAGGGGGTTTTAAAGGAGTTTAAAACAGACTCTGCACATTTCACTCCTCCTCCCAGCCACTTATTCAGCGACCGCTCCAGGGCTTCTTTGTGGAAGATTTTCGGAACCTGAAAAAATTTAGTTTTCTAAATGTTGCCATCTCTTTAGAAGGCGTTTTCGAATCCGTACCTTTTCCCCAGCGCTATAAACTACACTTTCCAGCGTCCCGTCGGCTACGGCCAATACAGCTGCCGGGTACTCGTCGTGGATTATCTGAAAACAACGGAAAATCTATCAAAAATCGGAACTTCGAATTTATAAAGGCGGTTTTGATTTTATTTTCACAAAAATATCAATTTCCACCTTCTGGTCAAAAACCAGAAGCTTTGCACCAGTAAGTTACGAACCCTGGCCTGACGGGCAACAGGCTAGCGCCTTACCAATACACCAAACCTACAGCGGGCGTGTCTTGGCTTAGAAAGTCGACATTTGGGTTCTAAAGGAACAATGAAGCACCCACCCTGGCTTTATTCTGTAGATTTAGCCCATCCGGGACGATGATAAGGGACAAATCATCTGCCAGATACGTCTCATCAGTGCACGAATCGGCTGCCATTTGACGCAGGATCTGTAGTTTTTCGTTAGGGGACGATTTTAAAGGGATCCTGGCCGGAAGTTATAGACTACAGACTACAAAACGCTACCTTTGACGCCTTCTCGTTAACTCCAACGATCGCGATTCTGACGGAACCACGCCCTCGCCGGATGATCGGTTTCGAGTCTAGAAAATTGAGGGTTGAGACCCGTCCCTTTAAAATATGCCCCAACTACCGTAACTCACCACAGGAACAACACAGAAATAAAGTGTCTTTTTGAGAAAGCGCTCAAGTTACCGTACCCTCATTTTTCCCACAGGCAGCCAGTGTGATATTCTTGATAAGTAGCGTGCCATTAATCACCAGCCTCATCTGTTCCGTTTCGAGGCCATACGCGGAAAATGTCAGCTGGAAAGTGGTGGAATTGGGTATACCGTATCAAATGCTCGTACCTCATGGTCCCCAGGGGCCAAAATTCTCCAGTATTCGCCGTCACTCGTCGTCTTCATCTCCTTGCCATTTTCCACGGATACGGTAGCGTTGGCCACCGGCTTACCGTACTCATCCTGTAAAAAGAGAATTTTCATTTATAGAGGAACCCGAGATTTAGAGGTTTAAAGGGGTTGGCAAGGCAGGCTACGGATTCCTAATAGATTCTTCTGCGCCGCGACACGCAACGCGCCGTTTGCCGTTACATATGGTAATTGCTATATGCTTTTTCTAATGTGGTCGGTCGGTCGCGTCGCGTGTCGCGGGAGCGTCAAAATCCATAGGGAATTACGAAAAAATAATATCATAATCTATAAGCCTGCCTTCCCCGTCCCTTTAAAAGTATCGTTTCCTTACCTTAACAATCCCCTTGACACCAATATGAGCCATCTCCAAGAATGACAGCAGCGCGTACTCATGATCCGACCACAGTCTAAAAACACTTCATAAAATCGGCAAAACTCAGGGCGAGCTAGCAGAAACCCTTGAGGAAACGCACTTTGGGAGCATATCGTTGGAAGGGAACTTGAAGCACCCCATCTCGATCGTAATCTCCAACGAATTCGTGTGCATATATTGCCAATCTTGCATCCCGCCCGCAAGGTGGTACCTGGAAAAATGGGCGTGGCTCGCTTTTAAAGGGGTGGTGACAGGTGGAATCTAAAGAACCATCTGATCACTTAGATTTAAAATAGACCATTTACCCACCATCCGGCCCCATTTGTAATTCCATTCAAAAATGTGTCCCCATCCACTTGAAGCCCACATCTCCTTCCGGTTTTCCACATGTTCGGATGGGCCCTCGCGTATCTGTAGGCCAGACCGACGAACAGGACGTCATCCTGAAAAAAACGGCCATTAACGGATTGAAAAACCAAAAAGCAAAAGTTTGTCGCGGCCCGGATTCGAACCCTTGACGCTTTTCTCGGCAGCCAAAGTTATGAACCACTCGGCCATAGGCGCAAAATCGTTTTATCGGCATAACTTTCTTAGTTTGCAATGTTTTGGGCTGTAACTTGGTGAGCAGGTAGATTTTAGCTTTTCCCATCTACGCTATAAATTTGAACCCGATCCAGTCAAGGGTTAAGCTAGGAAAACGAAATTTAAGCTGCTCAGCTTATACTGATAAAACGAACCTTGGTGGGTGTATACTCGCCATCCCTGCCCGTCACCGAGTCGTCCCACGGGTAGTTGGCCACCAGTGAACCGCCGTGAAGATTCGTCGATAGTACAAACGGGTACTGTTGAAGCCACTTCATCACGGCCACGGTTTCTGGCTCCGGCTCTTTACCACCGGACATTTCCTGAAAGAAACGTCTGATTAAGGTCAATTTCAACTTTTTAATCAAAAAGCAAAAAGCTTGGCACCGGCGGGATTCGAACCCTGGTCGTTTGCTTAGAAAGCGAGAGTTTAACCAATACACCAAAATCAGTAAAGGCTTACGATATGTTCGGGGTATTGTGCCGGAAAGTTTCTGTTCAAGTCGATGCCGTGCGCGTTTTCTCGGCCCTAAAATGGAGTCTTTAACTTTATATCGTCTACCTACCGTATACCCCATTCTATCCCCGGCAATGCCCTTTTCGTGGCCATCCGGATTCATCGACAGCATTAGGTGTAGTCTGGAAACGGTAGATAGAGAGAGAGGAAGAGAGAGAGGGAGAGAGGGAGGGAGAGAGAGAGAGAGAGAGAGACAGACAGAGCGAGAGAGCGAGAGTGAGAGAGGGGCAGTACCCTACGTTACACACCAAATGACACCCACCTCGTGTCGTTGACGTATCTCGTGATCCACTCATTTTTCCCGTAATTTCTTGTGAATATGTCGATCAGATAGATGCACGCCTCTCGGCCGACTACCTAGAATTTTAATTCCTAAAATCCCGCTGCTAGCCTACCCACCTCATTGCCATGCATATTGGCAACTATCTTGACCTCCGGCTCGAGCAGCTCGTGCTCGCGTGGCTTGTCGGAGACGATCAATACCCACCTGAAAGTTATAGTTTAGCTTTGAGCCCTATTTTTTATGCTATCTCCGCTTCAAGCACGTTATTTCGCTCGTTAACTAGGTTGGTGTATTGGTAAAGCTCTAGCCTGCCAGGCCCAAGGTCCGGGTTCGACCCCGGCGCGACAAATTTTACTTTTTGCCCTTGCAAACTCCGGAAAGGGCCAACTTACAGATCTCTTCCCTCTACACTCTTCCCGGCAGAGTACAGATACGTAATATCGGGGTAGTTGAGGGCCGTCTTCTTCAAGAAGGCCGTCATCTCGGTGTAATCGTGGTTTACGAGCAGTTCGGATGGCACCTCATCGAAGGGGCCGACCCTGAAACAGCGCTATTTCACTCCTTTTTGGTGGCGTAATCGAACCACGAGTTTAATATCGTAATCGATTGAATCATTAGCTGAATTTAATCGCGTAACGTAATCGGTTGGCGCGTATTCGATGCTGTAACCGGTTCTTTGAATTACATAGCGCAATCCATTCTCTCAATTTAATTTCGTAGTCGGCTCAATTTCTTGAGAATTTAATGTCGTAAACGGTCCCTGAATTTTATAGCATAATCCAACGCAAAAAGTTTAAAACTAAAAATCCAATCGAATTCGACCATCCTGAAAGGCATGCTAGCAGCGATTCTCAGGGAATCACTATAGCTCAAGATACCCCACCGATTCTTCATCGTATCCTGACTGGGGAACATCTCCCGATCGTCGATGAATGTGCCGAAATACTGGTGCAACGCATCCTAAATGTTGTCCAATCTACTGTATCCCCTTGACCCTCACCTGTTCTCCCAACTTTTTCAACTCGTCCGTCGCGACAATGTCTGAATTCCAGTCAAGTGCTGTGGCTACGGTAGTCCAGAATAGAAAGAGGGCCCCACCCCTCGACCATTGGCCCATCGCTTGAGGGGGACGGCTGAAAAATATAAGGTTTTGGGGAGGCTAGCAAAGAAGATTTAGGAAATTAGGAAATTAGAAGATTTTGGACAAATTAGCGGAGATTATTACGGATTTTCAATAAGTTCAAACAATTTCAATAAGGAAAATAACATCGAAGGAGCAGAGGTTACTTGAAGGGCAAACCAGCAGAGAGTCTTTAGGAATAAGGATTGATCTAAAACTAATCGAGATGCTTTCGGAAAATTGATTTGTAGGAGCAGAACTTCTGGCTTCGATGCCCCTTTAAAGGGCTAGCTAGCAGAGTTTATTGCGAAAAAATTCAATGGTCTAAAATTAATTAGAAAAAATTTAAGAAACATTTATAAAGAAATTAATTAAAAAACGACAATTTATCCGAATCAATTTTTTAAAAGGCAACCTAGCAGAGATTATTGAGGAAAACCCCGGAATTCCATAAACTCCAAAAACTCGCTCACAATCCGCCACATTAAAAGCGTCATAATGGCCCGTAGGAGAGGGCTGTTATCGCAAGGCACAAATAGGCGGAAATGGGGCTTTTGCCAGGGCTTTTCCCCCGCCTTTCCCCACCCAAAATCTAAGCTTTTCATCGCATATATATCACATTTTATTCCCGCCACAAGATACGATCGATGTCACCTGGATTTTGATGGAAAAAGTACGGACTTAAACTAGAAAACAGCCTCGCTAGGATTAGCACGGTCGGCAGAGCGGTTAACTGCAAAACTGGGGGTCAGGGTTCGATTCCTGGGCGCTGGGCAAATTTTTGCTTTTTGCGAAAACATAATGTTTTGAGGTAGCTCTAATATAAATTGGGCCTATTCTAATAAATTTGGCAGGGAAAGCCGTGATTTTGGGCGCCAACGGGCCCCCTGGAGTGGTGCAATCCGGTGTGTAAATAGAAAATTACGGAAATGACAGGGTTGGGGGTGGAGTGGGGCCGGATTAAAGGGAAAAATCATTGATTTAAATGCGCATAAAATGTATTTAATAGATATCTAATAGTATTTATAAAAATATGGATTACTCCAGCAAAGAAAATTCTAAAGAAAAATAGCTCTTTACGCCTTTAGAAATTCGTAAAATAAAAAACAAAATTGAGCCGAAGAGAAAGAACAATCTATACCCCCCCCCCCAAAAACACCCCCCCCCCCCCCACCCCTTCCCCCCCCCCCCCCCCCCCCCCCCCCCCCCCCCGCGGCCCCCCCCTTAAACCCTTTTCTTTTAAAAACCCTTTCCTTTTTTTTTTTTTAAATAAAAAAAATTTTTAAACCCCCCCTTAATTTAAATTTTAAATTTTTTTTTTTTTTTTTTTATTTTTATAACCTTTTTTAAAAAACTTTAATACATTTTTTATTTATTTTTTTAATTTTTTTTTCCCCTTTAAAATCTCTTTTTTTAAAAAAAAAAAAAAATTAATTTTTTTTTGATTCTATACCTTAACAAAGTTAGTAAAAACTCGGCAAAAACAAGAAAAAGAAGCGAGAAGCGGATGTGGATGAGAAACGACGGGAGAGGGCGGGGGAAACGGGAATTCTTTTTACCCGTCTCCACCCCCAGCCTTTCACCCCCTCTAAAATCTGGACAGCTTTCTCGGGTTCTCTCACTCTCTCTCTCTCTCTCTCTCTCTCTCTCCTCTCTCTCGCCCGAATCCCGAGATGACATCCGCCCAAATCCCCGCAGGCCATCCCGACCAACACAGCAGCCCGCAAAGATCGGATCTTGCCAAATTCTTCAAGCTTTTTTCGGGGTTTATCCGACCGATTTATATAATGGACTTAATATCTCAATATAATTATACTTACGGAAACAATAATACGGATACGGTAGGAAACAAATTTTAAGGTTTCAAACCCATCTAATAACTTTTTCGGCCCTTATCTAACCAACTACGCTATGTTATTCAAGAATTTAAGTATCAAAAAAGAAACGTTTGTTTGTGAATATTGCATTCCCTCCAAAAAAAATACGGTAAAATCTTTCCAATTACAGTAAAATAAATTTTGAGTTACTACAAGGTTCCTCAAATTTTTTCCGAATCAATTACGATATGTTTTTCATGAATTTAGGTATAAAAAGAATACGCCTTTTATTTAAATACCGTATTTTTTGAATGTAAAATACGGTAAGTTTCACAAAATTACTGTAAAACCGAAATTTTCGGCTCTGTAGAATGGATTTAATAAAACGATCTCTTAAACCATTTGCCCATATCAAAATGAGGTTCAGAAATTGGACCGGTAAAAGGTGGATGAGGGTGTGGAGGTGGAACATTATTGTTGGACAGTCGTCTCTTGTGCAGCCTGGATAGGTGAGGGCGAGAGAGTGGGCAGAGAGTGGAGGGCAGAGACAGAGCGAGAGAGACACACAGAAATGGTATCGATCCGGAGAGATCCGTTTGGAGAACAAATATCTCCAAATCTAATCGCCGAACGGCAGCCGCATATCGCGAAATAGCGAGGAGGGTGATTGCCGGTGATTACGTAATCGTCTTTGGTCTGGGGGTGAAAAAATCCTAAAAAATCTCGGCTAGCTTGCCCGAAATGGGAGAGCAAATTTTGGAAGGCATCATCCCTTTAAAACATGAAATTCTGAAGATTATCACGATTATAAAGCTCCATAAGACCTGCAAATTACCTTTCCCATGCTTTTAAAAAAGCATGGGAATCCATATCGTTTGAAGAAATCATAAAATCGCTGCTAATTCGTCCCAAAAACGCATTGTGAGCTTAGAATAAACGGCCACCTTCAAAATCATTGAAATTTATAAGTCCACCAAAAAGCAAAAAGTTTCACGTGGGCGGGATTCGAACTCGGATCGTGAAGTTGGGAGGCGAGAAGGTTACCAGTCGGCTATCCGCGTTCAAGTAACAAAAAAATCCAGATTTCCCAAATTCTTTCAAAAATATGGGCAAACAAACAGAGATCTTTCAAAAGCCCGTCGATTTTAGGCCAGTAACGCCGTCAAAAAAAACCCGAAAATTCACTAAATCCATAAAATACTAGGCAAACAAGCAGAAACTTTTTAGGATGCGCTAAAAATTGCATCAAACCGGCCCATGGCAAACTAGCCGAGTTTCTTTGAAATTCGTCGACTAACACCAAATACAAACAGTCTTTATTCAAATCAGCCGGAAAAAGGGGGGGTAGGGGGATGCATAAGTAGTTTTAGGTAGGGCCGGAGGAGGAGGAGAGCAGTATTATGGTAACAGGGCGGGGAGAGCAGTGGCATTTATGGTTCTCGTTCAACAGCACAAACAACGGGGCATCACACAACTATCAGCAGATGATCAGAGGCGGACACCCTGAAGGAGGAGCGTAAGCACAGCAATATTAAGGGATTGAGAGGAGGAGAAGCACGTTCAATGGTGGGCTTTTCACATCGTGGGCAGCGTGTCGTCGTTGTTGTTCGGGGCGCGGTAGGTGCCGTTGATGATGGCCAGCTGAAAAAACGTTCTTGGGGGGCAAAATTGTCTCCTTAGGATCACTTTTTTAAATCTAAATAGCGGGAGTGTTTCGAAACTATTTTTTGGCTATTCCAAGCGGAAGAACTTTACAAAATTTTATTAACCATATACAAAAAAATAGACTTTTCGACCAAAAATGGGTTTTTTAACCAAAATTTCGCGTTTTTGAATTTGACGATTTACGTTTTTAGGTAGTTATTCCACTAGAAATATAGTTTAGTAAAAACATTATTAAAATATTTCCTAGTCATTTTTAGACTTATACAAAAAAATTTAATCTTAATTTTATTTCACGTTTTATGATTTTTGTAATCGGAAGCTATTAAAAACACTATGAAAATGGTATGTTTTATTAAAATAAAGGCTAGGCAGAATAAAGGAATTATTACAATAAATAATAAATAACCCAATAACCCACCTGAACCAACTGCTGCTTCTTCTGCCCGTCGTCAGCGTTGGTGATGATGCCGAGAATTGCCTCCACCCCGATGGCCAGCTTGGTGTCGGCCCTAAACGCGAATGCGCAAAAAACCATGCAACCCACTGCTCCTTGTCGACACCGCGCGCCGTGACGAGGGCGTGCAGCGGCTCGTTAAGGTGCTCCCAGCCAACCGCGCCGCGCAGCCGCGCCTCGCGCTCCGGGTCCTGAAGGAGGCTGGATTTCCGGTCCGATTATGCACCAACCTTGACAGATCCCTCTCCGCGGATGATCACCGAACAGCCAGTCTCCGCTTCCAGCTGGCGCACCGAAAGTCCACGAGGGCCCAATATGCGCCCGATGAAGTTGCAACGGCCGCTGAAAAAGGAGGGCGCTATTACGGGAAAATTAACCTAAAAGTAGGTACCAAAAAAGCAACGGTAATTTAAATAGCGTCGAAATATCAATAAAAAACTTACAGCAAATTATTTATTACCAAAATAAGGATAGAAATGGGCTAATAAAGTCAATTTTTGATTCGTTTCAAAGCTATTTGTTAATTTCTGGGAAATTTCATTCGATCGAGAATCAAAAAATTTATAGAAAATTTTGGTTAAAGCCTCAATCGTTAGTAGAAAAGATTCGGCAAAAAAGACTAATCCCCAGCACAGTTTTTACCCGTTTTAGGTAGAAAAGAACTACAAAAATAAACCAACTGCGTAGGCGGCAACGGGATCTTCTGATGCACGGCCACACCTCCCTCATCTTCCTTTCGGTCACTGCCGACGTGCGACAACGGCGAAGCGTACAGCTGGCGCTGCGAGGGCGGAGAGCTGCGCTGCGGCGGGGACGGATGCTAAATTTATTGATTTAACGAAAACCAATCCACAAGCTCGCACCTGTGGGTAGGGCGTGGCTTCAAAGCGGGGGAACGAGCGATTTTGTGGTTTTGGCGTGGAGGTGAGGATCGGGCGCGCGTCACGAGGTGTCTGAAAAGCGGGGAAAATTCAATACACGAAGATATTTTTACGTCAAACAATGGCGAGCGCATCTTGAGGCTGTACGGGGAGTCGGCGCCACGAATTCCAGACCATAAGCTGGAAGAAAACAGTTTTGAAAGATATCTAGGTTCTGGACTGTTCACGGGGGGGTATCTTTGACCTAACGCCGCGCAGCTTTTAATAGTAAAATAAAGGCAAATTATTGAGCTTTTTAAACCGTTTCTGGCTATAGAAATTCCCAAAAAAAATGCTGAAATTTGGAAATGCTGATTCTTTATCAAAAAGTGCGAAAATAGCCAAAATTTCAAGACTTTCGACCTTTTCCAAAAAAAAAAGGAAAAACCGTTGCCAAAAAAATCCAAAACCCCCCCCCCCCCACCCCACCTCAACACCAAAATCCTCAAAAAACCCAAAAAAATAATAATTTTTCTAAAAAAAAAAAAAAAAAAAAAAATTTTATAAAAAAATAAAAAAAAAAAAAAATAAAATATTAAAAAAAAAAAAAAAAAAAAAAATAAAAAAAAAAAAAAAAAAAAAAAAAAAAAAAAAAAATTTTTTTTTTTTTTCCTCTTTTTTCAAAAAAAAATTTTTTAAAAAAAAAAAAAAAAAAAAAAAAAAAATTTTTAATCAAAAAAAAAATAAAAAAAAAAAAAAAAAAAAAAAAAAAAAAAAAAAATAAAAAAAAAAAAAAAAAAAAAAAAAAAAAAAATTAAAAATTTTAAAAAAATTTTAAAAAATTTAAAAAAAAAAAAAAAAACACTCATTTTACCACAACAAAAAAAAAAAAAAAAACCCCCCCAAAAAAAAAAAAAAAAGAAAAAAAAAGAGGGGGGAAAAAAAAAAAAAAAAAAAAAAAAAAAATAAAAAAAAAATTAAAAATGGGTCCAACCCTGCCGAAAATTCCATCCCCCCTTCAAACAGTATAGAACCGAGTTGTCAACGTTGTAAAAACTTATGTAAAAACCTCAAAACCAAAACCCACCGATCCATTTCGGCGTTGAGCAGCGCCTCGGTGTGGTACAGCGCTCCCGGGTGGCCGTCGTGCAGCTGGTTCAGCGTGCACATCTCATCCAGCAATTCGTCCAAATACCTAAACATCCCCAAAAAAATCGAGAATCCTTTTCAATCACTCACCTCATCATCGGCTGCCGGGCCACCGAGCCGGCGCGCTCAAAGTACTGACCAGGGTCGGGCGGGCTAAAACGTCCATGTAAACCGCCGTCCCGACGGAAGGATACCTGGCCACGGAGCGCCCGTCGGCGCCGCCGTTCGGGTAGTAAACCATGTTGTCTCCGTAAGGCGCAAAAATTTTACTTGTACCAGCCCAGAAATTTTAATCCGGCGGATGTCCACCGGAAATCTGAGCCGTTTATGGTAACTCTATATTTTTAATGCAATTTTTGGGAGTTAAAAAAATTTTTTTGAGCTGGAAGGAAGGAACTGAAATGGATAAGAAACATTGCGTTCGACATTTCGCTTTACACCCTTGAAGTTTTCGTTTTTAAACTTTATTTTTGTAATTGTAACAAATAACAAATTTTTAACATTCAGTCGCGCGCTATTTCGTGACCTTGGTGGAATGCATTACGCAAGTGAAATCCTCGGCTGGAATTTTTCACTTTCAAAATTCTACCTGTAATTTTATTTATTCTGCCATTAAAATACTTCAAAACTAAAATAATCACCTTTCAGTTTTGCCGCTGCTCTAGTCTCCAACGATTTTATGCCCGGCTCAACGTCTCCTGGGCCAAAATGAAGTAAGTTGCCCGAACTTTCCACAAATTCCGCTTTCAGGATCCAAGTCGATGGCCTGGAAGTGCTGTTCCCGTATGATTTCGTCTACCCGGAGCAGGTGCTCTACATGCAAGAGTTGAAGAAGAGCCTGGATGCTCAGGTTGGACGATAGAAACAAGTAAAATTACCTGTTCAGGGCCACGCAATTCTCGAAATGCCGTCGGGGACGGGTAAAACGATCAGCCTTCTGTCGCTCGTCATGGCCTACATGGTCAAATATCCGGCAAAATTGTGCAAATTGGTTTGACAAAATTTTTAGCGTAAATTATGGTCTAGGTGTATTGCTCGAGGACGATTCCGGAGATCGAGAAGTGCGTGGAAGAGTTGCGGAATTTGTATGCGTTCTACAAGCAGCATACTGGGGTGCGGAAAGATAAAGTAATGAAAAAAACATGTTTAGGCAGAGCCTGACATGATCGCCGTGGCGATGTCCGCGCGTAAAAATTTGTGCATCAACGAAGAGGTGGTAAATTTGAGGCTGGGCACACGGGTTGATGGCGCTTGTCAATCGAGAACGGCTAGGTGAGTTTGTTTAGATTCAGAATGGGGTTATTTTTATCTTTTAGCTACATTCGTGCTCGTCGAGCCGTAGCACCGGATTCCGTTCCGCCTCCCTGTGATTTCTTCGAAAAGATGCACTCCCAAGATATGTTCCAACTGCCGAACGGTGTATACAATATTGTAAGCGGTTTATATTTTCTAAAACTCGCTATTGGTATTATTATGGATTTTGGATTTTGTTTTTCTGACCCTATATTTTAGTCTGATCTCAAATCGATCGGCCGTACGGAGGGGATATGCCCGTATTTCCTTGCCAGATATGCTTTGTCAAAGGTGCTTTTTTTCTGGGTTCGTTTAGCTTCTTTTAGGCATCGATCGTCGTTTATTCCTATCACTACATTCTGGACCCAAAAATTGCCGAATTGGTTTCAAAGGATTTTGCTCGGAAGTGAGGCTTCTCCTTTTTTCTCAATAGCCCAAAATCCCTTGATTGGATACGAATAAGACCCATATTTTAGAACCTGCGTCGTTTTCGACGAAGCCCACAATATCGACAACGTTTGCATCGAGTCGATGAGTGTGGCGATGACCGAGAAAAACGTTGACAAGTGAATTGAAAAGGCCTGCTTTTTATGAAGTGCTTAGAGCCGCCAACGAGCTGCAACACGTCGAGAAGCTTGTCAACCGGGCCAAAAGAGAAAACGCTGCTCGCCTTCAGCAAGAATACGAGAAGCTCGTGGAGGGGTTGAGAAAGTAATTTTTTTTCAAACGATCCCTAATGTTTTAAATTCCAGGCAAGAACAAGAACGAGCAAACGACGAGCGGCTGGCAAATCCGGTACTTCCGGATGCCGTCTTGCAAGAGGTAGGCTTCTGACTTAATTTTTGATGTGAATCTTTAGGCAATTCCTGGACAAATCCGAGACGCACGACACTTTGTCTCGTTCCTGAAACGCATCGTCGAATATATGCGGCATCGTCTGAAGACCTCGCACGTGTTGATCGAATCGCCAGCCGTTTTCCTGAAGGATATTCAGGACCGGATTTTTGTCGATAGAAAGCCATTGAGGTAATCAATATTAACTAGCCTTATTAATTTCTTGCTTTAGATTTTGTTGCGAGCGCTTCAACCAACTGACCAAGACATTGGAGATGTCAGATCTGGCGGAAGTTTGTAAGTGGTGTTCTTTACTTCTTAATTATCTTTTAGGGGCACTTTCTCAAGTTACGACATTTGCCACCCTGGTCTCCACCTACTCCAAAGGCTTTTCGGTGATTGTCGAACCGGGCGATCAGGTGCTTATCTCTCTTCTACAGGAGATTTCTCAATTTTTAGCGACAACAGCCTACAATCACGCTTTCATGTATGGATGCCAGCATTGCCATTCGCCCGGTGTTGGAGCGCTTTCAGACGGTAAGCAAAGGAAGAGCTTTCGAGACAATAAATTTTAGGTTGTGATCACTTCCGGCACGCTGTCACCCCTCGAGATCTACCCAAAAATGCTGGATTTCGATCCGTGTGTGATGGCCTCATTTACGATGACGCTTGCCCGGCCATGCATTTCGCCACTTGTCGTCAGCAAGGGAAATGATCAGGTAATTTCGGTGGTTTTGAGAAGATGTCATTTGAGTGGATACTGGGCGTCTGCCGGTTTTAGAAAGCGTAATTTAGGATTTTTTTTGGGCCACTTAGAAAAGTTTAGAATTTGAAATTTGGTCCAAATTCATCGTTTTTAGTATTTTCAAAAATTTTAACTTTTTTTCAGGTGGCGATCACCTCTCGTTTCGAATCGCGTACCGATACGGCCGTCATCCGCAACTACGGCAACCTGGTGGTCGATGTTGCTAAATCGGTACCAGACGGCGTCGTGCGTTTCCGCTTCCACTCTCAGAAGCCTGAAACTTTAGGTCGTCTTCTTCACCTCGTACCTCTATATGCAGACCGTCATCTCGACATGGTACGATCAGGTAAGGACCGTTAGGGATTGCTTTGGACCTAAAAATTTAGCACATTATCGACGAGTTGATGAAGTACAAGCTTGTCTTTATCGAGACTACCGATGCGAGGTAGGTATTGGCGGTAATAGATAAAGTTTGTTGAGTTTAGAGAAACTTCAGTGGCCCTCGGCAAATATGTGGAAGCCTGCGATTGTGGCAGGGGAGCGATCCTTTTTTCAGTTGCCAGGTAGCTTTATTGCCGCCACTAGTTGATAAAAATTTAGGGGAAAAGTGAGTGAAGGTGTTGATTTTGCGCATCATCTCGGTTGGTTTTTATCACGTTTTCTTTATTTACGATATTATCTTTTCTCCGTCAGTTTATATTGTTATTTAGGACGCGCCGTGATCATGCTCGGCATCCCCTACATGTACACGGAGAGCAAGATTCTGCGGGCTCGACTCGAATATCTGCGCGATCAGTTCCAAATCAAGTACGTTTTTAGGTCTCTTTGCAAGCTGCATAATTTTTTGTGTAAGAAAATACAAAAATAGCGATATTTTCACAGAAATCTCTTTTATTAGTATTTTCTAGATATTTTTACAGTTTGAACATGGCTAATTCTTTAGAACGCTATAAACAACCTAGAATTTTAGGGAGCAAGACTTCCTGATGTTTGACGCAATGCGGCATACGGCCCAGTGTATGGGCCGGGCCCTACGCGGCAAGACTGATTACGGGTTGATGATCTTTGCCGACAAGGTGGACGAGTTTGGCTAATTTGTTTAACCACCATCTAGCGCTACTCCCGCGTCGACCTGCGCAGCAAACTGCCACGCTGGATTCAGGAATATCTCGACCCGGGCAACACCAATCTCTCCGTCGATGAGGCAATACAGCTGGCACGGTGGGGCTTTTTGTAAAGCTTAGGATAACGCCACTTTTAGTCGCTGGCTCTCCCTGATGGCCCAGCCATTCAGTCGCAAGGATCAAATCGGAGTGTCACTCCTCACACAGGCACAACTGAATCCCGGCGTCATGAACAAGTTTGCAAAGGTAACCAAGGCTCTATCGATATCTACCCATCCATTTAGGTGGTCGAGCACTACGACTGAACTGCTCGTGTGCGTGTTGTTGCTGCTCATTTGGTTGTTTAGGTTGTGATGTTGTTTCTCGTTGTTCTTTTTGCCTGGTCTTTCGTTTTTTAACTCTAGTTTTTGTTGTTTTCAGCTCCCGATATCTCACCCACTGTGTTACGGTTATTGGCGTCTATAAAAGAGAGTTTATGTTTGGTAATAGCTATTGGATCAGTGTTGTTCAAAGTCATCTCCCCAGAGGTCGTCCCGGACCCGTTGGACGAGCTCGCTGACTTTCGGGTATCTGAAGGGCAATTTTTTGATTTGTTTATGAAACTTACTTTTTGTCTCGGATGATCGTCTTTGCGTAGCAATCGTGATTGATATAGTTAACGGCAGCCAGGTGACCGAATAGGGTGAGATCGGCCTGGAAATTTTGTAATTAGCTACCGGAGGTACCCTTTTAAAACGGGCTTTTCGAGCCGTTCACTTCCCAACACCCACCTCAGTCGGCTCGTCTCCGAAGAAATATTTAGTCTTCCCATCCAACAACTCCTCATACATTTGCAAGTCGCGGTGCAGCAGATCGACCATGGTTTCGCGCGAGAACACGCCGAGACCAGCACGCAGACGGGCCTTCATCTACAAAGATTCCCCCATGATAAATCCCCGATTTTTTCCACTTACCTTTCCGACAAAATGATGAGCGACCAGCGGCACCAAAAACGGCTTGAAAGCGTTGAAAAGGGGGTTGTTGAGGAAGTTGCTGGCCAGTACGTTTACAAATCCTGCCGGGTTCTCGAGCACCTTGAAGTAGTTGACGAGACTGGAAAAATCCTGGCTTGGAAAAAATATGATTTGGCTTACAGGAATGTGTGGTGCTCGCATGCTCGCGAAAGTGCGCGTCCGTGAGCTTCATCTTTACCGTTGGCGTAGTCCTAAGGAGTTTAGGTTTTGAAATTTTTAATTGTCATTTTCGTGGGTTATTCGGTAAATCTGACACTCCATACCTTAATATTAAAATGCTTGTTGACGTGGATGATGATCAGCTGGGAATCAGCAATCGCCTTTCCGTTCAGTTCGATAAAAGGCAGAAGTTTGTGCTCGGAGCGGGCGGTGATCGACTCGATGACCTCGTACTTGATTTTCTTGGCCCGGAGGTAGGCTTCCAGCTGAAAATGCATTATTCTCCGGCGGCCCGTTCACTTGCCTTGATGCAGAACGGCGACACGTTCGGGATGGTCGGGCCGCGGGGGAATTGAACCAGATAAACGACGTCTTTTTGCCAGTCCTTTTTGCATAGCTCGGGCTCCTTGTTGCACCCTAAACACGATGAAACTCCTTTAAAAGAGTCATACCTTTAACGAGGCATTTTACATTTTTGAAGAGCAGTGGCATCACCTTGTTCATAACGGTCACAAAGACCACTTGAAGCAAGGAGGGGAATTCGAATGAGGCAAGTCCAAACATTTTGCTGAAACGTAAAATAAACTTTAAAGGTTGTGGAAAATATTCGTTAAACAAGAAGGAAATCGGCCGTGAAAAAGCTTTTTCCAAGTACACAAAATTAGCTACAACTTATATGTGAAAAAGCGTATGCTGGTTGACCAAGCCCTAAATGTGTTCCGTTGAACACGCCTGAAACCCTTATAATCAAAAAATAATGATGCAACTAGCCAAGAATGAATCGCCACTAGCGAAATCCTGGGTGGAAATGCCCGGTCAATTCGCGTCGCATCGCAAACAGAAATAAACCACACAGCGGCAGGTGAACTTATGGTTTGGTGCGGCCCCTTATCGCTCCCTCCACAAGCACAAGTCACGGCCATCCCCGCAAAAAAAAAGATTCCCTGCAGAAAAAACACAACCAACATCCCCAGAAAGGCTACGAGACTACGCCAGTTTCGGGACTATTGCAAGGGTAGAGCATCAACAATTTATTGAACCAAAAACATAACAAAAATGAATAACGATTGTGTGATCAATTTGCGCTTTTGGCTGACCCTTTTCCAACCGGGGCTTGATCTTCGGTGCCTTCCTCTTGCTCAGCACCCGAATCAGAATCCTTGACAAGAAATATGCTGATGAAAAAATCGCAAACCTCTCTGGCCGCTTTTGCGGTCTTTCCCGCTCCTGAAACAAATTCGTTATCAGGCAGCGTCTCCGAATCCGGGCTCGCGATGAAGTTGTGGTTCTGCACCAGGTCGGACAGCCAGCGCATCATACTGTAATTTCACGATTTACGGAAGGCTCATGAAGTTATACCTTTGTTCTCGGAGTTCTGTTTCCAAGATCTCCTTGGTGATATATGTGAATTTCATCTCTTCGACATTCTTCTCCACCAATTCGCCCCAGTCACTGATCGGATCGTGCGAATCGGCATATCTAAAAAAAAGATTAAAACTATCGAAATAAAATTACCGATTGTCGTACGATTGAAAGTGCAATCGCTCCAACAAAAGACCGAGGCCGGGCGCTTTTGGAACATCCATCTAAAGAAAGATTTCTCCCAAATAAAGCGCGGTTCGCACCCTCTCCTTCTCAAAGGATCTCTGAATCGCACTTCGGTTCTGCAGTTCCCGAACTACCGCAATCGTCATACCTAAAGCTCCATTAATAAAGGAGAAAAACGCACTGACCGATCATTTTGCGGATCTGGTGCAAAATGAAACTTTGCCCCTTCACCGTAATAGTCACGAATTCGACGTCCTGCTCCCGAAACTCGTCCCTAAAAGAAGAGTTCCTCCCACCGCCGTTTTTATTCACCTGAATAAAAACGGTTCCCCACAAGCGAAGCTCAATATGTAACGATTGCAAGAGTTGTCCTGCCAGAGCCTAAATCTTCATAATTTTCCCTCGACAATCATACCGCCGGCTTGTGTAGTTGTAAAAATTATGCGTCCCCAAAAACAACGCCAGCACTTCGTCAATCTCGGTCTTTGTCGTGGTAGGCATCCGGAAATGCCCATCGGTTTTCTAAATGGAAAATAACGTCAAGTCGATCGAAATTTTACCTGGTCGGGTTTAGCAAAAGCAAATGTGGGCAGAGTATAGCTATAGGTTCTCGCGTCGCATGCCTTCTGAGAATGAAAATTGCTAAAAATAAACACCCATTGTCGAATCCAAAGAATCTAACCGACCCCGTTGCCTTGCGGAAGCCAAACACCCGGATATCTTCAGGAAGAAAGTTGTTCATTTTAGCGGCACCGTCAATAGGTAGATCATCCATTCTTGGTAGTTGCATAGAGCATATCTAGAGCAACAGTCATTTAATGCACCGCTCAAGCTACCTGTCGAACCGCGCTAACTGCTCTGTCCGTGCGTGCAGCCCTCTGGAAGTAAAAATCGTACGGCTTATCATGTTGCTTCTCCGTAATCCATCCATTCTTGAGTAGAGCATCAAGAATATGTCCCTCAATCGTAGGGGCCGCGTTTGGAGGCTTTTGGACCTAAAAGGGAGCTGGGATACACAATCAAAACGGACCTGCATCCCAAAATAGTTCTTTCCCTGATATCCGCAAAGCATAGCATAGCGATGCGTCTTCACGCGAACGAAATCCTTATCTCCTAGAACGAATTTAGGAACGAATCGAACATACTAACTTTTCTCGACTTTCCCGCCCTCCACATGATGCAGAGCCTCTTCAGCGACAGCACTTTCAGTCATCCTCGTAGAACGTCCCAAGATTCGACCGATCTGATCACGAAGGCTTTTTAGCATCCAAATAGGGAGCCAAACTGAAAGAGAACTATTCACCCGTACCCAACTTTCCAGCAACATCCTTTCGCCGCTTACGCTAGGAAAGGCCGCTCTCCCATCTTAATATTTGTAACGCTTCACGTGCGGTGTTTATTCCATAAACAAGGCAAAAGCGTATATTTATAACTCTGCGATTCAATGGAGAATAATAGGCAAGCATGAGATTCGAGCAAAAAGGAAGATATACATACAGAGATAGATCCACAGTGGCGTTGGAGTGAGTTAGCAGAGTGAATACTGAAAGCAAAAAAAACACCAAAGAGTTAATGGTTAAAAAAATAGGCGATTAATCAACAGAGTTATCGGCTTCTTGACTGCCCAGGCTAGGCAACGATGACCCAGACGGCAAAACAGTATCTGAAAATTTTTTTTTTTTTTGGGAAAAAATTTTGGAAAAAAAAAATATATATATTTTTTTTTTTTTTCTTTTTTTTTTTTTTTTTTTTTTTAAAAATATTTTTAAAAAAAAAATAAAAATTTTTATTTTTTTTTTTTTTTTTTTTTTTTTTTTTTATTTAAAATAATAAAAAAAAAAAAAAAAATTTTTAAATTTTTTTTTTTTTATTTTTTTTTTTTTTTTTTTTTTTTTTTTTTTTTTTTAATTTTTTTATAATAAAAAAAAAAAAAAAAATAAAAAAAATTTTTTTTTTTTTTTTAAAAATTTTTTTTTAAAAAAAAATTAAAAAAAAAAAAAATTTTTTTTTTTTTTTTTCCTTTTAAAAACCCAAAAAAAAAATTTTTTTCAATTTTTTAAATATTTTTAAAAATTTTTTAAATTTTATTCAAAAAATTTAAAAAAAAAAAAAAAATTTTTAAAAAAAAAAAAAAAAAAAAAAATAAAAAAAATTTTAAAAAAAAAAAAAAAAATCCCCCCCCCACTTTTCCCCCCAAAAAAAAAAAAAAAACCCTAAAACAACATTTCGTCATAACAAAGTGACAAACTTGGATTACGGAGTTCATCGAAGAAGGGATGCGCACAAACTTGCAGGGGCTGAAGACGAGCAGTAGGCACATATTTGAGAATCTGCGAGACGAGGTCAACAAGTTCCGGGGTCGGAGAGATGCGGGAGAGCACCTGAATGACCCTCAACATAAATTTAAACGACTAAACCTTTGCCCAAGGAAATTCCTGAATTGAGGGGATCTTCAGGTCCTTGTAGTTCGGATTCATTTGTAGGATCTGCTCCTTCGTCGGCGTGCCGAGGATCTGAACCGGAATAGATACAACACACAAATGCTTAATCTACCTTGATGACTTCCAGAAGCTGATCCGACGAGCATTCACCAATAAACAGGGGATGTCCAAGAAGCATCTCCGCAAACACGGCCCCTAAAATGCGATCAAATGAAGCAAAGTGTTATAACCGGAACTCCAGATGTCTACAGCGCATGTGTACTTCGTGGCCCCAAGCATGAGTTCCGGAGCCCGGTAATACCGAGAGCATATGTAGGATACGTTTTCCTCATCCTAAGAAAAACTCATAATCTGGCAGAGACAATAATACCTCTTTGAGATATTTTGCGGAGCCAAAATCGCAAATCTTGAGCACGCCGGTGTCAGGGTTGACCAAAAGGTTGTGAGGCTTGATATCGCGGTGACAAATACCTGAACAACGTATCAACAAAACCTTGGAACAGATTTACTTAGCCCATGCAGGTAGTCAAGAGCCTTGAAAAGCTGATAGGTATAGAGCTTCACAAAGATCCATGGCAGCTTTCGCTTGAGTTTATTGTAGCCTCTGATCACATCAGCCACCGTTTTTGGCATATATCTAAAAAAAAATTAGCTGCAGCGCAAGAAACGTACTCCAAAATAAGGTTCAAATACTGCTCTTTGCGGCTGCCTTCGGATAAATAGAAATACCTGAAGATTGAACTTATAGCAAATCTAAGACATACTTCATCTGGACAATCTTCGGATGCGAAATTTTACGCATGATTTGTAGTTCGCGGTTGATGAATCGCTTGTCTTGGAGGACTTTCTTGATCGCAACCTAAAACGAAATGAAGGTCATGAATATAACAACCTTTTCGCCAGTCTCCTTGATTTCCGTAATATAAACGACCCCAAAGGAGCCCTTGCCGCCTTCGGTGATGAGTGTGAAAGTGAGATCGACCTTGATTTTACCTAGAATTGCTTGATCGTAAAAAATCTCACACCTGCTCATCGGGAGGTCCTTTAGCAAGGGTGACGGAGACGCGCTGTGTTTGCGGCTGGCTCGGTTTACGGAGCACAGAAGCGCGGCTCCTCATCACCAGCGATCGGCCGAATCTATGCCTATGCAAAAACGCGATATCGATTCCCACGAAAAACAATTAATCCTTTATGTAATTTGGTGGATGCTTCCTTGAGAAAACAAACTGAATTCGGTCAAAAATTTATCAATACAATATTAAATACCAGTCACAAACAATCACAAAATATCTAATTCTTAATTATTAAAAAAATATCTAATTCACAATTATTAAAACAACAATATGCGGCGCAAAGCCTATTCACAGATTATTTAAAAAAAAATTGGGTTAACACGCGATTAGTCGGAGGATGTTCATATTGTGCGAGCTTTTGTCATTGACGACGTCGAGCAGCTTGCCATCGCTTCTTCGATATTGTCCGAGCTTCGCTGGAAGGCCCCCGTCGTGCCATCGGATCGGTTCGTTCTCGACGAAGTGGCGGATCTCGATGATGAAAGTGATCTTGACGATCTCGCGCTTGAAGCACCGCCATTCCTCGATAATTTTTTCGATGACGCCTTGAAGCTTCTGTAGCGCGTTGAGCTGCCCGCCTTCCAGTTGCACCTAAAATACAATAAACATAACGAACTAGGAAAAACCTCAAGTTGCGGGAGACGTAGGTCAACGAGCGATTTGATGGCAAAGTCCGACGCCTTGATCTTCAGGTCATCACGCAGCGAGCATAAAAGTCGGATGTCTTCGGTGTTGATCCAGTCGCGGTAGTAGAAACGCCCGTCAAACTTCGTGGTTTTCGGTTGGTAGACGGCGAGGGCACGAATGTATTTGGACAGCTCGATGCGTTGCTGGGGCCCATGCTTTCTCTTTCTGTCCTTCTTCGCCGTCTGGGCACGTCGTTCGATGTGCAAGACGTCGACCTTCATCCCGCCTCGGTATTCGGCCGCGATGACGCCCGAACTTTGCGCGAGATCGCAGCAAAGCTCGGCGACACGGGCGTTGCGCAGGAGCAGGTCGAACTGCGACTTCTTGGTGATCTTCATCTTGGCGCCCTCACGTTCGTCCCTCGGCGCGCCTCCTCCGATCACGACGGCGCCGACATCGTGGATGACGCGTGCCCACTTCTTGTCGTAGTTCTTGACCATCTCGAAGAAGGCCTTGTTCGAGGTGCCGAGCAGGTAGAGGGATTGCGGGTCGAGGAAGGAGAAGACGACTTCTTTGGTCTCCAAAGGCAAACGCACGAGGTCCATCTTTGTCGGTTAGGGCTCTGAAAAAGCACAGTTATTGCAGGTATAAAGCGGGTAAAACAAAAACGACCCAACAAAAAAAAATAAAAAACAATGAATCACAAAACGAAAATTAAAACAATTTTTGCATTCTGTTAATTACAGAAATGGCAGTCCGCGGCGGGACCCACTCCGTACAACTACTTTTTCGTCAAGCGGACTCAAAAGTAGATCACTCTCGACTTTCGGAATTTTCGCCTGGAATTCCGAAATTCAACCCGAAATCTACGAAAACACTTTCGATTTTTTAAAAGTTACGCAATTTCGAGTAATTTATTATTTTTCTGTTAATCTAAATCGTTTCTGCGTTGTTTCATTTGTCTGGGCTCAAAATACACCTTGCTTAGATTTTTTGGAGCTATTGATGTTGGGGGGGGGCATCTTTTTTTTGGCGCCCAGACTTAGGCCTAGGCTTAGCTTTAACTTTGCGTACGCTTGGCTTATACTTACCTTGGGCCTAGGCTTGGCTTAGGCTTAGGCTTAGGCTTAGCTTAGGCTTAACTTAGGCTTGGTTTTGGCTTAGCTTAGGCTTAGTCTAGGCTTACTCTCGGCCTAGCTTATGCTTGGCCCAGCCCTAGCTTAGGCTTGTTCTAGACTTAGCTTAGGATTGGGCTTAAGCCTAGGCTTGGCTTAGGTTACGCTTAGGCTGGGCTTGGCTTGGTTAGCTTAGACTTGGAGACAAGCTTAGACCGGCAAAACCTCAAAAAAAAAGATGCCCCCCCCCCCAACATCAATAGCTCCGATTTTTTTGCTAATTTAGGTCCGTAAATTGTTATTTGGCTTCCAATGCTTTCAAAAAAGGAAAAAGATTAGACTACTTCAGTTCGGTTTCCTGTGTTTTTTTGTGTGCGGGCTTTATAATTCTTTTCATTTTAGGAACTCGGGCACACACATCGTCCTTCTCGCCTCGAGCCATTCGGGGAATGAGAGCCATTGGGCCTTACTTTACCGCTGTTTCCTTCTTCGGTATTTCTGATTTGGCGACTTCAAGAATTTTCAGGTGTCTCTGCCGTCGACACGTATACAAGCATCTACACGCCACTGATCGTGTTCTTCTCGTACCTCTGCATTCTTTGTGTTGAATGGTTCGGGCATCCAATCAGCTGCGCGGCCGATCAACCTGTTGGCGCTGGTCCGTCACACTTTCTAAATTCAAAATTTTGTTCTAGATTTGCTTGACAAGCATCATCTCGTCATAGAATTCTGCAGAAGGGAAGCAGCGGAATTCCTTAATATTCGTCGCCATTTGCCCACCGTCGGCGACTATCAGGTAGATAGAGTTTTTGCTATGAATTTTTTTTATTTTAGTGGCTACGAATTGCCCTGTTCCTCGGTTGTCTGCTCTTCTTCGTGCCGCATATCTTCTGGGTGCTAGGCCGAACTTTTTCGGGTACTTGCTTTGTTAACCGGTTGATATGCATTTTAGTTTATCCCTTTACTTCGGCGTTGCGGTGCTTCATCACGCTACGGGGGCATACGAGAGAAGAGACGCGAGCAATACTAGCTGAAAAGATGGATGGCATCGTGAAGATTCGCTCTTCAATGCGATCCAAAAGAAAGGTGAATTTCCTGATTTTCGTATGAACGTTCTTTAGAATCCACTTTTGCTGTCTCCAATATCGATCCTCTACGTCATATTCAAGACCATCGTCATCTTGTGCACTCTGCTGCTGAACGTCTTCATCTTTGGCACGTTGATCAAGATGCCAACATCTGAGGAGGCCGGCCTATTTTCTCGATCATTTTGGACAAACCATCATGAAGCTCATGGGCTCTTTGCCCAGCTCGCCGTGTGTTACTTTCCATACAGGGTAAGGAACTTTCGGCTCCCCGAATTTTGCGGCGCAAATCTAACTAGGTTTTGCCAATTGACAAAAACAATCTTAAGATTATTTTTGCTCTAGAAGCTTCAGACTGCGCCATAGGTTAACTCTGAGCGCAAAATTCTCAGCCAATGGCTTGGTAAAGGCTAGGGCGCGCCGCAAAGTTCGCGGCACCGAAACTTGGACCATTCAAAAAATTTTTAGTTCACGATCAATATCCCGGAGACAAGATACACATGTGTGCTCACACTCAACGCCGTCACCGAGAAGCTGTACATCGTCCTCTTCCTCTGGCTCACTACGGTATAAATTTTGCAACCGGGGTGATGTATATTTATGTTTTAGATGATTGTGCTGAACACGATAAGCACGCTTTATTGGGTGACCTATTTGGCCAGTGCAAGGCGTCGGAAGCACCAGATGACGGAGTGGTTCAAGGTTTGTTACATTGACATCGATGACATTTTTTACAGTTGGGGCAACCGAACATTTGCTTGCTGTCCAACCAACGCCGAGTGGACCGTTTCATACGGGTATTGTTCAAGTTAAGATTTTTATTTTATTTTAAGCACCTCGGCAGCGACACTTGGCTGCTCTTGTCTGTGTCGGGCCAACGCGGTGGGCTCTTCATCGCTGCGCAAGCCATCTCAGCGTTATGGACCAGGTTTAGAATAGTTTTTTCTGGTCTTAAAGTGCTTTTAGTTTCCTACGGCTTGACGAGCAATCGGCTCTCAAGCCCGTACGGAAGTCAACAACAAGCATATGGTCCTCAGGATACGGTAAGATTTCCCTATTTTATGAAACTCTTTTAGATGGCCCAGTTCCCGAGCTGCCCATCGTCACCGGCACCTTGGACGACGCGGAAACGACAAGCCTCAACTCTGATGTCAACCAACATATCTCAAGCCTCCCATAAGAATTTTATCCCCTTCCCTCTCTTGAATTTGTTCCATTTCTTGTACATAGCGTACCAGTTATAGCCCCCTTAATTAAGTGTTCCGTGCCGCTTTTCCAGATTGTTATCTTGTGCGCTCTCTGAATTGTTGCCTCGTTTTGTTTTATATCGTGAAAAAATAGTTTGAAGACTTGTGTGGTAGCTTCAGTAGGCTTGTCAAGCCGGTTGTCAGCGTAATTGCATGTCCAAAATGATTTGAAGGGTTTATTTATTAGATTAAATTTAAAGGGATGCCGACGGCATAGTCAATCGATTACGCGCGGAAAAGAAAATGTCTTTGCGCCTCCCCGCGGCGCGCTCTCCTGTTGGCACGCCAATTTGTTGATGAGGGGGGATCGACACATGCCGTCGGCAGCCCTTTAACAAGTGCGGATACTTTCAAATGGGGAGCATTCCGTCAAGTACACGGTATCAAGAGATGCGGCACCACCGTGGCCATAAAGCCCGATGCGGTCAAAGACATTCGGTAGGAAAAACAAAACCTAGCAACCGGTACCTTGATAAAAGGGAAACAACACCTGACAAGAAACGGATACCACGATATTTGGGGGTTTAAGCTGGAAGTGCGAGATTACGATGCAATTATTAGAAAGCCAGGGCGAGGGCAACAGATAGTTATGTCGGATGAGATACAATGTGCAAGGGAGCAACCTATTGAGGGGCAAAACGTTGACTACAAATCCGAAAGGCGTATTGGTGAAACAAAGCTAAGAACTAGGACTAGCGTGGAAACTGACCTACTCGCATGGCTCAATATCAGCTAGCGCGATCGATGGCCGAGCGTAGCTGACAAAAATAGCATTCGAGTATGCCAGTGCAAGCATGTTCAAAAACAATTCTGATGAGATGAAGCGGGGCGGCCATAGGTCGATTGGAAGGGTTTAGAAGTCTTCATCCTCTTCGTACTCCTCGCCGTAGGCCTCGTCCTCATATTCGTCCTCCTCATCGCCGAAGTAGACGCGATTTCCCTTGACGCAAAGCTCGGGAACGTGACGCTTCCATGCGGGACCGCCGTATCTGAAAATTAGTTAATTTGACTTCTCGATTAACAACCCAGAATCTAGCCATATGTAGCAAGGAACGGCAAATCATACCCGATGCGCTGCGCAGGTCGTTTACGGCTTTTCTGCGGTGCACGACTGTCGCAGCGGAATTCCTTCGCCAACTTGTAAATTTCAGACACGACATGGCGAATGTTCTCTTCCGAGGTGGCTAAACTCAAGGAAATGTGCGCCATATTCTACAAGGTACCGCCGGTGACAGTGACTGAGCCAGTGGTGTGGACCCGAAGACTGGCCTTTGGCTCGGAAAAGTGCCACACGAGACCGACAGAAAGCTCGGGTTCGTACGAACATTCGCGGCGTCCTTTGTATTTTTTGGCCATCTGTAAAAGGAAATCGTAAAATGGAATGAGAGCGAGAAATAGTGTAAGTTAATTCTCCGCATTCAGTGAAAAATTTCCAGTCACATCCATAACTTACATCTTCAACTTTGATGCCGAACGGAAAACGACAAGTCGCGAGGATGTTGCAGATCTTGTAGTCGCGTAAACGGACCTAAATTTCTGTTCATGAACTGTCCTCAAATGTACCCGCGAAGCCTTCTTGCCCATCGCCAGCTGAACGACTCGTGCCACTTTTCTAGCAGCTTTGCGACATTCTTCCTCACTAAAAAGGAGTTGAAAAAATACTGCGATGAGCCTACGTTTTGCAGTTGACAATGTAGACTTTCCCAGAATTGTAGACCTTGGCCAGCGCTCCCGGGGGGTTGCGCATTCGCAATTGCAAAATCTATAATAATTTTCGTGATTCAGAATTAGTTCTTAAAGGTACACCAAAGTCTCGTTGGGTTGGTTACCGGCCGGAAACCGTCCGCGGGATAGAAAACAGGGTTACGGTAGGCGTTCGCCGCGGAGCAAAACCGAACCGGCGCCACTCTCCTGGGGCAAGAGCTTCAGACCACTAGGCGATGGGACAGACGGGGAGGGGAGAGGGCGAGGGGATATGAAGGGTTAGGGCGAGCGGTGGCAGAGAACCCAAATTCCCGACCCCTGCGAAAATTTTTGAACGAGATTTTAGTGTACCTTTAAGCGGTGAGCGACTTACATGTCTTCAAAAAAGTTTTTAAAAGCATACCCCCTTGCCCGATTCGAGCTCGACGTTTGCCGCGGCCATGGCCACCAGTCGCAAGTCGATATGGAGCGGGAGGGCATAATTGCAGACCACATTGCGTAGCTAAATAGATGAATTATAACAATAAATCCAGGGAAACCTGAAGGCCATAATCGCTGTCGGTTAGATAGGCTTCATCTTCCTCAATATCCTCTTCTTCCTTGATCTGCGATGTTGAGGGGAGGTTGCAGATTGGCGGCTCCTAAATATGTTTGGTCAACAATTATTTGTAAACACTAGAAGAGTGTAATTAGGTTGTAACGAACCGGAACTGGTGGAGGAGGCGACATCTCGTGAACGGGAATGTTCAACGCCATTTGACCAGGAGCTGAATAAAAATATAGATGCACAACTTAAAGCGACTAACCGGAGCCGCCCATATGCATCTGCTGATTGATTGGGTGGTACTGGTAGTTGGGATGTTGGTGGGCTTGAAGGTAATTTGGTGCTGAAAAGAAAATTCTTTTCTATTTCTGGACTCTATACCGACCTGCGTAGCCGGCACCATTACGGCTGGCAAGTAAGACGCCTGCCCCGTTGATTTGTTGCTGAAAAACAACATGGTTGTAACTTGCAAGTGAAGAAATGCACCTGAGGTAGAGCAGCCGCTGTTTGTACATACCCGTGATCGTTCGAGATCGTAAACATTGAATCCATTTGGCTGTAAAACGAATATTATTTTGTTGGTAGTTGAATCTAATAAAGAACGGAGAACGACGAGAGAAAGCCAGAAAAAGAAGTGCAGGCCAAGGAAGAGAGATTTTTTCGAGCACAATAATGATTACTAAATGTATTTTCTGGTTGATTTTCGGATGCGAAAAAGTACTCTGCGACCCCCAACAAAGGCCAAGCCTCTTCCCAATCATTCTTTGCCCTGTCATTTTATACAACAAGCTTCAAGGAAGACTGCCGCGCCACGCGATTGCTTTATTTAACCTTACTACCAGCGCTGCGTGTGGGCCCGGTGAGAGGTGGGTGAAGAGGTTGGAGGGGATCGCAGCGATCCAGGGGCGCCACGGCCCGTCGCTGGGCTCATGGCTACGGGTATTTTATACTTTTGGACAGGAAGTGGAGGGCCCAGACGGTTAGACGGCGATCAATGCACAACGTCTAAGGATGAGAGCAGCGATGTTGCGCCCATGCGCGCACCAATGGACCGTCGATAGGAGCGGCGGGGGACTAGTGCTAGTCCGAGCCAGCAGAAGAAACCCTGTCAAGGCCATCTGCAGTTTTGAAACTCTAGATGTCGATTCGGTGCAATTTAAATCTCTGAAAATGTGGTTCATCAGATAGTGTTCGGCACAACGGAATTATTTCACTCAAAAACGTAACAACTTTTAAAATAGAATTGAGCAAAGAAACAACAATTTTGTTGGTAAGTAGGTCATCGAGATGGGGAGAAATTGACGATTTTGCCCTGGTGTTTGACGAGTATCCTCACAAACAGCTGGCGTTGGAATAACGTGGCAAGGTGGTCATTGACACGCTGGCCGATTTCAATGATTCGCGACCCGCCGCCTATTTGAAAAATGCAGTACGGTTAATACAACTTACTCTTGCCGATAATCAACTTCGCGATTCGCTCAGTCTTGCATGGAATGTCCACGACAATTTGTAACACCTAGATACAACACAAAATATCATTCCAAAAAGATAAATACCTCTCCATCCTGATTCCATTCAGACACCTTTGGCTGTAGATTATACGCTAAATCGCTGGGTAGCACGTCCAAAAGCGCCCCGCGTACCGATTCTGCACAAATATCCTAGACGAATTACTAGCAAAGGGCCAGTCCTCAAACCTGCGGCCGCTTTGTCGTCACGGCACTGGGATCCATCCGCCACTCACGTTTCTCTGCCAGCGTCTAAAAGTGACACGAATTAGCTTTAGAAATAGTCTTACTTTTAAATGATTCCGAAGCGGCTGGATGCCTTCACCAGTCAGTGCCGAAGCGAAAAACACCGCCGAGAAGTTGCTCCACCCACGAATATCCATGAATAGGTGTTTCGTCTCCTTGTATGGGCATATATGTGTTGGTTTCGCAATCGTTCTCCTAGAAGAGAGTAACGGTTTCTTGAAAAAATAACACCTATATTTAGCCATCCATTCCGGATCGTCATTTTTCGTATCTATTGCGTGAAGCTTCAACTTGTCAAAGGTGTTCCCCAATCGACCTGGAAAACAATGGAGATGAACTGAAGCCCGACGAAAAGACTTACCAATCGTATTACTTGCTACTTTAATCTTCTCGCCAGCCACTTGTCCGTTGGTCAATATCCGAGTCAATTCTAGCAGCTCACTCCGATCCGAAACGAGATCGACCTGGAAACTAAATAAAAGGATCGGTGAACGTTATACCTTGTTAAAAACCAAAGAAGAAGGAATATGCTCGTTACGATGTAGCATGTGTAGCACACGATGATGAATGTAATCTCCAGTCTGTGTAGCATCCTGAATATACGAATTTAAAACTTTGAGATCTTTGAAACCTGGACAACCAAAACGTGTTGAGCCTTTGTAATGGCCGCCTCGGGGTCGCTTAGGATTTGTTCTTGATATTTTCGGCCGGCAAACTGTAAAATTAGGCATGGATTCGATCAAGACTGTGAAAATCAGACCTCTCTCGCATGCTTCAAACCGACAGTGCCCGGACTATCGATAACAACAAGTTGTACATCGTCTTCGGTAATGATGGCTTCATTATTCTAAAAAAAAACCAATACATCCAAACTTCTGGAAAAACTATACCGATGTCGTGGTGTCCATCTTGCTGCTGACAGCCGAAACAGCAGCCTTGATCAGCTGATTCGTCAGGAGAGACTATCGATATAAAGTCGTAAGCACAACAAAATTCTAAATACCTTGCCGGCGTTTGGCGCCCCGATGACAGCTACATCCAAAGCTCGTTGCTCGAACGGATGATGCCCCTGACGAGCACCACTACGAAGAAGCCTAGACGCTGTGTATCGCGCACAACTGGCGCACAAGGTCATCTAAAATCTGTGCTTGAAAACGAGTACATTCAAAGCGTTCGAAGATACTGAGCTCAACGGAACAACCATTAAACGACATTAGACTCGTGGAAACACAAAACTTTATCACGCAAAACAACAAGTAGGGTAAACGAATGAGATCACGACACCGGTATTGGGGAAAGGCACTAGTTGACGACTAGAGAATCATGAGCAAACGGACATAACAAACAACAAGCATAACTACACCAAGATATTTTCAGAACAATGAGCTATTTGACATTTCTATTCCGGCGGTTCTGAATCCGAAGCCGGGTGACGTAAAGCAGCTCTTCGGAAATTAGTGTGTCTTTGATGAGGAAAAGCATCGATAATTCAAGCGTGTCATACGCATCCAATTGTTCTTTCAGCGATTCGATTCGTACTTGTCTGCGGAGAAATGAGAGTCCGGTGCTTCTAGGGAGTGATGCTTTCTCGAGTTCATAATCGTGTAGCAGGACGGCTGGCGGGCAGTTGTATTGCTCATCGGCGGACCGAGGCCTCGGGAAGTGCCCGGCTTCTCGGAAGAAATATCTGGCGCAGCTGTGTTCATCAGTCTTCGAGAAGAAATACTGGTATCCAAGGGCCAGTGCCAGCCGGATGAGAAAGTATGGGCTTTCGACACGGACACGCCAGAGCTTCAGTCTATTCCGTGGCGGTGGGTTATCGACGGGGACGAAGCGCAAATGATCGAGTAGTTCGCTTGCACGGGCAACGAAGCATCCGCAGTCAATCACCAGCACGTCCCGCGGATCCGCTTCATTGCGTATTATTAGGGATCGGAGCATTCGTGCGCTAGATGCAGAATTATCAGGGTAGCCATTTCATTCACGATACACGACAGTAAGGCCACAGCAAGTGAAAGAGACAAACTAAGCATTCCTTTATTCAAACAACAACAACGTAAAACATTTGGGGGCGTATATGCATTTCGGGACGATAGGAGCAGTATAGATTTCTATAAAACGAATTATAAAACGGGGGGAGATCATTCAAAAATGAGGCTTGAGGGGACGAGATCCGCCAGCTCCCGGAGGAATGTTTCAGAAACGGTCGCGCGACGCCGTCTTTCCGGCGTGCTAGTGACCGGCGAGGGCGAGGAGGGGAGATTGGGGTGCACCGAGAAGCATCTGGAAAATGAACGTCAGCGTGAAAATAGAGTAAGTAAAGTATGTGATAAAAAGACATACCGAATTCGCATAGTATTATTTATCTTCGGAGGCCGCGGCGCTTCTCTGGACGCAATAACATGGCCAAACCGGTTGGCCCTAAAGAAAAGCATAAAAGGGCCGAATAAAAGCGCATACTTTTTGGAGTGGTAGTTCTTGAAGGGCGCATGCACCATCGACTGCAATACACCACTAGCTTCATCTTCCTCTTCAAAAAATGAGGGCAAATTATTCAGCATGGGTCTCTTGCGTAGCTTGGTGATGTCGACAGTCTATAAAGAAACTTACAAAAATATTCTGTATTTTCGGAACCCTTGTTTGTTTTTGGATCGACTGTATTTTTGGGTTGCAGCATTTGCGTGTCAATTCGAGGGGGTAGGGCATTTATACACGTACAAGAGATCGTGTTTGAGCAAAATGAAATCGGCGCTAAAGAGGGCCAAGGGGGAACATCTCCTGACATTAATCCTTCGAAATATCGACAATTAGAAGCGTGGTGTTTTGAGGGGAGACCAGATCGAATGAGGGTCTGCGCTCGATGGCGGGAAGCTGAGGCGGCTGGTTGGTTGTGGATATGTGGGGTTTTGTAGCTGAAAATTTTGTATTTTCGAATATCGAATTTCCCCCAGGAAAAAGTCAGTTAAATTTTAAAAGGGAGTGATCAGAATCTATTTGTAATCATATGGCGAAGATTTCTCTAGACATGGCTTGGATCTAACTATGACAGCTTGCGAGAAAATGATGTACGAAGACATTTTAGGCTGATGGCCAGACTCTGGCGCCATCAGCCAGTATTATTCCTCATCAGAATTTATCTCGCTGTCAGTCAACGTGTCAGGCTCCATTCCGAGTCAAGACATACGAACGCTAGCCAAGGCCATGCTTCGAGGCATCTTCTCAAACCTTTTACATATTCATCATTTCACCGCCTTTTTTGTCTAATGACCCTCTGTAGAAAATTGAAATAAACGCGAGGGGTAGAACAAAATATACCGTGCCATCCGGTCGATGCAATAGTCCATTCATCACAAGGTTATTTCCAACCCAAGCGCCATCTTCGTATGCGTGCGTCGAAAGCAGCAACTCCAAGACGTCCGAGGCTAAAGAAAAAGTTAGATTTGATAACCATAAATTACTCTTACAGAACTCGGGCTCCTTGTGCTGCAGGTCGGTCGGCCAGCCGGGACTCTTGAACAAGTCGGCCGAAACGATCGCCGGGTTCTGAACAAAGTCTTCAAAGGGAAAAGGATACTCTCACCAAATTTCCCAAAGCCGGAACGTTGAAGATGCGAGAGTTGTCTGTAAGAACCGGACGGAAAAGGTCAGCATCTAAAAATAAAGTTCGAATACTAAAAAAGAGCCGGCTGACCGTTCACTGGAAGGAAGGGTCGGAATTCAGGGATGGGCGGTTCGGAACGTCGCTGGGGAACTTGTTTCAGCTTCTTTCCGGCGTTTCTTCCCTGAAAAAAACCTACAGAAATGATTCAACCGTTACCTGATTCTCGTTATTCTCGATTTTCGGCAACTGTCCATCACCGAGGGATTGGAAGAGGAGTCGATAGCTAAATTTGTATTACAGAGAGGCCAGGATAAATAAAACAACCAATTAGGAATTAAAAATTTTTGTGCCGATCAGATTGAAAACTGTAAAGATTCATCGGCCCCATAATGAGAGTTTGCATTGAGCGCTTCGCCAACTTTTGATAAGAAAACTGTGACACTTTGCGCTCCATCAAGCTGTTCTTTCGCGCTTGTCAGGTTTAGCTTGTGTATTATTTTCCGGCGATAAAACTCTACGCTACATAAATGCCCTGCACAGCAGCGATTCTCTCGGGGGCCTCCTCTGATTTGTATCGTCATTTCGGCAAAGCTGCGAAGGTGCGAATATATCAAACATACCGATTTCCACATCGGATTTTGGCGTAGAGGATACCAGAGGGCAGGCAATTCGGAGACTCAAAAGTAATCGCAGTGGACGGTGCAATCTCCTCCCTAAAGCAAAATTACATAATAAGATTGCAATCGTACAGTGGAGCATCGTGGAGCGCAAGATGGATGATCACGACCCGTCTCCGACCGCACGAATCGAAACTGGGGAAGTTGACGTCGTTCCATACCTTGTGGTCGTTCGTTAGCACATAGAGGGGTGGACGATTGCTTTGCTCCCAGAAGGAAATCTAAAAATAAATTATAGAATCAGATACCGAAGTGCGAAACTCACCCATTCGTTGGCTGTCTCAGCGGTCAGGACGCGCTTGTTCTTCACTAGGTCCAACACGCAGAGTTTTGGGGAATTCTTGACAATGCGTACCAGGGCTTCCGGAGTAATGTTGGTGTCATCAGCGATAAATAGCTAAAAAAAAGACATTTCTTGCACAAAGGAACGCCTTTACCCTTTGCAGGTTGCCCGTCGACGAGATCTCTTCAATTCCCAATGAAATATCACGCGTCTGGAATCCATCGAGGTTCAGGTTTCTGAGTTGCGGCAGGGGGGTAAGTCTCTTGAGACCGTGCCTAAAAGTCCAAAATAATCAACTTCTAGAAAAACAAACTTACATGCTGATGTTAAAACAAAAGGCGATGGATAGACTTTGTAGCTGCGTAAAAATCTTGCTCTCGGGATTAGCGATGGTTTGTAAGAATTGATCCGTGGCCGCGGCAATCCCCTCAACAACCAGAGTTCGCAGCGGCAGCTTTGTCAACGAGCAGAGACCGAATCCGGATAAACCTAAAGAATATTGAAAATCAAAGCCAGTTTTATTACCTTCATACTTCGTCTCCACGTGTGAAACAATCGCCAGATCGCGCAATTTCTTCAGCGATTTTACGAGTTTCTAATACCAAGGTCAAGTGACGGAAAAGTGACCAACAAATAAGTGGCTATCCTTGAGGATCAACAGCTGGCTGACGTAGAGCGTTCGGAGCCCTTGCATCCGGCTACAGATAAAGTTGATACCATTGTCGTTGATCCGTATACACATCTCCATCTCAAGGCGTTTCAGCGGTGGGGCAAACTAAAAGCGTTTAACGGAGAAAAAAAAACTAATTTACCTTGAAGGAGTTTCCGTTGACGAATTGCGCATCGAAACGCAATGTCTCCAGCTTTTTGCAGCTTTTGAAAACCGCTTCCAAGTCCTTGTCTCGCAGTTTGTGCCGATTACAAATCATCAGATCCAGTTCGGTCAGATTGACGCAAGAGCTGGTGATCTTCAAGATCGATTGCCTCCATGCCCATTGAGTCGACTCCTAAAAGGAAAGAAATAATAGATAAATAATAGTCGACTTACGTCTCGGCTGACACTTCGGTAAAGATCTAAATTGATGTGCGTCAAATGTTGACCGCGTAACTTCAAGAATTGATCGAGAGACTCATCCGAGATTCGGTCCATACCCTCCTAAAGCAAGTTTTCAAAAAAATAATCAAAAATCGATACCATGAAAAACGATACATTCTTGATGGTTCGCTCTACGGAATCGTGGATATTTTTCGAGACGAGCGTCACTTGGCTGCATCGCTCCCGCAACGGGATGAAGCCGATGATTCGGTCCAACACCGAGTTCGGCATTTCTAAAAGGACGGGTTTTTATTGGTTTTGAAAATAGGATAGTAATCAGGCAGGTAAAAACTAACCATTTAGCAACTTTGAAGGGGCCATCGGATGAGGATCCCCTCTGGGGAGATCTGGCTGGGATCGGCAATGTGGGTGGATGGGGGGAATAATGATAATTCGGGGACAGCAATCATGTGGGGGAAAAGGCGCAATTCAAAAAGCGCGCGCTTTTTAGCTGGGTGGTACGGTGGGTGGTCCGCCAAAGTGCGGAAGTACCAATAGAAAAATGTTCAAACCTTGCAATTCTGCGTCGCAAAGATCAACGCGCGTTGATCTTCTTGCAAATAAATGAAAATCAACTATAATAATTTTGTGGCGCTATTTCGGAATAGGGGACCCACTTGGATTTTATCAAATATGGGGTTTGTGACATGTTTTCTTGGACAGTTTGGAAAAATTTACTTTTATGGTCCCCGTCCGAAAAGTGGTTTTTCGTGTCGGAATCGATTCAGAATTGTTCGAAATGTATTTTACAGTTGAAAAAAAGGGTCGGAAAGATGTTTTTGCTAGGAAATATGCACTTTTTTGTGAAAATTTGAGGACCATAAAATGGGGTACGGGGGACTGAAGTTTATGGTCCTCGGCTGAAAACCAATTTTTCTTGTCGGAAACTATCTAGAAATGTTTAAAATATCGTTTGCAGTTCAAAAAAAATCGTCGAAGAAACTGCTAGGGAATCTAAGTGTACTTGTCTGATTTTTGGCCAGAATACACTCAAAGCTCCGTTTTGCAACCGCTAAACTTAGGCATAAGCCCATTAGACCGACCGTAGCTTGATTGAGACCACGTCTAGGTCATCCATATGCATCTAACTCCCGTTGAGCCTATCGGTAAGCTAGGCCCAATATGGGCGACTTTTCCGACCTGCCGTATAAACGAAGGGGGTCATAGGCTATTTTTGTACGGAAGCTTAAGCTTAGTGTATGTGGGTGTTGCCGTTAAGCCTAGACTCAAGCCAAAAACATTATCACTCAAGGGAATTGCCGCGTAAGTGTACTTGTCAAGACAAGTCCGACCGCCCCATATACCATAGCGATCCTAAAAAGATCAAATCTACTATATATAAATTTCTAATGTCCGTCTGCCCGTCCGTACACGAATTCAACGTGCCCCCAGGGCATGTTCCGGGGAGAGGGGGCCCTTCGCGCATTAATGGTAGCAGAAATCCCCAAACAAACGAATAATTGTTTCGCAACAGTTTTTATTTGTTTTTTAGTATTAAAGAAGGGAGATAACTTTCTTTCAAGGGTATTCTAGCCATTACACGATTCTTAGATGTTTTTTAGTAACTAAGAAGGGAGATAACTTTCTTTCAAGGGTATTCTAGCCATTACGCGTTTCTTAGATGTTTTTTTAGTATCAAAGAAGGGAGATAACTTTCTTTCAAGGGTATTCTAGCCATTACGGTTTCTTAGATGTTTTTAGTATCAAAGAAGGGAGATAACTTTCTTTTCAAGGGTATTCTAGCCATTACGCGTTTCTTAGATGTTTTTTTAGTATCAAAGAAGGGAGATAACTTTCTTTCAAGGGTATTCTAGCCATTACACGATTCTTAGATATTTTTTAGTAACTAAGAAGGGGCAATAACTTTCTTTCAAGGGTATTCTAGCCATTACGCGTTTCTTAGATGTTTTTTTAGTATCAAAGAAGGGAGATAACTTTCTTTCAAGGGTATTCTAGCCATTACGCGTTTCTTAGATGTTTTTTTAGTATCAAAGAAGGGAGATAACTTTCTTTTCAAGGGTATTCTAGCCATTACGCGTTTCTTAGATGTTTTTTTAGTATCAAAGAAGGGAGATAACTTTCTTTCAAGGGTATTCTAGCCATTACACGATTCTTAGATGTTTTTTAGTAACTAAGAAGGGGCAATAACTTTCTTTCAAGGGTATTCTAGCCATTACACGATTCTTAGATATTTTTTAGTATCAAAGAAGGGAGATAACTTTCTTTCAAGGGTATTCTAGCCATTACACGATTCTTAGATGTTTTTTAGTAACTAAGAAGGGGCAATAACTTTCTTTCAAGGGTATTCTAGCCATTACACGATTCTTAGATGTTTTTTAGTAACTAAGAAGGGGCAATAACTTTCTTTCAAGGGTATTCTAGCCATTACCGATTCTTAGATATTTTTAGTAACTAAGAAGGGGCAATAACTTTCTTTCAAGGGTATTCTAGCCATTACACGATTCTTAGATGTTTTTTAGTAACTAAGAAGGGGCAATAACTTTCTTTCAAGGGTATTCTAGCCATTACACGATTCTTAGATGTTTTTTAGTATCAAAGAAGGGAGATAACTTTCTTTCAAGGGTATTCTAGCCATTACACGATTCTTAGATGTTTTTTAGTAACTAAGAAGGGGCAATAACTTTCTTTCAAGGGTATTCTGCCATTACGCGTTTCTTAGATGTTTTTTTAGTATCAAAGAAGGGAGATAACTTTCTTTCAAGGGTATTCTAGCCATTACGCGTTTCTTAGATGTTTTTTAGTATCAAAGAAGGGAGATAACTTTCTTTCAAGGGTATTCTAGCCATTACACGATTCTTAGATGTTTTTTAGTAACTAAGAAGGGGCAATAACTTTCTTTCAAGGGTATTCTAGCCATTACGCGTTTCTTAGATGTTTTTTTAGTATCAAAGAAGGGAGATAACTTTCTTTCAAGGGTATTCTAGCCATTACACGATTCTTAGATGTTTTTTAGTAACTAAGAAGGGCAATAACTTTCTTTCAAGGGTATTCTAGCCATTACCGATTCTTAGATGTTTTAGTATCAAAGAAGGGAGATAACTTTCTTCAAGGGTATTCTAGCCATTACACGATTCTTAGATGTTTTTTAGTAACTAAGAAGGAGATATAACTTTCTTGAAGGGTAATCTAGCCATTACGCGTCTCTTTTGGTTTTTGAGGAGGGGCGTAGGTAGATCACGGAAGGTATTCGCGCCATGCGGGAAACATACTAAAAGAATGGGAAGCACCCTGTATTGCCTTGCCCCCCGGGAGGGCCAGTCGATAGCAGCCGCGAAGCGGCTGTTATCGACTGGTCATCATATATATAAATTTCTAATGTCCGTTCGCCCGCCGACCGCCCGACCGGGAATTCAATCCCGCAGCGAACGCCCAAAGATACCGTACCTGGGGGCTGAAAATTTTCACCGGAGCGATGCCGTTTCGCCTTTTCCCCCCGGGAGGGCCAGCGCTGAACCCCCGCGGAGCGGGGGGTCAGCGCTGGTATCCTATAAAGATCCACACATGCCGTCGGCAGCCCTTTAAGCTACTTGGTTTTCAGCTTAAGCCTCGGCTTAACTGAGCTTTAACTAGGCTTGGCTTAGGCCTAAGCAAAGCTTACTTGAGCTTTAGATTGCCTTAGGAGGTCAAAATGGGGTCATTTAGGGGCTAGCGTGGCTCATGCTAAGCTTAGCCTTAGTTTGTATAAAGCTAAGCCTAAGCTTAGGCTTGGCTTAACTTTTCCATAGGTTTCGAGTTTAAAAAAACGACACTTGGAGCGCCTTGTAGTCAAAATCCGGACTGCCCCCCCCCCAAGTGCATTAGCACCTTTTGTGAAAATGTACGTTTTTACGGACTGGGGTACCGTTTTTCGGAACAACCGTGCAAAATTACCCCAGCAAAAGTGGTTTTTAGAGCAATTAAAGTGGGTCCCCTATTCCGAAATAGCATCGAGGTTTTTTCAGGAAAAAAAACGAATGAAATACGCATCCAACGGTAAGCAAAATTATTGCCATCTGATAAAGGCGAGAGGAACGAGTGAATCTTGATTTCTGGCAATCTGACAACTATTCCGATAGGCTTACTTATATAGCTACTCAACAAGCGGCACTTCGGATTTCCTTTTCGACATTTGCTCGTGCGATTTGACGCCTCAAAAGCATTACGTAACTGGGAAGGGCAGTTTCAAGATCCCGCGCCTCTCAACAAACTACCCACCCGTGGCGGTCTTCAAGCCCAAACCAAAAAACGGCAGTTAGCCACGGCATCTCAGCCAAAGCTTTTCGCCGCAATAAAGGCCCGCCGGGAAGAGAGGAAAAGGGTCGCTACGGGGGACTCCCACGTACGTCGCTACGCTGAGGGGGAATGGGCATTGCCTCTTTCCAAGTCACCGTTCAAATTCCCGCCAACAAAACTTGCCACTTTCAAAGCCTTGGTCCAATTCAGAGATGAATTCAGACGCCTTTCTATTTGGTCACATTCGAAAGAGCGCATTTTGTTCTACAAATCTGGAAATCGACTTTTTCAAATTACAATCTAGGTAAAAAGTTATAAGCGTTCAAAGACTCCCCTCTTAGCATTTTTGGCCCCCCAATTAAATGTCGTAATTGCGGGTCCTGAGATGCCGTGTAGCAAATAGCACCACGTTTCGCACGACAAGGCTTTCGAGGCAACCGATTATTCGAGCCGTAAAATACGTAATTAGACGCGTAAAGCATGTGCAGATATATTAGAGGACAAAATCGACCCGGTTTAACTTATAAGCAAGTCTAGCCAATCCTCCAGGGCGAACGCGCGGCATTTGACAATTGCTCAAAAAAACTGTCGTAGGCACTTCCAGCATAATTCAGCCAGATTCAGATAAGCTCGAGCTGCGAAAAGTTATGTTGTTCTTGCGCAAACCCTCGGCAGCACAGAAAAAAACTTTATTCACAATCAGCAGACAAGGATGTTTATTACAGATATGAACATTTTGATAATCACAAGGAAAACGGATATTGCTAGTGGATTTACAAATACAATTAAGGCATAATGAAGGGTGGGTTGGCTTGAGGCTTGGTTGCTTGTTATTAGTAGTCGTCGTAGTCGTCCATATCAACGTCGCCGTCGGCCGTGGAGCTCGTCGTGACCACTTCATCCGCCTGCCCGACCCATTCGATGTTCATATCGTAGTGGAGACGAGTGGCCGACGGCTTGTATGTTCCCAATTTCTAAAAAAGAAGGCTAAGAAATCAAAATTCGAATTACCGTCGTCTCGGCGGCGAGAATCTGCGCCAAATATTCGGCCTTCGCAGCCTTGCGGTTGCCCAGCGTCATGCGCACCGAGTCCATCGTCCGTCCGGCCGGCAACGGGCATGCGAACAGCCGGAAAAGCCACTTGCTGAACTTGTGGGCTGCCGCATCCGACTTCAGCGGATCTGAAAACCGGGAACCGAAATGACCACAAAAACGTCGTCGTACCTCCGATTTCGCTGACGTGCCAATCGAAGACACGCGTCCACAGCAAGGCCAGATTCTTGACGCTTTGCAGCGGTGAGTTGGCGGCGCAACGCAAAAGGATCAGCGCCAAGTACTCTTTGCAGCGATAGCGCACCAAACGATCGGTCACCTGAAAGGAAACGGATAGATCAGACAAGATCGAAAAGGTTTCACACCGAGAAATCGAAATCGTGGTTCATGAGTATTAGCGGGGGCGGTGGGTGAGACTTCTTTATTATAGGTCCTGGTTCGTCTATTAATCGAATATAAAATGTTTCTATACTACTTTTAATAAGTTTTAACTAAATTTAAAGAAGACATTTTCAAAAAAGTGAAAAAAATGTTTGAAAAAGGAGATATTTTGGTCATTTTGGGTCGAAAAATTCATGTCGAAAAACGAAAGTCGAAATATTAATTGTTTGTTTCCACCCCTGCCCCTCCTTTGAATACTCCAGAACCAAGTTAAACATGTGAAACTCGCCTTTTCAATGATGGCCTTGTCGTGTAGTTCCTCGAAGTCGATGACCAAGGCGGCGAGCAGCTCGGCGATCTGCTGGCTTTGACGGCTGCTGTCCAATAGTGAGCGCACGAACTATGAAAAAGGTAAAACGGTATTGGGTCACACTAACCTGCATCCGGTCAAACTCCTCGGACGTGAACTTTTCGTACGCCATCTCCACGGAAGCCAGGCCGAAGAGGCGCATGTAGGAGGTGTTCTCGACGCCCACACTAAACATGAGAATGTATCATAAGTGGCAAGAACCAACCAGACACGTTCGGTGTCGGTCTTGAGAGCAGCGAGTTCCTCGTCCGTGAAAGCCCGAATGAGCACGGAGAGCACAAGCAGCCGACGCGCACAACCTTCCGTCGTGTATTCGGCCTAAACAGAATAACGATCGAGAAGCCAGTACGAACCCGTTTCATGATGTTGCTGATCTTCTTGGCGTAGGTCTGGAGGTCGCCGTGGCGCATCAGGCTCCCTATGCGAGCCACCGAGGTGTCGAACACTGGGAATCGGTCGTCGTTTTGCTGGTGCTGGCTGGTAGGCGCAGTGGGGGCGCCATCAATCGAGCCCATCGTCTAAGAAAGGGAGATCTAAGAAAATCGTAACGGAGAAACTCACGTCGTTCAGATCGACAACGGCTTCCGCGTTGTTCGAGTCGAGCAACCAGGAATCGACGAGGGTCGCCTCGATCGCGTGCAGATCCACTTGGTTGACTTCAGCGAGCCTGGCGAGGAGTTGCTGCTTGCTCTCTTAAAAAGGCGATTCAACGCGGAAATTCGAACAATTTGATACCGATATCCTGACGATTCGTCCAATCAATCTTCTCGCAGTAGATTTCCCGAATCAGACGAGCAGGGTCTTCGATGGTGTACGGGCGCGGGATCCTGGCGTTGATGAGCATCAATTCCGTCTCCAGCCGAATGATGAGCGAGCTGATGGCGCCGATCTTTGCCGCTATCTCGACGGCCTCTCCTTCAGAAATGTTCTAAAAAGCGATTATTCACTGGACATGGAAATAAAGAACAAACATAGTGCCCGGTTCGCTGCAGCCACTCGTTGCCGACGCGCTGCGCGAGCTTCAAAAAGAGGAGTCGCAGCTCTAGGGTCTTCATCGAGTGCATACATGTCGACAGCACCACAATCACGTCAGCGCGGTTGGAGGTGCTGACGGTGGACACCCAGAGGAGATCGGATTCTTCTTCGGTCAGCTGGTCCTCCTAAAAAACGAGAAGCGAGTTGATGGAAAAGCCAAAACTCACCAGGAGAGCTTGCTTCGCGCTCTTGCACACGGCCGTCTTGAGCATCTCTGTCCTTGCGATGGCGCGACGAATGTATGGCACTGTTGTAGCCAGGGCTTGCCATTTCTAAGCAGGGTAAATCTTTCCGAAATCAGAACCAAACCTGTAGGGTGCTGATGTCGATCTCCGCATCAACGACCGGCTTTAGGAACTTCTTGATGGCGTCGAACGTCTCGTACAGGAAGATGTGGACCGGGAGACGGTGCTTGGCCTGAAACAGTGGCATAAATATAATTCGCAACCGAAGCGTACCATTTTCGGGAGGTAGTGAAGCAGACTTTCGTCGCTGCTTGAGTAGAAATGGTCGGACTCGTGCTCCTGTCCCATCGAGTCTTGCTTGTAACGCGCGTACATGTCGGAGGCGAGGCTTTTCAGCGAGTACGCTTGTTGGTCCTTGGCTTGCTCGATGTGACGTTCGCGTTCCCGGTACCAAACATATTCTTCTTTGGTCACTTCGTGCTAAAAAGAGGGATTGCAAAAACATCGCACCGCAGAACGAGAATAGTATGTCCCAAAAAGGATACCCGGCGTTGGTGGTCGTTCAAGAAGCGAATCACGTCCGTCAGCGTTTCCAATGACACCTTGATTTCCGGCGACTCGGCGTACTCTTGCAGCATCGAGGCGATCGATTCGATCACGCTGTAGTTGTACGGTGACAAAACATAGCACACTTCAAACAAGGCCGAGACGATGGACTGAGCGGGCTCACCAGACAACTAAAGATGTAAACTCAATGGAAAGTAGCTAAGGAAAATGGCAAAAGCTAGGATTGGCTGATACCTCGACGGCTTGAACAGCTTTGGCCGTGAGGTCATCTCGCTTTCTGTCGTCGTCGTACTCGGAGCTGGCCAGGTGGAAGAGCAGCGTGCCGTACTCGAGGAGAAGAGATTGCGGAAGCCCGAATTCAGCGAGGAAACTGAAGAACATTTGAATAGACGCCGTATAATCGAAACTACCTGGCGACAAACTCTGGGTCGGCGGGGGTCTTGGCGAACTCAGCAAGCACACTGTCCGCACGAGCCGAGGTGGCTATGGCGCAAACGTTCGAAGGGATGCCCTTTTTGCGCAAGTTCTTCTGCCATGACGCTTTGCGGAAATTGTTCTGAAAAAAAAGCTAGTTGAGAGAACATTTCAACAGTATCGTCGAAGAGAATTTACGTACCAACAATGTTGACTTGATCTCTGAAGTCTTGTTGGTGACGGCCGCCAAGAATTGCGTGCATCGAAGATAGTTCAGCATGCACTGCGGGTTGCGGCGCTGCGCGGCGAACTGGCGTAGCTCACGGACGAGCATCTAAAAACAAAGTGAAAATTCACACAAAGAGACTCACGTTATGCATCATCTCGGTGGGGAGCGTGAGCAATACTTGAGCGGCCGTCCAGAGATCCGCCGGGTGTGCCTCGATCGACTTTTGCACGACCATTTGCACGCTCATTGACATGTCGAGCTGGCGGCCGCGGAAACAACCTAGGAAAAAAACACATGAGAGATGATTTTCAAACAACTTACCAAGGCCAGACGCGAAGACACGGGCGGAGTACTCGAGAAGATTTTGATTGTGGAGGGACAGATGATTGAAGAGCTGCTCCCATTCCTCGACCATCTCCGCAATTATAGCTTCATCGGTCAGCGTCTGGGCCTGACGCAACACACAGCGGGCTACGCGACCGACGAGTTGGGCTGTCTCAACCTCAAATAACTTACTGAGGAGCTTGAATAGTCAAAATTACCTTTCCATAAAGGGCCGGATCCATCGAATATTGGTAGAAGCCGAGACGCATCGACTGGGAGGTAATATTTCTAAAATGGAATTTCGCTGAAGGAAAAAGCGTCCCACGTTTCACTCTGTTTCTCGGTGGTGACGAAGATTTCGTCAGAATCGTTAGGCTGAGGGGTGATCCTCGGCTCGTCTTGAGCGCCTTGAGCAAAAAGAGCGTGCACCAGCTCCAAATAGCCATGGGTCTATAACAAAGTAATAGCTAACAAATGGCCAAAAAGGCGAACCCGGATCAACGAATCAACCAATTCGATCGAGTGCGACGTGTGGCGCAATAGATTCGGAATTTTTCGGTGTAGCACACCCGTCCAATCAAACAGCTGCTCCAGCGCGTCCGTCTGAACTTCGTAGCAGTTGAATAAATAGCCATACCTGATTTTGAAGCGACAGGTCGTAAATGGAGAGAAGCACCATTTCGATACCGTCGACGCACAGCTCGGCGAGATGATCAGAGAGGGGCTCGGCACGTGAAGAGATCGATCTAAAATGGCCGTAAAAAGTGAACGAAGACGCTCACCCGATCAAGGCAAGCGTGAGCTGGACATCGCGCAGATTGCTGTCGTTTTCTTCTAGCATGAAGCAGAAGGCCTCGTCGGGCGTAAAGTTGAGCAGTTGGGCAAAGTCGACAATCTGGAAAACGGGCTATAGTAGGTTCGTAAAGTCGGGCAGTGTACCGATACGCTAAATAGAACTAAATCTTACGGCCACAGCATCCAGTGATTGTTCATCATTTGCGTGTTGGTGGAAGAAGCTGCGAAGCTGGGCCAGCCGCTCGACTTTACAGTGCATAAAGGCGAGGTTTTGCGAGATGTTGAAGCGCTCCTAAAACCAACGTTACGATAAATCAAAAGAGAAAAACCTGCAGAAGACGGAGGGCCCTGACGTCCTTCTGAACCGACGCCAACCGCGCGTTATCGGCCCGGAACCGTATGACCAGACTTTCGAAAACGGTGCAGTGCAGCAACCGCGTCGCGACTTGAACCTGAAACGGGCAAGCGATGGGAAAAAAACGAGCGAGCTAACCTTCGAATCCTGATCGATGAAGAGGTCAAGCTGGGCATTTAGCGATTCCAGAAGGCCATCGCAAACCGAGCGCTTCCCTCTGGCCTCATGGCTGCCCACATAATCGAGCAGCGAATCGAGCTGAACGGAGTTTCTCAAAGCTGCCAAAGTGAAATTACCTTGAGCTCGGGGCTCCGCAGCAGCGTATTGCAGTAGATGGTCGCCACCTCGTCGTGGCACAGCACTTGGCGTTGGCTCATCTCGTTGGCCAGATCGACGATCTGCAAATGATTCTTGGTAGATGGACAAGCTGCCTACCTTGATGAGATCTTCTTCACGGGTTTTCGTATCGACATCCACCGCGGTGTTGACGAGTACGTAGCGTACCACCTAAAGGAGAGCACATACAAAAAGAATAATGTATACCATCTGGAAGGAATAGTTGGTGCCCAGGTAGCTGTGGAGTCGCTCGTGATCATGCGGAAGTCCATATTTCTTAAATAGGAGGGCAAGCTCGACGCGCACGCACACTTCGGTCAGCTTCTGGCGACTAAAACAAAATGCACACCAAACAGTGAATAATTACATTGTCCTGTTCGTTTGCTTCTCCTCCAGTACAGCATTGACGGCCTTCTTCAGGTCCGGGTTCCATGGGACGTTCGCCAGGCGCGCAACTTCAAGAAGTGCTCGTTCTAAGCGAGCCATAGAACATAGAAAATGGACGCAACCAACGTCTTATTTTTACATTGTCGATGGCGTTGAGGACGCTGATGCAATATTGGTCGTAGGCACTTGTGGAGAGTAGGCCCGACATGTGCCGCGACTTTTGCTAAAAATTGAGTGATAAACGATCGAGAAACGAAAAACGCACCTCCACGTAGGTGTACAGCGTCTCATCGATCGGCAAGCCGTATTTCTTCATGTAGGGCCGGGCGTAGTTGTCCACATTTTCGCGCACCTGACAGATGGAAAATCCTGGCGAACAGAAGACCGTTACCTTGGCTGGGTTCCCGAGGGCTTGGTCAAGGATCTTGCCACAAATATCTTCGCGCGTCATGTCCCGGAACTCGGCGTAGGTGAGCTTGCAGTTGAACGTGGCCCCCAGCTCGTGCAGGTCGGTCAGGCCACGGATGAGCTTGGCCGAGCCGTCCATCACGTTTGGCTTGTCGTCCCCGATGAACGCGTGTGCGCGGGCGATATGACAGAACGTCGCCTAAAAAAATGGGGCTTCAGCTCGAACACAGAAAAGTTGAACCTGCTCGACGGGGGTGATTGATTTTGACCCAAGCTCTTCAATGACCCGCTGAATAGAGCCAGCCGCATAGATGGCGTTGGTCGGGAAGTTGCTCGCGTCATTCGCTTCCAGTGTTGGCACCAGCCACTCGACGAGGCTCCACAGCTGATGGATAGACTAAAATCATAATATGCGCAAAAGCCGGGCTGAAAATGATACCTCGATGATCTCCTCCGCCAAGAAGACCGGGATCACGGCGACCTCGAGAAGCTGCAGGGCGTCGCGCCAGCAGCAGACCTTCGCCGTGATGCCGGCTTTGACTTGAGAGAAGATCATTGGCACGACGGAGAGGCCTTCTTCGAGCTGATCCTGAAAAGGAAATGATAAAGACAAGCCTGGTTTACCTCGCCCGTCAATTCGCCAGACAACTGCAGCTCTGCGACGATTTGGTGGCTGTGGCGCATCCAGAGCAGCTGCGCCTCGTTCATAAGGCCCAACGACGCAACCATTCCGAACACCTTGAGAAGCTCGCCGTCCTTGATCAGCTTCTCCCAGATCTAAATATGTTTTCGCATAATAAAACGAAATTTATACCATAGAAGCCAAGCCGGCTTCGCAGGTGTCGCCAAGCACCAGCCTGAACGTGGTGATGGAGTGGCGCAGGCTGTTTAGGGCTTCCACTTCTAAAAAGGACATGAGACTGATATAAAAAAACAAATACCATCAGTCTTGATCGGTGCGCAAAATTCGAGGAGCTTCATTACCAGGTAGGGGTCCTTCAGCCGCCAAGCAGCACCAGCGCACATATCGGCGACCTGCAAATGAACCAGCTTTCAGACCGCAAAAAAATTTCGTACCTCTTTCTTGTCGGCCACCTTCTGCGCAACCTCAAGAAAACGGGCCAAAGATTCGTCGTTGCCTTCGACGGACAGGCTATCGCGTAGGTGGGCGAGGTGAGCGATGTAAATTTGCTAAAAAAACATGCTTTAGCAAATTCCGGTTAAGTATACCTGGTTGTCCAGCCCGTGCTTTTCGGCGAACTGCAGCGCCACGTCAAATTGATGGTGCCGCAACATACGCTCCAGGCAAACTTGAGGCAGGGCTTCGACCAGCTCAACGACCTGCAGCATATCCGAGACCTTCGACGTGCTGCAACAGCTGATTGAAGGAGATTAGACGAGAGTCTACCTTTGGTATTCGGGCGAGAACGGGACGACCATGATGAGGAGACGTCGCTCAGTGTCTCCACCCTTCAGCAGACGAGTGTTGGCGCGCACCGGTGTCGAGAAGACCACCTTGTGGTCGGACACCGAGAAGATCTCGGCCTGAAAAAACAATCATTGGGTACAACAAAAATTCCCTTACAAAGGTGCCTCCATCGCGTTCCACGACGATGGCCAGTTGGTCGAAGTCGGCGGAGTCCTCTTTTTCGTCGATGACCAGAAAGTCCTGGATCGTGCCCTTGATTGGTAGCGCCTAAATAGAACTAACAACAAGGTAGAGAAATAATACCACGAAATCGATCGTAGCTAGGGACAGCGCATCGTAAAGGCCCATGTTTTGGTTGCCGTCGATGTAGAGAACGAACTCACCGCCGGCCAGTTCGGCAAACAACCCTTCCGGACAGTCTGAAAGAAAACCGATGTACATTCTTGTTGGAAGAGATATGGGTAACCCAGACACCGACCCCAGAAAAAAATATTTACCGAGGTTTTGGAGGTACGAAGGGTCCTTTTTCTCATCGTATTGTACGGCAATCGCGGCGCCGTTGCCGAATGACGTCAACTCGCCGGCGATGCCCATCGTGAAGTGTTGCGAGCCGCCGGGCAGCTTGAGACGCTCCATCGTGATAGAGCTGACGGCCTAAATAGCGGGTAATGGCACCACTAATATTAATAAACCTTCTGCGCGATGCCTAGGATGTTTTCCTTGCTTGCCATGCGGAGCTGGCTCCAGTGCGGGACGATGACGCGAATAGCACTTCCGTCGGGGCCAACTAAAAAAAGATTAAAAATATTTCGCAGATACCGACCAAAGACGATGTGGCAAGCGCCACGAACAGCGCTCGAGGTGACGAAGCAGCCGCCCTCAGCGTTGCTCAGATCGATGCAATGCTTCTAAATCAAGCTTACGAGCAGATAATATAGCCTTACGTAGACGAAGAGCGGTTTCTCCGAGAGTGCGCCGATGTAGATCATGAAGTGTTGCCCGTCGACGATGACGGTCATTGGCTCCACGCTATCGAGGCTGTGCATCACGTGGAAGTACTCATCTAAAGCAAAAGTTTCGAGCGGCAGGCTGAAAATTACCGGTGGAGAACTGAGAGTAGACGAGCCCGTCCTTGATCGAGAAGACGTTGACGTCACGCCCACTTGCCACGGTGAGGAACGCGCTGTCGCCGGCACACGACAAGTTCAAATCGCGCGGGTCGAAAGGGCCCGGTTCATCGGCTGAAACAAACATTTTGAATCTTTATTAAAACGCGAGCAACGCCTTGGAAATGGGGCTGAGATGATTAGCCCTCAACGATTTAAACGGTCCACAAAAGTCAGACCTATGTTTGGACTAACCGATGGCCAAAGAACCCAAGCTTCAGCGGAGCTGAAGCCTTTAGAAGAAAAACGTCAAAATCAAATGTCAGGGCAGAATTGAAAGATAGTAAAAAGCTATTACCTGCCACATGCAGCAGGGTCCTATTTTCGAAGAGGCTCGACGGCACGTTGAGCTGCACGTCGGCGGCCTGTGAGCCCAGGTGGACACGGTTGAAGCGCATCTGAAAATGAAAAGTGTGTACAATCGGAGCAAAGGATAGAAACGAACGGAAACGGATGTTTGAAAATCGGAGGAAACCGCTATTTCGGCTTAGCGGATCGATTTGAATTGACGGGTTTCCGCTTCGACCTTTCCAACGGTCTAGGGTATATATGGGTCGGGGCCTGGGGGCGCCGCCAAAGGCCCCCCTCGAGGAGCCTTTTGGGGGCCTCTTGGGTGGGGCTTTTTTCCGGTTTTTCCAAATGCAGAGCTGGGAAATTGAAGAAAAAATATATTGTAAAGCAACAGCGTGAAGCCGATGTATTTTCTTCAATTTCCCAGCTTTTTACAAGGATTTCCCTTTTTGCCTTAATCTAACTTAATAATAAAAAAATATGTTACCAAAGCCCTTTAATAATGTTCAGAAAACACCAATCACTTTATAAATCGATTACGAACATTAATTAGTACGAAACGCGCCAAAAAACGGTTATTTTCAAAACCACCTCCCCGAGGCCTCCCCACCTCGAACTTTACTAATTGCCCAAACTCAGCTAGGCTACACAGAGACATGGATGCCGAGATCTTGCCGGGTGGCAGCCGGGAAACGGCCAGAATTCGAAAGTTAGGGTAGGGCTACGAATAAATAATTTTACACCGGCAAGGATCCGGCAGTATCCCGGCAGCCGGCAGGATTCCGGCAGACCCGGCAGCGAGCCGGCAAGAACCCGGCTGCCAGCTGTTTGCCAGGTCGAGCAGCCGGCAGCCGGTATTCTGCCAGATGTCCCGGCAAAAATCCGGCAGAAGACCGGCAAGATCCCGGCTGCCAGCCGGCAGAGCCATTTTTCCCGGCTGCCAGCCGGCAGAAACCCGGCAGCCATTTCACTGTGTAGGTGAGAAATCAAAGTGGGCCGCTAAACCGAAATCGCGCCCGAGGGACGGCGAAATCCGAAATTTGGCACCGAAGTCGACACCGCTACATGCCACAACAAATTACGATCAGAATTCCGGGTTACAGTCGACTGAGCGTCGAATAGCGAGATGCATTAGAGGCGTCAAACAAAAAATAAAAATACACATAAAAATTAAAAAATTATAAAAACCGGGTTTTTTACAAAGTTTTTTTTACAATATTTTCTTTTAGCCCACCCCCGTTAATAGAACATCTCCCTGGGATCCGTGAATGATTGATGAATGACAAAGGTTAGAGCGGGTATCATATTCTTCGAGATTCTTATTGCCAACCGGTCTGCCTTTTTCCATTCTCCCTTTAGCCCGCCACACGGCCTTCACGTTCGCGCCACCCGGTCTTGTCAAAAGGCGGTCCCGGTTTGCGTCGCGTAATTCATTTTGGGGCGACCTCACTCGTCTTGCAGAACTGTTGAGCAACTCCAGGAAACTTTGATGCTATCAATTTGGTGAAAAATGGGCTGTGGTAAAAGGTTTAGTAATTTTTTTTTGCGCGCAATTTTTTTTGCTAATTTAGAAATGACTAGTAACTTAATAAGCAGTATTTGAATAAGATTTTTAGTAAAAAAAAACTAAATTTACGATAGTAAAACTATCCAAAAACTTTGAGAAATTCGAAATTGTTAACAAAAAACGGCTATTCTGGTCGAAAAATCGCCAGTTTTTGTATTTTTTTTTTTTGAAAGATTTGGAAGTAGTAGTATTTAAGGGTAGTCGAAGTAGTTTTTGAGGGGATTTCGGCTAGGGGAGGTGTCTAAAGTCATCAGGAAGTTATCGATGTAGTTTTTAAGGGGATTTCGGCTAGGGGAGGTATCTTAGGTCATCAGGAAGGTATCGAAGTAGTTTTAAGGAGATTTCGGCTAGGGGAGGTATCTGTAGCCATTAGCGGGGGTATTTTGGGAGAGGTAAGGATGGAAGTGATGATGTATTAGATGAAGGGTAACCCGAAGACCAGATGATTACAGTCGCGAAGCGACTGGAACCATCTAATAAAATAACGAAAGCACCCGTTACTGTTATAGCCAAACCAAAATTAAAACGGTGCTTCCAAAATCCGCGATAGTCAACTTTATTCAGAAGAAAACGACAATTGCAAAGACAATCAGAATTTTTTGAGCTTCTTCTGCTTGATTGGGCGACGTAGATCTAATTGCTCTCCGATTGAGCACGAGCGTACAACTTCCGCTGATATGAGACGCAGCAGCAAAGGATCGCAATTGCGGCGATATATCCTAAAAAAAACCAAAAAAAAATTCGCCCTGACACAAATTACCGGTCAGGATGGTGGCGATCATGGAAAGCTGATACGCGAGCGACTTTGGCTCATTCTTTTCTCTGAAACGAATTAGATGAGCCGGAAATGTGGGCCCACTTTTTGAGGCAGATCATGATTTGTAGCTGCTCTTTGTTGCCGTTCCAGCTGCCGAGTACATGGATGCACTGTTTGATGTGGACGAGCGGTGGGATTATCATGTCTCTAGAGAAAATCTCCGTATTATTTTCTTTTCCAAGCGCTACTGCTTATTGACGTGTCGAGAAAGGGCGGTGATCTCATCGCATGCATCATCGTCGTTCAGCTCCTCGAGCTCATGGCCAGAAGTGGTCCAGGTAACCTAGATGAGTTCGTGGATGAACATTTTATTAGTAAGAGGCGCACGATCGATGGTTCCTGCTTATACGCCTCGAAGTCGATGCCGAGACGATAAGCGTGACCCTCCTCGATCTCGACGTCTTTCTTTCCGCCCTTCACCAAGACCGACTGAGATTTAAGATTACCCGGATTGAGGCCAGAGAAATACCCGTAGGTCGATGCCATCACAGGGGTCAGATTCTTGATAGCTTTCTGCCTGGAATAATGGCGGTTCCAGACTGTTAGCGGGGTCTTTTATACAGCTTTTTTTTTAAGTTTTTAAATCTAGAAAGTTTAATAGGTATATCAGGAAAAAGATGAAAATACCTCAGATTCCCGTAATGTTCCATGGCACGCGTCAAATTCACGGCAATCCAACTTTTGCGGGTGGTCCATGCAGTCCGCAACCTAAAATTTCGACTAATACTGTAGTTTCAAGAATTCCCGACATCAGTGTACTGCTTCCAGTAAATCTGCAACGATGTGCCCTCCACTTTCTTTTGATCGATGAGCTAAAAAGCATAATTTAATGCTTGAATACAAGTGCATACTTACAGCCCTGATCTTCCCATAAGCCGTTGGAAATGATTGCCATACGATTGAAGTGATTGGAAGGCCATCAGTCCTGTAATTTCATAATAAAAATTTTAAGATCAAAATTTCTGAATACTTATAGGGTTCGACGGCAAACAAATCTGACAGCCGTGCCTCGACCTCCTTCCAAAATTTGGTGTTTGGAGCCTAAAAAGTTGTGGAAAAGCCAACGAATTCTCACGGTCATTTTGACGGTCAGCAGGCCACGTCGACTGCGGAAGCTCTCCAATTCGCCGCTGAAAGATTGTTTCTACATTTATTCTACGGGTGCCCACCAATTGCTGACGTAGAAATTCCCGCATTCATCCTCTTTACAGCAGCACGCGCTGCAGCATGACCATTTGTCCCAATTCATGGAGACCAGGAAGCCGTCACCATTTATTGGCCTGATAAGTCTTGGTATTTTATTGTTGTTTTGGCTTAATTCATCCTAGCACAATGGTATTGGAAATAATGGATACGCAACCTATCTTTACGTACATGTCGGCTAGGCAGCTTCTCCGCTAAAAATATCCCCCCCCCCCGGTAATATTCCAGTACCGCAACGTATTTTTCTTTCGTTCCTTTTATCTTCCTCCGGCTACCTTTATTTATCCAAATTTTTTACCTACCCAGGGGGCGCGTTTTTCGCTTTATCCGCGATTTCCCTCAGCCGGGGCCCGTAAAGGTCGTACTGGGCACCGCCCAAGAAATCGACGTTGTACACCCAGGGCAAGGGGCGGAGACGGGTTTTGGCGCCCGTATGGACTTCCTGAAAAGCCAACGTGACGGCGTTAAATCCGAAACATACATAAGTCCAAATATATACACGAGGCAGATAGTCCTTGAATCTTTTGTAGACGCGGCCATTCGATTGTCCGGAATATTCGGTGGCCATATATGCTATAAGAAGTAATTATACCAAGTAAAAATTAATTGCTGTAGGTTACCATTGTTGCTGAATGCGTCATTGTCCATTCCGTAGGTGGCTGAAGCCAGAACCGGATGGACAAGGCCATCATGCATCGGTCGGTCAAAAGAGACACGCGGGTCGATGGTATTTGTAGAATTTGGGTCATATCCGGCGGCTAAATATACGGCTTAATAAACGGAACAATTTCAAAACTATCTGCCTAAAAAAATTAAAAAAAGTCTACTTCCCTAAAAATTCAACACTATTATCTTATTGTTGGGTCAATAAATCAGGCTTACCAATAAGCTTTAACGCTTCAAGGAATTCATTGCCGGTTTCCCTGAATTTCACTTTTTACATTTCCGAAAAAAAACTTACCTCTGACCGAGGAAAAACAAATGCTTGATGGAGGCAACCGGATGTCTTCCGTCTTCGTCTGCACATACGGTGGCACGTGGTATACTGTAGCCGTGCGAGCGAGTACCGTACACCTGGTTCATACAATGAGTTCTTGGTGTCATCGCATGTACCTGTTGAAGGCGAAAATAGCCATACAGCAAATCGCTGGTATTGGAGGGCAGTGCCGAGCAACTAGAAAAAAATCGTTTCTCAGGAAAAAGCCGCCTACTTGACGACATTCTCCTCGTAACGCGCGTCGTCGGCACGCTGATGGCGCACGAATTCGTCCTGACGATACATGTCGATGAGACGGATGGCATCGGCGGGATTTTCGTACTTCTGGTCCGGCTGTCGGCTCTCCAGCGTGTCTCCGTAGGGCGGCGCGAAGAGCAAGTGATCTGGGTGGTAACTGAAATAATAATATTACAATAAAAAGGCTTCTGCATAAAACACCTATTCTTCACGCCACGATATACGGTGGCCGGCAAACCGTCGGCGTGTGGGGCAAAGTAGTAGCTCAGGTAGTTGCATGTCTGCAACAAGGGTTTGTCAGTGGAAAAGAGGCTACACATATTTAAACGATGTCTAAAGTTGTTTAAAAAAAAATTAAAGTTTACTCGAAGATTCGGCCTGACACCCTCTGGCCGATAGGCTAACAACATTTCTTTCTCCGCAGCTTGTAGTGACAGCCGTAGAAAGACAAGCAGAAGTAACCATAGACGGCGCATCGTTTTCGAAAGAATCGGAAAGTGTTGGACCGCACTTTCTAAGCCTCTAAATGCTGCAATTTTGCCAGATTCAAATCCACCACCCACCAAATCTGAAATGTGGTTCTCCGGTACGTGATCAATTTATTATCAACAGAAACAAAGCAGACAACTATGTATATTAGGAAAAAAGCAACATGCGAACAAAATCCAATCGGAAACGAGTAAGAGGAAAACAACGAAAGCTACCCTATTCTCAGAAAGCATCAACAAAATCTCCCAAACTAGACGTTACAAATATACGCGTTGTGTCGCGCTAAAGCAATTAGAAAACTAGCTCCTTGTAGCCGGCCGTGCTTCTCTCCTCGGTTCGAACGGGTGGCGGCTGATTTCGAAAGGCGGCACGGGCCCGGTAGTCGAACATGTCGCCCTAAAAAGATCGAATATAAAAAAGTGCGGCGTGCCCACATCGAGTCCCTTTAACAAATCGTGGACATCTTCGGCGGCAAATGGTTTAGTGTAGAAGAAGTCGGACTCGAGGCACCCCTAAATAGATGTCTGTAATGTGTAATCCCTCGTAAATTCAATTCATTTATTCATTCTTGTGCAGTTTTTTTGCTGATTCCGAATCCTTTCTTTCGAATTTGCGGAGATGCTCGATTTCTAAGCCCACGCATCATCTATGCATCAAATCGCTGATTGGCTAACCTTAAGTCCCTTCAAGAATTTTTCTTTCGGTTGAAAAGTGAAATCTTTTTTGAGTAATTAGAGGATTTTTAGAGTGGGCCTAAAATTAGCCAACAGGAAAACCGCTGGGATTTATCCAATCAAGCACATTCGAAAATTCGGAAAATAGATTCGGAATCACCGAAATCTCTATGCATAGGCTAGGTTCCGAATGGAATTTCAAGCTATGTTCAAAGTAACCGTGTCAACCAAAGCACAAACCTCGGCGGTCATACGTTGCTTCGGGTCGAGCACCAAGAGCTGGTCCAGCAAAGCCACGGCTTCATTATTCTAACGCATGAGTGTTTAGAAATGAATAGCACGGATTACCTGAAGTATCGGAGACAAACGCGAGCAAACATGGCGCTTTGCGGTCGTGTCAAGATCGAATTTGTCGTAAAGGGGCAGACGAGCACAATCCTAAACTATAAGTAAATGGTCGTCACAAAAAATCATTACCGGCCAGTTCTTCGGGGTGATCGCGCCGCAGAGCTTTGTGATAGCTTGAATCTGGCTCTGTTCAGTGTCGTTCTGCAGGATCGGAGTCCGCGTCCACAACTCTGCCATCACGCATCCAGCGCCCCACATGTCGATCGCCGTGTCGTAGAACCTACAAAATAATGCCAATATTGCCGAAATTTAAGAACGATTTAAAACAGAACTCACTTTTCACCCAGCAGCAACTCGGGCGGACGGTACCAAAGAGTGATGACTGTCGGCGTATAGGGTACCTTGTCGGCCTCATCCTCAGCGACTAAACAAATTCCTCTACTGAATCCATTATTTACCATGATGCGCGCGTGCAAGCCCGAAATCCGCCAATTTCAGGATGCCATTTCCGGTAATCAGCAGATTGGCAGATTTGATGTCGCGATGCATGATCCGGCATTTGTGCAAGTGAAAGAGGCCCAGGAAAAGGTGCTAAGCAAAATCAATCAATTTCAATGAAAAACTCCCCCATACCTTCATCAACGTCTTTTGGTGTACGGGCTTCAACTTGACGTTGGTATTGCCAAGCAGTCCGGAGAGGTCGTAATGACAGAAGGCGAATACCATGTAGAATACGGGCGACGTATTCTTAGAAGCTAAAAAAATATATACGCCAGACAAAACGGCTTACACTTTTCCGAGCATATCTCAATCAACTCGATAATGTGCTCATGTTTGAGTTGCTGCAGTATCTCGATCTCCACGATAGCCGTACTCGGATACTAAACGTGGAGATGAGAAAAGTAGGAAAACTAACGCCTTGTGTTTCGCAGCTATTAAAAACGTTCTTCTTGAGCGCCACGATCCGGCTCGTCTTTTTGCAACGTGCCTTGTAGACCTCGCTAAATGCCTGGAGATCAACCCCATAGCTGATTGTCAGACCCATAGGTTCCATGGCCAATCTTCTGCATTCGTTCGTAGTTGCTGGCATCAGAGATCCGTGGATGGCTGCAGCTTCGCATGTAGCTGCACATATCGGCCACCGAGGGCTGAACGGCCGCAACAGGTTCCGATTGCGCCCCTAAAGGTTGAAATTTATTTACCACAATTAAAACTCATCACCTTTTACCGGAACGTCAACAATTATGTGCGGTGCTTCAATAATTTCCCCGGTCGTAAAGGACTCAATCCGTGGGGGCGCTGGCGCGGAATTCGGAGGGCCTCAAGGCAAATTCTCGTATGAGTAGCAAGCGTTTACCTTTGGCCGAAACTTCTGTTATATTTACCCAGCTTTCACGTTTGAAGAAATCGCCGTTCAACGAAGTAGCATATTGGGGTGGCGGCGCGGTGTAGATCGGTGGACCCTCTAGAAAATATCGAGATCTGCGAAAAATAAATATAAAAAAAACCTTCAGATTCCTGATGCGACCGCTTGCCCAAAGAACTTGTCGGTGGCCAAAGCGGACTTTGATCAGCCGATGGATACATCGTTGCCCTGGAATGTTGAAAATGAGTTAAAATAGACAAAAGAGAACGAGATCCAGAAAACAAAGAAAAGAAAGACAAAGGAGCAATCTACTATCTACTATCTACTATATATAAATTTCTAATGTCCGTGCGCCCGACCGCGAACGGGAATTCAATCCCGCCGCGAACCCCCAAATATCGTTTCGCATCTTCCCCCCGGGAGGGATGGCCTGGTTCAATCTGAATGCCTAATTTCCATACCTAAGAGTTTTGGAAGTAATTATTTCCCTCTGAACTCTGCTATAAAAGCAATCGGGCTAAAAGGCACCGGCATTTCTATCATTTTCTCTTCTAGTCTCTATTTGCTATCCACGAAGTCCAACAAAGGCAGTGCGTAATGTTAGTTTAGTCTCAAAAATCAAAGTGATTCCGCCGATTGCAGGGCTGAAGAAACCATTCATACTGACGCCGAGAAAGCCGGGGGCATGGAGACGATCCAGGAGTTTGCTTACGGTGTCGCCAACACGAAGAAGGCCACCCTTTTCGCCGAGCACATGGGCCTGCTGCACAAGGAGCGTCACATTTACCAATTCGTGCGCCATCCCAAGGTAAAATAGTTTTAGTTTAACGGGATGTTTATAACTAAAAACAGCCGAAAACGCCAAAAAATCGGATTTTATTTTTTGGAGTAAAAAAATGGGTTCCCCCCACCGGTAAACGAATAGGACCATATTTACAAAAAAGGTATTTTTTAGAAAAACCGCTTCTCCAACATGCTGCTGTTCAATGAAGGGAGTGTGGTGCTGAAGGAACACCCAAAAGTATCTAAATCACCAAAAAATCATCCAAAAATCCGCTTTAGGACAAAGAGGAGCCGTACTACCACGCGAACGAGGTCTCCACCAAGTTTGGCCACTACATCTTGGCGCAAGCTCCGATGGAAAACACCGTCCTCGAGTGGTACCACATGATCTGGCAGAAAGAAGTGCGTATCGTCGTCGCGTTGGTGGGTTGAAAATTTTTGAAAGTTGATTAATAATAGGTGGACCCGGTGGGGAAGCCAGACGGCTGTTTTCCCTACTTTGAGGCCAAGAAAGGGAACGAGCGCAAGGTGAAGGGGTGGTACACGGTGCGCACGGTGAATGCTCGCAGCGAGAACGCGCTCTCAAATTATGAGCTGAAGGTTGGCCGTTTTGCGAGCCTAGAAATACAAGGTTGTAGGTGTCGAACAAACACGAGAAGGAGGCTGGCGATCGTATGGTGCACGTGATCTCCATTTCAAACTGGAGGGTGGGAAACAAATTTTTTTCTATAGAGCACGTTTTTCAAACAAAAAAAAAGATAATTTCGTCCTGATCGCCTTCAAATGGTCTTGAGGCAAAAACTTTACAAATATTGTTAAAAATATGGAGTTTACGACGAAAAATTACAAATTTCCGATCATAAACACCAAATTTCAAGAATTTTTGAGGTTTTGTAAGTAGTTTTTCCAATTGAAAAATAGCTGAATTTTATCAAAAACACGTCTATCTTTGAGGGTCTTATAAGCAAAATTCGGTCCCTTGTGTTGCGATAGCAGGAAAAGTGAAAAACTTATCTGATTCAAAAATTCTTTAGCACACCCATATGGCGAAGCCGAAGGAGATGGTGGAGTTGCTGCTCAACGTGTGGGCCGAGGCGAAGGTGGTGGAGGGTGACGATGAGGGGTTCGCTAAATAAACTCATCGCGCAGACCAAACATCGTTTAGCAAGACACCGGTGCTCGTCCACGGCACAGCCGGTGTCCGCCGTACAAGCGCCTTCGTCGCCTTCGCCACCGTCGCAAAATCGGTACACCCGAAATACTCCACAAATATCCAAATCCCTTCTAGATCACCTCCAAAAACCAAGTGTGCATCCCCAGCTTCATCCGCTACCTTCGCCAGCTGCGCTACGGTGCCCTTCGCAACAAGACGTGCTACGCGACGCTGATCTGCGCCTCGTTGCAGTACGCCTTCGACAAGGGACACATCACCACCGACAAGCGCACCGAGTACATGAAGGTTATGAAGGTATGTGAGAGTGGGCAACCGGTACTGGACTGAGGGGGGGAGAGAAACCAATTTTAGTAGCTTATTCGATTAAACTACGCGCTCAATAATGACGATATAAAATTTTCTTTTTAGGCAAGAACTGTAAAAAATCAAGAAAAACGCTCCAAATCCACAACATATAAACCATATTTTCAGCAGATTAATTATTTTGGTAACTAGCAAAGTAGAAATTAACTCCCCCGCTAAGAATCCAGTGCTAGGCAACGTATATAGAATTCCTGTAGATGATCCCGGAAACGGTGCTCGGACGCGCTGCTGCTGCTGCACCTTCCGGCGGCACGCCATCAGCCGAAGTTGCCGACACGGGCGGCGCCGAAGGTAGATGACCATACCACAAAACCTAAAACCGATCAAAAAAAACCCGGACAACCGTTTAGGAGAGGAAGGCGAGGGCGAGGAGCCACCGCCGGCGTCCGCCGAGAAGAAGAAAAAGAAGAAATCGAAAGAGGGCGGCAAATCGAAAGAAAAGGGCTCGAAGATGTCAAAGGCGGGCGCCTCGGGCAAGGGCTCCGGCAAGGACAAGAAGAGCCGCACAAGGACCAAATAGATGCCCCCCATTTACACTTACACAGCTGTGATTTTTCGGAAACTGGCAAATAATAAATTGTACCCATTTGTACGCGCATTTGTTGTGTGTTTTGAAAGGTGGTACAATGGGAAAATAGGAAAATTTTTTCGGCTAAACGTTTATATCTTTAAAAACACAAAAAATGCACATAAATTATCTTGAGTACACACCGGAATGGCAGCGCATTGAGAAGAAGTGGGGCGGGGGAGCGGGCGAGCGAATCAAAAACATCGAACAGGGGGGCTGTATTATTGCTTCACCGGAGGGAATAGAATTCTTTAGAGCTAAAAATAGGCATCAAAACTTATCAAAAAAGTGGAGCAACGGAACTGTTTTTTTTCGTGGATATGTGGGGGTGGTTTTTAGAAAACTGGCCGCGGCGGTGATTGGCCTGGAATGGAGCGAGAATTGAAGGAATGGTTGGGGATATTAATGTTTAGTTTTAGACTTTTAGAAATAAAGGTATCTTCGAGGGGGTCTATTTGTTGTAAAACTTTTTGTGGAAAAGCTGAATCAGCGGCTCGGTGGCGAACAGGGCCGCATCGGCCACCCGGAATTTTTGCTCTTGGTTGTCTTCCGCGGTGAGCAACTCCTGAAATTTCGAATTTTTAATTGTTTTCCATTTTTTGTCACCTGAATCGTGACGACGGCCGATTTCTCGAACTTCTTGCCGTCGGAAATGACCATCTCGAAGGCGCCGGCCGTCTCGGAGCCGTTGATTTTGATGGTTAGCTTGGACAACCTGAGAAATTTTAGCTATTTTGGTTATTCTAAGCGATCAGATCTTGGTTTAATCGATTATGTAATAAAGGACCCACTTCTCAACGCCTTCAACCGAGTCGAGAATCCCCTTCTTGTGCAGCTTATCGCCGCTGGCTTTGTAGCTAAAATGTTGAAATTTTGTAAAAATTTTTGAACGATAATATTTGCAGATTTACAGAATTGTTTTTATTTCATAGTATACACGAGAAAACCCACGTCATATTGCGCGTATCGTGCGACAGACGGGCCTTCTGAATTTTCTCGGCTTTTCCAGAGGTGGGCCTAATCGACATTCTCCTAAAATAGTGTTATTTTTGACTGTGGGTAGGCCAGCAGAGATTCTTTGCGGAATCGGTGATCCATTAGTGCATGATCACCACGACTAATTTCCCCAGTATCAACCCACTTTGTCGTGCGGGAAAAATTGTCCAGACAATTCTCCAGGTAGTCCGAGTATTGTTGATGGCGGCTCTAAAATCTTTTCTTTCTAAATGATGACATTTCCACCGCACCCTCAGCTCTTCGCGTTGCAGGACCAAGTTTTGTCGGGTTTCGTCGAGACTGCGCTTCTGCTCGGAACGATCGTCTTTCCGCGACTGGGATTGACGGATATCCTAAAAAGAGGGGAATAACATTTTCTCTTTCTAGACTTACATCGGCGATATCAGTGAGGAGGGCCTGATATCCATCGTTTTCCGCGACACGTCCCTCAACGACAAGTTTTTGAAGGTTTTCTCGGGTTGACATTTGCACCTCACGGATAGTGCCGCTGAAATTTGGGAGTAAAAATGGCTCGTGAGCACAAAGGATTTCTGCTCTTTTACCTACTGGTGCGTTAGGGGGGGTGCTAAATTTTTCCTATGCCCTAGACGCCAATAATGAAATACAAACTACGCCTTTAAATAATGTATGCATAGAAATGGTCAAAATTGACAATAAATTTTTCAATTTTGTTGAAAAGGGTTTTCCTAATTTTTTAGAATGTAGGTCTGCAAAAAAACACTATAAAAGTAGTCTATGTTTTATTACAATAGACATGGGCTTGAATAAAGCAAGTTAATCCCGCGCCAACGAAACAGATACTCAAAAATCCTCAAACGAAAGGGCCTGCAAAAAGATTTCTGCTCGTTTGCCCCGAATCCCGAAAACCAACCTATCCGGGTAAAGATGCGAATGCAGATCCTCATTCTCATCTGACGGCCTGGCGGTGACGAGCTCGGACACGGAATTCGCTGCCACCCCACTTTGCAGCAATTCGGTGATGTGCATCTTGGTCCTGGAATCAACAAGACGTTTTGGGTCAGTAAAAAGAGCAATACCTAACAAACAACTCATCCGGCTCGTTTTGCTTGTGCGGGTTGATGGAGCCAGGGTGGAGGAAGATGAGGATCACCTGTTCGGGATCGGATTCGTGTGGCGCTTTGCATGCCGATGTCAGTTTTGACACGGAGCCATCCATCGACATCTAAAAGAAAAATAAAGATGAAAGTGGAGTTAACCTGTATTTTTAGAATTTTTTAACTAGTTGGACCCTATTGAAAAAGCCGAATTCCCCTCATAAATACTAAAAAACCCCTATTTTTCATGAATTCAAATTGCAAACCGACATTCTTGTGATGCTTGTGAACGTAGTCGATGACGCGCTTCAGATCGCCGGCCAGGATGGAGAGCGACGGCTTTTCGGCCGGGTTGTACACCGAGAAGCGGTTGATGCCATACAGCCGCTCGCTTCCCGTGTCTTCCAGCTGACCGATCAGGGATTTCCTGAAAGAAAATTCCAGTTTTGTCCGGAAAAAAGGCATCTCTCACCTGAAGGCGACGTTGATGAGGTGGAGGTGGCTGTTTAGCGAATCCAGATACTTTTTCTTGTACTAAAAATAAGTTTAAAACTTCGCCAAATATCGCCTACGCCCTTGTTCGCCACGGCGAACCCGATGAATTGGACGACAGACTCGAGTTTTTGGCGGCAAGCTTCTGGGAGTTCCTGGAAAAAGGGGTTTAATGAAAGTAAAATAGGTGGGTATATTTTTAAAGCGCGTTTTTCCAAGTATGCACTCCGAAAATGAATTGAAACAAAGCGCGCAGTTGTCAAAAGAGGCACTTTACGACTTGCAATCAAATTCGAACGGATTTTATCAAAAAGCAGCTAAGAAAAACCACTTTCTACCTCAAAATTGTCAAATTAACAATTTCTAAAAATCCAAAAGAAACCTCTCCGGGTTGGGCATGTTGTTGCCAATTGAGGAGACCGATTTGCGGGCGGATGATGGCCTGGAAAATGGGTTGTAAGTGTTAACTCATGCCCCGTAGGAGTTTTTAAAGGTTTAAAACGTGAAAACAAATCTTCAAAAGCAACCTCATACAAGAGGCTGGCAACGATGTTGTCCCGATTTTCCTGATTTACTCCCGGGAATCGAGTGGCCAGGAGGGTGCGGAAGTTTGTGCCCAAAAGCCGCAAGCCTTTCCTGTAAATGGTAGGGTACTCTCACGTAGTGATACTTAATGAAATTTAGATACCAACGATATAGCGTTTTGAACGGTTTTGAAAAAATCGGGTTAAAAACTCACGACAGGACATAATTCTCCGCAAGAGCATCGGCCAGCCGCTCGCTCCACAGTACGAGGAACTCCTTTGAACCGTCCATAATCTAGAAAAATGAATGAATTTATTATTAATGGTTAAAATATAGGTGTTTATCCATATATTAATATACTTACCGCCTTCACTTTCTCACAGCTGGCCGCCGATTCGGGGTCTTCGGCGACTCGGCCATAAATGGACTTGTAGATGTCCTCGGGGTCGAGGTTGAAGATCTAAAATTTTCTTAGTTTTAAAAGAATTAGGAAGGTCAAAAGTCTTTTTTGACGTTTTATAGTTAAAAACGGTTAAATTTTAATCCCAAAATTGCTACAGGGCTTCGATTCCCAATGCTTGCAATTTTTCTTTTTTTTTTTGCTCGAAAGCTATCGTACCATTTGCCCTCCATCCTGATTCTCGCCATTCTCTACCTCGAGCTTTTGCTCGGCGAAGAACTCGTCGAGCACGGCGACGACGGGCTTTTGGCTGAGCTTGGGCACCATTGGGGAGAACGTGCTGAAAAGTCAGGCTAACTTTCGTTCTCAAATGCTCTCTGCTAGCGGGCCCTCCTTTCATTCCCCAAATTTTCACTGCTAAATCGCGCAATAAAAACTCTTACCCGGAACGCAGCGCCGAGGCGACAATCTGAATCTGGGGTGTCGAGTTGACATTTGCAGTGTTGGCCTGCTCGAGGCCGGCCTTCAGCAGCTCGGTTAGAAGGCCGACCTGAATAACATCGCGTGATCGGTTAGATTTTGTCGAAAAAGGTCCGTCGATAGGATCGTTACGGAATTTAGAAACTGACAGCCAAAAATTGCTCCCGGTTCTCAGCGAGATGGCCGTAGATTGGGGCGACGACTTTGGCGAGGAGGCTGTCGTGCTTTTCGGGGGATGTCGCTGAAAATTGTGGATTTGGCATTTGGATCTGAACTTCCGGTCAACCAGCGGCGATTCTTTAGGAAAATCTACGCCAGCAAGATAGCAAAGATCATTTAGGAAAATCCACTTTCGGCCATCTAGAAGAGGTTCTTTTCGGAAAACCCACCCAAAACCAAGCTTGCCAAATGCTTAGGTTCCGTTTGAAGGAGGTAGAAGAGCTGCCCCAGTTTGTCGGTCATCTCCTTTTCCTAAAATTTGACAAAACTACCGTATCCCGGTTTTATTCCACCATACCTTCCTCTTCAGCGTAAACGTCCGGGCGTGGAACGAGCCGGCCGAGTCGTCGACCTTTTTCTTGTGCGCCAGAATGTCCTAAAAACACAAATTCAGGGTAAAAGATAACTAAAAAGAAAATCAATCAAATAGTATTATCACGTACATGTCGATTCATTTTGTTCTTGATGAGGAGCCCGATATTGGTGTATTGTTCCTGGAATGTCATTAGATGTACTTTGCAGTGGATCGGAAAAAACCTCAAGCAAAGTGCCGAGCTGTTGATTTGACATGGCCAGTTGGATGACTTCGGCTTTTTCTTGTTGGATGGCTGAAAAAATGAGGCAATATTTTTTAAAGAGACTGTGAAGGCATGAAAAGAGAGAAATCCGTAAGGATACTGGTTCTCTTACGCTAAAAAGCTCCCTTTAAAACCCACCCAACTGCTCGGCCAGCTGCGCCTCTTGCTCCTCCTTTTTCGGCAGGTATCTCCTCAACAGGGCCAGTGAGGGTGAATCGGTGGTATCTAGAGGGTTACGGTAGCTCGGCCAGATTTTAGGGTTTACTGAGTGCATTCTTCTCTTCGAGCCACTTCCGGTATTGGCGTTGAATCGCGGCTGCGGCTTCGTTCTTTTGTCGTTCTTCCGTGTTTCTGGAAAATAAATGGTCACTGCTAGTCTGCCCTCTCATTCCTGAATAATTTCTGCTAGCCTGCCCTCTCCATTCCCCAAAGGCTCTCTGCTAGAAAGCCCCCTTTTTTCACTCACCGTTTCACCTTCTCGGCCACCGCCAAATTCTGCTGGAAGTAGGTTTTCTAAAGAGCACTTAAAAACCACCGAACTACCGTACCTCCAGCTCATCAGCCTGGATGAAATCAGATTTCCTCGGTTCCTTGGGTCCCGCGTGGAATTTTCGCTCGTTGACCTCGACGGCCACCGTACCAACGGGGGTCTCGTGCCAGAACCAGGATTCCTGGATGATGGTGGATTATTTTAAAGGGACGATGACAGTACTCCTTCGGGTTCAGCCTTATCCAGACGACGTTTGCTCCTTGTGACGGTTTCTTCGAAGAGGACGTCCAGGTAGCATTCGAGAAGGTCTTTTCGGAAGCTGGTGGATTTATCTGAAGCAGCGAGTTTTTGTCATTTTAAAGGGATGTTCCCGGCAAGATTGCAGAGACATTTTCAGGAAACGGGGCAGGCTAGCAGAGATTTTTGCGGAATTGGCGCGGATGGTAGGGCAGGCTGGCAGAGGATATTTATGGAATCCAGGCGATGGGAGAGTGAGCTAGCAGAGGTCCTTGATGAAATGTCACAACTCAGGGCAGGCTAGCGGAGATTCTTTGCAAAGCTGAATGGTTAGGGGACTCTTAGGGAAAGATTTTTGGGGCAAGCTAGCACAGGGTCTTTAGGACATTCTGGAGACAAGGGCAGCCAGTAGCGCTTTTTTCCGGAATTCAACGCAATCTGGTAAGCTAACAGGGATTCTTGAGGAAAAGGTGAGGACGGGCAGCTAGCAAAAATCCGTTCGGAAAATTGATAGGAGGGCAAACTAGCAGAGGTTCTTTGCTCAATTTCTACCTGGATTCCTTCTAGCTAGCAGCTGAAGCGTTGCCCCAGCATTCTCTCGGTCATTCGTCTTCAACGCCTCGTTGAGCACGACCACTAAAAGGGGTACCGTAGATGGGTCAGCTTCTAGAAAACCTACACAATTCAGCCGTTTCGAAGGCTTTTGAGGTGTCAGTGTTGATGTGTTCGAGTTGTTGTCTGGAATTTCGGGTTAAAAAGGTTAACTTTTTTAAATTTTAAAATTTTTTCGCGAGGTGAAACCTACTTGAGCTCTCCATGGGGTAACATGCCTCCTCTGGCCTTCAGCGATTCATGGTAGAAGTCTAAAAAGTGCTTTTTTTTCTTGAGTATTGGCTTAATTTACCGAGATGATCAGCGATGTAGACGTCGGGGAACAGTTCGGCTAAAAGCTGCCCCAGCGTCTCGCGGTCTTGGCGTTCTACAGCCGACCGGACTTGCATCGCTGAATTGGAATTTTAGGGGGAATTCCACGCATAAACTGACCGCTCCACAGTTCGGGCGACAACTCCTTGAACTCGACGACGATCTGCTCGAGCTCGTTGCGGCGGAGGAAGAAGTCTTCTGGGGTGTCACGGTACTGCTCGGCAAGTCTAAAGCGGGATATTAACCATTTTTAGGCGATTTATGTATGTGGATTGCAATTAAACGGGGTTGGACTCTCGTTCAACACCAGATTCTTGCGTATCTTATTATGTACTATTTATTTTATATTATTTTATCTCTCAACAGCCAGACTTTTCTTTAGACAAAAAAAGCAAAAGTTAAAAAAATAACCGAAAGAGAAGCTTTTTTTAGATGGCTGAACTCCTAGAAAACGTCGTTCAGCTCCTCTTCCGGGAAAAGCAACCAAAAAAGAAGCTTTGGAAAGGGACCGAGCTCCTAGAAAACCTCGTTCAACGCCCACCTCTTGTGGTACGGCTTGGCGTACTGATCATCTACGTCAAGATCAAGCACCGCGTTCCGCAAAGCGTCCAGCGTGTCCCGTGGATTGTCATGTACTGCGGCCAATTTCACGTCAAGCAGCGCGTTGGCCTCTGAATTTTAGGGTAACGACGACTTCAACAAGTTCACCAACCAGCCACCACCCGGGCCACGTCCTCCTTCTTCAGCTCGGCGCCGGCGTTGAGGCTCTCGCGGACAAGGACAATGTAGAGGGGCATAGCGCTCATTCTGAAGCACGGTTTTCAATGTGTTAGGAAGGCAACAATGAGGTTCCAAAATTGAAATGAATTCTGCCAACAACTTCGGCAAGTTTGGCTGGCATTACCTTCGAAAAGCAACAACTACAGGAACATCTACTGGCGTTCATTGGCCAAAAAAATCCATAACCGCGCCTTGCACGTCCCTTTAAGCAATCGAAAAACATACCGTAGCGCGGTTTCCGGATGCAAAAGCGTCAAGTAGTCCCACAGCAATGGGTGCGGCACGTCTAAAAGTTTAAATTTTTAAAAAAGATTTTTTTTTAATGCAAAGCCCAAGGGCACCCGGTTAGCGACAAAATATCGACACGAAAAAGAGATGAAAATTGAACAAAGGGTGTGAGTGCTTTTTGGCGAAACCTGTAGCTGGGGAACGCACCATTTTCAGCTTAACGAATTGGAATTCATTAAAATATAAATTTTATAAAATTTACTTGTCTCCCGGAGCAGTGCGTCAATCTTCTTCAACGCGCTTTCGGCTGAAAAGATGGGAATTCTGGTTGTATAGCAGTAATGAAAACTAACATTCGATTTTTGAGGTGTAGCAACCGATTACGCAATCTGATCGACTAAAAAAAATCGAATAAACTATCAATTCCCCAAAAAGCAAAAACATTCTTCCGTTGCCGGGAATCGAACCCGGGCCTTATGGGTGAGAGCCATAAATCCTAACCACTAGACCACAACGGAGGTGTGGATCGGGCAGCGAGAGAGGCTCATAAGGGTCGGCTCCCCCGTCGATAGGCCCCAGATTGACAGCCCGGTCTATCAATGGGAGTTTACCACTTTTTGGCAAAAAAATTCTACAACCCCTTATCATGGGGTGACGGCCAGTTCGCCTAAATCCGTTTCGCCTAAATCCCATTTAGCCTAAAGCCCATATCGCCTAAAACCCGTTTCGCCTAAACCCGTTTCGCCTAATTCCCATTTAGCCTAAAGCCCATATCGCCTAAAACCCGTTTCGCCTAAACCCATTTCGCCTAAATTATTGACCGTTTGCCCTGCTGCATTTTTTACAAAAAATCACCATTTTTTGAAATACTTGTAAGTGTTTTAGGATTTTCTAAACATAATTTTGCAAATTCCTTGTCAAAAACCACGTTATGAAGCCAATTACATAGCTTTTAATGAAGAATTTCAAGGAGTCTCTTTAAAATCTTACGAACTATTATAAAGCTTTCGAAAATTGCCGACTTTTTGGTCAAAAGTTTATATATGAAAATGACCAAAATTTAGGCGAAACGGGTTTAGGAGAAACGGGTTTTAGGCGATATGGGCTTTAGGCGAAATGAGATTTAGGCGAAATGGGTTTTAGGCGATATGGGCTTTAGGCGAAATGGGATTTAGGCGAAATGGGCTTTAGGCGAAACGGGTTTTAGACGAAACGGGTTTTAGGCGATATGGGCTTTAGGCGAAATGGGCTTTAGGCGAAATGGGATTTAGGCGAAATGGGCTTTAGGCGAAACGGGTTTTAGACGAAACGGGTTTTAGGCGATATGGGTTTAGGCGAAACGGGTTTAGGCGAAACGGGTTTAGGCGAAACGGATTTAGGCGAAGTGACCGGAATTCTTAATCAAATCCATGCTAATTCTAATGCCATATTAAAGGGACGGGAAAGGGATTTTCGTAGATTTCTGGGTAATGGCTTATCTACGGATTCTGTCACATAATCCAATCTGCTACTTTTCAAGGGGTGCTACCGGTCTTAATCCATAGAAGATATGCACGTTTCGCGCGCGTTGCGTATCGCGGCGCGGCGACATCTATAACACCCAGATCCATCCCCTGCCAGCCCCTTTAAATGGCTATCGAAAGTTCATCTTCCATAAAACCAACTGTTCGTCTCGCTGACGGCCGTCTGCACGCTCTTTGCCGTCAAAGACCCATCGGTCTCTAGTTGCGTATGTAATAGCTGTGCGTACTCGTCAAGCAGATCGGCCTCCACATCCCATATCTGCGCGTCGTGATGCTGCAGGGCTGGCAGAAGCTTTTCATTGTCCTAAATCATCCAAAATCTTTTCGTGCCCCAACTACCGTACCCTCTCCCGAACCGCCGCCTCGATTTGTTCAATTGCAGCTTTGCGGAGGGCGTCTTCTTTCCTTAATTTCTCAGTTTATTTCATAGCGTAATCGTTTCCAGACCTGGATCCGCTGATAATATTGCCAACATTGCCGAACGCAGGCAGATTTTTCGCTTGGTCCTCGACTTTTGCGCGTTCTTCCTCTAAATCGCGGGCAAATTACAGTAGCCAGGAAGTACGCGGCGCACCTGTATATACTTGGTGTTTGACCTCGCGGATTGGCGGACCGCGACGCATCCGGAAGAGGAGGTTGGCCATGGCGTAGATGCAGTAGATGGTTTGTACGTTTCGGCCCTCGTAGACGTCGACGGTGTCCGGGTAGAAGATCTGAAGATCGGGAATTTAAGGTATTAAAAAATGAATATTTCTATTGCAGAAGTAAAAACCAAAAAGCAAAAATTTGTTGCGGCCGGGATTCGAACCCGGACCCTGTGCTTGCTATACCTAAGCCTTAACCGCTACGCCATCAGCCTTTTTCAGACGTTTTAACGTTAAAATACATTAAGAACACCACTAATTAATCAAGATAAGAGAAAAACAAAAAGCAAAAAACCTGCCGCGGACGGGATTCGAACCCGGATCCTACGCCTCGTCACGAAAGCCCTAACTCCTCAACCAAACCCACCTTGGGCAACTTTATCTTCTGCAACGCGGCCATCCACAGGTTGATATTATTCGTGTATTTGTAGTTTTTCGCTCTTTCCGGATCGTCGGGTGTCGCGGCCAGCCGGGCGTTGTAGATTTTCTAATGTTGGCTTGTTAATACACTTAAATATGCCTAGATATCTATATGTAATACCTAAAAATGCTTAAATCTTCTGCTCACCTCATCCAAATCAAATACATTCTTGAGCGGGACCACCTCGGGCTCAAAAGAGTGGCCAAGTCGAGCTAGGAGGACGCCATTTGATAGAGCTCCGGGTAGAGAGGCGGCTGGGGGTACCGAATCGTCCTTCAGACATTCCACAACCCAGCTGGAATGGCAGGGATTTTTTGGGAAAATCAAGAAAAAGGATACGGCAGGAACATACGGTCTGAAACTCAAAATCAACTAGGCAGGCTAGCAGAGATACTTAGGGACGATGCTGGGGAAAACAGCGGAGATTTTTTGAAATGACCAACAGGCATTAATAGAAGGATGCCAAAAAGCCCAGAAAACCACCCACTTTCTGACTTGTGTGAGATAATTGAGGTAGTCGTTCGTCTGTTTCTCGACCATCTTCTGGATGACGAGGCTTTGCTCTTCGATTTCTTGATCGGGAGGGGGCTGGGGGCTGTGGCCGTTCATCTGAAACTATTTTAGGGGGTGGATTTTGGCTTGAACGCTCGTTGAAAATGGGGGAAAGAAGCGGACCTCGGGTCTTTTCTGGGGTTTCGGGGCGACGGGCGGTGGTGTCCGGGCCATGCCCTGCATATTGTGGTTCTCCAGTTCACCCTGGGTCATTGGAGGGACCTGAAAAAGAGAAAGATAGAGAGACAGAGGGAGATAGGGAGAGAGATAGAGAGCAAAAAAAAGAGTGAGAGGGATAGGGACAGAGCTGTAATTTTGGAGTAAATCGTACAGCCTGAATAAATCAATAAACTTTAGTGAATCATCGTGTCAATGCCATTTCCCTTCATCAGATATTCCTATAGACAGCTTTTCCTCTCCCCCGACATTTCTGGGCGTACCACAACAAAATGGCCATCGCCCTCCCTTCTGGAATACGTAAATAGACGATCCACCGGGTGCCAAAATGACTCATTGCGACGAGAGAGAGAGAGAGGGAGAGGAGAGAGAAAGAGAGAGAGAGCGATAGACAACATGTGTTTTTTTTGTTTTCTATCCCTAAAGAGGTGGGGAAGGCAGAGTTGTAGTCAAAGAAGGCTAGCAGCCGCCCATTGAGGAATCGGACTCTAACCAAACCACAAAATTTGCGTATACAATTTTACAAAAATATAGCAACCTGTTTATTAAATAAATCCAATTTTACAGCGACTAAAATTTTACAAACATTGCCTTAAGGGATATAAAATTCTATTTAATTTTAAAAAGCACTCAAAAAGGTTTAAAACATTCCAAAGAACACTTATTTACATCAAACAGCAAAAAAATTGTTTCAGCCGGGATTCGAACCTTATCCCTTTTTCTGGCGGGCTAGACGCTAACCACTGAACCAGATCTATAAAACTTAAAATAGGTAAGGATCAATATACATTCAAAAATCGTACATCCGGTTTTGGGGGTATGGCTGGATGATATTTAGGGTTTTGGCGGCGGAAGGGATGGAAATGTTGCCCTCGGAGGGTAGAGGGCCCTAAAATGACCAGAAGGGAGGGGAGGATGAGTCAGAGAGGGAGAGAGAGAGAAAAAAGAGAGAGAGAGAGAACACTCAAATCCAAGAGACAACCGAGACAGATCGTCACATTTGATAAGGGGTCGCCGGGAAGGGGTGAAGCTTCAGTTGCCAAAAGCCTGAGAAACGCAGTGAAAATTTCCTAAAAAATCTCGAAAAAACAACGCCAAGGGGGCAATCTAGCGCAGACACTTTGCGGAACGCCGCGGGCCAGATCCGGGAAATTTTTTGTGGGGGGCCTGATGAAGGGGGCAGCGGAAAGGGGGACAAACAATAGAGGGTGCACCCCCACCATCTAGGCAATGTAAATAACAACCGATACACGGATAAACAAATGAATGGAAGAGAGAGAGAGAGAATGAGAGAGAAGAGAGAGAGAGAGAGAGAGAGAGAGAGAGAGAGAGAGAGAGAGAGATCTGAGGCATATTAGCACCCCCGCATTTGGGGGTAATGAAATGTGATCTCTCCATCTAGACGTCTTCATTAGGGCAAGCTAGCAGATTCTTTACGGAAAATAAACTTTTTGCCCCAAAATTGAGGCAAGCTAGCAGAGAAACTTGGGGAAACAGAGTTAGAAAACTAAACCGAATCTGCAAAATCGACCAGGCAAGCGAGCAGTGATGCTTTTAGAAGTGGATTTAGACCGGTTAGCAGAGATCATTCAGGTAACGACACTGGGCATGCCACTAAAGAAATTCGGGGAAAAAAGCAGCATTTAGCAAATTGTCTCGGCAAGCTAGCAGAGATATTTTGAGAAGCGGATTTAGGCATGCTAGCAGACATCATAAGAGAAAGTAATCAAAAAAAATCCGGATGGCAAACCAGCTGAGATTTTTAATAAAAACCAAGTTTCTCCGAAACAATTTAGGGCAAGGTAGCAGAGGTTCCTAAGCCGAAAATCACGGCAAACGGGCTGAATTTCTTTGCGGAAACCATCAATGACCTGAAAATCCGACCCATTCATTTCCGGTCCAACAAATCCGGGGTCCCAAAACGGGGTAATTTGACGAAAATCCTCGCCGACAGGGGAAATGGGGCTACAGAAGGAGACTGTTTTCGGCATCTGTCTTCCAGAGCAGGGCTTTGTACTAGGAAAAAACACGCAAATTTCGCTGGTCATCTGGGTCTCTGCTACCTGCCCTATCTCTCTCTCCCTCTCTCTCTCGCTCTCTCTCTCTCTCTCTCTGCTCACTCTCTCGCAGGTGGAGAAGCGCTAATCTGAATTGTGCCGTGCTGCCTTCGCGAAAAGTGGGCCGTAAATATCGAATGGCAACTTGGGTGTCGGTAAACAAAGGGTGCAAAAAAATAGTTTTTGAATTGTCTCTGCTAGCTTGCCTCGCGTTCTGTAAAAAAATTTTATTTTTGAAAGAATCTCTGCTAGCCTGCCCTAAAAGCGTTTCCGCAAATTTTCTCTTAGCTAGCTTGCCCCTCCGTTCCTAAAGAATCTCAGCTCGCTTGCCGCATTTTCCACTCAGAATCTCTGCTAGCCTTCCCAAAAAAACCCCTGAATGCCCTGCTAGCCTAACCTCCCGATTCATAAAGAATCTTTGCTAGCCTACCCCATACTTCCCCAAGAATCTCTGCTAACCTACCATTTTCTTAAATAATCCATGCTAGCCTGCCAATCTGTACAAATGTCTCGGGGAATGCTGGGCCCAATATAAGAGGAAAAGCCTCGACAGGTGAACCACCGGCTCGGCTTTTCTTTTCCATTGCCCCGCCCGACTCGGCCGGTAAAATGCATTTCTGAATGGGTGGAATCGGGTGAGAGAGAGAGAGCGAGAGAGTGTGAGATAGAGAGAGAGAGAACGGGGGGGACTCCCGATTGCTTGTCTAACAACAAAAAGGAAGAATGGAACGTTGGGTTCAAAACGAATTCTTGGGGGCAAACTGGCAGTGGTTTCTTAGGAATCGGCGTTCCATAGCATTATCCATCCATCGAACGCCAGCAGAGATTATTTCGGAAACGGTACCCGGGCAAACTAGCAGAGATTCTTGGGGAAACGGGCGCACGTGGGCATGCTGGCAACGATCATTTGGGAAATCCGGAAAGGATCCCGGCTAGCTAGCAGCGAACCTTTAAAGAAACGCGTAGATTTGAGCTAGTTTGCAGAGACAATTTAGGAAAGTGAATAGAACCAGACAAGCTAGCAGAGATTCTTAAGGAAAACCGTGCTGAACAGGCAAGCTAACAAAAATAGTTTCAGATGGTCGTCCCGGGCAAGCTTGCAAAGATCATTTAGGAAACCTTCAAGCCACAGGCAAGCTAGAAGAGGCTATTTAGGAACTCAAGAATTTTTAGGGCAAGCTAGCAGTGATCATTTGAGGGGAAAATTGATGAAATCGCTGAGGTCAATGAATCAATCCGGCCTCTCAAAAGCGGCTGTGTGAACAAGAGTCCGGGTAGAAATCGTTGGATTCGTGAATGGAATGAAGCTGTTGAAGAGGAGGGAGAGAAGAGGGCAAAAACATTGTCCACCCAGGGCACACATCCACAAATCGATCAGATTCATTTCCATCGAGTCGATGGAAATGCAAAGAGACAAACAAATACACGCACACAAACACTCAGAATTAAGCAGAATGACTAACAAAAATGGAAAAATCGAGTGGGTGGGTGGGCTAGCAGAGATTTTTGAGGAAACGTTGACTAGTAGGTATTATTGTTTGATGGGTAACTAGCAGAAATTCATTCGGAAACTGGAGCTAGCGGAGTATATTTGGCTAAAAGTGTAACTAGCAAAGACCCTTGGGGAAACGGTGGCTAGCAGAGATTTCCTGGGAAAATCAACTGGCAGAGCAGAACCAAGTGCGGGCTAGCAGAGATTATTGACGAGGGCAAGCCCATGCACAAGAGGCCTTTCCCTAAAAGATCTCTGCTAGTTTCCGCGGTACTGTTTCGTTAGCGGGGGGATCGGGTGGGCGTGGGCTCCTCCTCCCGGTAGCGCACCAGAACCGCTTCCCCATTTTTTCAAGGTTTAAGAGGATAGTTCCACCTGAAACAGTCGGAATTTCCCTAAAAAATCTCGGCTGGGCCGCCCCATGGCCTTTTTCAATTGCCGAGGGTTAGCGACAGTAAGAAAATGGCTGATCTGCGAGTGTTAAAAAGACTTTAAGACAGGAGTAAAATCACGCTGTTATAAGCGGTTTTTAGCAAGCCGTCAGCAGTATTCCTGCGTATCCATAGCCCATTTTCTGCCTTCAACAGTCCTTTAAAACCCAAACACACCCCATTTTGTGATCCACAAGCCGTTTTGGATGTTGACTGGATGGTTTTGAAGCTAGTTGAGGGGGGTTGGCTGGGGGGGTGAATCGTTTCGGCAAATATTGAAATGTGCTGGGTGGTTGTGGGTGTGCCGTTTGGATGGGAGAAAGAAGAAGAAGAAGAAGTGCACAGAAAAGGGACAGCGGAAATGTTCCGAAGCTTCTCAAGCAGATTACAAAAAGCTTTTAGCCTCTTCCCCCACCTCTAGCGAAAAAAAGAGAATTCCGAACACTCGGCTCAAAAATAGGTCCCGCGCCACTTTGTCGCTCGAAAATTGAAGCAAAATATTTTTGGGGGGTTTTAGTGGTTCTGGCAATCTGGCAGTGGTTATTTGGCAAATATCGACGTGATAGGCTAGCAGAGACCATTTGAGAAACTTCTTGACAGGCAAGCCAGCAGAGATTTTTAGGGAAAACCGCACCAAAAGCAAGCTAGCAAAGGTCATTTAGGCAACTACTCGAATTTTTAGCTGTAAACTAGTAGAGTTTTCAGGAAATCTGCTTAAAAAACAAACTAGCAGAGACCATTTGCAAAAGTGAATCCTTAGCAGGAAACTAACAGAGATTCTGGTGGAAAACGCATGCAAGAGGTAGCAGTGGTTATTAGGGAAATATCGACCTGGCAGGCTAGCAGAGATTATTTCGGAACCGGATGGAAGCCTTGGCAGGCCGCGTAGCAGAGATTTTTAAGCAAAACCGCCGAAAAACCAACGAGCAGAGATCATTTGAAAAACTGAATTCTTAGCTCAAAACTAACGTAAACTGGCTGAGATTCTTGGGGAAAAATTACAAATAACAAAAAACAAGAGCAAGCTAGCGGAGATGCTTTAGGACATCGGGAAATCTAGAGCAGGATCCTATCGAAACCCAGCCAACACTCCAAGGCCATAAGCCTGCAGGGGAGGAAATTGGTAGCGAAATTACGGTAATCCAGAGGTGGGCTCTGGGGGAATAATGGGCGGACTATGTCAAGGACAACGATATACAACTGTCAACAAACGGATGGGAAAGTTTTTTAATGGAAAAACTTAATAATATACTTAAAGTACTTCCTAGCGGATTTAAAAAAAACCGCACCACCGCAGAATCCTAAAAAACAACATAATAACGTGGGACCCACAGGTGGCGGGCCCTCCCTGAAGGCCAACTCAAATTTCACTCGGCCCGTCAAATTTTTTCCGGAAAAGAGAAGCTGGGGGCCCCCTTTTTGCCCCCCATTTGCTGATTGTGTGAGTGGTTGCCACAAAATACGAGAATTTGCGGGGAATTACGTTACGAAAAGCTGCAATAAGAGGAGAGAGAGTGAGAGAGTGAGAGAGGGAGAGATAGAGATATAGAGCAAGATGCGAGAGACGTAAAGAAATCAAAAAACAAACCCTCTAAAAAGTACTAAAAAACCCTTGAGTGGTCAAAGAGGTTTGTAGGTTTGTGGGAGTAGGCGTGCCAAGATGGACGAGAAGCCGGGGGCCTAGTGGCCACTGGGCACTTGCAGGGTGGGCCCTAAGGGGATTCACTCCACACTCTCTCTCTCCACCTATCACACACTCTCTATCTATAAAACTCTCTCCCGCTGTCGCTCGCCCGTTCTAATCTCTCGCCCAGGGGAAAACTCAGCTGTTACCCCCCTGCCCACCACGCCGGCCATTTATTAGGTCAACTTGCGCCCGGCACTAGCTCGCGAAACTTTTGCACACACACTTCAAAAGTTTATAAAGGGTAATTTACGGGTTTTTGGCACAAAGAGGCTCGAGAGGTATTTTTTAGAAAACACTGGAAAACACTCGAAAAAACCGTGGTCAAATGCTTCTGCGGAAATGGTGAAACAAGGTTTAAAAATCGAGCTTTTATGAAAAATAAAAACACGAAAAAAAAAAATTCTGTGGCAAGAGTAGCCAAAAAAGCGTTAAGTCGGAATTATCCAAAAAAAAAAACGAAACATTGCGAAAAGTCCTATTTTTTTAAAAAACGAAAACATTAAAAATTAAATTCTGTCGGAATCCAGTGCAAAAAAGCCTTCATTGTTATGGAAAAAAATCGAAAATGGTATTGATTTGAAAAACAAAACAAAATAAATTAAAAAAAGAAGTATCGCTAACCAGTAAAACATTAGAAACTAGCCCAAGTAAGTAGCTTGCCTGAAAATTCCCCAGAGGAGCCCGAACTTCCTTGATTTGCATACTACGATTCGTCTTTGGGCGGTCCCTCTCTCTCTCTCTCTCTCTCTCTCTCTCTCTCTCTCTCTCTCTCCTACTACTGGTGGTTTTGGATGCGCGCGAAACAATTCAGTTTCCACCCGCTCGCACCACTCGATGTGAACCCATAGCCATGCAGGGGCCTCTGAGGATGGGCCCAGGACCCACTCATCCCCCTAAACCACCCCACAAACCCCTCAAATGACCCCCCATAAATCGGCACACCCTTCCCCGAGCAGAACTTGACAAAAGTAGATACCGACAAAGCTGCAAATTAGAAAATTACACGTTGTAAATACACAAACATTGGTCGGACCGGGAGAGGAACACTAGAAAAAAACCTTCCAGCAAGCCAAGATAGCCCCAACGATTGGGAATTAGGGAACAACGATAAGGCAGCGAGTTAAAATTAACAACCCCGATTTTATAACAGCCATTTTGTGTTTTAATAGTTTTAATAGCCAATTTTAACAAGTCCAGAAATGTTTATTAAAGAAATCGTAAGTGTTTTAGCAGTGTTTTTAAAATTGAACTGTATTTCAAACGGAAACTTTTTAAGAAAACTGCGCAACCTCAAAATTTGGGCGAACAATCGTAACTTTGTATTTTTTTTGATAAAAATTGTCAATTTTTACGTTTCAGAGCTAAAAACTGTTTAGAAACCCTTTATTTATTTATATTTACAAAATGGGACAGCAGAAAAGTGGTTCCGCCCCCGATAATAAGAAATCACCAAGTGTTCGTGTGGACTTGATGATTTTTTCAACGTTACCTAGATTTTTCAGAGCCTTTCTGTCGATCGAAATTCCGATAGAAATGAGCACGACCTGATCTAAAAATGTAAACGGCCTAAATATTAGCTTAGCATGCTGATTGTGAGTATTTGTTTTTACAGGGCCGCCCGAAGCCAATTGGCTCATAATAAAACTCTAAAACCTTGTGCGCACTTGGAAATTCCAAGTTGGAATGGAGCACGGCGCATTGATTAAAACGGATTAAACATCGACTATAATTTAAAATTATTTAATAGTTCGTAAATCGACTACATTTTTATTTTTTAAAAAACTAATGTCGCTGGCGTTTTGTAACGCGCCCCGGGACCGTTGCAGAGTTCCGTGCTACTACTGTTTGCGGCTCCCGCCCGCAGTTGTTCGTTGGCGGAAATGGCCCTTTTTCACTCTCGGTTAGTAAAGCGCCAGCGGGCGCGCCAACTTCGGTGCTATTAGCGGACGCGCAGGCGCGCCATTAGCGCTTTTGGCGAAAGCGCCCGTTGGCGCGCTCATTTGTCGGATTGCGCTCATAAAGCGCCCATTTCTTTTAGCTGGTCGGACGGGGGTTTTCGTAAAATAGTTTTTATTATTAAATAGGGGGTGTAATAGCATCGCTTTTGCGATGTGGTACACTAGAAGAGGCGCATCCGACGTGTAAGCCCAAAAATTGTCGGTCTGCGCATCTAAATAGCTTATTTAGAAGCATAATCTTTGTAAAACCTATTTTTTTTTTGCTTTCATAGCGCCAGCGCGCGTATTTGACCTAAAAGCATTGGCGCGCCCGCTAGCGCATTGATGAAGTTGGCGCGCCCGCTGGCGCTTTATTAACCGAGCTTAGCAAAATTTTTTTGTATAAAAAACAGCTGTTCTTTTTGGGATCATTTTCTTTTTTTTACTCATTGCGGTCCTCTCAAATCAGCTCTTTTTAGCCCAATGGTTGACGCCGAGAAGCGGAACGAACCAAGAAGAACCCATGACGTGGTGCTCGAAAGGAATCAAAGGCTGTTGTTCGATGAAGAGGGAATCCATCACTTCTGCGTCAAAGGTGGCGCTACTACACGGATAGTTTGCAAGCGTTCGGCAGTGAAGTCGATTAACTATCAGCCTCTAAGGCATACGATTGACATCGACACAGGAAGAGGCCTGGTATAAGTCCGGAAATTGTATTGGAATAACGGTTTTAGAAGCCATTCAAGACATGTCGTGCATTGGGCGTGGCTCATATCAAAGCAGCTGTCGAAGGCGCCTGCAGGGCTTTTGGATACATTCTCGTTGAGAAAGCTCCCAGCAAGCCGCCTAGTGCCGTGCCGGGAGATGCTCTGTTCGACTCCCCGAGGTCTGCGAAAGGTATATTAATCTGTATTTGGTTATTTCGAGCCACTCGATCTGTGAGCCCAATTAGCGAAGTAGTTCCAATTGTTTCTGGATAAATTAAAGCTAGTCATAGATCGTTTGCCATTTGTAAACAAAGCCGGATTATTTATTGAATTGATTGTTCCTGAGACTCCCTGAAATTCAACTGGTTTTTTTTTACTTAGCCGTCAAGCAGTTTAGGGCTTTGCCTATTTACTCGAATTTTTAGAACGAAGTGCGCCCATTAGAGGAAGAACAGCCAGCCCCGAGCGCGCGGGAACTGATTTCGGTAGCGTAATCGGTTCGTTTGGGCGGCTTTCTTCAAACATGCTGGCAATTTCAAGGTCTAAAAAGCCCATCACCGACGCGCACGATGCAAGCTCGACCCGAGCGGGGCCTGACGCCACAGAATGGCAACAAAAGATCGTACATGGACACTGTTTTGAAGCCGACGTCAATCCAAGAAGGTGTGTTATATTTCGTTCTTTTGATGCTTTTTATTTAGAGATCCGCAGTTCGACACCGCCACGTTGGAATGTCTTCGACAAGGAGAATCAAAGGCCAGACCTGAATAAGATCAAGAACAAGATTGGCAACCCTTCCTACCTCTCTCTGAAACCCAACTTACACTCGCCATTGCAGAAGGTTGTTTTTATTTGCCCTTTATTATTTTTGCTTTTTCCTGCTTTTACTAAAAGAACTTCAAAAATGACATTACCGGTGTTTCCAGTCATTCCTGCCGGAGATTCGCGAGGAACGGCAAAGGGAGCCCCGGAAAATTACAACAGCACAGTCGCCAAAAACAACTAAAAATCCTACCAAAACTCTGGCTCGTTTCAACAAGTATTCCAAGGTTCGTCATTTGCTTGGCGTTGCCATTATTCAATTTAGGTGACCTCAGCCTACTACGTGGATGCAGCTGCGAGGGCTGTGTGTGAAAGATCCAAGGGAGACATTATTCTGCGGATTGCAGCGACAATTCCCTCGGATCGGCGAGCAACGGCGAAGAAGGAGCTCGCCCAGCCAGACAAGCGGCCAAGGATCGCGACTTCACCGGTGCCGAGCCATCAATTCGATTACAAGGGACTCGTCAATCCTCACAACCATTGCTATCTGAATAGTGTCTTGCAGGTGAGCAGGATTCTCACGCAAAATACTTTGTTTTAGATTGTATGCACGAGGCCGTTGTTTGCGTCAAGGGTTCTGGCGGCGATCGGAATGGTGGGAAGCGAAGCGCCAAACCATCTCTCTCCTATATTCCAGTGAGTTTAGATTTTATTGTTTAGTTGTGTTTTTTTCTGGACATCTATCGACCTCGCTTCATCCTTTGTTTAGTACGCTTGAAGAGCTATGCACGCGCCTACCCATGTCACCGAAACAGGCTGCCATCTTCCACAACAACCTAAGCCCTGTGCGTGTGGAGGAGGTAGGTGAATATTTTGTCAATCATCATCATTTCTGCGTTTAGTTATCCAACCTACTCGACTACCTCGGCAAGAACTACTGCAACACTTTTCTGGAGAACAACGGGCGAGCACAACATGTACCTGTTTGGAATTGTCTATTTTAAGATCTTTAGGATGCACAAGAGCTCTATGGATGCCTCATTGATGCATTGTACGAGCAGTGCGAGGGTAAACGACCGAAGAATTTTCTGGCTACCAAGGCCGACGATTCGATAGCCGAGAACACCAAGTCGGAGCTTGTCACGGCGCTTGAGTCGGCCGAGGCTTCAGCTGACGTTGACGAGAGCAAGGTGGATGACGTCGCCACTCAAGATTCTGATGAGGTGCCGGATAGTCAAGAGCCGCCCCCTCCAACCCCACATGCTGTCGACCCAAACATAGACCAAACCGCGGTAAGATTTTTGGTGTAAACCGTAGAAACGCCTCTATTTCGGTGCCATTGGTTTTGCAATGTGACTGACTAAGTTCTTCGATAGATTCTGAACGTGTCGAATCTTGCAAAAATCGCTGCATCCGCTCGGGACTGAAATATTTGTCTCATTTTGCCCCTGTTCCCCAAAATGCACACTCTATGGAACTTTTTCGAAATCGTTAGCGTACAATTTTTGAACAGCTGTAATTGTGTAGAATTTCTAGCCATATCGAATGATCTAGGGAACATCGCTAAACTCTAAGATCAGATAAATAAACACTTTTTTAGATCGAGCCCAGCGTCGCCACTTCTCCACAGCTTTCCGACGGCCCTATCGCAAAACGAATCAGCACTGGTGCCCCGATTTTGTCGGGTGCTCTGAATCCGGCCAAATTGTTCCAGTTTGAGCACGTGACAAGGTATTTCTTTGGAAAATCATTGTTAAAGTTATTTAGTAAAACATGTGCTGCGTGTGGTAAGGCCCGTGCCTCTGAGGTGGCCCCTGATTGGCATCTGATGCTGCCTATTCCTACCAGGTACTGCGCCATTAACCTATTTCTACTCTTTTATTTTTAGTGGTGTCTACGATCCGGAAAAAGAAAAGCTGCCCGTACAATACCTGCTCGACCGAAAATTCGCCGAAGAGGAAATTGAAGTTGGTGATCTTGTTTGGTTTCGTTTGGGATGTGTTAATCTGACGTCGGTTTATGCGGATTCTTTCTAGGTGAAATGCGAGACATGCAACGGAACTGACAACGTCCACATTGCCAAGCTGCGACTACGAGAGTTCCCGACCTATTTGATGCTGATGATCGTGCGATACAATGGGGGAATGAACCGCCTTCCGCATGAGCTCATCATCAACGAAACTATCAACATGTCACGCTACTTGGATGAAGGTCCAGCTCCGAAACAGTAACATTTTGCGGATATCTTGAATTGTTAATTTGAGGCGAACGATCGTCGACCTGGACGGCACTGACGACCGCTTCTCCGTCGGTTCCCAGCAAAATTCCCCCGCCGATTTCTCTGATGAGGAAGTTACGCCCACATGCGCCAAACGGTACTGCGTTCATTGTTCGCATACAGTCTATCCTTTCAGCAAGCGTACAGATGATTCATTCAATATGTTCTCTGAAGATGACGATGGCGCGGGAAAGGAAACGCAGAAAAGGGCTCGGTACGACAAACCAGGGGAGAAGTCACCGTCTACAGACCCGCCAACTCGCGAAGAGCTAATGTAATCCTCTCTCATTGCTGCCAATTTTTTTAAGAAAGTCCTTTGCTGCTTTCTGCATCCCAAAATTTGATGATTTGTGGGAGGAATGGACGTCAAAGTGTTTTGCTGAGGTATCTTTAATATATGGATTATATAGGTAATCTTAGCCGGGAAATGGAGTCGTCGGAATTTCGACCCCGGAGGGCATGGCGACCTACACGTTCCGACCACCACCGTCACTTTTCTACACAAATGTGTCGAGGGCTTTCAATTGGTTGGTTTCTTAAAGAAACTTTCTTTCCAATTTTTTATGCACGCTGCTCCTTTCCCCTAACACCGTTGTTTAGCTTTGGAAGCACGGAAGCTTTGAGATCGGAACTCGGAGCGACAAAATGCTTCGCCCCAACTGACCAAGTGGTCGAAACCAAATCAATCGATGGCGACGGCAATTGCTTGTTCAGGTACTTTGGTGGTTGTCATGAAGACTCTAGCTTAGGGCTCTCTCCTATTGGATCGCGGGCAAAGAAGATATGTACCGAAGGGTGCGAAAGATCGTAAATTATTTTTGGTCGGCATATTTTTTCATTTTAGTTGTGTGCCTTTCTTCGTCTGCACTCGAAAAGCTTCGAAGGATTTTTGACGCCTCACGAAACGATGGAAGATCATTTAACGTTTGTTTCTTTATTCGTTTTTAGAAATTTTGTTTAGGGCGATGGAGGCAGACGCCGCATGGGGAGGTCAGACGGAGCTCGCGGCGGCGGCAACGCTCTTTTCGATCAACATCTTCACGCTCGTCGAAAAACGGTAGCTCTCAAATTGGTGTTGCTTTATGTGGCTTTCAGATGGCGTGTCTTCCGTCCGCTTTTCAAATGGGATCGCACTCAAAACATCACCAGTTTGAAGCTGACAGATCACACCCATCACGCCTTCTACTTGATCAATCAATATAGTTGCCATTTCGACGTGATCACCGATATCAAGGTACCCTGGCCCCAGCTTTATTTTTTAACGATTTTACAGACGGCAACCGGCAAACCCGAGCACATGTATACCCTCGTTGGGGTTGCCAACCACTCTGGACGCTCCCTTCAATCTGGTAAGAACTGCTAGCGGCGGTTTTTAGGCAATATTGGAGTTTTGCGAAGCGATATACCTCTTGTTATTAAGCTTGATATTTTGAACAGGTTCCATCTTTTACAAAATTGTTGAACGATTACGGTTTCAAGCAAAAGCTTCGAAAAGTTTTCATTTTGTTAAGCGGAGTCCAAGAATGGGTTTCTTACATGATGACAGTGATTTTCTCTAAAATAGGAATCGTTCAGCAATTTTAGAAAGATGGGACTTGTTCAGAATTTTTAGCTCTATCGAATCAGCTAGGTCATATCCCTCACTTCCATACCACGAAAAAACGACCTTTTGTTCGCATTAACTGAATTTTTTAGGACACTACACCGCAGCTGTGCGACAACTACTACCAAAAAGTTCTGGGGAGCTCGCCGAGACGTGGCTGACCTGCAACGATGAGTATATCAATGTGGAGAATGATCTTCAAGCGGTTCGTTAACCCCTTTTTTCAACACATTCTCCCTGTTTAGGCGTTGAACGCACGGAATTCCCCAAGAAACGCCTACCTTCTGCTCTACCGACGCGGCGACATCACCGCCGAGGGCGAGAGCGAAGAGCTGGAGCAGTACGTCAAGGAACACTCGGGCTGCTGACTTGTCTGAATTTATTCCTCACCAATTTTCCTCATTATCTGTGATCTTAGAGTTGATACTCGGCCTCTAGTCTTTCATCCACTGACATGATTCGCCCCCATTTTACTGATGACGCGTTTTGTGAACGTTGTGTTTGGGTATATCGCTTGAATTTCCGTTCCGATTCGCTTAAAATTTCCATTCCGATTAAAGTACTTTTTATGCTTACTCAATTTTCATAGTTACACACGGATAGCAGGCACTTTCGCTTCGCAACAGCCTTCGGGTTTTGGGGCTTACGTGCAGATTGAGTTGACCCGTATATACAGGACTTATTGGACAATGTAAAAATCGCGCTCATCATCAGGTGACCCCTCTAACCAGTCAGCACGTGTAGCTCTCCCACTAAAAAGTAATATGGAAAGGATTGTTATGTGAAAACAAAACGTATCGGTGCCGATAGTCGAGAAAATGATCGTATTTTTGGCAGTGGCGGCGCTGCTTTACTGGGTCAACATCGTCTTGATTCGAGCGGGCCTTTGATAGATTTTAATAGCCTCAAAGAAACCAATTACAAAAATAAATAAAAACAGATTTTCGTAGTAAATAAATTAATTTGCAGTTTTTCCTTCTTCCAAAAAAACCTTTCAAAGCTTTCACATTTTATAACGCGCCCCCTGAACCGTCGCGGGGCTACGTTCCTTTACAATTTACAAACTTCTTCGAGGCTTCCCCGAAGCATTTGTCTTTTTCAGTTCTCACGAAATTTCTTTTTGTTTGTTTTGAGCAACTAAAAGACCTCCTTTTCGAATAATAATTTATTTCTGCGACCTTTCTTTCGTCTAATCAATTCGATTTTCAGGTACGATGTTCAGCAGAACAAGCAGCCCATTCCTCAGCTTGCGGTACTCGGCCCGGGCCGTCTTCTCTGCGTGGTCGTTCAATTTTGCCACCAAACCGCATGATGTATCGACAACCACGAAGAAGCATCTTGAGGTCTATGTGGCCCACTGCGGATTCGCGAAGAAAATGACGCATGGTGCTCGACGCGAGGATGTCTATGGAGAGGATGCGTGCTTTGTCAGTTCCCACAAGGGCACACATGTGGTCGGAGTGGCTGACGGTGTCGGTGGTTGGAATGCACAAGGCGTCGACCCATCATTATTCTCGAGTCGACTGATGTTCGAGTGCAAGCAAGTCGCCGAAACTGGAGCTTTTGAGCCCACCCGCCCCCAGATGATCCTCGACAAAGCTTTCACCGCGCTCAAGGCCGCCGCCAAGGAAATTCTCGGTTCATCTACTGCATGCCTGGCCGTGATCCACGATGATGCCTTCCACGCTGCCAATCTCGGCGACTCCGGCTTTATCATTGTGCGTGACGGGAAAATCTTGTGCCAAAGCAAGGAGCAACTGCACTTCTTCAACGCGCCCTTCCAGCTGTCAAGCCACCCACCAGGCGGGCGCTTCTTGAGCAATTTACCGAAACAGGCCGACGAATATCATCTCAAGTTGCGGACTGGTGATGTGATCATGTTGGCAACAGACGGCCTATGGGACAATGTGCCAGTGGAAACGATCGTCGATGAAATGAGCCGCCTGAACAGCCCCAAGAAGCTGGAATCGGTTTGCAAAACGATTGCATTGACTGCACTTCAATTATCCGCCGACCCGAGGCCCTCGCCATTCGCTTTGAAGGCACGTGCGCAAGGGCGGATGTATCAAGGTGGAAAGCCAGATGATATCACTATTGTTTTACTTTACGTTCTTTAATAACTAATTATTTTGATCTTTGATTGCCTTCTTCATTTTCAATCATGTCAATAGCCTATCTCTGTTCGAAACTAATTATTCCTTACCCGCTTACCCATTCTTTCTGGTTTCCAAGTTTCTCAATGTTTTGTAATATTACGGTTAGGCGCCCGTGATTTCCTCGAATTGTCTCTTACTCATCAAACCTCATTTGCTGCCTTACCTTGAGAACAATTTTGTTTAGGCACTCATTGCAACAATGACTGACAAGAAGGTGGTTGACCTGACGACCTCTATGGCGGAGGTCACCGTGTCGAAGGATGAAGGACGGCCTAAGGATCAAGGAAGGCCGAGAGGCTCTGGTCGCTCCAGGGTACGAAGTTTTTCTGAAAATAGTTTTCATTTGCAGATGACCGAGGAAGAGTTCGCGGTGAAGCAAGAAGAAAAACTGAAGAAAATCGAAATCGTGGACGCGAAGGTCACCGGAAAGGTCAAGCACTACAACATCATGGGCCACTACGGCTTCATCGAGACCGAAGACGGCCAAGACGTGTTTGTGCACCAGGTATCCGGAATGTCTCCGAATAATTTACCCCAATTTAGACGTCAATTAAGAGCTCGAAGATGCCATTCTACCTTCGCACATTGGCTGATAATGAGCCAGTTCAATTCGACGTCGGCAAGACTGCGGATAACACGTTTGAAGCCATCAACGTCACGGGTCCTGATGGTGCTGACGTCATTGGCTCTCCCTACTACATGCTCCAAATTCGCAGCTTCCGGCTAGGTAAAAAGTTAAAAATGTTTTTTGATCTGTATATATTAGCCTACTACGCCGCCAAGGAGGCTCGCGACAAGCGCCGTCAATCGCCGAAGGATCCTGCCGAGGCTGAGAAGCACCCAAGGGCTCGTCGTGGCGAAGCGCAGAAGGAGCCTAAGGCCGAAGGCGATGCGCAGAAGACTAGGACCCGCGGTCCCAGGCGCCGTCGCGACCGCAAGGAGGCCGTCTGAATAAGCCTTGACCCCTGATCTAACCCACTTTTATTGCACTTGCCGCGTTTATTTTGTTATTTTGCACCTTTGATGTAGATAAACTGTTGCTATTCAGCTGTAGCTTTGGATTGTCGCCACCTTTGGGCTCGTTTTATCAAGATCAAGCCTTGTCTGGTGCTGTCAACCTGGCATGGGGGACGAAAAATTTATTCACATCGAGCCATGTCGTGTGCTAGAGGCATTACGAAGAAAACAAATGTGGTGAGGCGAGGTGTTGTGGGGATCAATTCGGTTCAGGGCTGTTGGATGGGCTGGGCGGCCTGCTGGTCACTTCCGAAGAGGGCTGCGAGGAGCACCTAGAAGACATGTATTGAAGTAGGGCGCTCGAGACTGGAATATACCTGAAGGCCAAGAAGCGGAAGCAGATAGGCGAGCGACGCGTCCCCAAGGGAGTACAGATTGTCAGTGAGCGCTTGCACGGACACCTGTAACGTTTAGCTAAGGTGAGGTGGCCCCCGCATTTTCATGCCGACTCTCCTTTGTGATACGGGGCCGCAGTGTATACCAAAAATGTTCATCTTGTCCTGTAGAATCAGAAGATGTTATAATGAAGTCGAATAAAATAGCAAAGGATAAAATAAGAATTGAAGGGTCGGAATTTTGGGGATAAACATTAGTTTAGCCGTGTGAAACATTACCTGAAAATGGGCCGAGATGAGGACGGCGTGGAGGATGGCGAGCAGGGTGACCGCCAAAGAGAAGTAGCCCAACGGGACGCAGCCCAAAACCACCGACAGCGCCACCGAGCACGCACCCGTTAATGCTAAAGGTTTGGAGGTCTTTGATCCGTTTTTCAAGCTGATACCCAGTGTCATATGGCGATCGTGGGCAAACGGGTTCTTCACCAGCTCGTTATCGATGAACAGGCCGAGGAGGAGCGGCTGAAATGAGCAAGAAGCGTGATTTTCGGAATGGAAATGGGGATACCTGGAGGAAGAAGGTGCCGGGGACGAGGGATAGGACTCGGGGGTAGAGATGGCCAATCAGGATGCCCATCAACGCGCCCACTTGGAAGACGACGGCACGCCGTTCAACGTCATCCATCGCTAAATCAGTTGAGTTCTAGATGTCAGGATGGAATTTCCCCAATAACTTCCGCCAGCTCCCCCTACCGGTGGCCTTCTTCATCGTGATGTAGCCGTGCAACGGGATCAGCCCCAGCGTCAACAGCTCGAAGAACGGATGGAAGACTGAAGGGTGGAGGGTAGATGAGTAAAATTTGTCCTACTCGAGGTGAGAAGCGGGGTGAGGGCCGAGGCGCCAGCCAGTTGTCCGGCCGCCGTGCCGATACAGATGACGGACAGACCCAGGTAGATCTCGACAACCGTATTCCGACGGTCGGTAGATAACTTTGCGGGGCCGTCAGAGATACGCACCGCTTCGATCGCCTAAAGGAAATAATTGAAGCAGGGTAAGGCGTGGCGGTCGCATTGCGTGTCACGTTTTCATTGGGGGACGCGCAACGCATCAGGAATCGTTTATTATATTCGTAAATCTACTCGTACATAGTCCTGGGCATCCTTGTAGGCCGGCTCGGCCACCTCCAGCAGCCGATCCACCGCCGTCGCCACCTTTCCCACCACACGACCGCCCATATCGTAGTAGGCCAGGCCTGGAAAAGAAGAAAACTCGCTTGCCCGGCCCCTTTAAAGAGAGCGGCCCCGTCTTCAAGCCGTTCGACAGCGCCACCGAGTTCATCCACCAAAAATAACCCACAGCGCCGGCGCATCGTCTCGATGGTGGTCTGCATCTGCTCGACGTAACGCTCACCGATCTCCATTTTTGTGTTTTCGAAATCTGAACGCATTGATGGAAGGAAAATATCAAGAAAAACATACCACTATCCGTTGCCAAAGAGTCAATAGCAAATGAGGGGAATATGCGGGAGGTTGGGGCGCGGAACTCGACCTCCTGGATATGCAAATTAGCGCCGGAATTTTGGTATGCAAATTAAACAGGCAAAAACTAGGTTGTGTGAATTTTGAGCGTTTTTCAGCAAAAAGAATCTCTGCTAGCTGGCCCTGTGGTTTTTTGCGGTTTTAATTTTCCTGACTTTGGATTTCCTTTTGCACATCCGCGACACGCAACGCGCACGTCCCGCTTTGCCCTTGGTTGCACACTCAACCCGCTTTTTTCGTTTTCCGCAAAGTATCTTTGCTAGCCTGCCCTTTTCCGGACTATTTTCCGTGCATTTTTCCAGACTTAACCAACACCTTTCACCTTTATTCAAATAAAAACCGTGGAGGGGACAGACAGATAATATTGCATAGTTCGGGGGTCCTTTTTAAAGGGGCATAGAAGTGGGGGGAGGGGCCACACTACCATCCTGACAACGGTCCACAATAGCCGAGAAGATCGGATACAGTACACCCCGGGTTGCAGCAGATCCGTTGAAGCTGTCGGATAGACGGGGCGATGAAGGCGCGACGGGCTGTAAAAATGGGTTGTGATTCCTAAAGGGTCTCTGCTAGCCTGCCCTCTCTCCATTCCCGCGACTGCTCTCTTCTAGCCTGCCCTCCCTCTATTCCCCAAATACTCTCTGCTAGCCTGCCCTCTTTTCATTCTCCCAAATTTTGGCACTGGACTCTTAGCGGGGGGGGGGTAATTTTTTCTCAATAATCTCGTACGGAACCTTAAAGCATCATCCACAACTTTTATAGCAGTTCATAATTTTCTTAGAAAAATAGCACGGAAAGATATAAATTACCCCCCCCTCGCTATCAGTCCAGTACCTCAATTTTTATATGCCTACAAAAAATTGAAATTTGGATTTCAGCATTATAAAATTGGCTCATATGAATTTCCTGAAGGTTTTCTGCCACCTACCCCGTTGATATTCTCCGTCTTCTTCAGGGACAATATCATCTCCTTCAATCTGTTGTTGAACATCCCTCTTTTTCCTCATACTACAAGCCATCGACCATGCCATTGTGAATGATGATCCGCCGGGCGGGCACATTCTCACTCGGCCATCTGAAAAAAAAATAAAAATTTATCGTGGGTTACGGTAGTATTGGGGCGAGATTTAGCATGCCAGAGAAGAGGGTGGTAGAGGAATAGTAAAATTGCGTGTGTTGGGTGTTTTCCTCCAAGGATCTCTGCTTGTTGTGAGGGTGATGAGGTGGATTTTGTGAAATATGGATTTTTCGGTTTGTTAATAAATGGAAAAGTTATATTAATTTTTGCTGAAATTTGCATACTCTGTGCGAGGATGTTCACCAATTCTCGACTCTTTCGTATGCGAACTATCCGATTTGGGGGCGCTGAAAGGATTATTCTTGGAAATTTGCATCCGAAAAGAGCTTTGCTAGATTGCCCCCATTTTTTGTGTCCTAAATTTTCTCTGCTAGCTTGCCCTTGGCTCCAAAACCTCTAAAATGATCTCTGCTAGCTTGCCCCTTCGTGGAGCAGCTTCCCAAATGATCTCTGTTAGTTTGCCTAGGTCTAAGCCTTCCTAAAACTTCATAAAAGTGTTTTTCTGGTCAGGCCTGGCTCTCAAATGCTCTCCGCTAGCTCTCCCTGTCCTAAATAGTCTCTGCCAGCCTGCTCGTGATCCCTCCTGCTCATTTTTGGCGCTCCCCAATGATTTCTGCTGGCTTCCCCAATAGTCCCTGCTAGCTGCCTTTTTCTACTCCATCCCAAATGCTCTCTGTTAGCCTGCCCGTCCCTTCAAAAAATTTAGCGAAAATCCGGAAAAGTTCCTCACCCTTTTAATTATTAATGAATCGTCGCTTGACAACCGTATTTTCGAGACAATAGCTTTTTAGCGCGGTGTTGCTGGGGGCGTTTTTTGGAGCGCCGCGTACAAAAGAACGGAGATAGCAAATAGGCATTCTTTAGGGTTTGACGACGCAAGACTACGCATTAATGACATAACTTTCTAGTTTATCAAACTAGTCTTTTATATTGATTTCATTACGTAGCGCTATTTCTCTCTCGCTCTATTTGTCTCTATCTCTATCTCACGCTCACTCTCACTCTCTCTCGCTCTCTCACTCTCTCTCGCACTCTACCTCTCTAACTTACCAAACTGTTTGCCAGCCTCAACAGTAGAGATGAGGGCAATTAGGGGGCCAGCTAGCATCAGAAGCATCCATGATGGCGACATCTTTGTTTTGAGGGCCCACAGTAGAGGGGAGGAACACCTAAAATAATACTGTAAAACGGTAGATTATGATAGTCTACGGTAGATCGAGCACCTTAAAGAAAGCCAAGGGTCAAGCCAGCCAAATATATCAAAATGTACAGGGTGTCCCATAAAAAAGCACCCCTCCGGCATTTCGCCATATTCCATCCGATCGGCCCCAAATTTGGACCAGAGGTGTATCAGACCCCAAATAACCACAATCCTGAGTTATAGCCCGCCAGCTACAGTAATTTTCGAGATACAACAAAAATAAACATTATTATCCGTTTTTCACAAGGTTTTTGTCGGAATCGACCTTTCGAATATTAAGTGAAAATAAAGCGGCAAGCGTTCTTTACTCTTAGAAATTTTTTCCTGATAAAATTCATCAAATAACCGTTAATTTCAACAATTTTTGTAACCCAAAGTCACCCCCGATATTAAGCGAAATTAGGGATTTGCAGCCGGAAGTCGATGCAAATCGATGCAAAGTCCAAAAAGATAGCCGAAAAAACTGTTAAGAATCGCGTAAAAAATAGGATTTTCGCGATAACTCGAAAACTACTGTAGCGATCGGGCTATAACCCAGGATTGTGGTTATTTAGGGTTCGATGCACCCTTGTGCAAAGTATGGGACCGGCCGGATGTAATACGGCGAAATGCCGGAGGGGTGCTTTTTTTGGGACACCCTTTACTTTAAAAGGTACGCGCTAAAAGTTTTGCTTACGGTAGCTAGGGCAAGATCTAGCTAAACGGTAGCTAAAACCTCGCGAAAATAGTACAAGGCAAGGAGTCTGCCTGAACTTTCTGATTTTCACCTGCCCAATCAGAAAGTGTGGATCCGGATTTTCCTAGTGGCGAAATGCCATTTTTGGTTCCGGGTACAAAACTTGAACAAAATCGTTTAGTTCATGGGCAGGCTGGCAGATTTTTGAGGAAATCGAGATGGGGCAGACTAGCAGGGAACATTTGGGAACATGAATGATGTGATAGTTAGCAGGGGTTCTTTAGGAATAACCGAGATTCTTGGAGATATTCGGCAGGAAATGGCCGTCAATAAGAATCCGCGTAATGATAGTTGTCGTGAGATGTAGTGGGGGGTTTAAAGGAGCAGTGAAGTGAAAGCTTATGGCTTTTTGTTCTAGATTCTGCGTCGAAATGTAAGCGAATATCGTTCTCCCAAATGATCACCGCTAGACTGCCCTGGTTACTTGACAGCTAGTGAATTCCCCAAGGATTCAGGCTAGCTGGCCTTCAGCTAGGGGATCCAATTTCCCCAAAACTTCTCTGTTAGCCTGCCGTCTCTCCATTGCGCAAATTATCTCTGTTAGCCTGCCCTCTCTACTCCCAAAAAATGCTTGCTAGCCTACCCCGCAGTCAGATGAAAACCAAAAAAAAACAAAAGTTGGCCCAGCTCCAAAATGGCAAGGGGTGAATCGCATGGTGTCGGAGTGTTTCGTAGCCCTAACCCCCACAAGGGGCCCCTCACGATTTTTCACCCGCATCTAAGGGGCCAATTTCGGGGCGCGGAGGGTTTTGTGCCAAGTTGTCTACAAGAGTTGACATGGTAATGGCCACACCGCTAGAGAACTCGTTGATTGGAAATGGAGGCCGCGCGGCGTGTGGAATTGCCCACCCACCCCCCGATATTTTATTATGGGTTATTGAGGTCTTTTTGGGGGCTTTAGAAATGACTATGGTGGTGTATGATTGGATGGCGTCAATTAAAGGGTCTCTTTTAGCATTTTACGAGCTATGTAAATTGTTTTAAAGGCGCGGACACTGCGAGAATATCGATTTTATGGTACTGGACTGTTAGCGGGGGAGGCCATTTTCAGTAATGCCGTTTTTATGGCTATTTACAAAGTTTTTAGATACAAAAAGCACATAGAAATAAAAATAATATTTTCAGCCATTTTTCAATTTTTTCGATAACTTTTTAGCACTAGAAATTCGTAAATCCAAAAAATTGCTGCCCTCCCTCGCTAACAGTCCAGTACCAATTTTTCTCGCGCACGCGACGAGCCACGCGCTCTTTAAAAAGCTTATAACCCGTTAGGCAGCGAAAAATTTAGTTCTCTGCCTGCGAAGTTTTTCTAGCCTTCCTGGGAAAGCTTGCGGCAAAAAGCAAAAGTCCGACATCCGCTGGGTTCGAGCCCGGGTAGTGTGGCTTGTAAGCAAGAGCTTAACCAATACACCAAGCTTCTTAAAGCTACTTAGAAGGCAAAAATCCTTTGACCCTTAAGGAAGAGCATTGATTTTGCACATTAAGAAGCCAGAATTTTTCGAACCTGAGATCCTATGTCCGGAAAAAGGCAAAATCAAACAAAAACGTAGCTTTTTGGCTTCAAACCCCTTTTAAATTCAACGATAGAAAAGCGACGGATTATGCTTTGACGAGTCCTGAATTTTTGATGCCCTGAAGTCACGAATATTACGTTCAAAACACGAATTCCTTAAAAATTCGCAAATCCTGTGTACGTCATCAGGAGCGGAACGGACTCTTTTGAAAACTCACGGCCATCGGGGGGGATAAGCCGAAATGCTGGGTGGCGTCTGGAGGGACCTCGTGGCTGGCTGGCCACACCCTACCAATTCTGGACCTTATTTGCATATTGAGCACGCCGGCTGGGTTTTGCGTTTTTTTGGGAGAATTTGCAGCAAGTTTTTGGCAGGCTGGCGGAGATTGCTGGGGGGAAATTGGGGTGGCAATTGCCTCGGTAGGCTAGCCGGGTTTCTCGAGGAAATCTTGGGTCGCAAGCTAGCGTGGATCATTTGGGAAAATGCTCTTTGTGCCAAATGATGAATGGCTAGCTAGCAGAGATTCTTAAGGAAACTTGGAATCTCTGGATCGCTGGGTTAACTTGCAGTGTTGATTTGGGAACAACCATGAAAATCCGATGAGGCAGGCTAGCAGCGGTTCTTGAGCAATTCAACTTATACCGTAAGTGAAAAGCCGCAACCTAAATTCTAGGAAAGCCCAGCAGCTACTTTTTAAGAGCCTCAAATTCAGAAAATTCCGCAATAATGCAAAGTACGAGGGCAACAACGGGCCTAGGCTGTTTTTTGGGGGCTGATGATGTATTTTTCATTTTTCCCCGGCCAGGCTATGTGTATGCATTTTAGAAGACAAGATCGGGGGCGAACTACGCACATTACATAGACATCATAAGGGAGCGAGACAGGGAGAGACAGGGAGAGAGAGAGAGAGAGAGAGAGGGGGAGAGAGAGTGAGAGAGAAAGAGAGAGCGAGAGAGAGAGAGGTGAAAGGGAGCGAGAGCGAGCTTAATTGAAAGAGAGAGAGAGAGAGAGAGACAGGGAGAGAAAGAGAGGGAGGTAGCTAGACTTTCCTCAAAGATGTTTGCTAGCACTGCCGCACCCTGTTTTTCTGAAAAGATGCCTGAATGGCCGCAGAAGCCCTAATTTTATCTAGGGAAACCATACATCTGAACGACCATTGGCAAGAAAACAACAAGAACAAAAAATAGATCACCATTTCCCAAATGATGCCTGCTAGACTGCCCAAAAGAATTTGAAAATTCCTAAAGTGTCTCGGCCAGCTCTCTTGGGCCTCGAGAGAAAAAAAACCTAGAACCTAGAATGAAATCCGGAGCCTAACAAAGTCTAGCCAACCAAAAAAATTGGCCCTATTATTGGCGCCTCCTCTGGCTCACCGTCTTGAAATTGGCTCCCTCAGCTTCCTTGGCTTCTGGAATCCGCGAGAGTACGCAACTACACCCATTCACACATCACGGAAAATACTGACACAGCTAGGAATTGAAAGGAGGAAGTAGGATTTTGATAATACGCCCGAATTTGGGCTTTCCAGATCTTTCCAGAACAACCCAAACTTAAGAAAATTTGCTTTGCCTTGACGGTCTCTTTAAAAGGGAACTTGCAAACATTATTCACAAATTTTAGCTGTATTCCTCAAGAATCTCTGCTAGATCTGTGAAGGCGAGCAAGCCGAGATCATTTGGGAAGCTGACACAACTCTTAGGCACATGGATATCCGCAAGGTTCTCCGCTAGCCTGCCTTCGCCGTTTGCTGATGATGAAGAGAGAGAGACAGATATAGAGGGAATGAGTGAGATATATTGAGAGCGACAGAGCGACACAGACAGAGAGAGAGAGAGGGAGAGAGAGAGAGACAGGAAGATGGGGAGACATAGGCAGACAGAGGCGGGCTAGCAGAGAGCATTACGCAATTCTTCAGCTTCGCACCATATTCACAGTAACTCAAAAGCCAAATTTTCTATAGTGCAAGCTCTCCACTTCCTTTTTCGTCCTGTCAAAAGTCCTCCCCCGGAAATTAAGCTCTGCAGGTGCAGTTTGGTTCAGCCCCCAAAAAAACTCAGAAGAAGCCCGAAATTTCCGAGGAAATCCTTTTTTACATCCTTTTGGGGGCTCCGGGGGAACGTCAAAAGGATCATGATGGAAATGGATGGCCATTTAGGGTTGGAAAGAATGAGGATTAGCCCGCCATTTGTTAAAGTATGCCCGGGGAGCGTAAGAAATTTTTTGTAGCCTTTGTAATGGGGTGTGTGGAAAGAGATCAGTGGGTATAGAGACCCGGAAATCCACGAAAATAATTAACAATCGGGGGGAAAGACAAAGAGCGAGAGAGCGAGCCAAGCAGGTAGAATGGACGTAATTAGTCATAACCCGGAAACGGATTTTCAGACATTTTTAGGGGATCGGGAAGGCAAAAAATTTCCCAAAAAATCCTTGCTGGTCTGCCAAGAATAATTTCTGAAATTTCATTAAAATATCGATTTTCCTAAATGATCTATGCTAGCCTGCCCATATGCCAAAGAATACCGTAGCCACAACCGTCTATAGTATCTTTCTGTAGCGACAGACCCGATGGTCAAATCCTCCCCCATATTCGCGTCAATGCCGAGGTCCCCTTTTAATTTTTGAACTCTTTGAACTAGTTCTGCGACGATTTCGAGGCCAAAACAACGGGATTTTCAAAGGATTTGAGGGTCGTGCATTCAAACATTTTTTTGTCAGCAAATCTTTGAAAGGGACGGCGGATTTCGAGGGTGGAGAGGAGGTCATTAAAGGGGTTGGGACAGCTGGGATCTTTGAAAAATTGTATTGAAGGAAATTGTAAGTGAACTATTAGGGCTAAAAGGGACTTGGAAGCTAAATAATTTATTTTCATGTTGTGAATCGCAAAAATTGCGTTTTAAAGGTACTCGGAAGGCGTTATATTCAAAAAATAGCTTTAAAGGCCCCAGCAAGTCGGGAATTCTCTTCGCAAATTCGCAAATCTTATTTTAAAGAGGCCGTTAAGGCAAAATCCAGTGTTTTAAAGGGCTAACCTCTTCAAAAATCCAAACATTTAGTTTAAAGGCGTTTAGAAGGCAAAAAATTTAACTCTAGAAATTGTTTTTGCCAGATTCTGTCTACCACCCAAAAACCTCGGCTAGCTTGCAGCAATTCGATAGAATGAAAATTTATTCAAGGTGCAAGTCACGTTTTTTTCATCTGTCCAGCTCCCTTTAAAACCAAACTACAGGCTATAATAATGGATCTATGCTCAGAATTGTGTCTATAAAAAAGGAGGGAAAGCCTAGCTATGAGCCTCCCTCCAATATCCCCTTCCCTTCCCTTTCCTAATAAAATAGCCATCAGCCGGGGGCCACCCAACGGAATTTTATTAGGAAGAAGACGTCAAGATGGAGAAGCTGTGTTTTTGCCTGGCCATTCCGATATGTTCCGCTATCTGACGGTATTCAGAGGGAGATAGAGAGAAAGGGGAGAGAGAGAGAAAGCGCGAGAAAGAGCAAGAGTTAAGTAGAAAAATTGTTACATTTTAGATAGATAAATTGCAGCATTTTTGACTTTTTAATTCTTGTAAAGGGACGGTGAAGCCACATATCCATAGCGCCATGACTTCCAAAGCGCGTAAACCGAGAATTTTTGAGATTTTTCACCTGGGAAAGCCGGAAAAAATTCAATTTTCTCGAGTCAAGTACCTTCACCCGGCTTCTTGCTTCTTTCCCTCTCTCTCTCTCTCTCTCTCTCTCTCTCTCTCTCTCTCTCTCTCTCTCTCTCTCTCTCTTTCTCTCAAAAACAAGGCCGGCTAGGTGTTTTCCCGACGTCAAGAGGACATTTCCGGAATTACCTGACAATTTCGGATTAGACAAAATCGGAAAAAATGGAAATGGGGATCCAGACTTCGAAAATCCATTCAGCCCCTCAGCAAAGGCGACTCTAGCAAATTTGCATGTACGGTTGAGTGAATTTCGTATACGTGCCATTGACTGGCTGGTGGGCGGTGTATGTAGAGAGGCCAAAAGTTGAGCCAGGGCCCACGATTTCCGCTTCACTCCTATGCCTTAGAAAATATGTTCAAACACGGGGAGGATAGAAAAGTAGACGGTAGTACGCTGAGCTCCTATTAACGCCTATAAAAACGGAGAGTTCGGTAAAAAAATGTGGAATTTAGATAAAACACGTGGAAAACTCGCCGTTCCTCCGCTTCAATGGCCCTTTAATTGGGAATATTTGGGCCCTATAGGTGGGGATGAAGTGAGGATGAGGATGTGTAATGGGGGGGAGTCGTGTAGCATGATCCACCATAAAATGGGGGATCCCGCATTCATCCAGGACCCATCCACAGCACAACACACCACCCGTAAATAGGAATATTTCGGCCCTCTTTTGGAGGAGGGCCAGATTAGTGGAAGAGAGATGAGAGAGAGAGAGAGAGAGGAAGAGCGAGGGGGAGAGAGAAAGATAAAGCTATGAAAAAGAAGAAGCTCTAGCCTTCTCAGTCCCTTTAAAAACCCTCTGGAGCATAAGCTCAATCCAAATATTCGAGCAAGAGTTCAGCCAACAGTCCTTCTCTCTTTCTCTCTCTCTTTCTCTCTCTCTCGCTCGCTTCCCTCTCCCTCCGGCTACAATCCAGTCATCCGTGAAATTCCGGGGCTTAATCTGAGAAAACCCGCTCCGAGCCCATTAGCCGCTTTTTTAGGGGGTCCAATGCAATTTGGCAGTTCCCGGAAATTGCCTGGGAGATTTCTGAAATTGTGATGGATGGCGTTGTGAAGCTGAGAAAGCTGAGACATTGAGAAGAATGTAAAATATGTGACGTTTCTGGTTCGGCCGGCTAGCAGAGATTCTTTGAGGAAAACGAAGGGAGATGGCCAAGATGTCAAAAAATCCTGAGGTCAGGACGGGCTGGCAGAGATTCTTGGTGAAAGCGGATTGACTGTCTAGGCGAGCTAGCAGAGTTTCTTTGGGAATATTTCCGGTATAGGTTTAGGCAATCTGGCAAACACCTTTTAGGAGACCCCATTTTGAGTTTTGACCTCACGATTTCTGCTCCGCGATTTGCCACTTTTTTAGCGCTTCCGGTGCGCGCTGGCGCTTTGAATTTCTTGGAACGCCTTGGCTCTCTCTCTCCCTCTCCCTCTCTCTCACTCTCTCTCACTCTCTTCACCAAACTACGATTCCGTTAAGCTCCAAAAACCGAGGAGAGCTCGACAAGATGGGTGTATTTGCAAAGGGGCTGGCGTATCTCTTTCGAGACTTCTCCGGATGGACATCGACCCATGGAATACCGCATATTGGCATGGCCAATTCACAGTATTTACGGTAGAGAAATTTATATTTGGATGAAATGGAGTCGGCTAGCAGAGATTCTTGAGTCAATCACATTTTTGTAGGCGAATTAGCAGAGATTATTGGGGAACTCCGTCTAGCAAGAGCGAGAGAGGGCGAGAGAGAGCGAGAGAGATAGAGAGCGGGCCAGGGAGATAGAGAGGGAGCCAAAGAGATAGAGAGAGAGAGCGAGCGAGAGAGAGGGAGAGAGGGAGAGAGAGATAGTCATGCAGAGAGAGAAGGAGCGAGATAACCTGATGTGCATGCTTGCAGCGATCTTTAGGAAATCCATATGTATTTTCACCCCTTTTTCAGGATTTTCTGGATAATCGTGGTCCTGCTCTGCTTCTGCGGTTTCCTCTTCCAGTTCGAGACCCTGCTCCGAAAATTCTTGGCATATAATGTGAACACAGAGACTACGGTAACTAACAAATTCCGAGGGTTACGGTATGTTTTTTTCAGCTGCAATTCTCAGAGCGTGTCTTCCCCACCGTAACCATTTGCCATTTGAATCCGTGGAAGAAGACGGGATCCAATGGGGCATCGCTGGCCGATTTGGAGGATTTGGTAGGGTTGATATGCTGATGAGGCCCTTTACTGTTCGAAATAGATCACGGCATACGGTAACTCGGCCAATGGATATCCAGCCAATGCTAATTATGATTTTAGTGAAGGGCTGACAGGTTAGTTGGCAAGCTAGCAGAGATTCTTGGGGAAAGCAGGCTAGCAGAGAGCACTTAGAAACACATTTCCAGGCGACCGTCAACAAATGGCAGTTACCTACACCACAATGATGAGCGAGACCATAATCAATGATCCAATAGTAGGCTGAGTTACGGTATAAAGGTCACCTTTTAGGGCGCAACTCACCAATATACGTATGACGATATCGTAATATCTTGTACTTATAACGCCGGTACCTGCAATTCCAGGTGGGCCATTTTTAAAGGGACTGGCAAGGCGTGACTATGGATTTTTCATTTTCGGTTTTTGGAGATTACGAATTCAAAAGCTATTACGAATTCAAAAGCTTTCAAAATCGTCTCTCGTTGATCGTTTTGCCAAAATCTTCCTGTCACCACCCCTTTAGCCAGTTCACCACCTATTTCGACCCGAACTACGGTACCTGCCAACAATTCAATTATGACGCTGAGGAAACGTCATCCAGAGCCGGGCCCTTATATGGTCTCCGAATGGTACTACGGTAGGTGGAGCACATTTTAGAGAAAAAACGCTTTCCTTTAGAACGGATCAACAGCAATATTTACCTTGGACAGAGGCCTCAGGCGTAGTCGTAGTAATTCATGGGCAGGTGTGAAGACGTGTATTTTGTAGTAGTTTATCTCGGATTTTTAGGCAGACCGTCCGTTCCCGGATGTATTTGGGTATTACGCGCCGCCGGGGACGGCTTCATCCATGGGTAAGCTTCCCACCGATTTTTAAATTAGTCAAAAATCATATCAAATTAAATTAATTTAATTATTTAATATTAAATTAATTTGATTATTTTAATAAATTAATCTTAAGCTTATATTAAAAAATATCTAGGTGTTCGGTTCGTATCGACGACCCGGTTGCCAAAGCCGTACGGCGACTGCACCACGGAAACGGAAGTGTCTGGCACCTATTTTAACGGCACTTATGATGTAAGATTTTTCGCTCAATTTTTGCGTATTATCTACTTCCAATCCTCTGAAGTGATTTTCTTGAAGTTTATTCAAAATCTACGCGCATTAAAAAAAAACAATTTCCACCAGAGTACCGAGTATGACGCATTGGTAAAGTTCTCACCCCTCAGCCGTAGGGTCAGGGTTCGAACCCCGTCGACGCTAAACTTGTTGCTTTTTGGCCAAAAGCTGAGGAATTGATCGTTCTACACCCTAAATCACTTGGGTTTTTAGACTGAAGCCTGCCTGCGTGCCTGCCTCCAGGAAAACATCGTCAAGACTTGCGCGTGCTACGATCCAGCATATGCTTTCTCCGAATTAGACATGGCCAGTTGTTACAAGCGGCCCGTGGATACAGCATCGGCAGATTATACAAGTATCCAAACAACTTACTGGTCCATTTAATCCCTATTTACAGCCGCCGCCATCAATTGTATCGACACGTTCACAAACCCTGGTAGCGAACCGACCGCGTTCAACTTGATCACACAATGCGATTGCCCGCAGCCATGCCAGCACGTTACATGCCAAAATATTACTATATAAATATTCAAAATACCATAAAATCAGACTGTTTTAATCCAAAAAAAATTAAAAAATACCATTCCTAGGGTCGAATCGTACAGCGTCACCGTGTCGACAGCCGCCTGGCCCTCAAATTCGTATACGGTACGTTGAGCGATTTTTAAAATGACTGGAAAATATCGAAAATCGACGTCTGAAACCGGCTAGGCGTCGACAAATACGCGACACGCGAAAAGACGCGCAAAAATCGCCATTTAGAAACGCAAAAATACGTTTTTTGTATCTACACGTATTCGTCGACCCTCAGCGATGGCAGGGGTTGATTTTTGCGCTATCTAGTTAATTTAAAACGTATAAGACAATGCTATTTAGCCATCCGAATGTAATGAAGCCACGAACTCGACGCAACCCTGGGTGCAGGCCGGCCAGGATTGTATAACTTGGTACAACCAGAACACGCTGCTTATTGAGGTCAGAAAAACTCGATAAATGGTATATTTAAGCCAAATTTAGATCTACTACGAGCGGATGAACTATCAAGTGCTCAAGGAGAGTCCGGCGTACACGGTTTGGATAAAAAACGGGTTTAAAGAAGTTTTTTTAGTTCGTAAACCTGATCTCAGACGTTGGCGGTCAGGTCGGCCTTTTCTTGGGAATGAGTATCATCTCGCGTAAGTTTTTAGGCCTCGGATTTTTCGACTTGGCAGGCTAGCAGAGATTCCTTGGGGATCACGCCAAAACTAAACACGAGCGTTGCAGAAAATCGCAATTTAATAATTTAGTGATCGAAATGTTCACCCTGCTCTGCCTGATCATCTGCTACTGCACCACCCATCGACAGCGCAAAACCGAAATCGAGAATATTGAAAAAGAAATGGCCAGGCAAAAGGTATAGTCCGAGCTCTTGCTCCATTTACTATATTGAATTTTACTATCAATATTTTTACTATTAGGAAAACACCCGCATTATGCAAGAGCGTCGACGCAGAAAGAAGATGGAGGCAATTGGCATGACCGAAGGTTAGTTCAAAACCTTTCAAAAGTAGTTTCCCCCAGGAAATGACAACCCAATGTATCAACACGACGCCGACGGCATTGTACCCCCAGCTGTACAGGATGCGAAATAACCCACAATACGATGATTTTGCCAATAATGAATTTATCCCTGAAAGCCCAAAAAAACCACAATTCGTACCCAGAAATCATGATAGCAAAATAACAAGCAGGCGCATCGAATAGCATTACAAAATGAAAAGTCGCTTGACGTCGTTGATGTGGGTGGTCCCGTTTTTGAATCTGTAAAAAAAGAAGTGATTCGAGTTTGGAGACTTTACTTTATAAAATCGCCATCGCGAAGTTGCCGCAAAGCCCTCTCGCCGACGACATGCCCCGTTTCGAGCATCATCGGCACGTTCTTCTCATCCAGCGGCTCGCCGGTGTGACCGCAAATGAGTCTAGATTCAAAAAAGGTTTTGCTTCTAGAGGATTTCTGACTTTGAATTTGTCGCATGAGCATAGGGCAGGTCGTTGACGATTGCGTGAACGGTCGTATCGCAGGCTACACAGCTAAAAAAACGGAACAATGATGCTCAAAGCAGAGAACATACTTTGGATTAGCGTTCGCGCCACAGGCCGGAGTTTTATGAGCGGCAAGGCCAGCTTGAAGACACGCGGAGAAAGCCGATTGTTCCGGTAACTAAAAAATTATCGGGTAACGGAAGGGCTATGACGAAAACCTGATAAATCCTGGCATTTTCCTGCCGAAACAGCTGGGCCACTCGCTCCCATCTATCCTCGGCGGCAAGCTCTTTGTAGGCAGCGTGTGCAGCACCGCAAGCAATCGCAGCCCACAGCTAAAACGGCAATAAAATAAATAATTCCATGTTGAGCCCACTTTGCGCACATGGTCGCTGCCCTCCTCGAGGCTTTGCTTCAGAAACTTTCGGGCGTAACTGAAAGCGGAAAATTTCAATAAGGAAAATTATAGCTTACTTTAATGCATCAACGCGTTGCCCATTTTTCACCAATTCGACCGCATCCAAAATTCGAACCTCAGTCTCGAGCTCCGAGGATAGACGCCTAAATTTGTTCCTAGGGATTTTTAGGGGATAATATACCTTAATCGACTGCGATGCTCGTGGATCCATTCCAGACAAGGACCCGTGTCGCCTGAGCGCAGAGCTTTTTCTACCTACAAAACAATTTCAAATTTTTTTTTGGTTAACTACCACATAGGCCTGCTCGAACATGCGTAGATCACAAATCTTTGAAAGGCCCGTTTTTTCAGCCAAAGCTTTTGCCGTTTCGAGCTGACCGGAGCGGAGGAGGTGTTGAAGGACAAGCCGGTCAATCCTAAAATAATTTTCTAGAAAATAGACTTTCAGCTTACCGCTCCTTCTCCCAGGTCCATTGCTCGTGCTCATTTAGACTAGAATCGACGCCGGTGGATAGATAATGGGCTCGCTGTTGCATGTCGTGAACTGTTTCCTGTTGCTCGGCAAGAGAGCGATGCATTAACGTCTGCATGGCGTCGATGCGATTTTTGAGCTCGACCAAGGCTGGTTTTACCTAAATACAACGGTAAAAACGCGTACCTAAATTTAAAACAAACCTCATCAACTGGAATCGCCTGTCCGCCCTCGATTTTATCATCAAGAACTTTGGTCACATCTAATATCGTCGTTTTTAGAACCGAAATGCGCAAAAACCTTTAATACGAGCCTGCTGCCGGGCCATTGATTTTTGCGCCTCGCGGAACTGCTTGTTGAGGACCTAGACGAATTTTTAGCATAAGTGGCAACGCCTCCTACCTCATATGGTATTTTAAACGTTTGATATTCGATGGCCGCATTGCTATCGCCCATCGGCCGTGGGGCCGGCGGGGTACTCTTTGTGGGCAACAGCTTGACACGATTTATAGCGGGGTAAGGCACAGAATAAATAGGATGTGTAGCAGAATGTGTTGAAGGAATATGGTGGAGTAGGCCGTCGACCGGGAGCAGTTCAACCCAGGAGCAGCTTGAACACAATCACGAAGATGTTGACGACGATAAGGGGCACTGAAAGGGAAAATTATATTTCATAATAGATTTTTGCGTTGAAAAGTAATACAATAAAATCAATTTTGCGCTTGGCCAAGTTTCTATGTCCCTAAGTTAATATATTTAATTAGTTTTAATTTCAGAACAAAAAAAAAGAAAAAGCATGATTTTTCGACGTGTGAACAACATTTTACGTCTATTTTGCCAAGCGCCGGACATAAGACTGGGAAAAATCGATGGCCCTCTCAGCTGATGGGTGAGGGCTGGAGGGTGAGAGGGTGCAGGGAGCTAGAGCGGTCCCATAGGCAAATTCCCCAACACAATACACCAACAAGAGGACAGCGCCATAAGGGTCCAGAGCCGTAAAAGCAGGAAATTTGGAGGTTCTTTGGTATTTCCGGGTGGAAGGGGGACTTTTCTAAAATACTTGAAAACTGATTAAAGGATAAGGGATAGGACTGAATAAGGGATGCCCCGAAAAAAATAAATAGCGAATTTTAATAGCAACATTGAAACTCACTGCGCATAACCGTCTGCACGGCAGAGATCAGGGCGATGACTTGGTGCTTAACCGATCCTTGATCCGAGCCGTCGAACGAATGCGTGGGTTGCCCAAAACCAATCTAGAAAAATTCTTATGTAAAATCTTGGATCTCCGCACCTTCTTCAAGAAACGTTCTCGGTTGAGGACGGCGATGCCGTTGAGGATGAGCAGGCCGGCCTCTAGAAGCCCGTAGAACGACAGGACCATCGGCTAGCTAGGCGATTCGGCCGCTAGAAGGAAGGATTTGAGATTTCGAATACAGCCTTTTTAAAGAGACGGGCATGGCTGAAGTTCTTGTAGGATTCGGTGTTCTATGGATTTTGTCGCGACCGCGAAACGCGAGGCTTTTCCAAGCGTTTCCACCGCGTAATCAATTAAGCTCTGCACAGCGGCCGCGGCATAATGCAAACGGAATCCATAGCTAACAAAATCCACAAGAAAGCCTTTCCCCCGATCCTTTACAGCGAGAAACCTATTTCGAATCCTTTACAGCGAGAAACCTATTTCGAAAGGTTTTTCTAACCATGCTCTTCGAAGTAATCACAAACTGAAGGTATGGGTGAGCCAAACACACAACGAAGATATTTTTTAAAAAGCCGAAAAACATCATAATATTTATTCGAAAAATCTTTCACATAAAAAATAGAGCAAAGTAATAAAAGACAAGCTCATAAGGCCATTCATCTAAAAGCACGCAGGGGCGGACAAGGCTATTCGCAAAAAAATGAGCAGCTGGCAGAACAGATATCTATTGCAGGGATAGGGCGAGCAAAAAGGGACTAGAATCAAAAGATGTCAACCGTGTCTTCTCCGTAAATACAACAAAAATACTTTGTAGCAAAGGGGGAGAATCTCGGTGCGAGGGAGACCCGTTTCGCAAAAAATGTCGTTTTTGAGGTTCGGCAATGCGAGCAAATTCGAGAGAGCATCGGGGTATCGTGTGTGACTAATAAAGGGGTGAAAGGATAGGGCCAGTAGCTTTTCCAGGAGGTAATAGAATAGATATGGGAGCGTTCGATAGGGCTACGCGAAAGTAGGTAGTAGTATTATCTATTATGTACAACAACATGAAATTCATTGCCTAGACGATAAGATAGGTTATTAGAGTTTCGAGGCGAAAAATTAATCATCGCTTTGCCTGTGCTACTGCAGCATTCATGGCACGAAGACGGATCCGGCAAGCGATGCACGTATCCGGGATTGTCAACGATTCTGTAGAGAACGTTTCTTCAGTTTTTGAGGAAGTGGGAGTAGTGCCTCGAACGGGAGAGTTACGAGCCGAGCTGCTGCCGTTGCCGTTTCCGCTTGCGCAGACAGCGTGGAATGAGTGGCCTGAAAAATTATGATTCTAAAAAATTAGCTATAAACTCACCGCAAAAATACGTCGCGACCCCGGCATCAACGCCACCTACGATTGTCCGGAGTGGCAGCGTGCAAAGCGGACAGCTTCTAAAAGGAAAAGTACTTGAAAATTAAAGTCTACTAATATACCTAGTCAAATCGGCAATCCAGGATTTTACTACGACCGGTTTGGTAGTGACGAGGCGCCGGTTGGAGGGTTGGCTGAAAAAAAATGCTAAAAATACAATAAAAAACGATACTTCGGTTTTGCGATTTCCTTCTCGGGGCTCTGAGCTTCCAATCGAACATAGTCGAGCAAGCGGTGCTCTTTCATGACGGCTCGGATTGCCTATAAAAAACGTTTCTACTGCAATCTATAAATCTACACTGATTCGAAGGTCAGTTAGCAAATGTTATACGCTTCGCTCCCAAAAATAAATAAGCTTAGCTAAAAAAATCTTGCCTAGTACCTTTGACCGATAATTACGCTGTGGTATTGCCTAGTTTCAAAATGTAATAATTATTGTTTTCTAGTTGACGCTCACGCCGAGTTCTTTACCTACCTGTATCGGCATCAAGTATCCCCTAACTTTCATCTGGCCCAAATGGGTTTGTATGGAGGTGAGAGTAGCCCAATCATCTGGAGACAATGCTTCAGCCAGTCGATGCCATTTCGGAGCAGCCAGCTGATCGCACAACGCCTCGACGCCAAAGCAGCACACGCAAATCGAGAGCAGCAGCGACACGGGCACCCCAGACATGAAGCCGTCTTCAGTCGGAGGTGGCGGTTCGAGGGGTTTGACTTCTGAGGGTGGCTCATCTTCGAGAATTTTTGGCTCTCGATGGAGTTGGCCGAAGAAGATGTCGACAATTTCCTCGTCTGCAATTGCCAGTGCTCTACGACGTAGCCTTTCACATTCGCTCTTGCGAACTGGCTCGTCGCCTTTTTGGGGTGAAGCTTGGCGCCCTGAAACAGAATTCAATGTATTTTAGGTTTGGAAAGAAATTGAACGGTGGCTAAATCGCGGCGCTGCCCCCTCCCCCGCTGAAAATCCAGTACCAAAAACGAGAGGGTCAATTCAGAATTGCAATCACTTACCGAATGTTTTCGCCAGTACGGAAATGGCCAGTTGACAGTCGGAACAGGGCGAGACCGGCTCGTTGAATGGCGATGGCGTATTGAGAAGCCGATGGCTGAGCAGCCTCATCCACAACTCGAGCGTTCTCGGCACCGAACCATCTTCCATCTGCTCGGCTACGCTGACGCGCCCGACGCATGGAATGAGAAGAGCGACAGCTAGCCATGATCTAGAAATTTCGGCCTTCATTAGCTTTTGTCAGATTCGAAAATTACGTTGAATTTAAATATTATTTGTTCCAAATGAATACCTGTGCATTCGGCAATTCGGACAATGGTTGAACGGCTTTTCCTCTTCGGCCAATTTTTCGGGAAAGTGAGCTGAAACGGGAATATCACGGTCTTTTTTGAATTTTTTTACCTGTTCCATTCACTCGATTGAGCGGTGTTCCTTTCACCGAAGTCGTCACATCAAAGCGGACAATCTGATGGTAATGACGTTCGAAATGCGAAAAAAGTACTTACTGGATTTTCCGAGTTGACAGCCTCGGTTCGGACTTCGACGCGTCGTGGCATTGCGCTGATGGCAACGGCTATTCCTCCCTGAAAATGAAGCTGATGATTTTAGCCGTAAAATATCGGGGCATCAAAAACCATAGATTCTTATTTTTTCTATAACACACCTTCACCGGTCGCACAGTTTTCACGATTCTTGGCCCGATTCCACCGGTCGGCTTTTTCGACGCGGAACCGGCGCTGCTGAGGCTTTCACGTGAGCTGTGGCGTTGTGCAACTGGCTTGATCGTTCTCCGTTCAACCTAAACCACGAAATTTTGGACACAGTAAAAAGCACCACCTTCAATGTCTCGACAATGTCAATCGGCACGGTTTGGGCGAGTTCGGCAAGTTTTCTGGGTGCAGAGGCGAGGGTCACCTAAATAACGATAAAAATTCAAGCTAGATTTTACCGTTGGCGTGAATTGGATGGTTTCGTAGCGACTGTCTTCGGCATCTAGGCCAAGCAGAGTTCGTAATGAGTCGATTTCCGGGACCGACGAGCCGCGAGTTTCCTGGAAAATAACACAATTGAAAGTTTTTTGTAAACGGACGGCCATGAGTAAAAGTATTAAAAAACTTTTAACTTCCTAGGTTCACCAACAAAATGACATCTGTTGTAACCATAGCCGGGGGTAGCCGCTGCGGCTCAAACCCGACCGGAAAAAGGGGCAAAAGAAGCGGGCCAAAAGAGCCGGGGAGCCCCCACTGTGTTCACACATTCGGATGGATAGGCAGCTGACAGTGCTGTGGCCAGAGGGTGGACCCGATCGAGAGAGGGACATCAAAAAACGAAAAGCGGAAAAGGGCCCACCGGCCAGAGTTCCAATATCGAGGCAATTAGCGGGGAGGTGAAGGCTTACCAGCAAATTTCGAGCCTGCCTCAGCACGTCCGGGGTTTGTTGGCGTTCAACACTGCCTCGGCGTTCGTTTCCCAGTTCTTGGCTTCGACTAAATATTATCGAACTCGTCATAAGAAACATTTAATTGTAGCCGTACAATCAAGTAATAGGTTTTTATAAATAAAAGAAAAAATGGCTCCAAACAGGAGTTTATCTAGCGAAAAAGCTATCTAACATAATTGTTTTTAGTAATTTAGATAATTAAAAGCGATTTTAGATTTTGGAGATGCAGCTGATTTCGTAGAGAAATATTTTTGAGCAACGTAGCAGTTCCAAAAAGCGCTGGAAGATTTACGGCTTTTTCTTTGTTATTTTTACTTATATTATTTCTCATTTTAGATTACCTTCCATTTTAAGCAACTCGGAGAACAATCTAGCAACAAACCTCGGGTCCGGGGCCGGGGAGGCGCTTTTGCTGCGCTCCCTGAGTGGGTGCACCTTGTGGCGGTGGAGGCCCAGGATCCTCTTTGCCGGCCGTGAAGTGGATGTGGGTGGGGAGGCGAGCCGGAATACGAAATCGTCGTCGTAGCCACTATTTTCGAGACGATCATTGATAACCCTAAACACATCACACAAATTTTGCCGCTTTTTTACCTATGAATTCCGGTGGTTAGTCGTTGGGAATTGGCACGTAGCGGATCGGAATAGCTGGGTACGGGTAATTTACGTCGCGATTCCTAGGACCAAGCGTTGCAGTTATTCCAGAAAACCCACAATTTTCGGGGTGGACAATGGCGATGGTGTCTTGAGGGAGGGAGACTGACGGGCAACTGAAGCCAGTGGGGAAGAGGGGCTCATCGACAGATGAGGTGAAGCCGACTTGAAGCGCTGCCGAAGCAAACGAAGCAGCATTTCCACCTCGTGCTAATATATTGAGTTTTGACTGTCGCTTCAGAAAAAATTACCGATCGGCTAATCTGCTGAAGCCCTTCAAAAATGCCATCAAGCTGTTCCATGCCGATGTTGTTCGGGAATTTGAGCGCGACTCGGGCGGCCTAAAAATAAAATTTCTGCGCTTTTCTTGGTAAAGTTACCTGCTTAAAGGCCTGCTTAAAGACCAATTTCTCGACTGCCTTTTCGGTGGTGAACAGCGTGAACTTGCGCAGCCCGCCGTCACCAGCATAGAGCAAGAAGAGGTCGTTTCCGCACCAGGCATGGTCGAGAATTTCTGAAAACAAAGGCCCTATAAAAGACAAATTGGAGAATTCATGGGCTATATTTCTTACACTTACCATTCCCAAAACTAGTAACGAGCCGTATCATCGGTTCGTCGCCTTCAATTTCCGATAGAATACAGCGGTCCGTCGTTACTGTGGCCAATAGGCGGGTGCTAAAATGGATAAACTCAACGCAGAAAATTGTCTGTACCTATCAAACGCCAGATTGTCTAGCTGCGAGAAGGTGACGAGGAGTCTTGCCTCTTCAATTGGGAGTGTTTCCGGGAAATCCAGAGGCGCTCGGAATGAGATGGGCGGGTAGACCGGGATTTCGGGAAGCAGGCGGAACTGGTGTGTCCTGAAAAATTACATAAAAATGCACTTTGAAGGTTGGAATCCGCCAAAAAAAGGTAAATGCCCACGTGTTCCGAATCCTGACTTTCAAATGGGTTTAGAATTTAGAAGTACTTTAGAAGGTTTAGAGGGGAACAAATGTACTACAATCGGGAACTTTTTGTCAAGGTTCCAAATTTACATTTTCTGGGATTTAAATAGAAAAGCAGAATTTCCGGTTTTCCGCACATCAACGACACAACGATCGCGCCAGTAAATTCATTGACCGCCAAAGATGCCCCCGTCATCCGGTCGAAGCTACCCGGGCTCGGTGGCGCCGCATGTCGCCAATCAGGTAAGCCTATTTGCCAGACTTATTTTCAGTTTTTCGAAAATTAGAATGCCGAAATTCAGTTCACCTCGATCTTCGAGATTCAGATAGGAAATCCTCCTGCCCGTAAGCCTGAACCGATTTAGGTGAAACGAAAGCGACGCAAGAACAGCCGCGCTACGCCCCAGGGCCAAGCCCAGATGCGGCCGATGATCCCCGACTCGCCGGTGGTGCAGCGCGAGGACGTGCCGCGGTGCCGGGCCGACAACCACGACATCTACAGGCCCGTGCTCGCGGAGGGAGTCGAGGACGAGCTGCGCAAGAGTCTCGATGGTCGTGTCATGGGTAAGGGTCTGGACTCGTAGCGGGGGAGAGGGGTATCTAACCTTGGCCTATCGCTCCGTAGGACCGATACTGAGATACGCACCATTCTTATAGCTTTTTATACCACGTAAGCATAGAAAGTTCGTATAAGCCAATTTTACGATTTTTATTCTAAAAATGTTTTTCAGATTTTTTAGTAATTAGAAATTAGTAAAACTACAAAAACACGCTGTTAAAGCCAAAAGCAACATTACAAAGCGTCAAATTTTTGGTTCGAGTTCGATTCTGCGCTTAAGCCAAATTTTTATCCAGGTAATCAGAGGCTAGCTAGCTACCCCCTCCCCCGTTAACAGTCCAGAACCGTCTTATCCAGGCCCCGTCCACCGTCACCGCAACGTCCACCACCCGGCCGACCTGATTGAAGGCGTGGAGTGCTGCAGGCACGGGAAAGAGTGCCGCGATGCGCCGGCCTCGTCCACGGTGGGTCCAACTCAATCCTAATTCTCTCGTCTAGCGCCCGGGACGGCTTGTGAAGAAGGGCACCACGTTGCCAGTCTATGTCAGCGAGCTGCCTCGCTCCCCCTACATCATCATGGAGCCCACCGAGACGCGGCTGCCCAGGGTCTCCACGCCGCGTGCAAGCATCTATGAATGTGGGGCTACAGGAAGTGAACTTCCGCCCAGCTAAAATCCGATTTTCCTAACTACTGAGGGCTCTGCCGATTAAATTTTTGGGTACTGGGCTGCTAACGGGGGGGGGGGGTACTAGCGGGGGGGGAACTAATTTTTGTTACCTATCGCTTAATAATAAATAGTGTATTTTATAGAGTTTTACGTAGTGTTTTTCATTGCTAGAAAATGACAAAAAAATATTTTAGACATTTTTGAAAATTCGAGAATTTTGACGTTTTTTTGATAATTTTCATAATTTTTCTCGAAAACTGGCATAGTTTTTATCAGTTTTCTTCATCTAAAAACTGTGTAAAATGCTATGAAAAGTTTTTATATTTTCATAGGGTCGTAGATGACAACTGGGGAAAATTAGTTTCCCCCTGCTAACAGTCGTAGCCATTTTTTTAGATCTGATCCCCGGCAGCAACGAGGACGGGATGCCGCCGCCAGCCCCCGTGCAATCGACGCGCAACGAGTCGAGACGCGCCCGGCAGATGGCCGCCCTCGAGCAGAAGGGCATCGAGCAGTACGGCATTCGGTCACCGATGTGTATTCTTCGATTCCAGCTTCCAAAAGTACATCGAATCGTCGCGGCGACGCGCCAGCAACGACTCCGACAGCATCAAGCCGCGCCAGCTGGCCCGCTATCAGGTCGCCGACGCATCCGACAGCAATGGTATGTCTCAGCGGTACTGGTCTATTAGCAGGGGGCTAACGTTGGCCTATCGCCCCGTAAAGTCCTCGTAATTAAATGTACACTTTTAATAGTCTATAAGCTATTTTTTAATATAACAGTTCATAAACGGAGTACTAAAATTTCGTGGAATTTTGATTTTTGGCCAAAACGCATGAAAATAGTAAAAAAAGTGTCGCAGTAGTTCTCTTTTCGGCTAGAGGGGTAAACTAGACTTTCGTCAAAGTTTTTAATAGCCTTAAAAATTGTGATGGCTGTTTAGTCACCGAAAATCTACTAAAACGGGTAAAATACACTATGAAACGCTACAAATTTTGCCGGAAAACTCTCCCCCACTAATAGTCCAGTACCGCTTCAGACACGGAGCAGGACAATTCGATCATCTCGAACATGACGATGGAGGAGCTGCGGATCACCGGCCCGCCCACAAGCCAAACGGATGCCACGTCGCCCGTTGTAGTAGGCCTGGGCTTGACTCTCCCCCAAAATCGGCTTCATCTACTAGGCAGTGTTCAGGAAAGTTATGGTTGGGTGAGAGTCGGAGGTCCCAAAAAATGTTGGTTTTGGAAAAGTTCCGGAGGTCCCCCGAAAAAAACGGTGTTTTGAGGGGCGAAATCGCGTTTTTTTTTTAGTAACCGGTTTCCAGCCATAACTTTGCCATTCGATTTTCCGGAAGAACCGGAAGTGTGGCAGGGCCGGAAAGGATCTCAAAATGTAGAACGGGAAGTAAGCTATCGAATGATGGGTCGGCGGTGGCGATAGGTGGCCAGAGAAAATATTTGGAGGGGAAAAGGTGTCGAAAAAACACGGGAAAAATGGAGGCCAACCATAACTTTTTGAAAGTTTTTCCGGTTTTGCGGCCCAAAAAACCGGAGATGGAGGGAAGTGATGTATAGCCGAAAGGAAGGGTAGGATTAGGGCTACAGAATAGCGAAAAGAATGGGACGAGAGAAGCCTGGGAATTGGAGAGACAGGGCACCGAAGAGAGCACCAACCGCGACGGCAGAAGTTGCGGAAGGGTTGTGGCGGCAGTTTGGAGGTTCGGGAAGTAAATGAAAGAAGAGGGTCATGGCAAGGTGCGATACACCATTCGACGCAGAATTCGATGCTGCATTTTTTCGTAATATATTGTCAGCCAGAAAATGGGCGTAAAAAGTTCTGTGGGAAATAGTGGAAAAATAGCAGTTTTTCAACACGGAGGTCCCAGCATCTCGAAAACTAGCCGATTGACCAACCTCCTTTTTTGCAGTTTCTAATAGAGAAAGACAAGACGAACATTTTTCTAATACATTGCGTCAAGTGATAAATAGGGTTTTGAGGAGTAATACTCGAAAAACCCGAAAAACTTCGTCTTTTTTGACGAAAAGGCATCCTAGCTCAAAAACTAGACGATTGACCAACCTCCATTTTTGCGGTTTCTGATAGAGAAAAACAAGACGAACATTTTTCTAATACATTGCGTCAAGTGATGAGTTGTGTTTTGAGTTGAAAAACCCTAAAAACCCTTCGGGCCGAAACCCGGAGGTCCTTTCGCCTATCCCGAGGTCCCGGAGGTCCCAGTTACGTAACTTCGACCACTTTCCGAACACTGCTACTAGGTAAGCCAACATGACGAGCCGAAGCCGAAGGCGAAGAAGAAGCTCTTCCTCTCCGCACACATGGCCGGCTTTGTAGGCTCTCGGAATTTGGTCAACTCCTGGCTTGCAGTGTACGGAGCACGTCGTCAGGAAGATGCTGACCAAGCCGCACGAGTTCAGGCTTTACTACAAAAAGGTTGAAAATCCACGGTTGAAAGTGAAAGCTTTTCTTGGCTTCAGATCAGCCGCAACAACGTCGACATGGAGGAGCTGCCCGACCGGATCCCGCTCTCCATCGCCTACTACACCGAAAAGGGCGAGATTGTGTAGGCGTTTTCGACAGTTTTCGGACGGATGCTTTGTCAGTATCGAGGGGGGGGGGGCTGTTTTCCATCGAGAATTTTCTCTCATAAACATCGAAGAACTGGTTCTGCACAGTTTTTGCTATTCCTAAACGTGAAAGTCCGAACTTTTTGTCTAGGTCTAGAAATAGCTAGTAACTTAATAGCATGTGTTTTCAATAGTGTTTTTAGTAAAAAATAAATATACAGCTTTCTCCTTTTCGAAATTTTGGTCAAAAATTGATACTTGTGACATTTTTCAAAACAATTTTTTATGGGTTCCACGCGTAGGAATAGTGAAAAACTATTTAGAGACACTTCCACTATCCATTTTTGAAAAATTTCACCTAACTAAAAGGTTAGCTCCCACCTGATAATGCCAAAGAACCACTGAAAAATGGAAAAATTTGCCGCCCCCATAATGCCAAAAAAACCTCGTTCCAATATACACTCTAGTCACCTCGACTTCCAAAGCCGTGACGGTGCCATGGCGCCCGAGGTGTCGATCGACGGCGTCGACTGGTTCGGCTCGGTGAAATCCTTGGTGCAGTACTATCACAAGCATCCCATGCCCATCGAAGTCACCAAATAGTCGCTCCCCAAGCCAGGCCCCGCCGCCCAAGAAGCCACACGTTAATTACAAGCCCTCCCCCTCTCAGCCCTCTCCTCAATATGTTACAATGTACTCGAGACCGGCTCTTATTGCATCGATGCAAATGTCTATTTTATGATTGCTACTGTGTGTGTGTTCGCGGATTTTGGACGGGAATAAAGCGTCACACTGGAGTCATAGTTGAAGCCCGACCCACCAAGCACAATTTTTTTGAACCTTTCTTTGAAACGAAAAACGAAAAAACATAGAATTTCAAGTCCCTAATAGTTTTCCGAATCAGTTTGTGGCTTACAGATGCGGTTTCTAGGACGCTACCGCACCATAAAACTCCAAAAACAACAAAAAAACCCTCCTTACTAGTAGGGAGCGTAGCGTCAATTTGCTACCCAAACAATTCGCACTAATTAAAATTGGAGCTATTTGGTCAAAAGTTTAGACCGCACGTGTTTTGACATCAAATAACCAACCGATAAACTGTCCCGACAAGATTCGCCTCCCACAAGCGGCCGTGTGGCCTCGCAGCGATAATAAAAGCATCATCCCCATCGGGCCCGCCGAAACAACCGCCCATCAACTCGTTGCGCACCTTTGTCCCCACCTAAAAACAATCTCAGGAAAAACTAAAATGATTCACCTGTACAGATTCACGCGTATCCAACGGCACAAGAAATGTCGACGAGTTGCCCGAGATGAGAAGCCGACCCATCGAGTAGCTGACCTGAAATTCAAAATATAACTTAAGTTGGCAATCAAAACCTGCACAATCGGACCGTCGAACTGGGCGACCTGCTCGTAGACGGTGCGGAAGAGGCTACGCGACTGAAATTAAGACAATTTTCAAGTGGACCTTGATCTCAAACCGAAATCTTGTGCTGCACCACGCGACCGGTGAAATGGCCCGCAAAAAGGACATCGCCTTGGGCTGCCCAGCAAAGTGCCGTTACTCGATCTGGTCGGCGCACGTCTCCAGGAACTAAAAATTTTTTTTTTTTTTTTTTTTTTTTTTTTTGTTTTTTTTTTTTTGGTGTTTTTTTTTTTTTTTTTTTTATTTTTTTGTTTTAATGTGCGGTCGTTTTTTTCAAAGTTTTCAGTTTTATACGTTGCTGTCGTTATTTGCATAAAAGTTTTTGGAGTTTTAAATTTGCGTTACCTGTATAAACGAGCGCTGGAGCCGGGCTGGCGTTTGCTGATGCGGGCCCTAGCGCGGCCACCGATATTCGGCCACTTTCACTTCCCACTGCGACATGCGTTTCACTGGGGGAAATCAGCAACTGAAAATAATTCATAAAAATTACAACAAAGAATCAAACCTTATTAACGGAACCATCGCGGATGGTCAGAATGCTGACTGGGAGCGAAGCCAGTTTTGACCGATGACGGGATGCGTATCTAAATTATGATTTTCCGTTTTTTTTTTGCTTTAGCTTAGGAAACCTGCAAAACCCTAGAAATTTCTATATACCTGCTAAAGACGTAAACAGTGCCGGAACAGGTACCAACAATTAGGTATCGTTGGGAGACGGCGACACAAGTGTACTAAAACAAAATATGAATAATAGGAAAACGTTTTATACCCGAATTCGTCTAGAAGAACTGGGAAACGACAGTTCATCCAGACTTGTCAGCTCGGTGAGTAGCAGATCGGGCGAACTAAATACGATTTAAATGAAATTGCCCTTTTTATTACCGCGAATTGTGTGAGGGCCCAGCGCTCCGGGCAACCTCTTCCGGTCTGACATCGGATTCCATTGGAGGTCACGCGCCATGCGGCATACCTGAAAAACGAACCTGATAAACACGATCGACTAGAATCAGCACGAAATGGAATCGGAAATGTGTGAGAATGAACACAAAGTCGAGAGGAACGGCAGAGGTGAGTGAGAGAGAATTAGAGAACGAGGGAAGCCGGTCTGTTTCGGGACTCGGCTAGCTTCAAGCCCGTGGAAAGACGACGCAGAAATGGTTCTCCATCCAGAATTTCGAATAACTAGAAAAAAAAATTAAAAGAAAATTATTTTCATTAACCTCGATGGAATCCAAAGCGTTATGCCCATCCCAACCACCCAAAACGACCAGGAAGTTGCCGATTATCTAAATACTTCTTGCTTTTTTGGGTGCTTCCAGGTTATCGGGGGTCGGTTATTTTAGTGGGGGCCGGTTGCGAACTTTTTTCTATATATCGTGCGGCTCGGCTAATTAAAAGCTGGCCGCTTTTATAGAGCTGTGCGCCGTTTGAAATGGTTCTGTACTGTTAGCGGGGGAGGAGACATTAAGAAAAACGTCATAAAACATGTAGAAAAATTTTTTCTTTTTCGGTCTGACGTATATGAAAATGGCTAAAACCGCGCTATAACCCTAGATTTCGTGACTATAGGATAAATATTTTTATAATGTTTGATTATCGGAAGCTACTAAAAACAGTATTAAAATAAACTACAATTTATCACTAGGCAGGTATAGGCTAAACAAAAAGAAGATGCCAACCGACCCCCGATAGCCTGGAAGCACCCTTTTTTGTTTTAAAACCCAAAATACCTGAGCCGTATGATTTTCACGCGCCACCTCCAGCTTCACGTTCAAAACCTTCGCCGTTGAGTTGGTGGTATCAAATCTGAGTGAGAGATTTGCCTATTAATCTTTGCACCTACCGAACAATGCGATCCGTGACAGCATATCCATCATATCCGCCGACGATAAACACCGAATTTTGGTGCCTGTTTGCCGAGTGGCCCTCAGATGGATGGGGTAAAATGCCGCACATCTCCAAACTGGCGTCTTTCCCCGCTAGCTTCATCCTGTAAAAGTAAGCTTTCTAAAAAAATCGTTACAAACCGAAAAATAGATTTCATCGTCCTGGTGCCATCCCAACCTCCAAAAATTAGCAGTTCCCCGTTGCCACCGTTCACCATCGCACCATTCTTTAGCGGGGAGCCAAATGTCGGGAGTCTCGTGACGGATTGCTAAAGCCGATTATTTAATTTCTGTTTCAAAATACCTTATTGTTGGCCACATTCACTAGCGAAACTTGGTTCAAGCATTCGAATCCATCATAGCCGCCCACGATCAATAATTCGTCAGGCTAGACTGAGTTTTATAAATTTAAACAAGCATTCAATTACGTCAATCGACGAAGATGCGGCACAGCTATGCGGTGGGAGAAGAGAATCGAATGACGTGCTCTCGGTGCCGCAAACAATTTCTATCGATCCCTCGTGCGCCCCCGGGCCAGAACAGCCACCGGCAACCTGGAATGCAATTAAAGCAAAGATCAAGCTGTCAAAGCACAAACAAATCCTAAAAAACTATATTTACGATTTTCCTAAATTAACAATTTTCAAAAATAACCAGAATCGATCCATTTGACATCTTCATAACCGAAGGGGCTCGTCTGGCTATTTGAAGCGGGCCCATCGTCTTTGTTTCGATTCTTTTCAGGCGCTCTCCCGGGGCTTCCGATCGGGCATCAACCTGTAAATAAATAGCTGTACCTTGTAGGGGCGCAATTGCTGATAAGCGCTGTCGGTACACACGGTTAGGCAATTGTTTGTGGCTTACGAGAAGAAAATCCACAAGGAAATCACTATTCCTAGCGGCCTTTTGGCTTCTTAAATTGAGAAAAGATGATAAATAACGAGTTATACATACCTCAATAGACTCGATACTCTTCAAAGCCCCATTCTCCCGGATCGCCGTACATCCACCAATCACACAAATCGTCGCGATTCGCGGCAGAGTCATCAGCTAGAATAGTATTTTATGGCCTATCCAATTTCTAGCCAGAAGAAGAAAATAGACAAAATCGCTAAACCGCAGCAATTGGCTGGTTGGTTAGGAAAGAGGGAATCCTGGCCGCTGGCCACGAGCCGTCATGTCTCAAGTGCGTAAAGATAAAAAGAGAAGTGTGCCCGAGGGGGCTGTGGCTAGCTAAGGGGCCGTAATCTCTGGACAGAGCGACTTACATCGGGGATATCCCATTGCCACAAAGGCGAAGAGGGGGACAAGTCGGGGTCTACGGTCCCCAACGCCCGGTTTAGGCTATGGGATCCGGCTTTTCCAACGGATGCGTGCTTGATGGGGCTGCTTCTGAAGCTTCTGCTTTCAAATATCGTCTGCGCAGAAGCAAATCAAAATATTGTTTCTAATATGGCTAAAAATAATGATTGTCGATGTAAAAACTTCCCAAAAAAAGCATCCGATGCAAACGCTTTCTAACGGGCGCATGCTGATTTGATTCTTTTGACGCTCCCCAGCCTCAAATTCGGTATAATGTGTAAGGCCGTGTCAATTACAGTGCTTCCTGCAAAGTTTTCCTACCCTCCAAAATAATTACGCTAGAAAAATCAATCATCGGATTTACGCAACAACCATAACTTTCATTTTATTAAACAAACGTAGGAGAAATAAAGTTTTGTGCATAACAACATAAACGAGAGTGTGCATAAACTAATTCACGTCAAAATTGGACGGAGGTGAACGTGACAATATTCGAACAATTATAAATAAAGACTGCAGACCATCACCACGTCTGACTACATTTTTGGGTCGTTGGCGAAGAAGGTGGTGGAATGGACGTGCTCGTTGGTGTTGCTCGAGCTGCTGGTGTCACCGGCGTAGCTGCCGTTGACGCCTTGGTTGCTGGCCGAGTTGTGCTTGGTGGTGATGAATGTGGGGAAGTCCCTGGTCCTGATGGGCGACGCCTGGAAAGAGAAGGATGTCGTCAAAAACGCTGAAGAAAAGCACTTTCCAAACGGGCAAAAACTTCAAGAACAATATTGGCCTTGCGTATTTCGTGTCAGAAGATTAAAAAAGGAATACCTCCGGCAACTCGTGCGGGTGCTGTTCCTCAACCAGCCGCTGCTGATCAGGCGCGACCTTCCTCAGATAGAATTTTTTGTGAGGAGTGCAGAAGCAGCCTAAAGAAAAGACTACTAGAAGGCCTCAAAACGCTTACGCCACAGCATGTAGACCACCAGGTAGAACAGAACGCACAAGAAGATTCCAGTGAGCAGGCCAATGAGCTTGGCGAGATCGTTGCATCCCTGAAACAGAAATCTATAAAAAAGATGACGACTGACGTATCCGTAGTAGCAAGCGGTCCTCGGGTCCATTGTGGTCGTGTTCATGATGTCCGGGACGGGCTGGAAAAATACAATAAAAGTTTCGAAAAGCCGACATTACCGCAACAGTCGCCAGCGGGTCCACAGTTCGGTCCAGTGGCACGGCCGGGTCGTGCTGCAGAAGCGTAACGGTACTCATCTGAAAGAAAAGCGATGATTTGAGAACGCTTATAATTCGAGTGAAATGGGCACAAAAGGTAAAATAGCAAAAAGCAAAACTCGCTCCGGTACAAGGGAGGTTCCCGTACGGACAACCGTCATTTGGATTGCAAGGAAACCAGTACGGTAGGGGTCCCGCTTTTCTTTTTTGCAAGAACGTTGGTGCAAAAAGCAGCTTGGCTACCAGAGTAAAAAAAAAAAACAAAAAAAATTGTAAAGTAACCTGTTGATGATGTAATTTTTCTTTTTCAGATTGTCAGAAAGATTTACTTCGATGGCAGCAACACGGCAATGGTCAATAAGAACGACATCGACAGCGCATGATCGGTATAACTGAGGAATTTGATTCTTGGATTCAGACGTGGGTAATTTGCGATGAAAGGCTTGGTGGGCCGCTTAGGGCAAAAGAGCGGTAGCGGACGCTCGAGGCTGTCACCACGTTCAGTTCACAGATGGATGAGAGGATGAAAATTTTTTGGGGGCTTTTCGTAAGACTGCCACTTTTTGATAGACCAGTTTCGAGATACGTAAAATACAACTTTATTTCAACAGACTTTTGAGTTTTCAAGACCGGCTTTATTATGTTTTGTGCATGTAGCAAACGCCGGTTGCCTCACAAATGGCCCTCGTGTAGCGCCGTAGATCAGTGTAGTAGGCGCTGTTAATCTAAAGTTTGAATATTTATGCAATAAGTCGTAAGTAATAATTAAAAAAATACTATAGGAAAGCTTTCGAACGCTGACAACTGGATTTTCCGGGTCGGTGAAGGACAAGGTTCCGACGATGAAATTTTTTCCGGTAATGGGGTCGACGTATTCGAGGCCGGAACCGGAATCACCCTAAAAATTGGGAGGTTGAGCTTTTGACTTACAAGTTTTCTAGGCTATTTTTCAGTTGTGAAGGTACTGTACTGTTAGCGGGGGGGGCAGAGGATTAGAATTCCTCAGCGTTTTATAGTGTATTTTTACGGTGTTTTTATAGTTTATTACTAATCAAAGGTATGAATGCGTCTTTTGTAATTTTTGAAGACGAATCAAGATTTTCCGAAAATTTTAATATTGTGACTCATAAACTTATTTCAATGCTTTTGGAGGCTTTTTGTATTTTTCTGCTGCTTTCTTGACCTACATCTCCAACGCGTTGCTGAACGCTTGCCGTAACCGGGCAGAGGACGTCGTGCGGGTTGTACCAGCTCGCGTTATTTCTGTGCCAGCACTTTTCCAGCCGAACGTTGCCGAGGATGTTCAATATTGGCGACATACTCTGCAGGCCGTCTGAAGGAAAAAGTAGAGAAAGGTTGAACAGCAGGTGACCCCCTCGCCCCTAGCCAAGCGTCGCCTACTGTATCTCGGCTTCCCGTTGGCCTGCAGGGCTATAAGGTATACCAAAATGCTCGCAAGGCCAAGACGAACATTTTGGTATACTTTACACAACTGTAGATCAATGGGCGGTCGAGAAAACAAGGTGTGAGCCGGCTGGGGGGAGGGGTATCTGCAGCTTTACCCAGATTATTTTAGAGGAATCGTCACCTACCGACAATCGCGCCGTAGCCCCATTGAAGAAATTTTGGCTGATACCCTGGTAGAACGTAATTACTCGGCAAAAGACAAGCCGCTTCCACGCCACCCTGAAAAATTTGCAATTTTGTGGAAAACGGCCATTTTGGTCAAAAAGCGATATTTTTTTGGTATTTTTTAATTAACTTTTTAATGTTTTCACGTTTAGGAATTGTCAAAAACCCGTTTAGAAACACTCCACCATTGTTATTTTGACAGCTGGATCCTAAGAAAAAAGCTGGTCCCCCCGATAATGCGAAAGAACCAAAACCAATCTGGGGGAACACGAACTTTTCTTTTCTCAGGATCCAATCCCGATATAAATAGAGGAAGTGTTTCTAAACTGTTATTAACTACGAAGTATTGTAGTGTATTTTCATTCAAAAATATAAAAATATCGATTGTTCGCCGAAAATCTCAATTAAAAAAATTTTCTGAACTTTTTGGTTGTGTTCCACTTGAAATATAGTTCAGTATTGCTAAAAATCCTACTAAACACTTACTCTTATGTTACGGGGCATCTCCGGAAAGATCGGAAAAATTCGCTCCCCCGATAATACCAAAGCGCCAAAAAGTCATACCACATCAAACCATTCCACCGGTTTTGCTAGCTCGATTATCGCCAAATCGCCGTCATTTCCATCAGGATTGGCCCATGTTTTTGTCGTGGCGACAGAGCGGATCTATTAAGATTTATTTAGGAGAAAACAGACAATTTTTAAAGCCTATAAAATTTTGACCTCGACAATCTGCCGCGTTTTGCTGACCATTCGGCACATTGGACTGTCGAAAAGGCATTTGGCGCCGAGGAATATCCATTTCCTATCCTCCTTCCACACTTGCTCTTTCTTTTCGCTGTAAGGGTGAATTAGAGTATTAGAGAATTAGTACTTTTACGTTAACGGGTGGGGGGCTATTTTTAATAACTCACAACACGCAATGGCCGGCCGACACGACGTGACGACTGGAAATGAGGATCCCGGTGCAAAGTATCTACATATTAAGGGTTAAAAATGTATATTTTTAAATATTTGGTACTTATGCATTATCGGGGGAGAGATGATGAAGGAAAATTGGACCCCGATAATGCGAAAAAACCAATTACCTACCCTGTCGGTTGGTCGGCTGCTAGTGCAACGGCCCATCCAAAATCATCGGTTCCTTCATGGCCGTCTCGAATTTGTTGCTGGAAGATTTAATAAATGTAGAGAGAGAGGAGAGAGAGAAAGAGAGAGAGAGAGAGAGAGAGAGAGAGAGACCCACACCTACCGCGGTGGGTGGTTCTCTGGCTTTCATTTTTCGCTGCGATTCGTCGGGACGTGTTGAGCCTAAATTGATAAAAAATTATGAGCGTTCTCACACTCTCACTATCTCTCTCCTCTCTCTCTCTCCATCTCGCTCTTTCTCTCTCTCTCTCGCGTACGCAGATTTCCTCATTTATCAATCTAAAAAAAATTGCTTGCATTTCTCCCGCAGCACCTCGAGCTCGTGAGCATCGATCTTTCCCATGGCTACATTGTCCCCTAAAACATGGAAAAATCGGATACTCGAAGATTACGGTATTCAAGTCGGTTATCGAATTTTTCGGCATTTAAAGGAGCGCTGAAGGCTAGAAAAATCCAATAGAGCAGCATTTGAGAGGATACAAAGAATTTCTAGCCGATCGTTCTGGGTGAATCTTTAATTCATACAGGCACTTTGGTATTCTTTTGGAAAAAAGATTATAGATCAAAGGGGGATCATCAAAAAAAATTCAGTATTTGCAGCTGTAAAGGGAGCATTACGGTGGATCTCCGGGCATGCTAGCAGAGATTCTTTGAAGCGGTGAAGGGAGGGTGACGGTTAAGTGCAAATCGAACAGTAATAGACATTTAAAGAAACATTCACCTCCCAGTTTATAAAACGGTCCACGCTATAGCAGGGACTGGTTCGAAAACGTGGATAAACCCTCCCGTTCCCATCAGCCTGTTGGCTCATTGGTTTTGTGTTCACTTGCCGCCCACCAGGCCCGGGTTCGTCACCCGCCCGTGACGAAGGTTTTTGCTTTTGATCAAACGCTGAGAGTTGGCTGTTTCTTTTAAGGCAAAAAAAATATTGCCTTAGCTGTCGAGATCGAACAGTTAGCGACAGTTTTTTCGACAGCTTTTGCGAAACCTAGTAGTGAAGTCTCAGAGCCGTGTCGTTTATCACTTAGATTATAGTAAAATTAAAAATTTATTTTTTTATAGTTCGGTTTCGACGAGTTTCGGCTTTGGCATGTCATCGGAAAGGCTTGGGCTGTGCGTCCTTCGGTATTTATCCCAGAACGGCTTCACATACTCGGCTGCCTGAATTTACGGAATTTCATAAAAAGTTTTACTGAAAAATGAGAAATCTTGGAAAAACGATACCTTAAAAGTGGTAGCATTCTCGGCGATAAGCCGAAGCACCAAACAGCCGTCACTCTTCAGCACATCGTGCACAAATTCGGTGACCATATTCTTGTCATTGTCGCTGTCCGACACGTCGTTATAGCTCTGAAATACGATTTCTTCCTGTCACGGTGGCCGATGCAGCAAAAGCCATGGATAATCCTTAAACGAAAACCGGAGCCATACCTTGCTAAAGTCCTTTCAACCCGACCTACCAAAATCTCCTTGACAAAGCCGATATTGCCGTCCCCGTTGGTGACGCGCACAATCCAGGAGAGGAGGTTTGACAGAGAGACGACCAAGAGGAACATCATCCACCACCACAAGAAGATGAAGATCTTCTCGTTGAACATGTTCACCTAGACGGGGATGATAAAAGAAGAGAGCGAGAGAGAGAGACAGAGAGCGAGCGAGAGAGAGAGTGACAGTGACTACTTACATGCAAAACACATTGGAATGTCCAATTTTGGATGATACCCCCCATTTGGCGCACCTCGACGTCGCAAAACGTCACCTAAAATTCAGGTTTTTGAGGTGACTGGCCGAAACGTCGGCTGTAATGACCTTTTTGGCGCGTTACTGACGCGTAGCGTTAAGTCCTCGCCTAGAGGCAACACGTGCGGATGCGTCGCGGCTCTGCAACGCTACACGCGACGCGACCGCCACGCATGACACCGTTTTTTGCCTGTCACCTTCCGTTAATATCCACCTACCCTCGGAAAATGTCCACTCGTATGCCATTCCCTTCCATTTAACAGATCCATCAACACGCCGAAACCCCAGAAATGGTACTCCGAACCGAGCACCCTGAAATCGATAATTCCAAGCTTTCGAAGCCACACCCACGTATTCAACAACACCAACTCGCTGACGATCACCACAATCGACAGAACCTTTGTGATCAACAAAGCTGACGCAAGTCGCTTCCCGAATCGATCTGAAATTCCCCAATTATCACTGCTAGCATGCAACATAATGCCGACAATATACCGAAAGATCAATATGTCGAAATCCATTTTGCCAAAATTTATTGCTCTTTAACGTGCAGAAAATTGGGATTTATCCAAATTTTAATTTTGCCAAATTGTTTTCGACAAAAGGAAATTTCGACAAAATAAATAGGCCAGAATTTGCATAATGCCTAGATTTTGATGAAGTGTCATAGAAAAACATTGCGAGTTTATATTAAAAATACTAAAAATCGCGAATTTTCCAGCAAAAATACCGATTTTCGACAAATTGCAAATTTTCAAATGCTTTATATAGTTTTCCACTTGAAATATAGTCAAGTTTTGCTAAAAATCCTATTAAATACTTGTTGTTTCATTCCAAGGGATTTCGGGGCTGTTAAGAAAAAAACGGCTCGGGGGGAGCATCTTTGGAATTATACCAAAAAATCGGAATTATTGACAAAAATCGCCTTTGCTTACCTCCATATTTATCAGCCATTTCGGGGAGTTGTAGGCGAAATTTTTCCACTCCCTCATCGCCAAGTTTCGAGGCTGATTTCCGTAGATTATCGGTAATGCTGGGGAGATCGAGCCCTAAATTATGGCCCAACTACCGTAACCCCGAAATTGATATATACCTAGCCGTTTTTGCATTGATGTCCATAGATATCTGGGCAGATAGAGGAAAAGGCTCATTCCAAGTAATATGAATGGTACCCATTGATAGTACACCATTTCGTGCCTTTGTCTGGAATCGACGGGGTATGCATTTTTGCCTTCACAATCCCTTTAGAAAAATTGCTACCGTAGCGTCGAAAGTTTGGCGTGAATGCCAGAAATCAATTTGTCCAAATAATTTTTCCGAAATTCCGGTACTAGACTGTTAGCGGGGGAGGGGGCTATAGCTTCGTTTTTTCCTAAAACCATCTATGCTATTTAAAATATATTTTAATAGTCTTTTTTAGTAGTTTTTTTAATTGCTGGATAGCTATAAAAACTATCCTAAAGAATTTTAGAATTGCCAAAATCATTACCTTTTTTGGCGATTTTCATGCATTTTGAAGCAAAAACCACAATTTTCCAAATGTTGTTAATTTTGCATTTTGCCCCCCGCTAATAGTCCAGTACCATTGAATTTAAACGACGATATTTTTATTTTTCGACAGAATGACATAAATGCTTTTAATCTGACCTTTGCCCCTGTACGGGTAAATTGCTGTCATTCATCGGCACAAAATACGTGTTTTCGATTAGGCAATAGGTTTCGATATATTCTTCCCAGGCGCCCTGAAAATTATGCAAATGAATGTTTATATTATCATGGGTTTTTTGCAGTTTTTAATTACCGAAAAGTCGTAAAAAAGCTTTTAAAAAATCCAAAAATCAAAAATTTTTCGTTTTCTGACAATTTTGAGACAAAAATAAAAGTTTTAGTAATTTTTATGCGGTTTCTATAGAAGAAACCGGTGTGGAAAGCTAGCTAAACTCACCCCCGCTAACAGGCCAGTACCCCACCACCCCGGACTCACCAAAATCTCGTTATTCGCCCAGCAATTCACCGACTCGCCCACGTAATTCTTGCCGAAGATGAACACCGACGCGCCTATGATCATCCAATTCGTGTAGCGGTATTTTAATCTAAAAGGTTTATCGATTATAGGGGCATTAAAGGAACATTAAGGGAAGTGGAAAGGTATGTCTGCGGATTCCTTTGGCCGCGACACGCAACGCGTTTAGTTTTTAGTCTTTTTAGTTTTTTTAGTATCAGCCAGCAGAGATTTGCTGCAAGAATTAGGCGATTTTAAAGGGACGTGCAGGGATATCCTAAGTTAGCTATGGATCTCCTATATATTTTGCGGCGATCGCGCCGGTGTTTTTATTGCGTAATCGGTTATTCCCTTTCTGCAGCTTAGCGGTCCGTGCGTTGCGTGTCGCGTGGCGCGCGCGCGGAAACGTTCATAGAAAATTCTTAGCCAAAAGCTGATTCCTTATCGATTTTTTTCGCTATCGCGACACACAACGCGACCGCATTTTCATGTCCTAATCGAAGTTGCGTGTCGCTTCGCGTGTCGCAACCCCGGAATCCATGAAAACTCGATAGCATTGCCTTCCACGTCCCTTTAATTCGGCCTTAACGATAAATATACCTGTCGACGGAATCGATGTCGAACTTCTTCTCGAGGCTGGCCGCCTTGACGACGCTCTGCCCGAATTCGATCAGCGTCGACATCTAATTAAAACATAGGACACACAAAAAATCAAACAAAAAGAATTCAAAGTTTATAAACTTTTTAAATCCATAGAAATTCGCATAGAGTTTGGAGATATTTATTTCATCACAAAATACGATAATCTCATGAGGAAAATCGCAAAACTCGATTGAAAAATATAAAATTGAATTAGGCACACGGCAAGATAATAGATTTTTCTGGGTTTTGATGGCCTAATGGATTGGCTTGAACGTCTCGTCATCGCCCTCGTCGATGGCGGTCAGTTTTTTGGGCGGCGTCTGGTCTTGGACCGGTTTCCTTGCTCCGCCTAAAGCCCCAGATTTAGACATTTTAAAGGGACGGGCAAGGCAGGATTTGCTGGCTGTGGAATCTAAACCGATTTTGTCGCGGTCGCGACACGCAACGCATAAGTCCCTTTTAAGTCCGGTTTAAAAGATTACGCAACTAAATACAGCATATGTGCGTTCCGTAGCTCTGATATGGTACGGTCTACAGGGTTTAAGGTAAATTAAAGACAACAAAAGAACTTACTCTGCCTCCACAATGACCACAATGCTTTGACGACTTCCGATGAGAAGAGCCGGCCACCGTTCTCGTCGATCATATGGATTAACTGGAGTAAAAGTGATATTTTAGGTATCGAAACGTAGTAAAAGACCTTTATCTTAATCCGGTTTTATAGACAGTTAAGTAGCTTTAATATGGCTCTAAAAGTAATGACAACTGGCTATCTTGACAGAAACATTCAACTCAAAGCTTTTGATGCAAAAGCAAAAAGTCCTGACGCGTCCGGGGGTCGAACTCGGGCCTTGCGGGCGGCAAGCGAACACAAAACCAATCGGCCAACAGCCCGTTAGGATCGAGAAATGATAGGTCTTCTTCTCCCCAACAAGGCCCAATCCACGCTTTAGGAAACAGGCCCCACTGCAGCGTGGCTTGAATTTAGAAAATTGGGAGTCGAATGTTTCTTTAAAGGGACGGTAACACCTCAAAAATCGACTCACCAATACGCCATCCTTCTTCAAAACTTTCTGGAAAAAGTCTCGCACTTCGGGATCACTGTATCGACGGTCGGAGGTTGACACAAGCTCTCCGATGAAATCTTCCGGTTTGTTGAAGAAGCAACGGCTGAAAAGGCGGCTGTCACACTCCCTTTAGAAGTCAGAATCCGTCTTCTTACTGTCACACTCCCTTTAGACCTGTAAACCCCAAACTCCCTCCTGTCACAGCGCCTTCGAAGGGCTGGAGAAAGATGGAATCGCTGAAAGAGCAAAGAGGGTCGCACCGGACGGGGGTCGAACCAGGGATGGTCCGCCCCGCAGTCCGCTGCGCTAGCCAGTACACCAGAGAGTCGAGTGGATGGGGGCGGCGGAGGGCCCCCACATACCCTAGGGCGCATTGACACCTGTACAAGAACTGTTATTAGAAATAAAGCAATTTCATGGTGATAATAGCTTAAAAAATGTTGTAGAAAACCTTGCTAAAGGATAGCAACGTACTTTGCAACTTTCTAGAGGTGTTTTGCTGTCTATGCGCCTCTTGTCAGCCAAAACAGTGTCCCAAAACCCCGAATCGCCCAGAGCTTGGCCAGCTCAAATTTTTACCATCGATGCGTATCACCAAGTCCTTGGTTTCAGGAAATTTTTAGTTGAAAACATTGCTAAATGAAAAAGTTATAGCCAATAAACTGGTTTCTTCAAACGGGAGAGGGGTTTTGGGGGCGCTTACGCGAGGGAAAGCGTCGATGGTAGCGCCGCGGCGGTCCGTCACCCCGACGGACGCCGGCCCATCTTTCTCCAGCCCTTTAATACACCCACCCGGCCCACGCGATCCAGTTGATAAGTGTAACAGCTGCAAGGAAGCAGAAGTAGAACCACAGGAAGATGAAGATCTTCTCGTTGAACATGTTCACCTGAAAATTCCAAAATCTGTCGCCATCCCTTTAAAAGTACCATCAGCACGCATTGCAGTGTCCAGTTGTTGACATTTCCCAGTTCACGTACTGTCACATCACAGTATGTCACCTGAAAAGTTATCTTTCCGGTTTCCAAAGCTTTTGAAGCCTGGAATTTGACGCGTCGCGGCTCGCGCTGCGCCTAGCGATGCGTATCGCTTATAGCGTTGCCTTACGCAAAGCGTGCGTTTGCTTCCGTCTCACGTTGCGCGTCGCGGCGCGTATTGCGTTGCGGGTCACGTGACGCATAACGTTGCGGATCGCGTTACGTACTGCGCTGCGTATTGCGTTGCGTACCACTATAGAGTATGCGTGCCACGTTACGTGCCATGTTGCGTGCTGCGGTGTGTATCACGCTGCTTGCGGCGTTGAGTATAGTCTTGCGTATAGTCGTGCCCATCGCGCTGCTAAGCCGCTGCGTATCGCGTTGCGCATCTTGCCCATCGCGTTGCGTGTCGCTGGGCGTATTGCGGCGCTCATTGCGCTGCGAATCGCGTAACGTTTCGTGCGTCACGTGTCGCGTCGCGTCTAATCGCGTCTAATGAATTCATATTATTTTTATTAGATGGATGTGTAAAACCTAATACATTAAGATGTAAATTTTTTTTTCTTTTTCAGTAAGGTACGTCTGATATCTCGACTTACTCTCGGAAAATGCCCACTCTCCTGCCAATGTCTTCCATTAATCATATCCCATAGTATTCCGAATCCCCAGAACGTATATTTCGTCCCGAGCCAATGATTCAGAAACACCAGTTGCCCAACCACATTGATCAGCATCAACGTCTTGCAGAAGAAATACAGATTCGAGAGGTAGCCACCATACATTGTCACTTTGCCTGGAATCTGGTCGTCTATACCGTATCCCAACTACCGTACCTCCTTCCCTAGATGCTTGATGTTCTCTATAAAGCGCCCCGGCGAGCGTGCCCGGCATTTTTGCGTCGTTTCCGGCTTTTCCAGCCTTTCTCGCCTCCTGCATCATCACGGGTAGGGTCAGGCCTGTAATTTGAAAGGAATCTTTGAGATTGGACTTTGTAGAGGCACTTTTTAACACAAAAATCGTGAATTTTTGAGAATTTTTAAATTATTTTGTTTAAAGCATTCACCATTCTAAATCTATTTAAAATACAAGAAAAGCTGGGGACTAATCGATCACGACATAAAATTCGCCATATAGAAAATGTACTAAAAACGGTGGAAAATGAGAACGTTGAATGGAATTACCCGTTTTACTCACCTGAATAAACGCTGAAAATCTTCCAAATCCCGCGCGGCACGTAGAACATCAAGCCCATTAGCAGGAGAATGAATGGCACCCATTGGTAGTAGATCATCTCCTGAAAAACACCCAAAGTTCAGCGTGGTGTAGTGGTAGTGGGTTAGGCTAACAACCTGGGGGGGTCCGGGTTCGAATCCCATGAGCGCAGATCTTTTGCTTTTTGCTTACCTTATCCTCTCGGGTGTGGACCGGGGGCAGATTCGTCTCATTCATCGGCACAAAGTACGTATTTTCCACGAAACAGTACGCTTCGGCAAATTTCTCCCATTGACCCTGAAAATGACAAAATTAGAGATCCTAAACGGTGTTTGCTAGCTTGCCCAGGCCTGAAATGCTCTCTGTTAGCCCGCCGTCCATCCATCAGGGATCTCTGCTAGTTTGCCCCAAAAACTCACACTCCACTGGGCTGGCCGCCAGCATTGAAGCGGATCTCCGACGTAGTTTTTCAGAAATAGGGTTGTGGCCAACCCAATTAGCATAAAGATGGTTGTTACCTGAAAACTGAAGAGGTGGACGTGAGAGGGAGAGGGGAAGAGAGAGCGAGCGAGCGAGAGAGAGAGAGACAGAAAGACAGAGAGATCAACCACCCACATGATGCCACCGATCTGTCGAATCGTCATCATACGTTGATTTGAGCCTTTTCACAAACTCACCGAGCTGGGCGTTCACCGACATCGGAGGCCTGAAATCGCATTTTACCTTCTAAACCAAAACGCAAAACTTTTAACACCAGCGGGGATCGAACCCGGACCTTGTGGGTGGGAGGCTAGCGCGTTACCAATGCGCAAAAAGTCCTTGTGCTTTTTGTCTTAAAAAAATCCGTATTTTACTTACAATGGCGCTGCGGCAATCATGACGCTGTGCATTAATAGTATAGCTACAGTACCCTCAGTAATACAGTTTTAAAGGTCGATTGAAGTCAAATATACTTCTGCCCCCTCCGGTTGAGCGGCTCGGCGTAGATGATGAGGGGCCCGAAGCGGAAACTGCCCGCGTAGATGACCTGCCGCTTTCGCCGGACCGCCTCGACACTGATCACCCACTGACCGTCCAGTGCTCTCTTTCTCTAGCTGTGTCTCTCTAGCTATCTCTCGTTCTCTCTTTCTCTCTCTCGCCTAATCTCTCTACTAATCCGTGTTCATCTGTTGTTTAGTGACACACCACCATTGATAGGGCTACCCTGACGCGCCTGGAAATGAGCCAACAAATAGGAGGAGAGCACGAGCAGAGACGATTGGTAAATAATGAGGATTTTGAGGGTCTGCTACGCACGCTACTCGTAAAAAGAGTATGGCTACGCGTAGACTAGGCGCAGGTTTATGCTTAGACTTAGAAGAACTTGACTTTGACTTACTTTCTCAGGATAACTCGGAAAAAGTTTAATTTAAAAAATTTCAGTTAAAAATTATTTAAAAAATTCCAAAATGTAAAAAATTTGGCCTATATTGACGAGACGCGACAAGGAGCGCGTAAAAAGCGGACCTACGTTCCGCAGCGGAACTTCCGCTTCAGGTAAGTTAACTTGAGAGTTAGCCTTTGATGCTTTGTTTCTATAACGAAGCAGCCCAAGGGGACGAAGGCCACGCCCCCTTTCAAGATACTTGGTGGTAAAGAAGCGGCTTTCGTTTCTATGGATTTCTGATTTATTTGGCTTTAGGTTAGGCTTCAGCTTAGGCTTAGGCTTAGGCTTAGGCTTGGGCTTGGTCAGAAAGTTACTGAATGGCAGCGTGCAGAGATTTTCGCAGCCCCGCTCAATGTCGCGCTCCCTTTAAAGGGGAGGACAACCAGCGGATAAATAAATAAGTACCGTAATTGGATGCGGAAACGCGATTTCTCGGGCCACGACGCAACATGCAACGCGTCAAATCAGGGAGTTTTATAGATAGTTCTTAAGGCCTTGACAATGATGGAAAAAAGCGATAGATAGAAGATAAAGGATAAATAAAATCAATATACTAAAAGGTTGACAAGCTAAATTTACGACGACTACTCTGCTAGCCTTATACGACCCGGCGCGACGCGAAACACAACGCTCCTGTTTACGCAGTTGCTGCAGCTTTTAAAGGGACAGGCAAAGTAAGAAAATCAATAAAACCCCCAAATTCCCTGGCCAAATCAATCGATAATTATTCACCTGCAAATTGATAGTGTGGCCGGGCCGTGTCGTGTTCCTTTTAGAGGGGTAGTGGGGGTGTAGAGATGAGTGGAGTGGAATAGCGGAGTGCCGCGGAATTATTATTGGCTTATCAGGGCAAGCCATTCTAGGCTGTCTATCGGGGGCATCTTCTGGAGGAAAGAAACGAAAAGGAGGAGCCGTGCAAACCCATAGCTACGCTAGCTAACTCATTACCATCGCGACGGGTCTCTTGGAAATTTGAATTTTTGTGACTTTATGGATTTTGTCCCAGGGTTACTTGTTCCTTTAAAGGGGCAAGTCAGCTAATATTATCCTGCTTAAGCGGATTTTTTCAATTTTCTACGGTAAATTTTTGCTCGTTTTCCAATCAGCACCCTTGGTTTCACCGTGGTCCATAGATTTTTGCCTTCACAGTGCCTTTAACATCCGAATTTTTAGCGTTGATTAATTGCGAATAAATGCGAATAATACCCCTTTTCCTAAAGAAACTTTGCTAGCTTGCCCGCTCCGGGCAAACTAGCAGGGGTTGTTGAAGAGCTTGTTACGCTGTTCAAGTGAATTTCCGCAATGACTCACCAGAAATTCAGTTTTTTGGTTTTTGCTTGTTTTGTAGTTTTCGATTTTCTAGGCAGCGACCAAACTACCGTAATCCATTGTACCCAGTCCCGATTTTCACACCCTTCCCTCCCTCATTTCTGCCTCCAATTCCACTCCTTGCCAATTTACACCCCCTAGTTATTGGCCACAAAATGGGTGTCGTGATAAGGACGAGTTGGGGAAGGAGCCAAGGGGGTTGGGTTCTATTTGGTGCCCCCGCCAGGGTGCCTTTCAGGTTTGATAAGGGGCCAGGCCACGCTGGCACCAAATCGGTACGCGAGAGCCAAGGCCTTTGTTCGGGTTTTAAAGGCGCTCGGAATTTTTGGCCGGGAGCCAAAAGTGGAAAATGACTCATCGGGGACCGTAATTTAGTTCAAGTATCTCAAGGTCAAAGCAAATCCACAGGGAACCAAGGCGAACAAAATCCATATACATGCCCTGCTGGTCCCTTTAAAGGGATACCCAAGGTTTTGGTGGCAAATATATATTTATCAGACATGGCAATCGGCCGGGCCGCGCGGCTTTTTCGGCCGCAAAAATTAGAATGCGGCCGGGCCGCGCGGCTTGGCTGCACTTCCGGCGCGGCCGCGGCTTTTTTCTGTTTTGAGGCCGCACGGCGGCCAAGCCGCGCGGCTTTTAAGGCCGCATCCAAATAGGATTTTCGTACTTCCGGTATGCAAATAGGGGATGTAATGGGTAATTAGCTTGCTAACGAGGAATATCTATATTCGACAACCATAATTTTCTCGTTTCCATTGCCATTTCGCATGAAATTGCGGATTTTTGGTATGTAAATGAGCCACTTCCGGTTTGCGGCTTGGCCGCAGCGGCCCGGCCGAGCCGCGATAAAAATGCGGCTTGGCCGCGAAGCCGCATTTCCGGAAGTAACTAATTACGGCGGCTCGTAGGGGGCCGCGTTTTTTATGGAAATTAGGCCGCCGGCCGGGCCGCGCGGCTCGGCCGATCGGAATTGCCATGTCTGATATTTATGTATTCCGGGCAGTACAAATGACGCGGGAATTTTCTGTGGAAATGAGGCGCCAGTGCCGCACAAAATTCGGCCACCTTTCCCTCTTGTGGCATCCCCATCCCACTCATTGGCTTGCCACTATGGCCTAATGGATAGCATGCTGGCCTACAAAACGGGGGTCCCGGGTTCGACCCCCGCCCGCGGCACGTTTTTTGCTTTTTGAGCCCCGAAAAGGTTTCCGACTGAATTCCCTGCCCGGAATTTTCCAATTCCACAAGTTGACTCATTATTACCCCCGTAAAGATGCCAGCTCTTATCTCTACAAGCCATAAAACATAAGTTAAATTCAATGCGCTGACTCAAATTGCTCCACCGATTTAAATATTATCCCCACCCCCACAAAGGCCGATGACTCAAAAAATACGGTCGGTTTTTCTGCTTTGTGACCGATTGTGTGAGGTAGAGGTAGGTTTCGGTATGCTGATAAAGAATTGCCAACATGGCTTTTTGCCTGCCCCCTTTTTAGCCCCTTTTCGAGGGGCCGAAATTCGAATGGAACGGGAGAAGAGACGGGAGGGTGGCGATAAATCGTCTTATTACGATTAGCACCCCCGGGACTACTGATTTCCCCCCCAAAAAAAAAGATAAGGGTCCTGGTCCCTTTTTTGAATCGTGAGTAGGAGTCGAGTGGAATTCGGGGACTTGAAAGAGCTGATGGGGCAAGAAGCAAAAAGCTTGGCGTGAAAGCAGAGATGATTTAAAGGGGATCGGAAACGCAGAAAAATTTTTGAAGCCGGTTTTTCGAGTTGAAAAGCAGAAATTGAATTACCTCCTAACGCGATCCTCAACGCGCAAAGACAGCCGGACCGGATTTTAAAGGGACCTAGAAGCCAGCGCATTTCAATCGGTGCCGTGACGCATACGCAAAGCAGGTCACGCGGCGTCAGATCTCGAGCTACACCCGTTTAAAGGCACCAATAATTAATGGCCTCCGCAGTTTCTCTCACTCATCAAGTTGCTACCAGCATTTGCTATTTGTATAGACTGTGCGTGTAGATAGTAGATGTGTGCATGGCTAGGGGTTCCAAATGGCCACAATTCCCCTGATAACACTCCCTCGCAGCCAGTCCGGGTGGCTCGAAACGAGGGAAGAAGCTTGTACTCCGGATTCCTCCAAATTCCGGGACCCGAAAATCGATTCAGCCATAAAGATGGATAATTCTTAAATTGCACACTTGCGGCACCTTTTGATCGTGCGAATTGCCAGATTTTTTTCGCTTAATTCTCTCGCTCGCTCTCTCGCTCTCCCCCTCTCTCTCGTTCTCTCTCTTGCTCTCTCTCCCTTAGTCTCTCTCTTCTTGGTAAATAAAAATACAATAAATTCCAGGCGACGCATTGAAGAGAGGCTACCCTTATGGATCAGCTAATCGGGGTGGTCACCCAGTTGGCCCAGGCCAGGTATGGATTTAATTCTTTTAACTGAGAATTTTACGTAGAAACGGATTTTAATTAAGTTACGTATTAAAATTTTTAATAGCAGATTAGACAATTCAATGCCCTGAAAGATACAAATTTTATTCAAATTTTTTAGGAACGAGGAAGACTTCATCGACCGGCTGAACTACCGGTTCACGTCATACCTCTTCGCCTTCTGTAGTCTATTAATTACTTCTAAGGTACAATTGTAGTTTAAAGCCCAAAAATACATATATTTAGTTGTATCTCGGAACCCCGATCAAATGCTGGACGCCCAATGAGTTCAAAGATGGTTTGTGTTTGAGTTTAATGCACGATATGCGTTTTGTAGTTTGTAGTCTAAAAATTAAACTTTTGGTCCCGATCATTAATGCTTATACCCATTAAAAACGATGAAGTTTCAATGCTATGGAATAACTGTAGTTTATAGTTTATCTAATTTCACCTATTTATGTATGATAGACCTATTAAATTTTAAAGCTTGTCGTTGAAATGTGTAGCCTGATCAATACTCGCTGTAGTTTGTAGCCTGTAGTATAGGGTCAATATCATTAGTGCGCTTATAAGTACCGTAATTCGGACTCCACCGTACTTTAAAGCTATATTTTGTAGTTTGAAGCCTTCAATTCCAGGATGGGTCCAATACACGCAAGACTATTGCCTGATCGAAAATACATACTATCTGCCGATGGACGATCCCCATATGCCGGATAATAACGTCAGAGAGGAGAAGGAGCTACAGTACTATCAGGTACGCAACAATACCCCCCTGGGTTACGATACCCGTGATTTCAGTGGGTGACGTTTGTGCTCGTGCTCCAGGCATTCTTCTTCTATTTGCCGCACTCGTTCTGGAGGGCCGTCAACTGGCAGAGTGGTGAGGGATTCGGTGCAGGCTAGCAGAGATTATTGAGGACAAGGCAGGCTATGTAGCAGATATTATTGAGGAGAGGCTGGCGTATTTTTGGGGAGTTGGCGGAATAGGCAGCTAGAAAATTTCTGTGAGGAAAACGGGCAAACCAGCAGGGATTTTTTGAGGAATTTCAAACCTGTTATTCCCGAAAGGGGCTATTCCTGCAAATTGGGCAGGCTAGCAGAAATTCTTTGAGGAAAGCGCCAACTAGCAGAAATTCTTGCGGAAATTAACAACTTCCAGGCCTCCAAGTCCGTGCTATCGTCACCGAGACAACGACGCTCGGGTTGGAAACCGAGAAACGAGATGAAGCTCTGAAAAAGGTACGGACTTGACTTTTAACGGGGGTGGGGGTTGGCCGGGGAAAGTCGATTTTCATTTTTCGTTTTGATTATTTGAGAGTTCGATTTTTAATAGTCAAATTGATCGATTCCCCCCCCCCCGCTAACAGTCTAGTACCCCTTCCCATTCCTTAATTCCACCTTTTTAAAAATTAATTTCCCAGCTCTCCGGCCACATCCACAAATCGATCAGCAACCTCGGCCGGCCGACAAATCGCAGCAATCTGTTCATGTGGACCGTTGGGTATTTTAAAGGGACCGTGCCAGGAAGCTCATTGATTTTGCAGCCATTGCTTCGGGGCCAATTTCGCGTCGGCGATGTACATCATCACCAAGGTGCTCTTCCTCGTCAACATTGTCTTCCAGCTGTACATTCTGCACGTGTTCCTCGGGTTTAATGCCCTGAATTTCCTGGGTAAGCTCGGATGGTCCCTTACAACCTATTTTGCACCTTTAAGATTTGAAGCTCGGCTTCAACACAAATTGGAAACACACCGGCCTTTTTCCCCGCAGCACCATGTGCGATTTTGAGGTGATTTTTACGGGATTTTCTTATTTTTCGATGGATTTTTCAAAAGCAAAAAGGCGCCGCCTGGGATTGAACCCTGGCCATTAAGGCGGTAGGCTAGCGCTTTACCAATTAGCCAACCGTAGATTCCGCTTAAAAAGCCTTTTTCTTAAAATAAAAGCCGAGAAATCAATTCCAGATCAGGACCAAGGGCAACGTTCAGCGCTACAGCGTCCAATGCGTACTCCAATTGAATATGTTTAACGAAAAGGTGGGAAATCGCTAGAAAATTTAGGGTTGGAAGCGGAAAATAATTTTCTAAAATATGTTTCTAGATCTACCTAGTGTTGTACTACTGGTTGATCCTCCTCTTCGTGGCCACCATTTGCAACCTGTTCAAGTGGTGCTCGGATCTGTATTTAGGGGCGAATCGCGTCGATTTTGCCAGGAAAATGCTGAGCGGAGCTGTGGGTTTCGAAAATCTAACCGAAAGGCTTTAAAGTCTACTAGAACACCAAAATACCCACCCCGGAATTTTCAGGGAATTACGAAAGGAGCCAGGGGCAAGAATTCAGAGGAAAGGTCGCTACTGTTTGCCACCGACAGCGAAGAGGTGATTCTAAGATCGATAGAACGGTTTAAATGGCCAATTATTAATAATTTTCTATAATTAAATAATGTTCAAAAATCATACCTACGTAATATTTTCCAGCAAAGCCACTACGACAGATTCGTGCGAATGTCCCCGGATCAAGTCCTCCTCTACCGGTTGATCTCTTCCAATTCTGGAGACATTGCCACGAGTGACGTCATCGCTTCCGTTTATAATCATGAGGCGCAGCTAGCTGTCGCGTCTTCCTAAGCCTACTTTGCCTATTTTTCTATTGAATAAAAGTTTAAAACATTGTCGTTACCAAAAATAGCTTTTTATGTACCCGTTTATTCAGAAAACCCAACTACCGCGAAAAAGAGTGAGAAGAGATCCACAAAAAATAAGAAAGTAATCACAACACATAATCGCTCAAAAAAAACCCTTATGTTTCTGCATGGAGCATGGCCGAGAAATCACCGCCTAGCACGTCATCAGCATGGAATGTACGCAACACTTTGAAATCACTGGGAAAAGACGATCACGTATTCAAAAACCAACAATACCTGTCAGGAAAACACGAGATGCTGGGTAGTCGAATGTCCTTTTTATTCCGGGCCGCCCACCGATCGACTGCCTCATCCTCTTGGCCCTCGAATTCGTACTGTTCCTGGTTGTAGAAAGCCTCATCGCTCAGGTAGACGGCATGGAAAGGCATGGCGGTACACCACAAAAAGTGCTCCGCGCTGAAGCTCTCCTGCGCTCTCTGAAAAATGTCATATTATAGGACGCCTGATGAGGCCTAATTACGGGTTCTGTTACGCTCTAGGGTATGGACTTAATTTCGATTTTAATTTCGCCCCGTAAGCGGGAATAAATAAAGACACACCATTTATATAGCTTTTTGAACACTTTATAAACCTAGAAAATCTATAGAAATTTCTTAAATTGTGCGAAAAATTCTTATTTTTGGGACTTTATAGCAATTAAAAAATATTTATGAACCAGTAAAATCCACTAGCAAGCTAAGGATTTTGTTAGGTATCCATAGGCTGGATAACACCCCCCCCCCCGCTAACGAAATAGCCCCGCAAAACTCACATCAAGTTTTGTCTGATATTGCAACTGATCCTCCGACGTCTTCTGCACAATCTTTTGATTGATCGTCAGCGCAATTTTGTCCCTCAGCATCTCCCTCGCCAATAATCGAATCGCTTTTGCGTCCGCTAGAGCCGAGTGTGCGTTCGCAATGTCCGGCAGCTCGTAGAATTTCAACATTTGCTGGAAAAAAACTGATAAATCCACATCAAAACCCTTTACCATCAATGAAGTGTACGGCATGTCAGTTTCCTTGAAGCGGATCCCCTTTTGGATGTAGGTTGGGTACTAGAATAGCTTTCAAATGGTTTCTTGTCAATACCTTGGCCTCAAAATGGGATTTGACGTTGATGAAGCGGCGGAGAATGTAGGGGAAGTCGATCTGATGGCTGTGGCAAGCATATTGAAGGAATTTGGCGAAATCGCCAGGTCCGTCTGTGCCAAAAGCAGATCGATTGGTGAGTAGATCGTTGAGCTTCATCCATTCCATAAAACTGGAAAAGAAATGTGCCGTATTTTTTCGGTCTATGAATCCTCAATGATCTTTGCTAGGTTGCTCGCAATTTTCTAGACCTTACCGGCACATGGCCGTCGAAAATGGCGGGGCTGCATCAACCGTAGCTTGCTCAATTTTTGTCAACTTTACGCAAAACTCGCTGAGGATCGGGTTGAGCGTTGGCCGGACGTATGCCTGAATTGGGTTTCCGATTTACCACTTGAAAATTACTTGAAACTGCAGTGGATTTGGGTCGTCCAAATTGTATAGGTCAAGAACGACAGCGGAGAATTCGATGACTTCTAGCGGGTAGGTGAACATGATGTTCGTCTTGTCGCATGTGCACTCCACATCTAGCAGTATCTAAAAGAACTCCTATTGGCATAACAATCGTTCTTTTACCAGTTTATCATAGTGAAGCTTCGTTTGCGCTAAGGCATCACCCAACTCCTTTTCCTTGCGCTTCAAAAATGCTGCATGGCGAGTGCGGAAAAATTGTCGTAACTCCCGGAAAGCGGCTTCTACAAATGTTTTTATAAAAGCTAAAATCGGCTTCAACTTGCCGCTAAAATCATTTTCATCCTGGGATTGCTCGGGCAAGTACTGGCGATAGTGGCTGAAGTAGCGATATACTTCTTCGACATCCAGATTTTCGATCATTTTGATATGAAGGGCGCTGGGAATTTGAACGGTGTCATCTTGCTGAAGGGTATCACTTCATTTTAGAAAGCGAGCAATAGCTTACCGAAACCATCAAAATGGTGCTTCCTTCAGCTTCAAGGACCTTTCGTTTTTTCGCAATTCTCACCAACTTAGCCAATCGGATTGTCTCTAAAGCTCTTCTCCTCTCAAGATTTCTGCTAGCTTGCCACACAACACAGTTTCTTGTCTGTACCAATCGGATGGATAAGCTTTTTGCAGGTTTCATACATAATCGCAACTTCCCCATAGATCTATTGGGCAAAGCAAGGAAATTTATTCAAATCGCCAACCAACCATGGCTCCAAAACAATCAAATTCAACAAAAAAACGACAACAATGAATGGATAAAAAGTGAACGATGTGCATCTATTTTCCGGCCTTGCCCTTTCCGCCTCCCTTGGCCTTCTTGGCGTTGGCGCCCTTGCGCTTGTCGCCGCCGCCGCCCTTGTTGTGCTTGATGTTGCGGTCGTAGAATTGCTGCTTGTGTATCCGCGACTTCATACGTGGGGGCTCCTTCGTTTTCTTACGTTCAATCCTGAAAAAACAAGCTGAACGGAGGACGATTCAAAACTTACGCCTCTTTCGGGGCAACGGCAGCCAATTTCTCGGCGTTCAGCTTGGGCTTCTTGGCCGCGAGTCGTTCGAGGATGGACTTGTTGCGTTCCTTCTCGCCCGCCATCACGGCAATGTTCGGCTCGAACTAAACGCGATTATTGCTCAGAAAAGAAAAGCTCACCTTTCTCTTGATTCCCTTCTTGACATTTGGCTTCTCGCCCTGGATCTTGTCCTGGAATTTGCCGACGGATGCGGTGGCCACCTTCGCCCGATCGACGGCTTCACGGAGCTGGAAACGAATGTTTGAAAGTGCCAATTTTGTTTTTCACAAGAACGATTATTTTACCATCAGTAGAGAAAGGTCTAGTAATTTCCGTGCATGTATTTTCAGGTTTTTTGGGGAAAATTTAGCTTTATTCAAGCAGAAAAACTATTTTGAAAACGTCGAAACCGCCTCAAAATTTTAAATTTGGCCGTAAATCAAACCATCGTCGATCAATATCTTTTTTTTTGTAATTTTGAAAGAAAAGTGGTAAAGTATTTACGTTTAGGAAGAGCAAAAAAAACAATTTAGAAACATATCCTCCAATCCCAAATTTTAATACGCATTTTACCTCATTCTTATTCCTCTGCATTGCATCCACACCAACACCGAGCGCTGTCTTGTCCACCGGTGGCCCTTTGGTCTTCTTGGAAGCGACGGCATTGTGCCGGGCTAAAAAGGCGAATTTTGATGACAAGCAGGAAACAAACCGATATTCTTAAGCCTCTGTGTCTCGTTCTTCGCAACACGCTCCTTCTTCGCCTTGATCCTTTCCTCGAAGTAGTCAGCGTTCGGGTCTGAATCAAATCAAGGAATATTTATAATTTGTACCTTTATGGCCGGGGACTTCGATGAGCCAATCTTTGGTGTTGTCCTTGCCACTGCGGTAGCCCCAGGTTGGCTTCCATTCGCCAGTTGCCTCATCGTAGACCTGAAGCGCAAAAAAATATTGAACTGTACATCTTTTCTAGAGCTATAGAAGGAAGCAGTGAATTTTCAAACTAAAAATCGAACATTCACAAAATAATTACCTTCTTGTCCTTCTTTTGCTTGACAATCCCTTTCTGTTTCGCGTATGCCTCCCATTTCGTCGGCTCTCGTGGAGTAGGAATCTACAAAGAAATTGTTGAGCAGGAAAGGAAAATAATACCGGTTTCTCTCGGGGAATTCGGTACGTCTTATCCGGCAGCGTGACGACAACGGCCTCATCGACGTGTTCTTTATTTAATTCCCAGATTCTAAACGGAAATAATAAACTTAGAAAACAGCTACGGACCTATTGAAAAGATATTGGGTGCTGTCTCGGGCGCGAGCCAAGAGATCCTCATTGCTGTGCCTGGAATAGAAAAATTAGTAAGATAGCAGGCGTGTGAAAGTTTCATAAATCTTGTAAAACCTTACTGAGCTTCTTCACTGAAAGGATCGTGATCGATCAGCAGCAGATTCCCCAAGCATACGGTCGGCTCGACCAACTTGTTCACCGATGTCGGCTTCCGGATTACCGGCTGGCCATTCATGGCTGAAAATGAAGATAAAGTTGATTGAATGTATTTTTATTTTCAGAAAAACGATAACGTGGTGTAAAATTTTTATAAAGAAGCAAATTTACCAAAAACCTTCGTAAAAACTCTCGTTCTTTGACGCCTGGACCCGGATTGGCGCGCCTGGGCACAGGGCCGGGTACGGTGGATTCGGTGCGATAGCGCGCCATAAGCAAACAAAATGCCAGATGCTTCCGATTTTTTTTGCAATTTTGTATTTTTCCAACCCAAAAATATCCTTGCGTCTTCTTTTTCTTTTCAAAAATCATAATAATCCAATTCATTTCCCAAATTTCAGGTATAATGCCGACTAAAAAGCTGGAGAAGCTGTCCCTGCAACCCGTCAAGCCGGACATCGCCAAGGTCCAGCTGCTGAAGTTGCCGACAAACATCTTCGAGACCATCGCTGGATTCCTGGATTCATATTCTCTGCTGGAGCTAGCCAACGCGCACCGTGACCTACGGAATTCGGTGCGAAACTCGAAGAAGCGGTGGTCGGAGGTGCGGGCGTATAGCGACTGTTACTACATCGACTACAATTTCTGCAACCTCTTGGACGCCAATATTTTGCTGTCAAACGCGACCATCGGCAGTTTCAATGAGGTTCTGGAGATGCCCGGAGCTCGTGGACTGGTCGATTTGCCTAAGGAGCTGCTAGATGAAATCGCTAAACCGCTGTTCTCATCAGAGATTTTACGCGTCGCAGCCATCGGTGGACGCCTGGAGAAATTCGGCGCTCGAATGCCAATCAAGTATCTAGGCCACGACCCTGGCGATTTCGATATTCGCGGACGAAGCTTGGAACCGAACTGGGTCCTTCGCAATGGCCAGTCCTTGGAGGATGGGGCCCTGGATGATCGACTTGTGGAAACTGTCGAGTTCTGGGGGACGAGCCTGCCGCCAAAATACCAAAAACTATGGAAACTTCAACCGCGCTTCCGGTGCAAGAATTTCATCTACCAGGCGGCGATCACCTCCGGCATAAGCGACGACCCGGACTCGTGCTTGGACAAGGATACTCTGCAGAAAGTTCTCAGGCCCGTGAACGTTTGGTCGTCGGATGTGATGAGCTTCCTGAGTGGGCCCAATTTTCCGAAAGGAGCTGTCACGGTGGGATGTATCAGCGCGCGTCAGCTGCCAGCTATCATGAAGCTGACCACGCCGAGGCTCGCGTTTAACCCTCGTGCGACCGGAAAGCCTGTTTTGGATGTGATCTGTCACTTCGTCGACGAATGGATGGAAGGGAAACGTGAAATCGACACCATTTGGTTTCATCCGACGTGGGCGGACACGGATGTTCACAAGCCGCGTTTATGCGCTAAGCATATCGGTGATGATCAGCTGATGGAGTGGTGGGTTGGGCAGCTCCGCACCAACCTCGTCAATTTCAACCAGATCGTCATACCTGGGCTGGACAAATACGGCTTGACGCTGAGTGAGGACATCATGTCCATTCAAGCCGAACTGCAGCGCAAAGACGGGAAGAGGCTTCAAATCCGGGCTCGCACCGAAGACATCGTTTTGCAAGCACCTGGCGATAAGACATCTTTCTTGATTTGGTACGGGAATCACGGTGAACCGCATGAGAATCAGGAAGCCCCGAAATTTTGAGCATCAATTTGTTGTGTTATCGGTTCTACAATTGTTTGATTGATGCGAATTGTTTTAACTTTCTCACACGTTGCAGATTTTGTTTGGATAAATATTTGTTGATCACCATTTTTGTGGATTTTCGAAAATCGGGTTAAATTTCCCGCCCTTTCTGGTTTATTTTAACAAAATGTAGACCATTTTGCTGTACGCCAGAATCGAGAATTTAGCGTTTTTGTTGGATATGAGGTTCTACGGACGTTGTCTTGATTTCTACGAATCCATAAACTTTATTGCCGTCGCAGCATGAACATGGGTATTTACAAACAAATTCTGAGAGGGAGGTGTAGAAAAGGCCTTTCGAGACTACAAATAACATTTGGGCGGATAAATTAGGGGTGCAATTTTATTAGGCCGCGAAAAAAGACGACATTTAGTATAAGGCGATATGCAACAAATTCCTAGACAATTGGGGGAAATTGGAGCGATTTTCAATGGGCTGACTAAATTGTTATAGATATCGTACGATAAATTTGTTTGACTATATGCTATTTTGGGAGAGCACCGCGGGTATCAAGATGAGTCAATAACTGAATGAAAATTCACGTCATTAAAACGGGGAAAAGCTGAATAGATTGAGCAAGGCGTGACACCAAAAAAATGGGAAAATCATAGGGTAGTTTTGAAGTTTGTAGGGTCTATTGTCGTCGTGAGGGGTTGAGGAGAACCTGGAAAATTGATTTTGATCGGTTTTGATAAAGGAACTTTGCTAGTTTGCTCGCTAGATATTTAGCAATTACCTTGTTGATGAAGTTAAGGACAGCGTGGGCGGGCTGTTCGGGTTCAAGTTCAGCAAAGACGTGGCACTGGTTTTCGTGTTGGTTCACCTAAAAAGGATAGATAATTTCAGAATGAAAACCGAAATGTACCTTCCGCGCGACAACAGCAAACACTTTTGCGTTGCGGACGCAGCCCTCGGAGAAGCCGATGACGTCAGTGTTGTCCCATCTGAAATTTGTAGGGTTAGGTTTGTAGTTTAGAGTTTATAGTTTCGTTTTAAGCATATTTATGATCAGTTCGGGTTTTTTACACCAAAATCGCTGCGGTTTTGGGATCTCCACTCTGGGCACATACACTTCAGAGCGACCATATGCCAGTCAGGTACTTGTCGCCCCTAATAGGCCTAAGCCCCTCAACAATGGCTACGACACTTTCCACACAACACCCCGGTACTTGTAATCCATTTGGTGCTAATGAGTTGGCTGGTGAGCATTAGTCTATAGAAAATGACGTTTCCCGGGTTTTCCCAAAAGCTCTCTGCTAGTTTGCCAATGCTGTGATACATTCTGATTCCCAAAAGATCTCTGCTAGCCTGCCCCTCGTTCTCACCGTTGATCGTCAGGTCCCGGTCCGGCGTAGATGACGGTATTTGTGGGGAAGTGGCGGCGGAAGAAGAGTTTGCGCGTGTTGTCCGTCAATGTAATCCCTTGGGCCGACACCTGCAAGTGAAACGGGTAGACAAATATGTGCAAGGAGGTGAACACTACGCATTGGTACGATAGGCATTTCGTTTTCGGAATGTGGATTTCCGGATCGTTGCGTAGTGTTTGGAAAAATGGTTTCGGAAGCCATTTTCGGCCAAAACTTGTAGCTGATTGGTAGTAGGCTAATTTTCCAGGCAGATGACGCGGGTTCGATCCGCGTCGATGCCGGTTTTTTGCTTTTTTTTGAGAAAAATCTCCGCAGGTAGCGGACATTCCATAGGTATTTAAAGATTACCTTAAAGTGTACGGACACTGGCGTTAAGTATCCCATGACGTTGTCTTTCCACAGCCTTGCCATGCAGAGCTCGACGCATGCTTTTCCGGTCAGAGATTCGCAATCCACCGATCCGACGTAGGCCACGTTACAGGCTGGAAATCGTAGTTTTTAATCGGGTTTTTATAGTTTTTATGTATGAAAATTTACGATTTTTTTTTAGAAAAATTCGGGCTTGACCCTTCCCCCCTTGTTGCTCGCCCCCGGCTGGCAACAATTGTTGACGGGATGTTGTGTCTGTCTGTTTCGGTGTTCTACATCGGTTTGGCTCTCTCTCTCTCTCTCTCTCTCTCTCTCTCTCTGCCTCTCTATGGCCCCCGGGGAATGTGTCCCGGATTTTACGAATGCAATAAAATGCGCGCTGCGAGGAGGGGGGAGCGGCTTGCTAAGGAGTCGCTATTCGGGAGTCACTCTCTCTCTCTCTCTCTCTCTCTCTCTCTCTCTCAGTCGAAAAGGATGTAATTTGGGGGCATAGCAAGAATAGCCCTCCCAAATTGCCCCCGGGGCGCATCGCCGGCTTTTTGACGGCTCGCGGCACTGTGGCTTTGATTTGATAACCCGGGCGGAAAATTGTGCATTTTCTAGGAAATACGGTAGCCTATGGATTAAAGGGGCCAGATAGCAGCTGCTGGTCAAAAAGCAAAAATTTTGGGAAGGACGGGGTTCGAGCCCACGACCCTTTTCCATGGGCGCGGAGGCTAACCACTCGACCATACGGTTGGCGTGGTTTTTTTGGGTTATTGGGATTTTAGTGGTTATTGGGAATATCTAGATTTTTTGTAGAACTTGGTTCTTTAAAGGGCCGCTGAAGGAATGGTTCAAGCTTGAAGAATATGGATTTTCGGGAGGTTTAGTTATTTTTAAACTTATTTTGTCGCTTTAATCAACAATTCAATTTCAGGGAACCCCTCGTCTAGCCTAGCTTTCCCCGGCTTTTCACAAAATATCGGGCCACTCCGCCCTCAGAAATCAAGTCCCTAAAGGCCTCCAAATCCACGGGCGTTCAGAGCGTGCGTGGGGAAGGGGGAGGGGCGTGGCCGAGTGGTCTAAGGCGCCGGTATGAGCCACAGTCTGAGGGTGCGGGTTCGATTCCCCACCCTCAAGGGAGCGCTTTAACCTTTTGCTTTTTGCGCCAAAAGCCTGGAAAAGTCCCAATAGATCATTTATGGAGCATAGTATGCGAAAAATTAATAAATTAAAAAGCTTGCCGGAATTGCAACAACAAATTTTAGCCTCCCAGGACCAAAAAAGTGGCTGATTTAACATTGGCAATGCTTTCCCAAGCAAGTTCAGTGAAAAAACCACAAAGAATGAGCCTAAATTCAAAGAAAAACGCTTCGCACAAAGGACGGAATTTGACACTTTTTGAGCTAAAAAGCTATAGAAGTCCTTATTTCTGCTGTAGATCGGCCTGAGACCTGTTCCATGACATAGCCCAGACTCTTCTCTACATTCCTAGAGCAGCGCTCCCGATTCACATGGCCTTTTCAAAAGTTATAGCGATTTGAAGTTCAAAATTTTTGACCATTTTTCGGCCCTTTCTATGGGGAGATTATGGATCGCGGAGCGTGCACAGTACACGCGCGGCCATTGGAGTGCCCTGGAGCCGCCCCTCCTCTCACAGGCGCTTTCCCTGTCCTCTGAATGCCCGTGAATCCACGGCGCGCGGGGTCAATCGCATTTCCGTTTTTTGCGAGGGCCCATGGAAGGAGGCCAAGAGGGTCTGCTCTGAGTCCGACTGGCAACTTGCCAACATTACTCTCGGCCCCAAAAATCCAACCAAAAACCCCCCGACAGCTCAAAGTTGGCCCTCGAGTAGCTTATTGGCACTTATGGGGGGCGAGGGACCAATTTGGGTCTTAAGAGGGGAGAGGCCAAACAATGAATGAATGCGGCCCAGAACTATGGGGAGCGGTGTTCGGTGACGAGAGAAAAACGTCAGGAGAGACGGGAGAAAGATAGAGAGAGATGGCTACATACCTGCGCCTTGCTCAAGAAGAAGCTGTGCAGCCGACACGTGCTCCACTGATGTAGCAGGGTCGAAATCGGGCAGAATCAGCCTAAAAATGTGATTTTTAAGGCTTAAAGATTAAAATATGATTTTTTTTTCTATATTGAAATCAGGTATCAGCGCTAAATTTCTATGGCTCAATGGTAAAGCTCTGGCCTATCACCCACAGGACCCCGGTTCGATCCCCGGGGCGTCAAATTTTTTGCTTTTTGGTTTTTGATGCATTTCTGGCTTTCCGGTCCATTTAAAGTACGATTTGGTTGCCATTAACGCTTACTTGGCGGGCAGGGCGAGTGGAGTGATGGAATGTTGATAGACGAGAGCAGATAGGGAGCCGAACACCGGCTCATTATTGCATCCCTTCAGTTTGACACCCTTTGGTGAGGGCTCGATGAGGAAATGGCGCACCAGTTCGGTACCGTCACCTGGAAAGATACGGAATATTATGGAAGTGGGTTTCTTCCTCAAGGATCTCTGCTAGCTTGCCATGGGCAACCAGTTCTTAAAGGGGCACTGAAGGCATTCCCAAGGAATCTCTGCCAGCTCGCCTGCCAGCTGCTCCCCGTTTTTCCCCAAAAACCCCTGCTAGTCTGCCCATTTTTGGGATTATGCCAAAGCCCATTGTTTACACATTTGGCATGCCACTTGGCAGTTGTGGCCAAAAATGGCTGGGCCCTCATGTGGGTCCTATGATGGGTCCCAAGAGGGCCCTATCCCTGGCCCCATTTCCCCCAAAAAAGCAATTCATCAAAAATTCGTCGGCGTCGACCCCATTATCTGTGATTTAGAGGAGGGAGGGGAGTGGAGTGGAGTGCAATGTAAGGGCGAGAGAGAGGGAGAGAGCGAGAGAGAGAGAGAGAGAGCGAGAGAGACAGGCTATTTTGATATGGATGAAGCAATGAAAGGGCTGAACGGCTAGCATAGAGCGTTTCGGAACACTTGGTGGCTAAAAGTGCATGGGAGCAGGCTAGCAGAAATCATTTGCGGAAACGAAGCTAAATTTTGGGCAAGCTTGCAGAGATTCTTTGAGAAATTGACCTACGATTGAGCGGTTTTGAATTTCTGTAGCGTAATCGGTTCGTATTAGCTATAGTATCATCGTAATCTACCGTATTACCGTACCTGATTGTACTCCTGGCGGTGGTGCAGCGACTTTTAGGGCTAATCCAAAAGCTCCGGGGAACGAGTTGGAGTCGCGGACGACGAATGTGCCGGGTGTCTTGTCGCGTAGCATGTTGATGGCTGAAAAATTTTTTATAAAAATTGTCTCGCATTTCCACAAATTGGCTCTGCTAGCTGGCCTTTTGTTGCCTTGAATGGTTCTTTAAAATCCGAGATATCTTGGCTAGGGATCGATGATCCTTGGAGAACTTCATAGCGGCTAACTGTGAAAATTCAAGGTTTTCATTTGTTTTCAGCTAGTCGACATTACTTGGCTTCAATGACCCTTTAAAACAAAAAGTTGCGAAAACGAAGAATTTTTGCTAAATTCCCCATTTTTTACTTCAATCGTCCTTGAAAATGAGCAATCTTTCGTGAAGAGATGGAAAATATTGGCTTTACGCCCAAATTCTACAAACGGCCTCTGCTATATAAGCCATTTCCAACCTTCAGTGGGCCTTGAAAGCCGCATTTTTGGCATCGCAGAGATCAGGAATTTTAACAAAATTCCCACTTGCAATTTGAATTCCCCGGGGGGCAGTTGTTTACCCGTCTCTCTCGTCACGGGCCAAAAGTCACAAGGATCGGGGGATTGGATGGGATCTTTTTAAAGGGATGGGAAAGTGATAGAGGGAAGAGAGAGAGAGAGAGAGAGAGAGAGAGAGAGAGAGAGAGAGATCCAGATAGAATGTGGCCCATCGATGGGCCGAAACCAGGGCCAGATGTTGGGTGGCAATTCGAGACTTTCAACTTGGTAGAATAGAGCCGAAGAGGGGACAACTGTTGGCATGTCTGCTGGCTCCCAAAAGAACGCTGCTAGCCTGCCCGCTGGCGGAAATTTGACACCGGTGCGCTGGACGATTTTAAAGGGACGTTGAAGCCAGTCATTAACGCAGTTTCATGGCGTAATGGGTCAGCTATTTAGTAATGCAATGGCGTAATCGATTAAACCCCTACCTTCGAAATTTCCTGCCGTAATCGATTAAACATAGCAGAAATTTCATGGCGTAACTGACTAAGCCCGACGTGTAGAATTTACTACCGTAATCGATTAAACCAGATGAAAAGCAACTATTTCCAAGGGGGGATATGTTGGCTACTTTATGATTCCATGGCGTAATCGATTGAACCTAATCCCACCCTATTCCCTAACGTAAACGGTAAAACCCGCTGCATAATTTCGCTGTCGTAATCTATTGGGCAGTCACCGTTTTAAAATGCCGTAAACGATTAAACCAAAATTTTTAATACTTACCCTGTTCCCTGGAGATTGTCGGCTTGTACCAATATTTCGACACATCCTTCACAAACACCGGATGGTGGTGGATGATCTCGCCCGGGTCTGAAAATAAATACAATTTCATCCACAAATATTAAGGGAAAAATTCGATATTTTGCGTACTGACTGACCGAAAATACCGAAAAGAATAATCGCATAAACCCTGGTCAAACCTCAAGGACTATATGTCGTAATCGATTAAAAATAACTGAAAATTTTGATGGCTTAATCGATTAATTAAACCTTGGAATTTAAGGGCGTAATCGATTAAGCCGGGTACAGGGATTTCATGGCATAATCGATAAAGCCCGGGATTTCATGTCGTAACCAATTACCTGTAGTATTTGAAAGCCTAGAGACTACAAACTACGCGCGATCAACCGTATTTTCATAGCGTAATCCAAAAACGCAATAATTGAATGGGGTATTATATCTTGGCGCTTGTTCCTTAACGGGGGCGGGCTTTCTCCTGCCCATCCCGGTAGGCATTGTGAGCGCCCGCAAACGCACCAGAACCGATTTTAAGTCGGAAAAAAAGTTCCTGAATTTGAATTTTTTGCAACCTAAAGGCTTTAATTTGTCACTCGAGAAACTACAAACTCTAAGCGACGCACTTTCCGGTTTAATAATCTCCCCCGGCCGTCGCATCGTCTGCATCTGAAGGGGAATATCGAATTGTCGAGTCGGACTCAGAGGGAAGCTCCTAATCGTCGGATCGATTTGTGATGGGGGATCATCGTGGAATTGTGCGTAGTAATTCTCAATCGACTGTCGATATTGATGTTGTGTTCCATCGGGACTCGCCAAGGTCGTGGTTTTGAGTTGTGCTCCATTTAGCCTGCTCCTCAAATGGACCCCGTTTCTGAGCTCGATATGGCTAATTTCGTGCTGGGAGTCTCTGCTGGCCTCCATGTCTTCAGGTCTTCTCGGTATTACGGTAACTGGGTCACGTTTTGAAGGAACGTCATCATCGTCAAGGTCAGATTCGGGGGGTTCGGTGTCGGCGTCGGAGCCGTCGAGATGGAGGATTTCGACGTGGTCGGATTTTGAGGGGTTTTGGTGTTGGTTTTGGAAAAGGGTTTGGCGGGAAAGTTTTTCTTTGAGGCGTTCTTCTTGGTTTCGGGGGGTTGTATGACTTTCTTGGCCTTTTAAAGCGGAATCGATAGGGTTGGGTTGGGTTCTGTGGTCCTTTAAAAGCACATTTTTCAAGTCTTCTTGGCTTCTCCGACCGTTAAAACCCTCATTTTCAAAGTTGATCTTCATTTCTTGTCTTTCTGAACCCTTTAAAAATCTGTCTCTAGCACTTTCTTGACTTCCAGGCCCCTTTAAATGGCCGTAACCGGTTAGACCTTCATTTTCAAGCCGTCCAGAGTATCCTTGTGTACTCTCAGCCTTCAAAGGAGCCTGAAATGGCCCTGGAATCACCTGGACCAAGCTAGGATTTTTGACCCCAATGTTCATCACCGCCACCCCATTCTGCCCCTGATCTTCTATCCGCTTCAACGACACATTAATGATCGTCTCCTCCTCTTGGCTAGGCGACAATTCGACCACTTCCGCCTTCTCCGCAAACCTTATCGGAGTTTTTGCCGGGGAGCGGGATTTTTCCCTATCGATTGACTCCGATTTTTTGAGGATCCCGATCGGTTTTTGTGCAAGCTGAGGAGGTTGATCAACTACCGGCCCCAGCCACTCCTCAAACGGTTCGGGCGATTCGACGCGTTTGAAGCAGCCCATCATGCGTTTTGGGGATTTTCGACTGGAGTCGTGACCGGGTTCGGGAGATTTTTTAGGGGATTTTCGGTTGGATTTGGCTTCGTTTCTGCCTGACTCAAGCTCCACGGGCTCAGGCTTGGCTTGGTGAGCTTGAAAAGCTTTGCTTTGAAGCTCGTAAGTCGAGTTCCTGGGTTCAGCACCTTGCCAGCGAGCTTGGGGAGCTTCGGAGGCTTGGTTTTGATACCGATAAGGCGGATTTTTGTCTTCAGCAGCTTCCTTTCGCACTTCAAAGGGCTCACTTTGAAGCTTATAATTCGCATTTTTGGCTTCAGAATCTTCCCAGCGAGCTTCATAGGGTTCGTTTTGCGACTTATAACTGGAGCACTTAGCTTCGGGAACGGCAAATCGTGCTTCGGAAACTTCGTAAGCTTGGTTTTGAGGCTTATAAGTCGAGTTTTTGGCTTCGTAATGTGCTTCAAAAGCTTCACCTCCTCGATACGGCGATTCCGAATTGCGCTTCTCACTTGTCTGAACAGAAGCCTCAGCCAACCCGGCTGTCTGCCTCGATTGTATGGATATCTTCAACACTTTGCTCGTCCTCCCCTCCGAGATCGGACTCCTTACAACCGATATTCGATCGGCCTCATCTTCTGAGGAACAGCCAGAACTCTCTGAGCTGGCTAGACACACCGAATTCTCTTTGCTCCGCGATCTTGATCGTCTGGCGGCCAGTTGATGCTCAGAATCAGGTCGGGCTCCAGAAAATGAAGGGGAGTTTGGGTTCATTCGCCTTAAATGGAGTGTATTTTGGAGTGTAGCGGAATATTGAAAATAGAGATAGAGAAGCAATAAAATCGAAACACAGAAATTAAGGGTTCCAAGCGCTTTTGAGCATTAAAGGGGCCGGGAAGTGAAAATCCAAAAGAAACTGTGGTTTTTTCTAAAATGTAGGCAATTTTTAGCGTTCTTAATTAAATATTTGAGGTTTAAACTTTAAAGTAATGAGCAACTCACAATCAAGCAAAAAAAATTGTGGCTCTAGCCGATTTCAAGAAATTTATCGTAGTTTAATCGAGGTTTTTACGTTTTAAAGGACCATCGAAGCTCCAATCTATAGGAAATCAATATTCTACATAATTTTCAAAGCGTAATAAATTGTTTTTTTCTAGCCAAAACCCAATGAATACCAACGATTTTGCCACCGGGGAAGCCAAGAGAGGAGAGCGCTGATTCACCCGGGGGATCCTACAGAATTCGGCGGCCCAGAATTCCGTTTCGATACAATTGACGGATCCGCCGGCTCCTGCCCAAAAACGGAGGGGCTCCCCGAAATAAAATATAAGACGTGACGTGGCACATGTCGATGTGCGGGCCAATTGAAGAATTGAAGGAAATGGGGCTGAGAGGAATTTGTGGTTTGGACCCGCCAATTTGTTAAAGCGCCAATTTACTGTAATTTTACGAATTTAAGCTGAAAATGCATAAAAAACTCTAAAAACGCAGCATCAAAAAGTTGATTGCCAAGATCGATACGGCCGGAAATTGTGGCTTCACGTCGCGGCCTAGACACGCTAGAAAAAAAAATCCAATAAAATTGTATTTTCCAGTTCTGCTATAATTTTTACGTATTTTTAAGGTGCATATTCGAATCCAGAGCAAAATTATGCACATGCTATTGTAGGAAAAAATTGAATTCACGCACTAATGGCGTAGGAAAATGGTCGGCAAGCTTATGGTCCAGTAGTTCGCGCTCGGTCATAGATGGAAAATCGAGAATTTAGAGATATAAGATAGTTTTTCGATGTTTTGAAGGATGTATTCGGATTCAGCACAAAATACTGCTATAAATACAGCAGTTTGAACTTTAGTTTACGCACTAATGGCTCAGAAAACCGATTAGAAGGGCCGGTCGTTTCAGGTCGAGCCATAGGTCGGGTTTGAAAAGTGGAAAATTTATGGATATTCGTTGGTTTTTGTATTTTTCTAAGAGTCATTTTTTGGATAGAGCATAAAATTCTGCATCAACGACACTAGTTCGGACCTGAATTCGCGCAATAATGACTTGGGAAAATGGTAAAAAAGTGCAGAAATCGATAACAGGCTCTGATTCGCATCTTAAACAGATCAATATGGTTTGCTTGGGGATATGGGAGGGGAGGAGGAAAATGTGTTAGTAAAGAGGAGCACGAGAAGGAGGGGCAGCTGGCAGCAGCAGTCAAACGAAACAACAACTGTTTTGTGCCCTCAGGGGGCATATCCAACAAGAAGTAGAGGAGGGCGAGGGAGGAGGCGGGGCTTATGGGGTTGGCCCTACCCCTCTCTCCCCCCTTCCACCCTCCTTGAACACGATCAAATCCCATGGCAAATAGATAGAAGTTGTGTGTGTTTCTCTCTCTCTCTCTCTCACTCTCTCTCTTTCTCTCTGACTCTCTCTTTGCCTCTGTCGTTCTCTCCGGAACCTCCTGATCAAACCGAAGGCGAACTGTCCAGCATGAGGGAACTTGAAAATCTTCAAAGAGTCGGAAAGCGGGCCAGCAGAGATTCTTTGGGAAATTCGAGGAATCGGCAAGCTATCAGGGCTTAGGCTTAGGCTTAAGCTTAGGCTTAGGCTTAGGCTTAGGGTTAGGTTAGGTTTAGGCTTAGGATTGGCTTCGGCTTGGCTTAGACTTAGGTTTTAAGGAAACGGGAACGAAACTCAAGGCAGGTCTGCAGAGAAACTTAGGAACTGGAATGCTGATAGAGCAAACTAGCAGTGATTCATTGGGGGAATTCAAGACGTTGACTAGGCGCCCGAAAAATGCGTTACGCGATGGAATACAATTCCAAAAGACAGCTAGCAAAGACCCTTTCGGAACCACCACGTCGACCTCCAAAATCTTGCCATTCTCCTCTCCCCCGCGACGCCCAAAAAAAGACGCATGCCGAAACCCAATATTTGAGGTAAACATTCCGTTTTTGTCATCCTTCCTCGTCTGTCTTCTCCCTCCCTCTCTCTCTCTCTCTCTCTCTCTCTCTCATCGCTCTCTCTCGTGCATTTTTTATTTGCGCACTGCGTTTTATTTCGCGCCCCAGCGATGCCAAAAGCGTATCCATCTTTTTCACGTTTTCGGGCAAAAAAATGGGGTAGGGAAATTGGTTTTGAGGATGGGGCTGGATTTGGCAAAGAATCAATGCTAGCTTGCCCAAGAAACTCGTCTTAAATGCTCCCTGCTAGCTTGCTCTATTCCGAAAATTCCGAAAAAATCTCTGCTAGCTTGCCAGATCTCGAAAATTCCGCAAAGAACCTTCAAGCTTGCCAAGTTCGTTCAAATTCCTCGAGAATCTGTGCTAGTTTGCCTTCATTCAATCATGATCCTCAATGTTCTCTGCTAGCACCCCTAATATTCCTCAATAATCATTGCCAGCCCCCCGATATTCCCCAAGAACCTCGGCCCCCCCCATTGTCCATAAGCTCATTAGTTCCGGTTTGTGTACCATCGGGCCAGCCGGCTAATCCCATGCACTCAAGGACTGTTGCATATTGGGAGAGAGAGAGAGAGAGAGAGAGAGAGTGAGAGTGGGAGAGAGACAGAGACGGCAAAACAACACCAATCATTCGCACGGCTTAAGGAGAGGCTGTAATACAATGCGAGGGGGACACCTGGCTGGTCTCTGTCACTGGCCCTCACCATTTTCTGTGCTCTCTCGCCAGCTGGGGCTCCGAAAGACACCAAATGACAACCACCGGTGTACGGATGGGGATCAATCTGCGGTTTTGGAGGATGGCAGGGCGGACGGCGGAGAGAATTTGAATCTGCGAAAGCTAGCAGAGATTCCTTAGGAACTGGAGATGTGGGCCGGCTAGCCGAGGTCCTTGAGGAATCGCAGGAACAGCAGAAATTCTCTACGATATTCATGGGTAGCAGAGGGCAATGACAGCCTAGTAGAGATTCTTGAAAAAATTCAAGGGGTGGAGGCAGGCTAGCAGCGATTCTTTCGGAATTTCAGGGGGCTAGGGGAAGCTAGCAAAGGTTTTTCGAAATTTCTAGGATTGAGGCAGGCTAAAAGGCATCAATTGGGAATTTCAGACGTTGGGGCAAGCTAGCAGAGTTTTTTGGGCATTTCAAGGATTGAGGTAGGCTAGCAGCGATTATTTAAGGAATTTTAGTAAATTCTGGAAGCGCTTCTACGAGCACTAGGGGCCGTTTAAGGACCCGACCAGGCAATATATTTTTAGATACAGAAAAATAAGCATAAAAATCTAAAATTCATTCAAAAAAGTCAATCGATTACGCCATCAAATTTCCTCCCGTATTTTTGGGGGAAACGGATGCAAATAAGGAGGAGCATCACCTCCTGCTCCTTCTCCTCCTGACGACGGTAAGAAAAATGGGCCATTGTTGGGGGCAATGGTCCGTACAGAGGGAGCCGAATGGAATGGTATCCCCCACCCGGACGGGTTGACCGGAATTTGCATAAACTAACAGACACGGAGAATCCAACAAACTGACGGAAAATTTGAATCCGGTTGAAAACCCCAAAAATTTCTGATACTCACCGACGGAATTGAGAGACGATCGCCGGCTGAGGGATTGGCTGTAGTAGTTCGAGCGCGGGGAGGCTGACCTGAAAAAAAATCATCTATTAATCAAGCCAAAGCTCGCCAAGATGATCAATTATACGTTGTTAGGTGTATTTTGTAGTTTTTCAAGTGACTTTCAAGTTTTTGAGCAAAAGCAAGAAGTTTGGCGCCGGCAGGGCTCGAACCCGGGTCTTGTGGATGAGAGGCAACGGCTTTGCCAATACTCCACAGCTATGGGAACGGACTTTTGATAATTTTTGAGTAGAAACAGGTAAATGCGTGGTTGCCTTTAGCGATTTTTTTGAATTCAAGTCTCGCAGCTAGCTGGTATCGGATTCCTCAACGAGTCTCTGCTAGCCTGCCTTTGTAGTACCAAAGAATCTTTGCGATCTGCCCCTGAAAAAGCTCTGCTAACCCTTTTCTCAAGATTCCCAAATGCTCTCTGCTAGCGTGCCATATTCCCGCTTCCTCAAAGAATCTCCATTAGCCCTCCCCTACCTATGATACATCGTTTGACCGTCCGGCTCCGATCTGTTGCGCGACAAATCCGGTCGACTGGCGGTACCCTGAAATTCATCATTCCTCAAGAATCCCTGCAAGCTCCCTCACCTGGCTATACAGCAATGGATGGTACGGTAGCGGGGTCTCGCCGCGAAGGGGGAAATTCGGGGTCTCGGCCCTTCCACCGACAGATTGGGCTCTTTCCTGGGTACCGTAGTACTGACGGGATGGGGTCTCGGCACGGGCGATCGCGGCGGCGACACGTTCCTGTAAAAAACAATTAGATCTAGAGGGGTACAGTATCTAGAACTTTTGGAGGGCCAAAAATCGAAGAAGAAGGCTCAATTTTGGCTTGCCAATCCCTTTAGAAGCACCGAAACTAAGCTAAAAATCAAAATATTTTCCACTCCCGTTAATTCTCTTCCCCACGCCCCCCCGTTAAGCGACCTTTACCGTGTTTTTAAAGGGACCGAGAGGTCATATGCTTAATTTTTCTAGGGGAGACTGTATCCATAAATTAGCAAAGGGCGCTTTTCTGAGCCATTTTTTGCCTTCCTAGTCCCTTTAAAACCCCAACAATTTCGCGAAACACCTAGTTACAGCGCTAAAAACATTTTAAAGGAACCTGTAAGGCAAATTCAGGTTTCTTTATAGGTTTTTTTAGATCTTAAAAATCAACGAGTATTTCTTGTTTTCTTGTTTTTCTACAGTTTCTTAGTTTTTGGAAAAACAAGGCAACTAGCCGAAGTCTTTTAGGAAATTCCTGCAAACAGATTGTGGGACATCTAGCAGAGATTCTCTAGGAATTTTCTCAAATCCGTTAATTTCTATTTCACACTCGTTTTCTACCGTACCTGTCCGGAGTAGAACTGTCCCGAGGGAGTCTGTGCACGCGACAACGAATCGTACTCGGCGTAGCGGTTGTCCTGAAAAAAGGCAACGATAAATTGTAGATTACCGTATTAATGGTATATTACGGTATTAACGGCAATAGTACGTAACTGTACGGTAGCGTACGATATCGTAGTAATCAATATCGGCTTTTTCAAGTGCGACGAAATTCGAGTAGGTCGCGAGTTTTTTTGGGGCCTATCGGCTCAAATATCCTGGGTTAAACTCTAAGTATTTCGGGTCCCAAATGGTCTCTACTGCGTTGCCAAAGTAAGAGTAGGACAAGCTAGCAGAGATTTGTAACGGAGTGGGATTCTGGAAGCAACTAAAGAGTAGCGAGATTCTTTGCGGAATTGTGATGTATGGTGGCATTCTAGCAGAGATTTTTGAGGAATAGGAGAAGAGAGGAACGACGAAAGATGACGAGAAGAAAGAAAGATTTTTGAAGAATTTCAGGCGACGAAGGCAGGCTAGCAGAGATTCTTTGAGAAAATTAAAGGATGGGAAAACGAGCCGTGACCATTTCAGAATTTTGAAAATATTCCAAAGCCAAGCTTCCCGGTTCCAGGAGGGCGAAGCCATAAAAGGTGGATGGGGGATAATGGCTAGGCAGTGTTATATGTTGACATTGCTAGAGACCGTTTGCCCCAAGCCATCCATCCATTCCCCCACAAAGTGTGTGCCCGCCGCGCCACTTACGGAAATACCGCCCCACCACCCCTCGGAAGGGGGCTTCTCTCTGGAATGGGACGACGACCAGTATGGATATCAGGGGTTTATCGCTGTCTATGTCTCTCTCTCACTCTCTCTTTCTCTCGCTCGCTCTCCCTCTATCTCTCTCTCTCACTCTCGCTCTCACTTTTTTTGTCTCTCTATCTGTCTCTTTGTGTCGTTCTCTCTGTTTTGTTTCTCTCTCTCTGCCTCTCTTTCGCTCTCTCTCTCTCTCTCTCTCTCTCTCTCTCTCTCTCTCTCTGTCTCCTATTAATCGTCGCTGAACCTTTGACAGAGAACTAGCAGAGGATAAGGGCAATCTGGCAGCGATTTTTGAAGAAAATTCGATCATTGACCGGCTACCTAGCAGAGATCATTGAGGAAGGACAGTATGGCGGAGACAGTTTAGGAGGAAAGGCAAACTAGCAAAGATTCTTTGAGAAACCTAGTCAAGGTCAGAAGGCAAGCCAACCATGCCTCTTTTTTTTGGAAACTGACCGGATATCTAGCCGATGGTGTCTCTCTTCCTTTAGCCCAAGCCGATGGATCGACAGTCGATGGTCTCGCGTATTCGGAGGATTGTTTTCTCTGAAAAATTCATATTTTTGGGTAAAATTAACTCCAAGAATTTCTGCTTGCCAGCCCTAACTAATGGCCGGAAGTGTTGCCGGCCATCCAGCACAAGTTATCTAACTCTAAAACATGACCCATCTACCGTACCTGTCCCTGTGGCGTCTCGTATTGTTGTTGATGTTGGTGGTGATTAACGTGTCGATGGGTTGGAGCAGGGGAGGCGTTCTCGTTCTGAAAATTTGGATTTCATCAGCTTACTTTTATAGATCAGCTCTTTTACCATAATCTACAGTAATAGCTCCTTTTCTAGATCAAAATTTTAGATTCCGAATGGCGTTCAGATTGTGGATCGTAAAAAGCGGGGACTTCAGTAGTGAGTGTATTTATATGGGCATTTCAATGAGCCCATTTCCGGGCAGAAAGGCGTGAGAAAATCGATTGTACTGTAAGGCCAAAAGAGAGAGAGAGAGAGAGAGAGAGAGAGAGAGAGAGAGAGGAAGAGAGAGAGAGCGAGAGATAGAGAGAGGGAGAACGAGAGAGCGAGAGAGAGTGAGAGAAACAGAGAGCGAGAGAGAGGCAGGAAGAGAGAGAGGGCGAGAGAACCACAAATAAAACTATGGCTTCAAATATTTCTTTGCCATATCCCTATCAATTTGAAGTTATACCTTTTTCAACGTCTAAAGGAACTGGAAAGGCAAAAATAGACAAACTCGAGTTTCCGCCAAATATGGGTCAGACGATGCCTTCGAGCCATTTTGGGCCCCTCCTTGGCCCTAAGGGCCCTAAAAGGCCAAAGCCGCGAAAAAGCAAAAGCAGAATTTGGGAATGTGGACTGAGTACTACACACACAACTTCTTTTTGTGCCCTCTCGGCTGCTTCCTCTTGGCTCTGCGGCCCCTAAAAAGTGCCCCAGGGGGATATTCTCAGACACCAAAGGGAAGGGGAGAGAAGCTCGGAGCTCTAGAGGGGTGCCGACAAAAAAACATAACGAATGAGGGTAGAGGGGTTGGGTTTTACAGGGGGGATTTTCGAAGGCTTGGAGGATGGGCAGGCTAGCAGAGAATTTTTGCGAAAAGGCACTCCAACGTAACAGAGGTTTTGAAGGTGTTCGGACCGAAAAGTAGCCGTCGAAAAGGGCAGGCTGGCAGAGATTTTTGACGGAAGTTCGTATTGTCTAAAGGTTTTGGGAAGGATAAGCGGCTTTCCGGCTTCACAGTCCCTTTAAAAGCGTAGGAACCCATGTTGAATAGAGTAAGGCATTTTCCATACTTTTAAAGGCACGATGAAACCAAATTTCGGAGGATTTCAGAGATACGATCAGATCAGAGTATCGGATCACCCTACAGTGCTATGGATTCTGCCTTCCCAGTCCCTTTAAAATACGCAAAATTCCCTTGTACAACCAATTACGGGACTCAAAACGGTCAGCCGGCTAGCAGAGATCATTTAGAAATTTATTGTCGGAACGATCCGGCAGGCTAGCATAGATTTTTGCGCAAAAATCTGGCAACTAGCAGAGATTGTTTAGAAAATTGTAGGCAAGCAGAGATCCTGGAGAAATTCTGTTTTCATTAGATTGGGCAGGCTAGCAGAGGTTTTTTGAGAAAATGTGGTCACTGGCAGAGATTGTTTAGGAAGTGGCAAACCAGCAGAGACTCTTAAGAAAAGCGCAGGCTAGCAGAGATTCTTTGCGGAAATTTTCCAGCTGACAAAGACCATTGCGGAACCCAAGGAATTTGTCCGAATCAAGTGAATAAACAAACACAGCAAAGAAAGGCTGGGATTGAATGGGGGGTAAAGGCGGAAGGGGGGGGAGGGCCCAAAATGGGACCCAGAATTGGGGCTGAGGCCATGGCAAAGCATAGGCTGTGTGACCCATAGAAGAAGAGGAGAAGAGCACTAGAAAGGGGGAAGAAGCCATTTGTCAAACAAGTTGAGCCCGTTCTGCCCTCGAAGAGATGCCGAGGAAGGGGAGGAGGACCCAGAGATTGATGGGGCAGGCTAGCAGGAAGGGTTGGGGAAAACGGGGGGACTAGAGTATAGTGCGGGCTAGAAATGATCATTTTGGAATATTAGAGAATACCGTATAGAATCTTGGGAGGAGGCTAGCAGAGAGTCTTAGGGAATGGAGAGAGGGCAGGCTAGCAAAAGCTTTTTAGGAGAATGAAGCAAGAACTAGCAGAAATTATTGCGCAAGAGCTTCCTAGCGAAGATTCTCTAGGAAGACCGAGTATCAGAGGCAATTTGGAAAGGAATTCGGACCAGAAGTTTTTTTGAGAATTTCGACTAGGCAAAGTAGCACAGATACTTGAGGAATTTGATCGAATAGGCCAACTAGATAAGATTTTTCAGGAATCGGAACAACCAGTAAAACTAGCAGAGACTATTTAGGAATGGGGCGACTGGACAACTAGCAGAGATCTTTGGGAAAAGAGCTGAGAGCCATCTAACAAAAATTCTTTAGGAAAATGCGAAACTTCTTTTGTGAAACTGAAATTTGTTGACAGTTCCCACTCCTTCAGCCCCTTATCATTATACTTTTTATACCAGACGGCGGCTTCCGTCATATCAGAGGAATGGCATGCTGGGATTTTTCTGCGTCATTTTGGAATTTTGAAGAATTTTTGGACCGAGTTGTCTTAATTTCTGATATTACCTCCATTCCTATGGAAAGTAAAATGGGAAAGTGAATAGTAGTAAAAAATAGTCAATTTTTCTCGAAATCCGACACGCTCCAAAACACGCCAAGCGGGGTGGCGGCGTGAAATGGAAATCGATATCGGGAATTCATCGAAATTGGGCAGCAAAAGGGGGTGACGCAGCCGTTTTTCGGCATGAATTGGAATGAGTGAGGGCACGATATAGAAAATATTTCAAATTTTTGGAAGCCGTAAGTCAAAGATAAATCTAAGCAAGAAGACCAAAAAATGATAGAAAACTTACAATAGCGTTCCTTTTAAAATTCCAAAGCTACGAAGCACAGAAAATTTTTAAGCCAATTTTTCTACCCCCCCCCCGCTAAAGGAGCAGCTCACAGAGATCTGACTATAGACTCCAAACTACAGGCTACAAATTAGGAAAACTGTGAATTTTTGTGAGAAAAATTTTTAGAATTGATTTTTATACGTATTTTTTCTTTTATTAATATAAATTTCTAAGATTCAATGATCAAATTAATAGAACAACGTAAAGTATATAATTAAAAGGTACAGAACCCAAACTATAACGCCACCCACCTTAACAATATTCCCGAGATGCGCAAAATCGCCGAAATCGTCGTCAATGTTCGTCTCCTTCGCCGAGGTGTAGCCGTTTTGGTGGGGTTGGCGGTAGTGTTGCTGGAAAATCAGGATTTAGAACCTAAAAAATCTCTGCTAACCTCCAAGCCTGGGGTGTTGACACGGCTCTGAGGAGGAGAACGACTCCTTTCACGGGGTGGAGGGGTCGGGGGTTTGCCGCGGACTCCTGGAAATAAATTAGTTTTATGGATTTGGCCTTCACAATCCCTTTAAAAGCGACAAAGTCTGAATTCTCTCTCTTTTCTCTCTCTCTGTCTCGCTCTCTCTCTCGCTCTCTCTCGCTCGCTTGCTCACCTCTTCCCATCCTTTTGGGCAAATCGTCAAATGGTGATGAAGTATTCCTAAGCCGTTCTTCCTCGCGTCTATAGGCCTCTAGCGGATCTCGTGGGGCAGCCACTAAGAGATGTTTTAAAGGACCAACGAAGGCAAATCTAGCCGATCGATCCATTTTTTACAGCAGTAAAAAAGCGGAATTTCGAGATAGTTCCCTAGCCAAACAAGCAATACGAGTAACTGAGCGGATTTCGAAGGGTCACCCTCTTCAAACCACCCATATTTCGATTATGGCACGGCTGGATGGGCATAATCCATTTTTCGCCCCTCTCGTATTCAGAACCCACTCCACACCCCGGAATCTGGCGCGCCGCCAAAATGGACCCCCAGAGAGGGGGTTTGAAATGGGTTAAACATCTATTGACACGCTATTTTCTCTGATAAAAACGCATAACCTGGTGAAAATCGACTTTGTGGATTTAGCCTTCCAAATTCCTTTAAAATATAGATAAAACACTGACCTTCATTATAATCGCGTCCGGCTGGCCGTGGCGAGTCGTTCGCGTTTTTCAGCTCCTAAAAAAGTGAAATTCAGGAGCAAAAAGCTTCCAAAATGCTCTCTGCTAGCCTGCCCTCTCTATATTCCCCAAATGCTCTCTGCCGGCTTGCCTACCTCCAACAGCATCCTCTCCTGTGTTCTCCTCCTCGTCACATCTGGATCTTCCCTAAAAATGCAGCGTTTTCATGCCTTGCTGGCCCCTTTAAGAGGCTAAACTTCAAACTAAATACAAACCTCTTTGTTTTCAATTTCTTCAATTTATTGGATAGCCAATCGTCTTGCGGGGGTTCTTCTTCATTCCCGCGGGGAAGGGTTAAGCGGCTGCTAAATAATAAACGTTTTTGAAAGGCCATTGAAGGCAAAAAACTACAAATTTTCTGATTTCCCGTTAATGCTTGATGCGGTTTACCCTTTGATACTTTACAGAGATATTTAAGACAAATTCGGAGGATTTTTCAACGTTAATACGGACATTTTGGCTTTTAAAAGATCAAAAAACGCAAAAATCGTCGAATTTCGATGGGAAAGTTAGATAATTTTGATTTTAAAGGGCGGGTGAAGTCAAATTCCAGCGATTTTTGAAAATGGATCGGAATTTATCGATTTTAAAGGTCCGCTGAAGGCAAAAATGGCCAAAGCCCTCGATTTTTCCACTTACAAATTGCCTGCCGGCTGATAACCCTGGGCTTTCCGGGCCGAATCAGCAGCTTTCACCATTCTCGGCGAGCCCCGTCTTGTCTTAGGGTCCAATTTTTGTGAATTTTGCTGGGGATCGGCTTGATTGGCTCTTAGCCATTCTTCAACCCTTGAGTCTCGGATTCTGATGACAGGGCGTGGCTCGAAGCCGGTGAAATGAGGTGTTGGACCGGGCCAGATATCCAAACGGACGCTTGCGCTTGGCGGGCTGGGTGGGTTACTGTAGTTGGAGCATGTTTTAGGGTCTTCAACCCAAGGTCGTGCAATTTCCGGTCCATTTAAAATTCGTCCTTCCTCTAGATTACGGTAGTTTGGGTGTGTTCTAGGCGCACCTATCCGATTATTTGTGTCCGCTGTTTCCTTTCGTTCCTGCTGCGTACTGTAGCTGGGGTGATCTTTAGCTTCCGGCCGATCTTTCGGTTCCTCCCCCCGATTTCCTGAGTTTCCCGGTCCCTTTAACAAGCCTGAATCAACAGGTTTACGGTAGTTAGGGCGATTTTGAGTATCTTGAGGCTTCGATTTTTCTGTTGTTTCTGCTCCCCGTGACACCTCCTTATCGCTGGGACTATCCTCAAAATGAACCGTTTTTGAGGAGCTCGATCTCCTTTTCGTCGGCGACCCGGTTTTTGGTCTATGCGTTGATTCGGATTGGCTTCGCGGACTTGTCTGGCTTGGCTGGCTTCGATCGCATTTTTGGCTTGGTTTCTGGGCTTCATCTGGCCGATTTGAGGGACTTTGAAAGCTTGGGAAGCTTGCCAAAGTGGTCCGGTTTGGCTGACTCGGCTGGCTTCGAGAGCTCACCTGGTTTGGCTTCTTGGCTTCATCTAATCGACTTGAGTGGCTTGGCAGAGCTTGAAAGTCCGATCGACTTGGATGGTTTGGTTGGCTTCGAGAACTCATTTGGCTTGGGTTATTGGCTTCATCTGTTCGACTTGAGCAGCTCGGCTGACTTGGTCCCGGATCCGAAGCGATCATCTTGGCTTCAATTTGGTTTCGGTAATACCGTATCCTAGGATTATTTTTGAGCCTCCAATTCTGCAACCAAGTCGCTTCATCTTCTGAATCCGAAACAGTCAAGCCTCTCCTTAATGCCTGATACCTCGAGGGTGAGCTGTTGGTTGGAGCGTCGGGTAGTTGCCTTCCTGGCTTGGTTTCAATTTTTGAAGTACTTGGGCAATTCTCGGAATTTTTTAGATCGTGGATAACCTCTAGATTATCGTAATGCTCGGGCCCCAATTTCCGGGTTACGGTATCCGGGCCTGGGTACTGTATGGGGTTAAGCGGAAAGCGTGTAAATGGTTGCGTTGCGTAGCTGGTGGTGGCCGGGGTATCGGGGAGATGGCGCACCATTATTCGTTCGTCTAGAAGAGGATTGGTGAGAGAGAGAGAGCCAGAGGGAGAGCGAGCGCGAGAGAAAGAGAGAGTGTGAGAGAAAGAGAGTGAGTCAGGTAGAGGATAGCAAATATTCTTCAAGACAATAATAATCCTGGGGGTAGACAGCATGTACCATTTAAGAAGAGAGCGAGAGAGAGCGAGGGAGAGAGAGGACGAGACACACAGACAAACAGGTGAGCTAGCAGAAACCCTTTCGTAAGGGCGAGCAAACGCCGAACCGAGCCGAAAAAATGCAAATTTAACCCAAATTCGCTGCTAGCCAACCATTTTCCCCACTATGAAAAAACTTCTGTTAGCCTGCCCCGCCATGTAGGCAATAAAAAAAACAGAAAAACTCAAAAAGAGCCGCATGCTCTTGCGACTTTCGCCGGCCCGGGGGGAGAACAAGCGAAGAACTTGTGTGGCTAGTTAGTGGTTTTGGGTTTGAGCCCCGTCTCTCTCTCTCTCTCTCTTTCTCTCTGTCTCTCTCTCCGGCTAGAGAAACGGGATCTCCCTGCTCCCTTTTTTCCATTCGAAAATCCTCAGCTGTGTCCTTCCCTTCCCCTCTGGATAGTGTAAAGAGGCCCTAAAAATCTTGGCTAGCAGCATGTTTGAGAAGACAATATATATGTGCTCCGGGGCTACAAGGAGGCTCAGGCTCCTTGGAGAAATGAGAAATGACGGAGTGTGACAGGGAAGAGTTCGGGATTTTTTTGAGCGATTGAAGGATCGATGGACGGGGCAAGCGTCTTGTCGTTCGGTTTAAAGGGAGTGTGACATTTCTTGTGTTTATTCATTACTATATTTTCATAATATTTTTAGTAAAATTTAACACTATTTCAAATAGAAAAGCTATCGAAAAACTTTTGACAAATCGAAATTTTGTTAAAAAATCAATATTTTCTTAGTTTCGGATAAAAACGGACCTCAAATACTTCTTTTTTATACCGTTAATTTTACATTTTTAAGGTATCTACCGCATCAAGAATTAATGGGAGACCACAAACCCACAAAAAATCTGAAAAGAAAACGGACCGTTCTGGAGCTGACGTCACGCTGCGGCAGTTCCGCTGGCGCCACGCGTCACGGTCTTGCGGCTGAAAAAGGCATAGGTTGATGTATTCTTTAAAAAACTAGATTTACGTTAATTTGCATTTAAATATACATAACTCGACTGCCACGTCTTTTTAAGGATTGTAGAAAGAAATCGCTCAAATAAATCGATACCACTATAATTTTTTGATTAGTATTTTAATCGATTAAATCTATAAAAATTCCCAGGCTTCACAGGCCCTTTAAAACCCCTAAAAAACGCACCACTCGATTCAGCTCGTCCAGATGCAAATCAAGTGTCGACGCGGCGGCCACTGGCTGTGGTTGAGCATAGTGGTCGTGGCGCCTAAAAGGGGCGTGCTAGCAGAGATTTTTGAGGAAATACCATACCCATATGGATCCTCAATCGGTCTGTACTGTTTCCGGGGCAACTGCTCGCTCTTGGGGGCTTGTTGCCGTTTCTGGGTACCGTAGTTCAGGTAGAAATCCGGGTCGCACAGGTCGTCCATGTCATTTCTGCAGAAATATGGTAATTTGGGGACTTTTCGGGTTATTAGACTCCGAAAAGGTCTCTGCTAGCTTGCCCTAGGTCGAATTTTCACCAAAGAAGTCTGGCAGTTGCTCCGGGATCGCAAATTGCCTCAAAAACCTTCGCTAGCCTGCCCTCCTTCCATTTTCCGCATAATTTTCACCAAAGCTCTTTGCTAGCCTGCACGCATTGGATTTCTTCAGGTTGCTTTTGGACGCTAGGGCAGGCTAGCAGAGGCAATTTGCGGAACATTTGGCACCGCCCCTTTAAGACAATACCGTACCCATATCTGCTGTCATCCAGCTGTCGATAGCTGCTGCCCGTACGCCGCGATCCGTTCGTGTGCATCGTGTCGGTCCACGACTGAAAATTAGCAAATTTTGAGTATCTTTCTCTCTCCCTCTCTCTTCCTCTCTCCCTCCCTCTCTTCCTCTCTCCCTCTCTCTCCTCTCTAACCTCATCGTCATCGAATCGGGTTCGTTCTCCAAATGCGCTCTTGCTCCTCTCGGGGCCCTGCGCTGGGCTACGGTAGCGACCGTATGGGGCAGCGTCGCGGAGTGCAGCCTGAAAATAATGGATTATACGGTAGTTATTCATTTCTCAGGCTTAATACTGTTCCCGCAACCGTAATCGTCTTTTTTGCTAGGAATCCACAAGGATTTTGGCTTCCTGGTACCTTTAAAAACAAGATCCGGATCGGGTTTATTAGATTACGCCACAAATGCCTACCGTAAATTGCCCTTTTTTATTTTTTGACATAGATCTATAGATATTCTGCCTTCAATGTGCATTTAAATAGTTTTCTCGCTTCTAATTTAGCCGATTACGCTATATAATGGCCATTTTAAACCTATTGCATTGAAATCCATAAAGTTTCTGCCTTCCCAGTCCCTTTAAAACCCCTCAAACTCGGACCTCCTTCCTGAGTTCACTCGGTTTATATTTCTCCCATCTGGATACCCTTGTCGTCGTCGTCGTCCGTTCTACCGTATTGTTCTGGTTGTCCCCCGTACTCGTTCCAAACGTTGGTGTTCTACTCTTCGGGTGTACCGGGGGTTTTGAGCGGCTTCTCGGTCTTTTTTCCTCTTCCTCCGGGCTTTGCCCAATTCCGGAATCCGTTGACTTGACCATGTCACTATCATCTTCTTCCGGCTTTTTTGTGGCCATGAATTGGAAGAAGTTGTGACGAGGTGGAGGAGGTCGGGGTGGGGCATCGGAAGTGGTTGAGGAGGGGACACCGAACGGCTTCGGGGTGTTGGTTAGGGGGCCTGGCGACGGATTTTGGGCGGACGTCTTCTGGAAGGGTCCAGAATTTGAGGTTGACGTGGGCCCAAAAGCTACAAAATTTCCGGAATTACCGAAATTGTTGCCTGACGTGTTCTGGAGGGGTGGAGAAAATCCAGAATTTGAGTCGAACGTCTTCGGGAAACCGGCAACCCTTAAATCTTCAAAATTCGAGTTCGATGTCTTCTGGAAGGCTTCGGAATTTCCGGAATCAAGACCAGACGTCTTCTGAAACCGGTCGGAATTTCCGAAATCTCCGCCGGACATCTTCTGAGAGGCTCCAGAATTTATTGGGATCCCGTAATTCTGGCCCGATGTCTTCTGAACTCCTTGAAAACCTTCGCCCTCTTGCTCCCTGGATACTCCTGCTCCCCCCCTGGCCGCATTACTAACAAATAGAGGGTTTTCCTGAAATACAGGCGGCTCCGAAAAGGACACATTCAACGAGCTCCTGCTCCCCGCCGTCGATTCCACCTGGGAATTCCTGAGCTCAGAATTCTCTTCGTTTTTCGGGGTTTTTGGCCTGCCCCACCATGTGTGTCTTCGATCTGCCTCTTTTTTAGAGTTCGGGAAAAAGCGCTCAAAAATCGGGGTTTTCGAGCGGGCTGGGACCGGGGATTCCGGTTCCGCTTGCCTTGTCGGCATTGTGTCTGATCGTTTTAGAGCACTTCTGGGCTTGGGGAGCTCATTTACCGGCTTAGCCTGCGCTTCCGGGGCTTCAGGTTTCCGGAAAAATTTGAAAACCGGCTTTGGACTATCGGTTTCGTGATTTTGCGTCCTTTTAAAGCCCTCCGAAGCTTCAGGAGCTTCCGGTTTTCGAAAGAATTTGAAAACCGGCTTCGGGCTGTCGGTTTCTTTGGCTTTAAACCCTTCCGGAGCTTTCCGGAATATCCTGAAGCCAGTTGGCTTCGTTTCTGGCCTGGGCTCGACTTCCGGTTTGTACCCATTTTTCTCTCTAAAGCTCGATTGTCGTCCATTTCTTAGGAAATTCCCGAAAAAGGATCCCTTCGGCTCGCAAGTCCGACTTCTAGCCTGCCCAGCTTCGCGAGCTTGGCTTGGTGACCGGCTTCGAGACCTGGGATCAATTTCCAAGGTGCGATAGCCTTTTCCGGAATCGGACTTGGAGACTTTTCAAGCCGATCTCGGCTCGGCGGCTGATAAGACTGAGCTTGTAGTGAAGAAAGTGAGGTTGGGATTGGTTTTGGGCCTTCTTGGTGTTGCTGATGATCTTCCGGTTCTTGGGAAAGGCTTCTGGCCATGATATCCTCTGACAATTCATAGACAGCCTGACCGGGTTCGATGTGAACGATTTCAGCTCGTTGTGGAGGAGGACCTCCGAGGAGACGACGGAACATTACGGCATACGGTAGATCCGGGAGGCTGTAGAAAGGGGGTTAGAGTGAGAGAGCAAGAGAGAGTGAGACAGAGAGAGAGTGAGAGTGAGAGAGAGAAACATTCTTTCGAAAAATCTGATTTAATGGGCAAGCTAGCAAAGATTTTTGGGGAAACCTTACACGTAGAAGGCTAGCACCGATTTTCGAGGAAATTCAGGCGAGGCTAGCAGAGACAATTTGAGCATAGGCAGACGATCAGTGATTCTTGGGGAAAAATTATGCTAAAAATCGCAATTTTCGACAAAGGTAAGCTAGCAAAGATCCTTAGGAAAATTCTTTGCACAAATATGCCTAGATTGCCCCAGCGGAATCAAATTTCAGGCTGGAACGGGGGTAAAGTAGTTGGGGGCGGAGAGTTATTTCCGCAACAATGATTTCAAATCGAGAGTGGGGAGTTCGCGATCCTCTCTTGCGCATACTACTCAAAAATGTCCGAACTGACAATTCCTGGCTCTTGGAGCAAAAGCAAAAAATTTTGCCGCGGGCGGGGTTCGAACCCGGGTCCTATGGGTGGCAGGCGAGAGCTTTACCAATTGACCAACCCATTGTAATGGATTTTCGCGGATCAACCTATCTAAAAGGAAACTGCCAGATATTTCCTTAATGGCTTCTGCTAGTTTTTAGGCGATAGAAAAGAGAGACAGTTAAAAGCAAGAGAAAACGAGCATGTGCTCTAGTTTTAGCCGCAATTTTACAGTTTCAATTTTAGGAAATTACCACGATGGGCTCTACTAGTTTCTGGCGATAGAAATGAGGGACAACTAGAGAGAGCAACAGAAACGGAGCATGAGTTCATTCTTTAACTAAAAATTAACGATGTCTCAATTTTTCCATTTTTTGAAATTTCCGTGAAAAAATTGCCAGAAATAGCAGGATCTTTGCTAATTTCTAGACGATAGGAAAGAGGGACAGCTAGAGAGCGAGAGACAGCGAGAGAGAAACACCAGAAAACCAACAACGCATCAATCAATAATCAGTTCCGGGCAGGTGGAGAGCCTGTAGTAAAAGGAAAACGAGCCCCGCTGGGCCCCTGCCTGGGGCCTCTAGTAATGGAGTATGGTGGGTGTCTCTCTTTCTCTGGCTCTGCCTCTCTCTCTGCCTCTCTCTCTCTCTCTCTGTCTCTATCTCTGCTGGGCATTACACATAGTGGTGGCCGCTTTGTGGGTCTAAAGCTGGCCATCCTCACTCAGCCCGTCACTATTGCACATCAATTAGCACAAGGGAAGAACACCTGGGCAGGCTAGCAGGGGTTTTTGGGGAAAAAGGGCCGCCGGAGGCGAGAGAGTGAGCGAGAGAGACAGAAAGAGAGAGAGAAGAGAGAGAGCGAGCGAGAGAGAGAGCGAGGAAAGACGTAAAGGCAGGCTAGCAGAAACCCTTTGCAAATCATCTCTGGGCCAATGTCGAAATCCGTATATTACAAGTCAAATCCTCTCCATCGCGCTACGGCAAGCTAGCAGTGTTTCTTTGCGGAAAACCAGTACCTTGGCTAGCTAACAAAGATCTGATCCGTTAAGTGCTCAACGCGGCCAGCGCAAGCTAGCAAACACCATTTAATCAACCAACCTCCAAATCTGTCAGCAGTGTATCAAGCAATTGATAGGTCGTCATGCCATTTAAAGGTTTAAGACAAAAAGGTCGATGGATTCTATGGATCTCTGGCTTGAGCGTGCCTTTAGATTGTTATTTAGGTTAGAAATGGAATTAGAAGACGGATGCTGAGGATTCTGAAGGGGGTGGATGGGAGATGTGGATGTAACGGGAGACCTCCCTCTTCTTCTACTGCTTTCCATTTGGGTGAATCCGGAAGGCAAAAAGAAGACTAGCAATAAACCAGTGTTTTCTTTCTCTAGTGGGATTCTCTCTCTCTCTCTCTTTCACTCTCTTCCTCTCTCGCTCCTTATAGCCGGGGGAACAATGAGAGAGAGAGAGAGAGAGAGAGAGAGAGAAAGAGAGAGAGAGAGTGAGAGAGAGAGAGAGACCGGAAGAAGAAGACCGCCAATGAATACGCATCAACGCTTCCACGACACCAGAGCGGATAGCGTACGGGGATTCTGGGATTTTTAAGTAGGCCCGCCTAGCAGGGTTTCTTTGTGGAATTCAAATATTTCAAATTTAGAGACAAACTTGCAATATTTCTTGAAAATACCAGATTTCTGGTCGAATTTCTCGATGCTAGGTAATCTGGCCGCGGGTTTTTGACCAAACCGAGCTTTTTAAAGGTACCAGGAAGGCAGAGTTCTACTGTAGATACATAGTAGATACTTTGAAGCAAAAAGTATGATCTGTCGCTATCGCAATATTTTTCCTCTCTCCGCCCACCTTTCTGGCCTCTTCAATCTCCTCTTCCCATTTTGGTCGTTCTGGCTGTCTGACTTCCGAGCTTGTTGGTATCCGGACGTCTTCGTGATTGTAGCGAGCTGTGGAGTCGATCTGAAAAATTGTATTCAATACGCGGCTTACTCCTCTAAAGGCCAGTTGAAGCCAAAAACGATCGCCTACCGTATCTGTCCATTTCGGTGATTCGGCCCTCCTGACCAAATCGACAGCCCTCGTATATTCATGGGCTCTCGACAACTCTTCTGGCCTAACAACATCAAGGTTTTCCTGAAAGACTTAATTTATAGGGACCTTGAAGCAACAGTTTCGACCCCTATAGTCGACTAGGTCTCGACAGGTGGTTAGATCTCAACCTTCCTAATCCCTTTAATTCCCCTGAAATTAGCATACCTTGCTGGTGTCGAATATTCTTTTTGGTGTCGGTTTCTTCGGCTGGGAAAAGGCTTCTTTTAGGGCTTTTGAAGGGACGTAGGAGAAGCACTTTGAAGCTTTATCGTATCTGAAAGAACTGGGATTAAAATGATTCCTCAAAGGTCTCCGCTAGGTTCCTCAAATGATCTCTGCTAGCTTGCCTGGAGGCGCTGTAAGAGCGGAAACTTGCAAAAACTTGAGAAATGAAAAAATTGGCATAGTAGCCAGTTTCCTTGAGAATTTCGGCTAGCTCACCTATCCTTTCCGACCAAATCCGGCACAAGACTCGGCGCCGCTTTTTTCTCCGCCGTTGCGGGACCATTATTTTCCTGCTGAATCTCGGCATTCAATTCATCTAGCGGGGCCAGCATTCCATTTTCCTGTTGCTCCTTGAGTTCTTGCTCCTCTCTGGCGTCTTGCTCCTGAAAATGGTGAATTATGCAGGTTTCCCTAGGCGGCTCACTTTTTGTGCTTTAACCATGGGACGAACGGAGGCTGGGAGGACACCTCGTCTGAAAAAAGAGGTTGAAAAAATTAACGGCATTTTAAAGACCCAGATAAGCTTCCGCACCTTTCGACATATTCCCCTTGTGGTTCATCTTCTGGCGGCTGCACACTTCCAGGCCGTGATGTCGGCTTTGGAGGGACCGGGGGGCCCATTTGAGGGTGATGGGGCAATGATTCCTCCTGCAAAATAAACGGTAAATTGTTTAAAACTTCGGGAATTTGGGAAAAAAATTTGATAGCGTAATCGGCTACGCAGAAGAGAGAGAGAGAGAGAGAGAGAGAGAGATCGCGAGGGATGAGAGCGTGAGAGATAGATAGTTAGTGAGAGATAAAGAGTGAGTGAGAGAGAGGCCAAGAGAGAGAGAGAGACAAGAGATCGAGCGAGCGCGAGCACGAGAGAGGGAGAGGGAGAGCGAGAAAGAGAGAATGAAAGAAAGAGAGAGAAAGAGAGAGACCGCGAGGGATGAGGGAGAGACAAAGAGAGGCATGATACAGGGTGTCCCAAAAAAAAAGACCCCCCCAAAAATTTGAGCCAGACGGAACCTACGGAGCTGAAAATTTGCACAGAGGTAGCGAAGGCAATTTTCTATGAACAAGGAAAGTTTCAGCCCGATCGGCCCGCTAGTTTTAAAGTTATGGCGAAAATACTTTTCATTTTTAATTTAATATGGGGATCTATACGATTTGCATCAAAGATATGCGTTATTCCTGCATTTACGAGCCGATCTTGCATAAATTTCGCCAAAAAGTGCCAGTTTCGTGAAGAAGCTTTTGGAAAACGATTGCGTATAAAGAATAAAAAAAGTATTAAAACAACTGTTTTATCGATCCAAACTACTTGTTATTGTACATTTTAGCAATCTGAGCTTCATCGGCCCGAAAACAGAGTTTGACGAGCTCCAAAGTAGTGCTCAGGCTTGGATTTGGGCCTGGTTTGCAGCGTACGCTGAAAGTCAAGTCGCTACACGATACTTGCAACGAAGATCTCTTGTACTCCGTGGTTTTCCTGGTTATTTTTCGCTACATGAGCAATCGTTTTCTCCATGCTCCAGCAAAAAACTGGCACTTTTTGGCGAAATTTATGCAAAATCGGCTCGTAAATGCAAGAATAACGCATATTTTTGATGCAAATTGAATAGATCCCCTATTAAATTAAAACGAAAAGTATTTTCGCTATAACTTTAAAACTAGCGGGCCGATCGGGCTGAAACTTTCCTTGTTCAAAGAAAATTGCCTTCGCTACCTCTGTGCAAATTTTCAGCTCCGTAGGTTCCGTCTGGCTCAAATTTTTGGGGGGAGGGTCTTTTTTTTGGGACACCCTGTATATTTGAGCGAGCGCGAGGGCGAAAGGGAGAGGGAGAGCGAGAGAGAGAGAGAGAAAGAGAGAGAGCGAGAGAGAGAGCGAGAGAGAGGGAGAGTGAGAGTGAGAGTACGAGAAAATTGGCCGAATAGAGGGAAAATACCGTCCCGAAAAATCCATCAAGGAACCATAGCCAATCAATCCATAACAAGCCTTGAAAATATCTTTAAAAATTAGGAAGGCAAGAATTCCTGAAAAATCTACAAAATCGATAAATGCCTTGACCCCTACCAGTGAAAAAGCGGGTAGATGTGAAAGAGTGGGACCGGAAGGGCACGATTAAAAGTTTAAAGCAATCGAAAAAGAGGGGAAAGAAAAGAGGAGGAGGAGGTGGAGAAGGAGGTGGAAGATGGGGAGGGCCAGCTGTTCTTTACCCACTCTATTTTCCGCTATATACCCAAAGACAGGTTCAGTTAACTCAACAAACAACAAAAAAATTGCTGGCAATTTTACTAGCTTTTCTACTGTAAAAAATGCAAATATTGCCAAAAAAAAATTACAATAATATAACTTTTTACGGTTACAAAAATAGGAGTATTGATATCAAATAATTATTAGCAATTAAATCGTAATTAAAGGAGATAAAAAAATCGTAGATCATGAGTATCAATCATTTAAAATAATAAAATTGCAAAAATTAGAATGAGCAAAAAATCCATGACGAAAATTAAAATTGAGATCAAGCTTATTTTCGGCCAATAAAAATATTGAGATTTTAAATCAATTTTAGGGCTCCTCTTTCATGTCATTTTTTTTCTTTTTGGAAGCTTACATCTTTTTTTTTCCGCTTGGCAAGCTAGCAGAGCCCATTTAAAATTTATTTCGCAACTAGACTTAATTTAAATACGCTAAATTAACAAAATAGAGGTAAATACAATCAAAAGAGAATTTCTACGAAAACTGAAGCAAGGAAAATAAGCCTAAAACAATTAAAAACTATATAAAAATCGAATTTCCCCGCCCATGGCAACAATCGAAAAGTGGCTTCGCTGCGTGTCAGCCATTGCCCCGGGCATAGAAACAAAAAGAGGGTGGAAGCGAAAGACAAAAAGAAACATTCGGCGCGGCTAGCGGGGCTCCCGTTCGCATGCATATTTTGAGGAGACTTTAAGAGGAAAGAAACGGAAAAAGAGGCGGGTTGGCTAAAAGGGTTCTCAACTATGGGAGGAGGATTAGCGCGAAAAACGGCTTCAACAGGTTTTTGAAGTGTTCTTTAGAGCTTTAAGGAATCACTGATCGTTCGGAATTAGGGCAAAGGAACTCATGGAAATACAAAATTGTTTCATGGCAAATGAATTTAGAAGAGCCCGCCAAAGTCAGATTTCCAGAAAACTCCACTCCATTCAAACTCCATTTCATTAAAATACTTAGACATTTCCGTCGCAGAATTTAAAAAACAGTTTCTTGGAAATTTTTGGCAATTTTGTGGCTAGAATGCGACAATATTCGGCCCATAACTGCCCCTTACCATTGTATGTACCATCCCCCTTACCTGATTCAGGATGATGCGGGAAAATAAAATTTTTTGAGAGGGCAATTCGACTGACACTTGACGGCATCAGCTAGCAAAGATCTCCTAGGAAACCGGAGATCCAGAGCCAATGCGGGCAGGCAAACTAGCAGAGATTTTTTAGGAAACCGGAAATCGGATCAATAACCAGCGCAAATTGCATCGAATGAGACTATTGGAGCCAGTAGTTCTGCTGAGAAAAATGACAAGCTAGCAGAGAGCATTGCGGAATCTGGGAATTTAGCGGAACGTCGGAGGAACGAAACCGAGGAGGAGAAAGAGATACAGAGAGAGAGAGAGAGAGAGAGAGAGAGAGAGAAAGAGAGAGATAACGAGAGAGAGAGCGCGTAGAGAGGGAGAGAGAACGAGAACGAGAGAAAGAGAGCAAGGGAGAGAGATATTATAAAGGATAAAATGTGCCATTAATAGTGTAAATGGATTTTAAAGGCCAATTGAGGCCAGAGAAAATAAAAATATTCCCAAAGAATCGCTGCTAGCTCCCCGGTTCTGGTCAGCTGAGCCTGAGCGCCAGTGTCCGGAATACTGCAAAAAATCCCGGCATCAATATAAAAAAGGTGACAGGGTGATGGTGGGGGAGGAAGAGATCCCAGGGGGTTGGGGGGAGATATCTAAAGGGGGTGAGGATGGGGTTGTTGGTGCTCTCTTTCTCGCGTTTCTCTCCATTTCTCATGCTCATTCCACGGGAGCAAGAGCTCTCTCTCTCACCTCTGCTAGGCAAGTGAGTGTTGGCTGTAATATCCCTTCGGGGTTGGGGCTCCTCTGCGCCGAGAGGGAGCGAGAGAGCGAGAGAGAGACGGTTTGGTGGGGAGCTGGGGCTACAACAGGGTCCTCTGATGCTCCCCTTTGGCCCCTCCCTTCCGATCGAATCTATTTGGGCCCTAAGGAGAGATATCTGGACCGGGGCCAACATGTGTCACTCCCCACTACACACAATCCCCGGGGGTAAACACAAAAAAAGCGGAAATATCGGTGCTAGGGTACGGCAGGTGTAATTCCGCAAAGAATCTCTGCTAGCTTACCTTGTCACGGCTCGCAAAAGCTCTCTGCTAGTTAGCCCTTAAAATCGGCCATTTCCGCTAGGGTCTCTGCTAGCTAGCCCTAATTGGCGCTCTGAGAATTCCTCAATAGTTTCAGCTAGCGTACCAGCCGAGCCAAATTCCCAAAGGATCTCGGCTAGTTGCCCTAATTTCCCAAAGATCTCTGCTAGCATACCTCATATACAAAGGGGTTTTCCTAAAGAATCACTGCTAGTTTGACATGGCTGAATGCGTGATAATTCCTAACGGATTCCTGCTAGCTTGCCTGTGCTTCAGATCTAGAATTTCTTACTAATCTCTGCTAGCAGGTCTTTTCGATCCCTCAATGATCTCTACTAGCTTGTCTCCACAAATCTGGCATCAATCCTAAAGAATCTCTGCTAGTATGCCAAGATACCGAGAAAATGCCTCGAAGATCGCTGCTAGCCCGCCTAGTTCTGGAGTCACGATTCCCCAAGAATCATTGCTAGCTTGCCTCTACCGGAATTTTCCAACTTTTAGACAACCTAGCAGAGATCCTTTGACTAGAATGCCAGACCCGAGCCGCGGCGACATAGGGAAGTCGAAAAAAGTGTGGGTGCAACATCTGGATCCGGGTGATCTATTGCCGGATGGGAAGGACTGTTTTACAGAGGTCACCTCCGGGTTTTTGGTAGAGAGAGAGAGAGAGAGCGAGAGAGAGAGAGAGAGAGGTAGAGGGAGAGAGAAAAAGCCAGCGATATGCGAAAATCTTACTTTACTCGGCGAAGTCGTCGACAACCCCGAATCCTCGCTGACGGGCTTGGCGATGCGGCTGTATTCTACCGGCTCGTCGGCGTCGTCTAAAGACTTGGGATAGAGATGGCCTTCAACGACCCTTTAAAACGGTAAATGCTAACCCGGTATAATTTTGAATTCCCAAAGAATTGCTGTTAATTTGCCTAAATTTTCTACTCTTTCCCCAAAAGTTTCTGCTAGCCTACCCAAGAGGATTAGGGTATTTAAAAGCCCGCTAAAGACAGAGGAATATCTTAAAGGAACATACAAGGCAGAAAGCTCATTTAAAAGGGTTGCCAAAGCGACAGAAATATTCTTAAACTGCCTAGAAGGCAAAATACGGTTTTCAAGGACTCTTGAAGGCTCAAATCTATCTCTAACGCTCCGTAAAAGCCAGAAAATATCTTTAAAGGACCGTTGAAGCCAAGTCCATAACTTAAGAGAATGCCAATAATAATCCGCGAGCTAATTGACGGGCTCCCGCCAAGGTGTAAAGTGGAAAAAATTGTAGCCCCAGGAGCGGAATGGGCTTCGAGACAAAACAATATTGGGCCGCCGAAAGAATTCCGAAAGACTACTAAATCCGAGATCAAAGGGACGGTCAACACAAAAAAAAATCAAAGTACCGTACCTTCTGGCAGGGCAAAACTCTCGTAGCTATCAGCCCTTGAAATATCGATTGAAGAGGATGTAGTTGATCTTTTGCGTTGAGAACGAGGTGGATCAAGGGAGAAGATGAGCTCCAGTTTGCATTGGTTGTCGATAGAAGGATCTGGAAAAGGTTGATCAGCTACAGAAATCTCTCTCTCCCTCTCGCTGTTTCTCTCTCTCTCTTTCTCTCTCTCTCTCTCGTTCTCATGCACCGCTCTATCATGCTCACCAGCAAATATCAAGTCAAGCTCCTCCTTGAAGAAGGACAGACTCGGCGTCTTGCCCAAGAGCTCGAGAGCGCAGGTGTTGAACTGGCAGAAGAAGAGCGTCTCCTTATTTTCACCCCTGAAATATAGCATTTAAAGGGGCCAGTATGTTGCAAGTTTCTTTCTCTCTCTCTCGCTCTCTCTCCATCTCTCTCTCGCTCTCTCTCCCTCACTTACCGATTGGCGATACACTTGATGAGAATGTCGCCCCGGAGCTTCACCTCTTGCTCAGTGTCAAATTTTGAGACATCCTTTGCCGAGCTGAAAAGAATAGATTTTTGACCTCAAGGAGCCTTTAGACCAGGATTCTACCAGAGAAAATTCGGGAAATGTAAGGCAGACTAACCGAGTATCTCGAAAACGAACCCAAAATTGGTGGAATAAACGGGGCGCATTTTTTCGTAGATTTTGAACGAGAGGCTCTTTTCGACGAGGTGATGGAGGATGATTTTCTTAAAATTTGATCTATTAAATTTCTCCAATTAAACAAAACCTGTAAATAAATAGCGGCCGGGTTGACACGCGTTTTGCCGGATAGAAGGTTCGAGAAGTAGGTCAGGTACCTAAATAAGGTTATTTTGAAGTATTTGCTTTACACAAAACGTTTAAGTTAAAAGACCATGTAAGCATAATTATATTGAAAACGTTACCTTTTATGACTCGGTTGCCCCTGTGCGCCGAGGTATCGATCCGCGTATCTTTGCATCGAGAAACGGTCATCCACGGCATCGTCGCTAAAATTGGTGGTTTCCCGGCGCCTTTAAACATTTCTTCAGATCAATAATCCGAAAAAGTAGTTCAAATCACGCGAATTCCGTTTGATGTATTGGTAACGCTCTAGCTTATCAGGCAAAGGTCCGGGTTCGAATCACACCGGGGTCAAACTTTTTGCTTTTTGTCTGAAAACTTTCTCAAATGATTTCAAGTTACCGTACTTTGCACATATCGCGTTATAGTGCATATAAGCGCAGATGGCGATGGCTGATCTAGATGGGTCTCCTCTTGAATGGACGACGATGGTGGCTTGTGGGCATTCGGCCAGGAATTGCTCCCATTGCTTGCACATTACGCATAATCTAGAAAACTTGTGTTTAAGGGCCGTTGAAGTCAAGAATTCGGCTTTTAAAGGACCCTGGAAAGCATAAATCTGGTCGTTGAAGCAAAAAGTCGGTTTTAAAGGAAAGTTGAAGGCAACGATACTATTTTAAAGGACCGTTGAGGGCATAAATCCCAGTTTAAAGGACCGTTGAAGGCAATAATGCTCTTTTAAAGAGCCCTTGAAGGCAGAAAGCCCTTTTAAAGGGACCGAGAACCCAGTCAAAACCGTACCTGTCAAGGGGCGGTGCCAACGGAGCTGGCCATCCGACATCCACTACTGGGCCGAGACGGTATAAATCCTTACGGGCTCGGGAGACGTTCCAAATCTAAAAGTTTCGGTTTTAAAGGCGCTTGGACAGCAACGAAACAAGCCGGAAACATTTCGGAAATTTTCTAGCTTTGAGGAAGCTAGCAAAGAAGTTTTAGGAACTTCAAAAGGATTTATATCAATCTGCCAACCTTGCAAATCACAAATTTTTAAAGGTAAAGTAAAGACAAGAGCCGAGTGCGCACCACTACTCTACACGTACCTTAAAAGTCCCCGGATGATCCGCCTTTAATTGATGCGCAACCCTGGACAACGATTCTTTATAGACCTTCTCAGATGAAGTCGATGGTGAGGTGACAGCTAGAAGCAAAATATAAAATTAGAATTACGATTTACAGACTCTGATACTCAATACAAACAAAGAAATCCGAAACTAAAATACCTATAATTCGTTTGGTCACGTACTGCAGGGTAAGACCCTCATCTGAAGAGGGGCCCATCTCGGAGGAGCTCTGAAAATGGAAAAATCCATTAACAAATAAGTCGTAATTTCATATCTATCGTAAACGAAGAAAATAAAGAATTTGGGCTGTGGCATATTGGTAAGGTTCGCGGCTGTCGGGCAGAGGGTCCGGGTTCGATCCCCGGTGTGACTGATTTTTTGCTTTTTGGGTAATAACTGATTTTGACTTCCTGGTGCTCTTAAAAATAAATAAACTTTGCTAGCTTGCCCGAAAACGCCTGCAAATTCCCAAAACCAGCGAATGAACACCTTGACATTTCGAAAACTTGTCCTTAAGATTTTTCCTGGCCAATTTTGCTTAAGTATTCGCGGCAACATGCCGGTTTTCTAAAATTCCTCAAGAATCTTGCTAGTCGGCCCAAAAAACAACAAAAAAAACAATAAAAAATGCGCAGGTCAATGGGGCTGGGGGACGAGTAGCGGTGGTCGAGATGGGCTGTCAGCAGGGGGGTCATTAATCCCTTTGAAATATAATACCCTAGGAAGGATAGCTATTGAGGGTAGCCTATCGATCTTCCATCTTTAAAGGCCCCGGCAAGGCAAAAATCCATAGGCTTTGCAAGTTCCTTTAAAGCCAAAGATCTCTGCTAGCCTGCCCTCTCTCCATTCGTCAAATGCTCTCTGTTAGCCTTCCTATTTTAAAGGGACTTGGAAGCCAAATATCGTCGGCTAAAAATTCGACAAAAATTTGGTTCGGTAAACTTAGCTTTGCGGAACATCCCCAAAAATGGGCCCAAAATTAGGCCCAGACGAAAAAAAAGCGGGGAAATGGGGGCCAGGGGCCTAATCAGGATAGACAGGAAAGAGAATGGAAAGGGAATGGGTCGAGGAGAAGATTTTTTGGCTTTTAGTGGAAGGCAGGCTAGCAGGGGGCCATTTGGGAGGATTTTGAGGAATCGATTGGGACTCGGGAAAAACGAGGCATTTTCGAAAGGCAAACTTGCAGAGATTCTTTGGGAATCTTAGGGGAGAAGGAAGGCTGACAGTGAATTTTGAGGAAGAAAATGCACGAATCAGCAGATCTCATTTTCCAAAACTTTGTAAAAAAATCTAAAAACCCTTAACCGTCTAACTTTTGACGAAGGGTCTGCCGAAATTGGGTCCGCGCAAAATTGATGTCCAAAGGGACGAGTGGGGAGAGCTAGCAAAGGGGCTGAGATTCCGTGAATGTCCAGTGGACGGACGGAGGGAGAAGGGGGTCTCAGGGGGATTCTATTCGCGAAACAACAAGAACCACAACCACAGCAAGAGGAAAGGCCAACCCCATTCTCTTTCGATTCATGCAACATCTTCCATCCATATATATGCTGTGGCAAAAAGCAAAAAGTTTGGCGAGGGTGGGAGTCGAACCCGGGCCTTGTGCCTGGTCGGCAACAGCTTTACCAATACACCATCGGGTTTGGCGTATTTCAAGAGGTTTAAAGGCGTCAGAACAAAACAAAAAGAATAAAGTTTCGCTGGCGGGAGTCGAACCCCGGTCCTCTGGCTGGAAGGCAAGAGCTTTACCAATACACCAGCGGGCTTGATGTTTTTTTAGCGTTTAAAGTTACCGAGACAGAAAAAGCAAAAAGCAAAAAGTTTGGGCTCCGTGGGATTCGAACCCGGACCTTGACGCTGGTGGCGAGAACCCTACCAATACACCATCGTTTCCGGATTTTTGCACGGGCGGGATCGAACCAGGACTGCTAACCTGGCAGCCGGGCCCCTTACCAATACACCACAGTTTTTTTGAATTTTCTGTATGTTTTATGCCTTAAAAGCCTAGTCATAGGTCAGCAGCCTATGAAAGCTAAGCTTTGCCTTCAGCGCAGCTTTAAAACCCACCCTAGAGCCATTCTGCTTGATCGACGAGCCGCGGCGGGAGCTGCGCTACAAATTATAAATCTTGTTAAAATAAAAATTAAACATTACGGTAAATCATTTTAAAGGGACGAGGCTTTTATCCTCTTTTTCTGATATAACGAGAGCGGGCAAAAAATTGAGAAACTCGTTTTTGAGCACCAATATTTTTGGGGGATTAGCCGGGGTTTTTGGCGCATTCCGCGGTAGGCTCTCTATTTCTCCCCCCTCTCTCTCGCTCCCTCACTCTCTCTCTCTATCTCCCGCTCTCCCTCCGGATAAACTGTCATTGTGTATTGCTCCGGAATAGAGCTACAAAGGGACGAAAAACACCTAGTTCCGATGACACTCCGGAAAATGGGATCTCCGAAAATTGGTTTCCCGAAACTCGGGTCGAAAATCGGAGTCCCGAAATCTGAGTCCCGAAAATCTGAGTCCCGAAAATCTGCTCCCGAAAATCGGGTCCGAACTCCGACTCCCGAAATCTAAGTCCCGAAAATACCCGCAGTGTTTGGTTTTTTGGGGCCGGAAGCCTAAAACCAGTAGCCAAATTTTCGGGTTCAGATTTTCGGGAGTCAGATTTTTCGGGACTCAGATTTCGGGACTCAGATTTCGGGACTTCGGGACTCAGTTTTCGGGCCCTTTTCGGGGCCAGTTTCGGGAACCATCCGGGAATCGGATTTTCGGAATATCACCCCAACCCTAAACCTGGTGTACGCAACGCACCTTTGAACGCGGCTTTTTCCCGAAACAGTTGAGGGGCGGCATTTTTGTAGAAGTTGATGGAGGAGAGAGACAATAAAAGAGGTTTCTTTAACACCTCAGCATTTTCTAAAAAAATTAGAATTTAACGGATTGAAAAATAAAGAAAAGGGTAAAACGAGGGAGAGAGAGAAAAATAGCTAGAAAAGCCGGTTGATTAGTGCATAAAATAGCCCCCCGGTTAATAGAATAGCTCCAAAAATGGGTATATAGCATTCCCAACCTGCGTCCAGTGTCCCAGGGTAGGACCCAAAATGACAACATAATCGTGGGGTGCTACAACGCCGGAAATGGGTCCCGCCGCGCTGATTTATGCGCCGCGGCAGTTTTTGGGGTAGAAGATAAATATAGTTTTATAAACACGGATAAAATAACAATAAAAAGCCTATAAAATAATAGAAAATCGGAAAATACGGGTTGTGATTTCTTGGCACGCCAAACGCGCGCCACCTGGCCCACTATCCGAAAAACCGTAAAAGTAATGTTTTTAGGGTTAAAATTTGAAATTTAAAGAAGATATGTATAATTTAGCTTTTTTATGTATATATTTTACTGAAATAAGTTAATGAATATTAGGAAATTTTAGGAATTAAAAAAGAAACAAAAAGCTGACTAACTAAAGCCAGGCAAAAAGTGGCCCAGGCCATTTGGGGGGGGTGATTTTAACGGGTAGATAAGGCGAGAGAAAGCATAGTAGGGGGAGAGAGAGAGAGAGAGAGAGAGAAAGCAACAAATCGAATCTCTGCCACCCCCCACACCTCTGCCAAAACTCTGGGTAAACAATGGGAGACCGCCAGCAAAATATAGCCACTTTATTTGCGGTAAATCGAATTTGTGGATTTTAAAGGGACAGGCAAGGCAAATCTATAGGTGTAAAATGGTCCTAAAAGTCGAATTTCAGGAAAAATTCTCCTCAAAAATTCGAGATTTTTTTCTGAACGTCTAATTACTGTCTATTCATCAAATTTCCGTAAAATTTTTCGTCTAAATTTTGTGAAAAATGGAGCATAGACATTGTATAGACCAAGTTTAAACTACGAGAAATGATTATTTATCGTTTTATGATTTTCGAAAAAATTCTTTTTTAAGATTTAAATTACATATCCCAATTTTTGACCTAAATAACTTTAAAAATAATATTGCTGTTAATATAATAAGAAATTTAGAGAGTAAATCTACATATGCAAATTATTCTAGGGGGCTGGGACCCAAACAGTGGTCCCGCTGCACTCCCGAGAAACAAAAGCTACCCCCCCCCCCCCCGAACACGACCACTGGGTTGACCTGTAATTAGTATGAGGGAATAAAAGGGGGAGGACAGAACATGGGGCAGGCTAGCAGAGATCATTTGGTGAATGAGCACAGGCTAGCAGAATATTTTGCCGGCGTAGTAATTTTATAAATAGCTGCTCAAGGCTTCCTAGAAAGAGAGAGAGAGAGAGAGAGAGAGAGAGAGAGAGAGAGAGAGAGATAGAGAGATAGGACTCTCCCTCGGTCTCCCTCTCTCACTCTCAACTTCTCACTCGCACTCGTTCTTTCTCTCCCGCCCTCTTAATCTCTCTTTCTCTCTCTCTCTCTCTCTCTCTCTCTCTCTCCCCCGCCGCTCTCCTAAGGACAAAAACCGCACACTAAATGGTCATGGAGCATTTAGGGCCGGCTAGCAGAGAATATTCGTGGAAATTGAGAGGGAAGGCAGGCTAGCCGAGACCATTTGGGAAGCCTGAAGCAAAGATTCCAATGTAATCATCTAAGCAGAAGCAGCCTAGCAGAGACTCCTACGGAAAGCTTGTAGCGAATCAATGGAAGCAAGCTTTTTCCGGGCGGGCGTAGTAGCCAAGCGGAGGAGCTCTCAAAAAGAGGCGCATGGGGGCGCGCGTCGAGGTGTCGAGAGTTGTGCGCGAAAAAGCTTAAAAAAGCCGATTTTTGGCTAAGAAATCTTCTAAAAAAATACGGTAACAACTACAGCAATCCGTCGACACACTAGTAGCACAGTTGCATGTTTAAAGGGTTTAGGAAGGGGAGTGGAAAAGAGGGAAAAGAAAGATGGCTCTAGCCGGGGGTCCCGAAGGGAAGAAGGGACACTTCAGCCCCCGGACAAACAGTCCCTCCCTCACTACCCCCCTCCATTTCCAACCAGAAGGAGAAGAAGAAGGGCCACACTGTCCACTGGGGATTGCTCTCTCTCACTCTCTCTCTCTCGCTTTCTCTCTCTCACCCTAACAACAAACACCGACCCGAAACCCCCGGGCCCCACCCCCGTTTCCATTATGCGAATCGGAACCCTAGGTCCCTAATTTTATAGCGAGGCATGCTAGCAAGGATTCTTGAGGAATCTGGCGCAGGCTAGCAGAGATTCTTAAGGAAATCATGGCTGGCTAGCTCAGATTCTTGAGGAAATAAGGGAAGGCTAGCAGTGATTCTTAAGGACTTCAAGTGGCTTTTGGTGCATTAATGAAACCCCAAAGATGAAGGCGAACTAGCAAATACCCTTAAGGAAATAGAGCCAGAAATCGGTCCGCCAATGCCGAAATGAAGCTACCAGACCCCCGATTCAACGGGTACACAGCTGGTGACAAGGCGATCGAGTCGAAATGGCTGAGTATTGAGAGGGAGGGGAGGATGAGTCAGAAACATCCGGAGGGGGACCAGATACAACTCATTCCCGACACTACTAATGGCGTTTGGGTCGGCTAGCAGAGAGAATTTACGGAGAGCGAGCCTGGCGCATTAAGGAAAAACTGAAAATTTTCGGGGCATTCTTGCAATTATTGAGGATGGAGAGCAAGAAGGAAGCAGCTAGAAGAAAAGAAAAACAGCGAGAGAGCGAGAGATAGGACATGATAAAGAGATAGCGATAGAGCTAAAAGTGACTGAATGACTTCCGTTTTTTAGCGCAAGCTAGCAGAAACCGTTTGGGAACCGGGCAGTTGTAGAATAGGACAGGCTAGCAGAGATCATTTGTAGAATAAGGCAAGCTAGCAGAAACCATTTGGTAACGAAAACAGAAACGGAAACCAAAAATTCACGGACTTTGAGCAATTAACCCTAAATGATCCCGATCCCACGCCTCGAATCGAGCGGTAGGGAATGGATTTTCTCTGTTCAGCCTGTTGGGTGTGTGGGTGAGTAGTGTGGGGTGGGGGGTGATGGTAAGCGATTTCGATGGCTGCCGAAGGCGGGATACCTGTTTTTTTGTGGTCGGCACAACCCCCCGGGAGTGCGAGCACCAGAATTACGGAGCACTGAGAGGGGGAAAGCGAAGGTCAACCTCAAAAAAGGGGAAGAGCAAAAAAAGGAGGACTGGAATTCCACAATTGGCACGCTTCCAAATGGCCCTGAGAATTGTTTAAGGATTTTCTGGTGCCATATGACCTTTAAAACACTTTTTAGAGCCTTCAATAAACAAAGAAAAGCCCGTGGAAAGAGAGAGCAAAGACCCTTGTAAAAACGGCCGTGAACTGTAGAAATATGCAGAAATTAAATATTCATCGAAATCCATGGATTCCAGCGGGATCCCCCGAGAAGCCCCTATCATAAAACGGGGTGCGGCAAAAACGCAGTCTCACAGCGATCGAAATGGCGGTCAAGGACAGGGGGGGATATCACTGAGAGAAGTCGAGATACAAAAAGAACATTGAAATGGGCAGCCACCGGTATTCTGGACGGCATACAAAAGAACCGCCATGCATACTAATTCGAGGGTGGGGAACAGTTTCCAGGCTGTTTGAGATTCGATTCTCAAGGAGTCTCTGCCAGAATGCCCTACTCTTCAAGAATCGCCGCTAGATTGCCCTGGAAACCGCCGAAACTGAAAGAAGTGGCGGTAAGAACGTAAAATTTACCGTTATCAAGCTTCTTGGTTTAAGAAAAATCCCCTCGGAATTCGTCTCCAAATTCTTAAATGCTCTCTGCTAGCCTGCCCTCTCTCTCCATCTCTCTCTCGCCATCTAGCTCTCCATATCTCACTCGCTGTCCCTCTCTATCTCTCATCTCTCTCTCTCTCGCTCTCTCTCTCTCTCTCTCTCCCATCTCTTTCTCTCTCTCTCCATTCCCCAAATTCTCTCTGCTAGCATGCCATGATTCCTTATTTTCCGCAAGAATCTCTCCCAGCCTGACCTGCCCTTAAAAATCCCAGATTCCCCAAGGGCGCTCTGCTAGGTTGCCATGAAGCCATATTCCCCAAGAATCTCTACTTGCTTGCCCTTTGAGACCCTGACTCCTCATTGATCTCAGCTAGTCTACCCAAATATTCGCTTTTTCAAAGAATCCCTGCTAGCTTGCCCCGATTAGCCTCTATATTTTCATGCATTTTCTGTATTTTTCTTTGGGAAAAATATTTATTCCTCCTCTTCAAAAATCGAAGAGAATCACGGGGATTTCCATGGGAAACACTCGGGGTCTGGGGTTCGTGCTATTTGACAGAAATTGGGGGGGTACGGTAACCGGGGCAGAAACGGGCAAAACCCCAAAAATGACAATTATCGCTTCCAGAAAATCCTGGATTTCTCTAATGGCCATTTTAAAGGGATAGTGCCTCGAAAATTGGGCTAAAGGGGGAGAATTTTGGTCCAAAGCGGACCTACGAACGATCGATGGGGTAGCGTACAGTCGCGGAATTTTCGAATCGAAAATGGGAGAATGTGAAATTGGGTTGAAAGCCATGGTAATCGGAAAATCACAGGGGTACGGTAGGTGGGACTAGTCGACATTTTTTGACTGATAAAAACTAAAAATAGATGTATACAATTTTCTACAGTAATTTAGGGGGTACGGTAGGATACGGCCTTACGATAGCGTAAAAGCACTCGATAAAAGCACTAAGAAAATGCAAATTAGACTAACTTAAATTAAAAAAACATGGCAAAAAGGTGCATGGCATGCGGAAAAAGGTGACTTTTTTCTAGATATACATTTAATTATACGAAACAAAATTCAATGACAATTTAAGACAAATTAAATCACATTAAAAATTTGTTTAATTTTACAAAATATTGATTTTAATTTGTATTTAATTCAAGCCATTAAATCCTTTATGGAAGGCGAGGATGACTTCGCAGAGCCGCTGCGGGTCCTTCTCTTCCGGGTGCGCGGCCATGACGGCGGCTACCTGGAAAACCGGATTTAAAAAATTTTTGTAACGAATTAGTCGACCTTTCCTAGCCTTAGACAGAATTTCCCTAACTTCAGTGGTCCTTTAAAAGCCGTTTCTAGGTGTCACCGTCCCTTTAACTCACCGCGGTGGATGGGAAGAGCTGTGAGAGGTGGTACTGTAGCTTGGCTCGGGAGTCATCCATTGACAGGTCGGAGAGCTCGCTGAAAAGAGGAGGGCTTTCCTTCGGAGTTTCTGCTAGTTTGCCAGCGATAAAGCTTCATTTCTTTTCTCAACGGTCTCTGCTACGTTACCCTAAAGTTTTTGAATTCCACAATGATCTCTGCTCGCTACCGGGCTTGTTTCTAGCTATTTTTACCGTAAAAAACGTACTTTGTAGTAGAAATCGACGGCAATGCATATTCGTTATGCGGTCCCCAGATGGATGGTGAGAATAGATGATGGGATGGTGGTGGGATAAACGGAAATACGCCTCCCATCGACATGTCCAACAACGAATTGCACCGCGAGTTCGGGCCCGACGACGTGTTGTCTGCAAAAAGGCTTTCGTTTTACAAGTTTTTTCGCACGCCCAAAAACCAGAGAAAATAGTAGAAAGCCCAATACGACCTCCCCTTAATACACAAACCCTGAACGCGCTCACCTTGATGCGGCCGCAGTTGGTGTCCCAACGGAGCCGATGCGTTCCTGCTCAATGTCTGATGATGCATTTGATGATGCCATGCGGGTAGTGGTTGTTGTTGTTGTTGTTGTGCACCCTGACTACCGTATCCCACTGGATGTTGTTGTGTTGGGGTGTTGAGGGTGATATTATTGAATGGTCCCTTCAACATCTCAGCGCCCATTCCTCTTTCAACGGAGACATTTAGGGATTGGGTACGGCCAATTGTCTGGTGGAGATGATGTTGGTGACCGGCCAGGGGGGAACCCTCGTAGATCATTGATGGGCCTGAAAAAGTAACTTTTTATATTTTGTAGTATTTATTATTTTTGTATTTCTATAAAACCTCGATTTTTATAGCTATAAAAAATTTTTTTTGTAGCTGCTGATAGGAAATAACAGGTTCTATCAGTTAAATGCTGAAAGAAAGTGCTCCCATTTTTGAAATCGCCCGCGCTATAGTTCCCGCCTAGCGTGGTCGCGCCCCTGACGCGAAGAAGGCCTGTCCTGTACCGATCTGAGCTGCTTGTTGGCTCATTGGTTGTGTGTTCGCTTGGCGAGCGGAAGACCCGGGTTCGACTCCCGGCCGTGGAAGCTTTTTGTTTTTTCATTAAAAGCTACGAGTGAAATTTTTCTTTAAGGAGCTATCAAGTTTAGAAATACGAAATTTTGTAATTTTCCAGAAACTAAGAAGCCAAAAACCCACGAGTCATCAACGACGGCTTATTCGCCCTGTTCTCACGCATCAACCGCTCGGTGACGGACGTGTGGATGCCGTTCGGGCGTTCCGGGTGGTAGTATCTAAAAAGATTGGCATAAACGAAGGCGAGGAAATCTGGAAATCGTTTCTTAGGGGAAAACTGGGGCAAGCTAGCAGAATTTCTTTCGGAATTTGTAGGTCGGGGCCTGTCCGAGGCGGGGCATGCTGGCAGAGATCTTTCAGGAAATCCGTGGAAAACCGGGTTGAAGGCAAACGAGCAGGGGTTCTTGGGGCAAGCTAGCAGAAAATCTTGAGGAATTTTGGGGCAAACTAGCAAAGATGACTTGTGGAATGGGAATGCGAGCTAGCGGGGAATGTTGCGGAATTTCCGGGAAAAACAAGCTTAGGCTATCGCGGTTTTTAAAGGAAAAAATACATCGACCCACCGGCATTTGTTGCCATACGTACACTTCCGTCCATACGGGCATACTTGGGCGGTATGTGGCACTCCTTTTGGCCAAAAATTGCGGCAGCGATGGGCCATGGCGACCAAGAGGATCATCTGGTGGCATGAATCTGAAGAAGCGGATTAGCTACCGTATACCGACTGTGGCTAGGAAAAATCTCCAAGGTACGGTATTCCTTAAATTCTTTAAAAAGAACCTACTTTCCATCCACAAATGAATACATAAGTAGCCGATTCTCGACGAGACGTCTGTAGGGAGGATTCTCGCGGACCAAGTCTCGATATTCATCATTTGACACAATGACCGCATCTTTTTCTTCGGCCGTTTTCAGGATGTATCGATCGTCGTGGCATACGATTCGACGACCGCTGATTCGTCTAGAAAATCATAAAATTGATGGGCATTCGACAAAAATCTCTGCTAGCCTGTCGGCAAAGCAAATTCCTAGAGAATCCCTGTTAGCCTGCCCTCGTTACCGTACCTGGAAGGTGTCCAGACGATGTGCTGCTTAGCGTCCAACTCGGTCAACACGTGCTGATCGGTGATCGGACAATCGGCTCTAAAAATAGCAGATTCCGAGGGGATACGGTAATTTACAGCAGACTAATGCAGTGCTTTTCGAATTACCGTACCTGGCGGCCTCTTTTCGGAATTGCGGGATAAAGACGAGCACATCTTGGTGTCCACGGTTTAGGAAAAAGTTGACGCAATCCCGGATGCCAGCACACGAGAACACTTCTTTACGACCGTGGCTGGAAATTGGAGTTTTGAAGCGGTTTTAAAGCGTTGTAAGGGCAGGCTAGCAGAGATTCTTTGCGGAATGGAGCCGTTAAAATACCCCATGAGAGTATGGCGGAGCAGAGACCATTAGCCGGACGAGCCCCTGGTGTGCTAGCAAAGATTATTTGAGAAGATTGGGCATGTCGTGGCCGGGAAGCTAGCAGAGAGCATTTGGGGAATGGAGAGGGGGCAGCTAGCAGAGAATCTTACGGCATTCAGAGCCAACTAGCAGACCCCACTCATGGCGAAAACTTGAAAACTTGAATCTCATCCATTTTGTGTCTTTTTAAACATTTTTAACCCAAGTATTTTGCTTCGTGGCCGCTCCTAGCAAGCTATTGGAGAACATTCGCGGAAAATTTTTATTTCGACCATTTCCCCCCCCCCCCCCCCCCCCCCCCCCAATTTTTCACATCTTTCATCCCAAATTATTCTGCTTTCGTTGATCCCCCCTCCCGATCAACACCAAGAATTGCCGGTGGGTGCTGCTGGGAACGGGACAGGTGTTTTGGCGAGGAATAACGTCAAAAGGTATTCGGAGGAATGTCCCGAAAAAGGAGAAAGGGAGAAGCCGATAAGGGGGACATCTCGTGCTTCTTTATGGGGGGTCACTCGCAGGGACACCCTAAAATAGACCCCTGCATCCGGGAGCACGGTCAATTGTAAAGTGGCGGAACAGATGAGGGGAGATAGACTAGCAGAGATTATTCAGGAGCTGCAGAAATGCAAGATTCGCGTGATTATTGAGGGTTTTTTTGGGCTAGGGCAAGCTATCAGAGAGAATTTAGGAAGTAGCTCTTAGGCTTATGCTGTGGTGCCAGCAAGTCTAAGGCAAGCTAGCAAATATCCTTAAGGGTAGAGAACTCAAAAAATTCCGTCCAAATTCGCTGGCAAACTAGCCTTAAACTCACGTCATCGCAATATTGCTCCCGTCAATCACAATCGGGCGCAGTTGGGGTGTACTTGACGAAGGCGGGGTGGTAGATGAGGAAGGAAAAGAAGTGGATGTAGATGAGGACGTGATTGATGCATCAATGGCTGCTGGTAGGTTTAGGAGAGATCCGCCACGGGACCCCTGGCCGTGCCCGCCGGCGACAAGTTCGGCAAGGAGGCTGTCCTGAAAGGAAATTTAAGTTTTGGCGTTTACTATATGCTTAAAAGAGTTAAATTCTACAATTTTGCAAATTAACTACCTGCGTGGGATTTGCTGGTAGTCTGGCGAGGGCTCTTCGGAGCTGTTGCTCAGTATAGCCAAGTGAGAGCGCGAAATCGAGATGATCTGGCGGGAGGGCGCATGGGGTAACGGAGCCTCGACCGTCATCTGGAAAATACCGGAATATTGTTGCCTTCTTGATAAATGTATAAAAAGCTAGATCTCCTGCAAATCTTAAATTCTCCCTGCCAGCCTACCTGTCATGCTCATTGCTCCGAGATGTTGGGAAAGAGCATCACTACTCTCACGGGAGAGCGAGGCATGTGATTCTTCGGAGCACGAGGAGTAGCACGAGTCCTGCTCGGATACCATGGATCGGGTGCTGAAAATTGATGAAATTAGCTTTAAATTAAATCACGGGAGTTGGTCAATTGGTAAGTGTCACGGGTATCAGGAAAACAACCCGGGATCGGTTCCCGCGGGTTCCAAAACTTTTTGTTTTTTGGGTAAAGTCGGATTTTTGCTTCCAGGTGCCTTTAAACGGCTTGAAAGAGAGAGAGGGAGAGAGAGAGAGAGAGAGGAGGGTAGATTACGAGCATGAGAGACAGTGAGAGAGTGAGAGAGAGGTATGGATTACGAGCATGAGAGAGAGTGAGAGAGTGAGAGCGAGAGCGAGAGCAAGAGCGAGAGAGAGAGATCCCTACCTCAACCTCTTCTCCTTTGCATTGTCCAGCTGTTGTTGTAGGGGCTGATCAAGCTTCGGGTCGACCTTTGCCGGGTTGCCACGCATCACACGACGCAGTGGCGGGTGGGAACGTTCCATTCCTATAGACACTTCAGTTAGATACATGTCGTAATCGATTGGGAAAGCCTACAGAAGAAAATTACAGTAAAATCAAGCCTTTTCAATCGATTTTGATCCTTTTAAAGGGATGGAAAAACCCGCAGGACGAAGCCCTAAGCACCTACAAGTCGACCTAGCTGGGTCTAGACGTTAAAGGGGCGGTGACAGCACGAAAACAAGGCCGAAACTGAATTTTGGAGGGCCCAGCGATAGGATTTTGGGGCCAAAGACATAAACAGCTTATCCAGATTCAAGGGCCACATGGCCCAGGCGAGAGAAAGAGGGAGAGAGAGAGACGGCGAATAAGCCGTCGCCTTGTCGGCCCATATCCGGGGCTACGGTAGCCGCATCCGGGGATGGGATTAGGGAGTTGTGAATGGAAAATAATGGATATGGGCGGGCACAAAATCCAGACAGGACACGGAAGATGCATTAATGGGAGGTTGAAAGAAAAAGAGAAAGCGAGCGGGCGAGAGAGAGCTAGAGAGAGAGAGAGAGTGCGAGAGAGGGTGAGGGAGAGAGCGAGAAAAATAATTGCATTTTCGTCTTACATGCTGCTATTAAGGCGCGAATCCAGAAAGAGGGAAGGGAGAAATAAACGCTAGATAAGAGAGAGGGAGAGAGAGAGTGAGAGAGAGAGAGAGAGAGAGAGCGAGCGAGCGAGCCGAAGAGAGAAAAAGAGATATCGAAATTGGTTGAGTCAACAGAACAAATTTATTATTATTAAGAGAGAGGGGGTGGATGGGGGATTAGTGAGTGGGCGCCCAAGGCCTCAAGGGGGAAAATAGAGGGCGGAGGAGGGGATGATGGGACAATATTCCTGGGATTCCCCCACAAATGATCTCTGCTAGCGTGCCCAAAAAAAATGAGGTTGAGCCGGGTAGCAGAGACGTTTAAGGGAGGGGCAATTGGCATGATAGTACCTTAGAAAAAGGGTATGGGCGGGCTAGCAGAGATTCTTGTGGGAATTGAAGTCCAAGCCAGGGCCAAATTTGCCTTCCAAGTCCCTTTAAAGAGTCCTGGGAGGGGTGGAGTGCATAGTAGAGGAGCGTAGTCTTGTCTTGCGTATTAGAACGTAGCTCGTGCTAGGGTATCGTAGCGTAGCCATGTCCATAGTATCGTAACGGACTTTCCGGATCGTAACCCGTTGCTCAAAAAAATCCGTAACTATAAAACCGTAACTCTGTCCAGAGTAGCGGAACGTAGTTCTGAGTGAATGGAATGGATGGAATAGTTGGGTAGTGAGAGTCAGTTTTGGGGGGGTGTAGAGGGGCCATGTCCGGGAGAAGACCCCCAACTTTTGTGATAACGAATTTTTGAGGCCAGCCTTCCTGAATGCGGACTTTGAGCCGGAAAAACAGCTCACACCTATCAACACCAATCACTCACTCACCAACAGACCGTTTTTCTGATTTTAACCCGGAAAATTCCTAAGTGATCTTTGCTGGTTTTCCAGGGGTAGAAATCGGCGTTACGCTTCTTTTAAAAGCGATTTTAGGCGATTTACGAGCTTAATAAGGATAGCAAGTTAGGTTCCTGCATTAATGAGTCAGATTGGAGCGAAGGGCAGGCTAGCAGAGAGCATTAGGAACAATGAAGAATTTCAGATCGATCCTTTTAAACTGAATTTTTTTCCGGTTGAAAGCGGCTCTGGCACACACCGATTACGGCATTTTGGGGACCGGGCGGAGACGCACGTTCCGCGCCCCTCTGGGCGCCTCTCCCTGCCGCGACGCACCCGACCGCGACGCTTCCAAGAGTCGTGGAAAGGGTCGCCCCATCGATAAACGATGTATCATGTTATGTACGCATTAATGAGATTGAGAAATTCTGAATAAGGGCAGGCTAGCAGAGAAAATTGGGGATGCCTGCGGACCCGCTCCCTTTGAAACCAAATTTGAAAGTTTTGCAAGGGTGACAAGCCAATTTTTAGGGCAAGCTAGCAGAGATTCTTGGCAGAATTACGAGGCCGTTGGCGCATTAATGAAAATATTGGAAGATTCCTAGGGGAGGCTAGCAAACTAGCAAAGGTCCTTGAGGATAGTGGTGGTCTCATAATCGGCGTTCCACAACTGACCAAACAACCCCCGGAAAAGAGAGAGAGAGAGAGAGAGGGAGAGAGAGAAGGAGACAAGGGCGGGACACCAATTAAAAACGCATAAAAAGCGTCCCAGGTTCATCTGGAGGCGAGCGGATTGACGCATTTTACCCCCGAGGGCATATCGAAAGAAGACGCCATCTGAAGGGGATTAGGGAAACTCTCCTTCTCTCTCCCCCCCCTCTCCCCCCCCTTCTCTCTCTCTCTCTCTCTATCTCTCTCCGGCTATGATATATCTGGCGTCCGGTTGCCGATTTTGGGATACCGTGGACGTCAGCAGACGTAAAATGGTGGAAAATATTTGCCGATTCGGTGGTGTATTTATAACGGCAATTTTTTTCGGGCGGATTAGATTGTGGAAGTTTGGCCCCGGGCCAGGGGGGCTAGCAGAAATTATTTGGGAAGGTGGCATTTTTGACGCTCAAAATTTTCATGTTTTTTTTGATAATTTTTGAGGGGCAAACAGGAAATTCATTATAAGCGGGGCTCCCAAAGAACCTGTATGTTGCCGACCAAGTAACTTAAACTGGAAAAATTTCGTGCAAAAATCTAAAAAATTGCAAAAATCAAGGCAGGCTAGAAGAAATTCTTTAGAAAAATTGACCTTGACAGCCTGGGATAGCTAGCAGAGAACATTTTCGAATTTTGCCTGGTCACAAGAAGCTCAGTTTTTGCCTTCCCAACCCCTTTAAAACCCGAAATTTCGAGAAAAAGCTGCAAGAAACGATGGCAAACTAGCAGAGATTCTTGAGGAAAATCGATTTTTACAGCTGAGAGAACTAGCAGAGAGCATTTGGGGAGGCAGGTTAGCAGAGATTCTTTAGGAATTTGGTTCTGCAGACGCCAAAATTCAAAAGCAAGAAGCTTTAAAAATGCGCCCAAATGAATAAATTTAGGGTGGGCTAGCAGGGATCTTTTAGGAAAATAAAAAAGAGATCAGCAGAGACACTTTGAAATTCGAATCTACTAGAGGTTTTTTTGTCTTGAATTCCCCTTTAATGGGTGCACGCAAAAAGGGGGCGGCAGGGTCTCGATCCACTCGGGGGTCCCAGCGCGGCGCGGCGCGGCGCTGGGGGTGTGTGTGAAGAGGAGGGGGCCCTTCAAATGGCCGTCTGGCACGCGGACGCGGCAAGCGGAAGTGAGAGAGAGAGAGAGAAGAGAGAGAGAGGGAAAGAGAGAGAGAAAGAGAGAGAGAGAAAGAGAGAGACGGTATTTGCACGCGTCGACTGGCAGACGGCAGCCCCGCAACCGAACATCAATCCCTCCCACCCAAATCGGGTATTGGACCCCCGGCGAGAGGGTTGCACTTTTAAAGGGATTGTGAAGGTAATTCCTGCAAATTTTTCTCTATTAATGCTTCGACCTGGGAAGGCTAGCAGAGATTATTTGGGAATAAAAAATTTCACGGTGGAAGTGGGCAAGCTAGCAGAGCCCTTTTGGGAAATTTTCCTGACAGGAGTCGAAGCGAGCTAGCAAAGTACATTTAGGAACAGTTCTGGGCAGGGCAAGCTAGCAGAGGCCCTTTGGCAATCAAAAAGTTCCAAAAACTCTGCTGTAATCATTCAAAATGGAAATTAAATTAAATGAACAAATTAAAAGGAGGGCAAGCTAGCAGAGAAAAAAAACACCGGGAACCATTTGCGAGGGTCTTTAGCTAGCGGATACCTAGTTCTGCGACCAATCTACCGTAATCCATGCCAAAAACTGGACCAAAAATTGTGAACTCTTTGTCTTTAAAAAAAAAGTCCCCTTCTTATTTTTTTTTTTTTTTTTTTTTTTTTTTTTTTTTTTTTTTGCCGCTGTCTCAAACCAGTCTCGGCCCCCAGGTGAATTCCAAGTTTTTGGCCCCAAAAACACATCCCCAAAATAACGGTCGAAAGCAGGTGGAATTCGGAGTTTTTTGGTATTTTTGAGGGCTTCTCGGGATAGCATAGATTGCGAAATTTGGACACGGAAAGAGGGCAGGCTGGCTGAGATTCTCGCGGAATTTGAGGGGCAGATGGCAGGCTAGCAGGTATTTTTTTGCGGAATTTGAATGAAGCGGAAACTAGCAGAGGTTTTTGGGGAAGGGCAGGGTCAGTGGTCAGGCTAGCAGGGATTCTTTGAGAAATTACAGAGAGACTGTGGGAGTTAGCAGCGATTCATTAGAGAAAATTGGCTTCTAACCGCTAGGCAAGCTAGCAGAGATTCTTCAGGAAATTCAGCTTTTCCAGGCAGGAAAACTGGAAGAGTTGCCTTAAGGAGCGCAAAAAGTGTACAGTAGCCCCGTTTTGTACGCTGGGATACCTAAGTACGGTCAGACGTGGAGCTTTTCTAGCCAGGGCAGCCAGCGGAGACTCTTCGGGAATCAGGGGCACAAGAAACTAACGGCCATGGCAAGCTAGCAACGATTCTTTGTGGAAAATTCCAAAAAAATGTGGAAGGAAAGCTAGCAGAGATTCCTCAGGACGGGCAAAAATTGTACAGTAGTCTCATCCAATACACGAGAATACCTATTGACGGTCAGAAATGGTGGTTGTGATGAGGTCAGGGTTGATAAGGGAATGAATAGACTGTTTGCATGGCAGAAGGGGGCAGGGAAGAAGCAGATTCTCTAGAGAAATGGCCGGGACACCCCCTGTAGATGGCATGGAATGGGGGGACCGGTCATAGAAGAGAGAAGCACACTGTCCACAAACACGCACACACCTATACGTCACACAACAAAAGACGGCAGAGAGAGAGAGAGAGAGAGAGAGAGAGAGAGAGAGGGACGACAGGGCCTTAAGCTTCTAAGGGGGTGACTGGACATCTAGGCTGCCATTGGAATGGGTCGCGGCGTCACGACTGTAAGCTGGAGTGACGCGTACTTGTTTCGAGAGGAGGGCAGCTAGCAGCGCTC